GCACACCGAAACCCTAAAACACAAGAGCCCCGCACACCGAAACCCTAAAACACAAGAGCCCCGCACACCGAAACCCTAAAACACAAGAGCCCCGCACACCGAAACCCTAAAACACAAGAGCCCCGCACACCGAAACCCTAAAACACAAGAGCCCCGCAGCAATGGGGATTACTTTCACCCTTAAATATGCTCACCATAAATGGTACTTTTTCAAGACCTCCAAACATTCAATTGTTGAACGCAACCTCTCTGGCTGCAAAATCCTGTGGTAACATGTTCAACCTTTTGGCTAGATTGAGTACTGCTGCGCATGAAGGCAAGACCACCAAATTGATGCATTTGTCGAAGTATTAGTTAAATAATACACGTAATTCAGTATAAAAGTATCAAAGATTTAATTTTTGTGGAGGTGAAAGCATTGCTTTAAGTCATGTGTTGAGTACACCATATGACAGCAAAGTTATATTTTGCAATCAAGGCTTAGAAAGGAATAGTAGAATACGAAGCTCCTTATTTTCCAGGATATGTATAAGTATAGGCATTTCTTGATCTTGGATGATGATACTTTTACACGGAAATTGTATTACAATTTTATAGTATCTCACTGTTCAAGAGACATCTGACTATTAGAGCTACTATATTAATATATCACTAAGAAATGGAGCATGACCATCCAGTTATTTTAATTTTTACTTGTATCACTTGCGTCCCTTATTATTGTATTTTGAAAATCAGGAATTCAACTTTGAAAGTATTAATTTTTGTGGCTTACTTGTATTTTCATCTTAAGTTTCTTCTTGTGGGTTATCAGCTACATTTGTGACGTGCTCGAGGTGAGGCCACGATGCTCTAGTGGACCTTTGACGATTTACATAGTTAAATGAAAGGATTGAAATTATCACTGGGTGATATTCGATAACCCTCACCTTTGAAACTACAGTCTTAATTTGGTGCAACTCAGAGTATTCTCAGAATTGATGGTCAATGACTTCTTCACGTTATCATATTATAAAAGTCGTAAATAAATACTATTCATTGGCCTTGTCTCTTCAATTGAACCACAGTCGCAATTGCTTTTCTAACATTCATTTATCTTCATTCACAGCAGCTTATAAAATTTCACCTGGTTAGTCTACAAAATCATGAAATATACATAATAATTCGAGGTTACAGTAAACTAACTTGATCACAATAGTAATCAACTAAAGCACCTTTAATCATAACTGTTCATATCCACATTCTATTTTGATCACCTGTTTACAACACCCCAAAAAAATGACCTTGGTAATAAACTTGTTTAGGTTGATAAATTGAAATCTAGGGGAAATTTTGAAACCTTGGATCAGTTACTATCGATTCAACTCTAAAGTCATTAATTGTGGTTGGAGGTGCCACAACACCAGTTTCGTTGTTTGCTTTTCTTCTTTCAGTTTCTTGTACTTGTATTAAACTAATGTGTTAATCACTCTTCCTGTGATCATTATTTCTTCTTGCTTAACCCTTGTGAAAGATAGTTGTAAGTTTCATTCCATTTGTTCTGGCGTGTTGGTTACAGATTATTCATGGCTTTTTATGTTGTAGTTATGTATGTACTATATACTGGCTATAACAGTTTTTTTTATTGAATAAAGAAAGTATCACATAAATGATAAGGTAGTATATTTGATAAAGGTCATTTTATACATATCTAATTGCACTTTAGAAGGATGTTAGTAAAAAGGTATAGAAATTTTAATCAATACTTGACTGTATCGAGTTGTGCCACCATATTCAAAATTAAACATTGTCACGCGGAGAATCACGTGATAATCAAATGCAAGCACCAGTCTGTTGGTAACATTATCACTCCTTACTCCACTTCATGTTATAATAAAGTTATTACTACTATACCAACCTATTGTTTTCGCCTTCAACTCAATCAAAAACAGGTTTATGGGGCACAAACACAACATAAAGTTATCGGTTTGCGAGTTTTGTTGAATATATTTTTTTTTTTGGAAGTATAGTGTATATCCGTGGGAGAATCACTTGCATTTAAATAATACTATTTATGTTCCTCGAAGGGATCAGTTGTCCCTAGATCAGTTAGAGACGAGGACAGTAAAGAGTTGTAGTTCCAATTGCGATTGTAATTCTCCAGTTGCGATTGTTATTGCGGGCAGAGATATTCTACCCGCACCAACCCTGAAAACAGATTACGAAATAGAACAGGTTACTCTGGGAGAGAAGCCAACATAAAGTTAAGCTTTATTCGGTCCATTACACAATATGTCCTCTTGTATGGCGAACAAGCACGGCAATTTAAAAAAGTCTTAGCAAGAAAATAACTGCATACAGTTTATCAAAATTATATTATGAGACGCAAAGCCTCGCGAGACCTTACATGAAGACTCACCACAACAGTGGTGATACTATAGGGGCAATCTGCTAGTAGAACCACTAATATTGAAATGTATGAGTTGCAATGTATGAATTGCAATGTATAATCACGCTTACTCATAAACATCGACCATTGCAATTTCATAAGCAATATTTTGATAGAAAAAGGATTAAGAAGCAATATGATGAATGAATACATGACTGCAAACAGGTATAAAACACGACTTCATGTTATACATTATCAGCCTCATTTACAATATACAAGCGTCGTGGTCTTTTCCCAATGAGGATTACTTCCACCCTTGAATATATTCATGGTCAATGGTACTTTTTCAAAACCTCCGAACTTTCATTTGTGAAATGTAACCTTTCTGGCTGCAAAACCCTGTGGTAACATATTCAACCCTTCGGCTAAGTTGAGTCCCGCTGCACATGAAGGCAAGACAATCAAATTGATACTTTTATCAAAGAATTACCCTATTTTGAATCGAATCATGTGGCGAGAAAAACACCATAGGATATGCTGCATACAAGGTTTAGTACGGAAGGAATAGACTTCGTAATTGGTTATAGAATATGTGTATAAATAGAGGCATTACTTAAAACTTTGAGAAATGATATTTTGACTTCCCATTACAATTTAGAGTGTCTCAACTGACCAAGAGATATCTGACTATCAAAACAATTATATTAACTTACCACTAAAACATGGATGACGATCTTCAAGTTTTTTTAATATACACTTGTATCACTACCATTCCTTATTTTTACATTTTTAAAATCAGGAATACAATATTAAAAGTGATAACATTTGTGGCTTACTTATATTTTCAGCTTAATTTTCTCAGCGTTGGTTGGATGGCACATTTAAGACGGGTTAACGGTCATAACCCAATGTGATGGACTATTTGACGATTTGGATGGCGGTTGACAATTATATTTACATGATAATCGGTAGCTTCTTATTCATTATTGCAACGGTAAAACTCTGAGAAACCCCAGAAATTGATCGTCTACGACTTTACGTGACCACAGTATATGGATAGTATTGTACTCCATTGCCATAAACATTATACATCAAGTCATTTGTCTATCCATTCAGAACATCTAAACATATTATAATTTCATAGGTTATTTATGTATACATTCTAATTTGAGGTTACAGTATAAAGTACAATAATTAACATAGGAATCAACTAATGCTCTTGTTTTGGACATATGTATAATCATCACTGTTCAAATCCATTTTAAACAACTATTGTCGTTACCAATATGCCCAAATAAATGGATTTCTTGGTGATCTACTTTAGTTACGTTCTAGTAAGCGCAAAAGCATTGTCCAAACACCCCATGGCATCGCAATTACGTAGCACTTAACAAATATTACCCTAAAGTTAACACTAATGTAAACTGAACCAGGAATGAAAATCAATATAATTTGTTTGAATGTTCATCAAATGTCTTCATCATATTAAACTTGTTTAGGTTGATAAACGGTGTTGAAATTTTGAAACCTTGGATCGGTTACTAATGATCCAACTCTAAAATCATTAAGTGTTGTTGGAGGTGCCACAACACCAGTTTCGTTGTTTGCTTTTCTTCTTTCAGCTTCTTGAAGTTGTATTATTCTGTTTGCAATTTCACACGAACGAGAGAATTTACTGGTATACCCCAATAATTTCATATTGAATAGAGTAACTGAAGTCACTGAAACTCCTTGAGAAGCTAACATGGAAGGTGCACATAAGCAAATAGTTATAAAGTAGTCTAAAAATGGAATCCGAGAAAGTACCAAACGTGATTGGAATTTCAAGATATTCACTAATCCATTAACTCCTTTACTATAACACCGATCTCTTTGGAGTCGTGTATATTGATAACCTTCTTCCTTTGCAACATGGCTCATTCTAAGGGCAGTAATTATTAAAGCCATATTATAAAGCATGGAGGGGAAAATAAAATGTGGAGGCAAAACACTGCCTTCTTCAATTGATCCTACCCCATCTAATTTCAAATGTGATGGGAACATTTCTTCCATTTGTTTCATTTGTGACTCAAGATAATCAAATGTGATCATACTAGATGCAAATAAACCATCATGAACTCCCACAGTATCAAAATTGGATGTTAGAGCCAAATTCAATGTAGTAATGACTTTAAGGACACAATTAAATGTTGTGAGACACCTTGAGTTTTCCACATATAAAGTTTCTTGATCCTTTTTTCCAGTGGTTTCAGACCATGGTGCTGTTTCTTCCCAACCATCGATTGGTATGGATATGTTTGGCCAATCAACTGAACGAATGACTGTTTGTCTTCCTAATCGTGCAGATATCAAAGTATTCAAAATAAGGGCACCTCCCCAAGTTCTCATATTCCAAACATCTGGAGGTGGTAATGGTTGGGAACCAGGATTAGGTATTTCGGGATCCTTGTTTATCAATCTAACATCAACAGCCATTCTTGAAGATGAAGAAAGTATGACCCATGCTTGATCCCATTCACCAATTAAATAATAATAATAACCTACAAGTAATAATGTTTGAATAGAATCCAACGTAGTAGATACTGAATATCTCAAGGAAGTCATTGCATTATTAGCATACTTCTTTGAGGTCAGAATATCAACTTGATTAGCCTTGAGATCAACAAAGTAGCGACCTAAAGCAGTAATAATCCACAATAAGCCAACAGTACTATATTCCATAGAACCATTAATTAATGGATCTGGTTGATCTGCCACTTCATTGAACCGACCAATAAACTTCAAGAGATAATCTCGATTAACAATTGGAAGCCACATATGAACACAGTGGAAAAAGCTATTAAAAGTCTCTGCAAAGTTAACTGGGAATTCCACTAATTCAGATGGAGGAATTGAAGCTGTAGCCTTGTATAAATGACAAAAGGAACCAACTCTAAATGGGGAAGGGAAATCAGGACCAAGTTCAGAATTGAAATCTTTAATAGCCAGAGGAGTGAACCCCGAAATTGAGCCTGTCAATTCAGGAAACTCTAACGCCTTAGGCTCCCAATTTGAAGCAGACGAATTATTAACATTAATTGCATTAACTCCAAATAAATTGATGACTCTTGAATTAGTTTCATTATTACCAGACAGATTTGAATGTGATTTACGTCTGGATTTGGCACCTTCATAGGTTCTAGTAACCTTTTCAAATTTGGCTCTTATTATACTTAAATACCAAGTTTTCTGCAGCTCCAATATATCATCTGAATGGGGGTTATCAATTTCATCAGAAAATTCTTTCACCAAAGAATCTAATTTCACTTGCTTCCCTCCAGCAGCTTGTTCTCGCATTACTAACTTACCCAATAGCGATTCGTATAACTGACATTTCCGTTCAAGTTCGTGTAAAAGTCCGGTTCTGACCCCACGTTTCTTTTCCAATGGAGAGTAAGAACATATCACTCTTAAGTCAGCACAAACGTTACATAAAGGTCGATTCCCATCACATTTACGTTTCTTAATCCGACACGTATCACACGCTTGTCGAATACGTGCTCTTGCTCGTATTGCCGTCCCTTCCAGTTGATGATTCATTTGGTTCTTTGAATCATATAAACCTCGTTTCAAGTCCGTTTTTTTTGGTTCTTGTTTCACTCGTTGAAGTATCTAAGAACAAATATATCCCTGGAATAATTGACATGCGATTCTCCCTTTGCTTGCGGAGTTTGATACGATGTCTTACGTTACTGTTGTTACTGATGAGGTGGTGATATTTACTACGATTTCAGTTTGTATCAGTGCGATCATGTGACTTGGGAAGACAAACACCCCGGACCGGAATCGAACAAGAGATACTAAAGTCACACAAAGAGAAGTTATACTGTCAATAAGAAGATTCGTTCATGATATATATATCCATATAAGCTGACGTCACAGATTAAGCATATTTACTTGTACCAATTTTGATGAAAAACCACCGTAGCAATATAATGAATAATTCTTCTAGCTTTTTTTTAGAAGGTCTCGTCATAGACATACAAATCTGGGGCACCAATATGGTTCCTTATACGTTGGCACTTGTAAACGACTGATTCGGTCATTTGACTTGGACCACAGGTGATAACAGCCATACTACCGTAGGAGTACCTACTGTTGCATTGTAATTCAGCCACCAGTTCATCGAGATAACGATCAATATTAGGTCTTCCATAATGGTAGTTGATGATATCTAATTCACTAGACATGGAAGATTCAGTCTGAATAACAAATTTAGTTTCTGAAACGGTATATTTAGCGGTATTTGGCTTCTGATCTCGTGGTTCCTTCATTTCGTCTTTTAAGAGTCCTCCATCAGACTCGGTCAATGAGAAATCAATAGCAGGATCAGGTTCTCTGGTGATATAAAGATCAACAGAGATATCTATTAAGTCACGATATTGGTTAGCATACCTGTTTAACGTTGCTAACTCTTCCAGATACCAACAGGTGTTTTCTTTCTTTGGAACTATCCAGACTACCAAAATATTGGTTTGCTTGAAGTATGTTGCTATACCAGGATTGGCTTCCTTGATACGGACAATAGTTTCAATCAAATCAATGGCCACAGGAAATGTAAAAGAACCTCCAGAACCAGCACCAATAAACATACTAGTATCAAATTGTTGCAATGGTTGTAAGGGAACGCCATACGGACCATGAAACGTTGCCTTGAGAGAAACATAATCCTTATCTTCGTCTTGAGACATGTTTGAAGGTTCTTCAAGATTTTGCAACTTTTTGTATAGTTTCAACGTGAATCCCTTCTTCACTTTGATTAACAAGGACAACTTACCCTTATTTCCAAGGCTAACAACAGTGAAGGGATGTTGTTGAAAGAGACTGATTTTGCTAACTGTTAAGTATACATGATGCCCTGCTCTCCAACATCCAAGACCAGGAAAGATGGTATGGTACCATTTACGGTTATCGTATTCATTTGTAGGTAACGTCATTGAAATAGTAGTATCATCCAAGACACGGAATTTCGCCATTCCTTTTGTAGGGCTCTTATACTTGTACAAGAAAACATAGACTCTGGCAATGATCCTGTCAAGAACTAAGGCATGGACTGATACAATAATAATGGCATGATTTCCTTTACTATGAAAGTAAGCAAACAAGAGCATGATGAAAGATAGAATTCTATGCTGAACTAAAAAGACTTCAAACCACAAGTTTCTGAATATCTTGACACTCTGAAGACCTATAAGACCCAAGCAAGTGAAAGCAATCCACCCAAATATTTGAGGAGGAATTTTTAGGAATTGAGGGAACCCAATACTATTCCAATAAATGGCTGAAAGAATAACGTGAAGCGTTTGGAATAAGATTAAAATTCTAGCCACAACCTTGTGAAAGAAAGCCAATTGCGCATGGTCCAAACCACTCACAGCTCTAACCAAATCACTCTTAATAACAAACAAATAAACTAGAGGTAGAATACCAATACCGATACGACCTACACGTTTAGCAATAATGTAATACCGAGGTTCGTAATTGATATCTTTTGTCTCGAGATAGGAAAACCTACCCATCATAGTGACGAAACCTAAGAGTAGTAAGCTATAAGCAGGAGTGAAGTATATATAACTGTTCTTTTCCCATGGGTTCTTAAATCTAAATTTGGTTGCCAAAGCGTTCCACACTTTCATATACCCCAACATGACTTTATAAACTCTAGGGTACTCCATTTTGTAGAGCCTAATTATACGGGGAATGTGATGAAAGAAAAGGCCATAAGCAAATATTTGCACTAAACTAAGGGCAAATACTAGCCATTGATATTTGACGTTTCTTTCCTTTTCAACGTAGTACTGATCTGCTAGCTCAATACCCATTTTTTTAAGCAGTAATAGTATATTTATTCTTTAACTCTTTAAAGTTTAGAGAAGATATTTGAAAAACAAGCGATTAAGAATCAGATATAGAAGATTTGTGATGTTGTGAAGTACGTAATAAAAATATATTGCCGAATTAGGTCCGATCAACTGATGAAATAGATAAAAATTAAGCCTCCATCCTGCAACAGCGATTTCGGACATAATTAAAGCTAAAGGTTGCATTTAACACAGATATGCAATTAAGAAAAGAAAAAAACAAAGCAAAATGCAAGGTTTATGAATGGAGGGTGGAAATAAGAAACTTTTGAGGCAAGATTGATATTTTCCCCAGGTTCCGGTAATCCTCAAGCAACAAGCAACATTTGAAAGCATTTTATAGAATGGAGTTATTGGCTTATAGTTATTAGGAGCGCAGGACCGTGTATTTTCGTTTATAAAAATAATGGGCTACTTGAAAAGGCAAGACGAGAAACACTGGTTCTTAAAGTTCTACTACAACAAGTTCTACCTATTTCTGCAGTTAAACTAGATTAAAAAGCATTGAAGCATGACCTTGATACTATATGGTAGATCTACAGGCTACTTTATTGGTTCTGATAATACTAAGTGATTATTATTGTTACCCAAAATCAACAAAAACAGTTGCATATAGTCTGAGGTAAATTCAGCAATGGTGTAGTTGCAGTTTATTGTTTAATACTGAATAAACACAACTAACCAAATTATTATTTCTGCTTCTGTTAAATTAAAAGATAGTGAAGAACTTGAATCCTGCGGAAAAAAAAGAATGGTAAAAGGAGAAAGCGCTTTACCGTGATCGGACGTATTCGAGTTGATACAGATTATAAAAAGATGGAACCATCATTGGCAACGGAATGACCTAGTAAATAGTTATTTAGCTTACGTTTAATTGCTGTTCTTTTCTAAAAAGTTAGTGTATTATTTAACGTGCTTGATAAATTGATTATGTCTTTAATAACTTTCATCGTTGGGATGTACATTTATTTGGCATCAGTTTCTGCAGAAAACTGGGCTACTTACCCCCCAGTCCCCAAGACTGCGACTTACAACGGATTTGCTGACATGGTTATGGCTGACTTGCCTGCTTGCGCCCAGGAATGCGTTAAGATTTCTACCGGGAACACCCCTTGTCCAAACTGGGATACAGGTTGTCTTTGTATTATGCCCCAATGGTCTGGAAGCGTTGCTAATTGTATTGCTTCAAACTGTCAAGGAAAAAACGTTGAAGTGGCCACTCTGGTGGCTCTTTCTGTATGTTCAAGTGTTGGTGCTAATATGTGGTTGATGCCTGCATCGGTTTCTACCGTCTTGCAGGAGGCTGCAGATAAATCAGGTGAATTTACTTCTGGAACACTGTTTTCAGCTGCAACCCTTACATCTGATGGTAGTACAATCACTGGTACAAGTGATACTTCATCTCGTTTGTCCTCATCGTCAGCTTCATCTCGTTTATCCTCATCGTCAGCTTCATCTCGTTTATCCTCATCGTCAACTTCCTCTCGTTTGTCCTCATCGTCAACTTCTTCTGGTGAAGGGGCTTTGCTTTCTGGTGGCAGTCAGGTTTCCTTTTGGACTGCCCTTGCGCAGATTGTCGTAGTATTAAATGTTATGTAAGTTATCTATACGAGTAACTTTATTCCACATCCTGACACTCTTTATGTATTAACCCGCATATAGATAGGCTTCTTTTGTATCACAACAACAATAATTTGTGCATTTTTCTAGCCTCAATAATACCTTAACCTGAAAGGCCCATCAAAAAAGTATATACAGAGTAGTTTCATTGTTCTCTTCTTTATTGTTGTCGTGAATAAGGCCATTCTAAAACTAGGTGTATCGAATGCCGAAATTAGTGCGTTTTGTAACCGGATTTCAATGGATTAAGACCCAATTGCGAACATCGGACTACCAGATTATGCACTCTGATCAATCAGATAACTTTTTACAGCGTGCGAACGGCTACTTTTGCACCCAATCAAACGCGTACAACGAGAAACGCACCGACTTGAGTTACTATAATAAGCAATTACCACACAGAGAGCTTCTCGCTACGGTACTAGGTACTTCAATTATCTAAATCACGTATATCTCTTTTATAATAAGGTGAGTTTGGAGTCCCTTCACTGTATATGCTTGACATATCTACTCGCTATCCTATAAGTATGCGAATCGGAGTGTCAATAATTTTTGGACTGGAAGACGTGCAATGGAAGACGTCCTCCTCTACAGCATAAGAAGCTAATTGTAATAGGAAAACTAAATAGGGGAAAATCACTTTCACTTGTTAATTATTGTATATACTTTCTGCTCCAATCAATAAAGAAATTGTTGGTTAACTCATTTTGTATCGGCATTTCCATAAAGGATTTAAGACAATGTAACCCCCACCTTAACTTCATTTCCGCATACTATAATCCTCCAAGCCTTTTTTTTTAGGTCTATAATGCTCAGTTCCAGTCCGTCATTCGGGCTTAGGGATCGTTCGTCCGATTTCCGCAGCTTTGACTCATTACGGAGTGTAGTACGTATTCTGTCCTATTCAGTAGGTTTAGACCGGAAATTAGGACTTACAAATATATAAACAAACTGTTCAGGACAATTGTACAAAGATTTTTTTCTATTCTACGTCCAAAACATTACCCTCGCTTAACTTTTGATCTAAGAATGGCTGATAACTACGCTACGTACCCTTCTGTCGCTAGGAGTGCTTCCATCAATGGTTTCGCTGACAAAATCTACGCCGATCTCCCCAGTTGCGCTCAACCATGTGTTAAGAAATCCACTGGCTCTACGCCATGTCCTTATTGGGATACTGGTTGTTTGTGTGTCATCAGTAGTTTTGCTAGTGCTGTTGCCGAATGTATTGCTGAAAATTGTGCTGGTTCGGAAGTTGACACAGCCACTTCGTTGGCCATTGGGATCTGCTCTTCTGCCGGTGTTGCCAATCCCTACTGGTATATTGGTGGTGCTATGACCACTGCGCTTGAAGCTGCTGCTGATAAAGCTGCTGAAACCACCACTGAGTCCACAGCTACTGCCACAGAAACATCTGCAACAGAGCAAGCTGTCGAGACCCTGAGTTCTGCTGAAGCTACTAAGGATGAAATTACTGGGGCCACCTCCTCTGCAGCCGCCTCCTCTGCAGCCACCTCCTACGCAGCCACTTCATCTGTAGCCGTTTCTTCTACTATCGTTTCATCGTCTCACGGCATTACTTCCGCCAGTGATGTTGCTTCTTCTCAAGCTTCCTCTTCCCTAATTGCTTCCTCTTCCCAAGCTAATTCGTCCGCTTTTGCCTACACTATTGGCGAAAACAGCGCAGGTAACACTAAGAAGTCTATCGGTGTTGCTATGGTTTTGGCTATTGCTGCTTTCATGGTCTAAGCCCTTGGGTTCAGCAGGCTCCGTTCGTACATCTACTATCTTCACTAATTTACGCTATTCCAATCAACTGTATATGGTATCAACAGAAGTTGATTCTACTAGGAAACTAAAATTTACTTCTTCACGTATGTTAGCCCTGTAAGCGCAATTACAAGCTTATTTTTGTATATAACATGCAAGGCTCCACAATATATTCTTATTAAATTTGGAATAACAGCATACTTCCAAAAGGCTCAAAATCAGTAGGAAATATACTATAACTGGTAGATTCCAAACCTAAACCCGAAGACCCATCATTTTGGCATGTAAGAGGAACGGCATCAGCATCATGGTAGAAATTGGCCATATGAATCCACATGTTGTCAATCTGAATACTTTCGGCCAAACACTTATCGGCTCTATCCTTTAAAGATGAAACCAAATTTTCAACGGTTAAAAATGGACCATTTTTAAGCATTGAAAGTCGGGACACTGTGTTTTGGATATCTGAAGTAGCCAATCCAAATTCAATCTCTGGTAAGTATCCCACATCAGGTATATCAGGTGCAAGGGAATCAAAGTAGTTTAGATCTTTAAGAATATTATAAACTCCAAAATGAACCTTACTCAATTTCCATGCCATACTATATCGGTTTCTTAAACTGTAAAGCCCTCTTATCTTGTGCATGCAAGTATCCTCCATGACTTTAAGAAATTGTCGAATGGCTTCCTCTTTTGCTGGATCTTGAATATTTTCAATCTTTATCCGATAGAGCCCCGCTGATAATCGAAGGATGGAAGTATTACATATTAGCAACAGCATTTGATACAGCAATTGCAAGGTCGGAGCAATTAAAAGCCATCCATTACCGTCGAATGCCTTTGCAAGTATCTCAGGAGTTAATTGAGCCCATTCAACCACAACAATATTAATATACTTATTAAAGTAGAATAACATTATCTGGTAATTCCTTTTCTGTTCATAATGTAAGAATAGTATATGATAAATATAACATAATACCATTTGGCAATGCAAATAAATGACAAATTTCCAAACCTTTACCAGTTTTTGTATAAAATAATTTGGATCAAGATATTTGGAAAATTCACCTAAAATGTGTTTCATACAGATTTCAAGCTTGGTTGCTTCTTCTAGTAATGAACTAACCCGCACAGGGTTTTTTAAATCAACTATCACCTTTACAATTTTCTTCAATGGACCACTAATTTGATTGAACTCTAAATCAAGATCTAGAGCAATTCTTTCAGATTGAAAAGTTTGTACACTGGCATTGAGTTCATGAACTGTAATCTCAGATAAATCAAATGTTTCATCAGAAGTACTGAGCATGGATCCGTACAACATCGAATCAATTAGATCAAGTTTATTCACATAGAACCAAAGCTTCTTTTGTTGATATCTAACTTTTGGGTCCGGATCATAGTTGGCAACTTTGCTTGGATCCCTGTTTAGTCCCAAGGCGAATGCCATATTTATGATGATACCATTAAATACCTGAGTTGATGATCCACTAGTACTATCTACTTCCTCAGGTGCATGCATCCTATATGCCCTGATAAAAAGTAAACTCTGAAGGATACGTATGGAACGGAATCGAGTTATGTTAAGTTCTTTCATACAGTCTTCAGCCAAGTCAACGAATTCAATAGGTAGTATACCAAACCGAGAACTTTCATCTGTAGGAACTAGAAGATAAGATTGAGTATCGTACTTTAACTCAATTTCGGATATGGAGACCCATCGTATCATAATTAATAAGATTGCAATAGTGGCAACATCATCTCTTTCTTCAAACTTAAGATTCTGACAAGTAGTTGTTGGTGTGAGGTCTTGTCCCAAAATTCGACTCAAATCCTTTGTGAAATCTTCTTGTTCAATCACAGGAAAGTACAAGTATACGTTTTTAAAGAACTTGTTCACATAGGGCGTCACTTCAATGCCTGATAACATTAATTTTAGTCTTGAAACCAAATTCACACTATAATCAATATTAGGAGCAAAATTCAATCCCATACGACCGGCAAACTTTGTGATTGCCAGTTTTATCTTCGAAATTTCATTTGCTTCCTCTGGCCGAGGAATATATCCATCTCCATAAATGCGTTTGGCTTCCAGAGTGTAGTGCTCTACTTTTTCTTCAGATATGTAGATCATTTTCTTTCTGATCATTGCTTCAGGTTTCAAGAGTGGACGATACTTCCAAAAAAATTGGATACCGGGATCAAACCTCAGAAGTGCTTTAAAGTGTAATGTACGAGGAGGGGGCAATACTTCCTTATAATCCTTGCGAGGAGATGAATGAAAGCTCATTTCTTCATGAGCAGATTCTAATGGATAAGGTCCTATAAAAATGTTCCCCAGTGGTTGGTTTCCCTTGATTATACCCGAAGTTCCCAAACGAGATTGGAAATCAGGTGGTGATAAATCGTTCGATGAACAAGTTGCAGTAGAGTGGTGGTGAGACGACGTAGAAGATTGGGATAATCCAACTCCCCTTAACGATTGCACATCACTTGTATGAGGAGAGTTCAGAACTGGCAGGACAGGTAGTGCCAGTATATTTTGTGTTTTTGGGTGTTGGTTCTGATTTGAGTTCCTAGGAATGAATGGAGTGGCATCAACAAATTGTGGAGGAACTTGATTATTACTACCAGTAGGCATTAACATCCCCTGTTCACTCCCCTTTGTCACTGGGACTGGAGGTGAGATATGACTTATAAGGTATTTGTGAGACTTGGACGAGCTCAAGAGCAGCAGCAGCAACAGCAGCAGCAGCTGACATGGGTCCTCTGTATGTGATTTCGAGACAAGGTCCCTATAATTTTCATTTGTTTCATCTCCACCAGAAACATTTGCGTCTCCACGATGAAGAGTGGCCACGGCTATGGATGCTTCTATCTGGCTCAAGCGATCTTTCATCTTAACAAGTTCCCGCTGCATCAATGGATTAGCTGACGTTGTTGCTGTGGTGGTGGTGGTGATTGCTGTGGCTGGGGTTGGAAGTTCTTTCTTCACATCTTCAGTCATTTCGGAATCATAGCTGCATGTATTGGCAATCTTGTATCTCTTGCAATTCAGGCATGGTACGTCTCTGTCACATTTCCGTTTCCGCTTCCGACAGTTGAAGCATGAGATAATCCGACGGTTACGTTTCCGAATGGTTGTGACAGTTGGAACCATTATAAAATTATTGTTATGGTGGGAAGTGAATGGATTTACAGGAGGAAAGCGGAGGCGGTGATATCTGATATCCTCCTCCGCCACCTACTTGTTTTGGTTTTCCCTAACGGTAGCGCTATGTTTGGAGACAGCTGGTGGAGATAACGCGGAATATAAATCCAAAATGGGAAAGTTGTGTCGCAAAATTCAGACACCATAAGATCTAAACTTAACTTTATAGTGATGACCAGGAATTGAATCTTCGTGGACCAATAAGATATCGTTGATGATCCAAGTCGTTATTAAAGTCTCTTCTGTTTCAGTAGGCAGATCAACCTCAACCCATGAGTTTGAAGAAACATATGAAAGCAAATTACGTACTAGTTTGTAAGCTTCAGCCAATCTATCTCGAAGTGTGGCTTGTTGCACAGGGGTACTATTCCCACTCTTATAATCAGATATTGCAATATATTTCCGGAGAATTCTCGTTAATCCACGTTGAAGCATTTTAACAGTCTTTTGAGTGTGTTCCTTATTGGTTCCAAGATCTTGGAGAAATGAATCTGGAGTTGACTGCAAATCATCATTGCTTCGGGTCTCAAGTAAGTCTTGAATTCTTTGAGATTCCTCTTCTTGAATATCAAGTAATGGGATAAGTTGTTGATATTCAATTAGTAACTGTTCCAAATCTGTAACCTCTTCCTTTTTCATTTGGATATTATTGCGTAACAGTGTTATAGATTTCAGTTGCTGTTTGTTCAAGTCACTAATTTCAACAGAGGCTATTGCAGTATCAAGGACTTCATTCTTATCAGGAATCCAGGGAAGTTTCTCATATGTTTGTTGTAATGCTATTATATGCTCTTTATGGCTTCTTTCAGTAGTATTATTATTGCTTTCTAATTGTAGTTCTTGTTCGAGATGCTTGATAGCTCTATCTGCATCTAAAAGGTACCTTTCAGTGGCAGCAATTTCTCTCTCCAATCGCCTCAAATATGTGGTATCAGGGTCTATGGTGCTCTTTTCCTGTGTCATGGTATTTGCAACAGAGTATTTAGGTTGTAAACTTGTGTAGCAGTTTATTGCTCATAATGTAGTACTACCTCACCATAGTCACGTTTCAATCACGTGACTAGTTTATATCACTTTCTTAACTAGACTTAAGTATACATTAATGGGAAAAGCAACAAGTAAATATGAATGAATGTCCCCACTCTATTCTAATTACTAATACTAGGAACCGAATATCTTTAATTATGATTAAATAATCCACTATGTACGCTTATATTAGCCCTATAAATGAATGAGTATACCCCATCATATATCATAACATGGTAGCGCGCACAACATTTCATGTTAAGTGAAAAGGAAAACTTTTAAACCTACAAAACTACCACCAATCAACCACAACCCACTATAAAATCCAATGTCTACCTTCAACACAGAACTATTAAGAGATTTGGACGAAAGTTCCAGACAAGAGATTGCTCAACTCATTGAGGCCGAGAACTCCAAGTCCAAGATCCAGATGTCCATCAGTCATTACACAGACATGTGTTTCAAGAAGTGTAATGCCAATAAGCCAATCTCCACTGGTAATTTGGATTCCAGCGAAGAGAAGTGTTTGACCAACTGTTTGAATCGTTTCTTAGACACAAATATCAAGGTGGTTCATTCTTTACAAGGTAAGAAGTGACGTGGAATTGACCTTACCTTATCTAACCTTGCCCTACACCATTACCATAGTTCTTGTACATAATGTGAATAGAAATGGGGAAGTAGTTCACTTACTCCTGCTGTGATATAATTTCTTGTAGTTGTTGCGTTGCATGCAATTTGATTGTGTCTAACTCCAGATGCCAGGTTTCCACTTGGTTTAATGAGTTAGCGTATTGAAATAGTAAATCCATAGTGTCCTTTATAATATCTAAAAGCTCTTTAGTGGAAGCTGACTTCCGTTTGAGTAGAACGGTCCAAGCACCCATGAAGTCAAATCGATAGTCATACACAAGTAATTCAGCTTCTTTGTCGGAGTTGACGAATTGTTGTAGAATGGCTTGTTGGGTTAGAAGTGCAGCTACAATTACCCTTGGATCATGCTCAATGGGATCAATTATCAATTGACTAAGAACAAAGTTTATTCTGGAAAGCAAAACTAGAATATCTTGCTCAACATAATCGGTGATTAATCTCCGTAACTCTTCAAGTAATAATACAACAACATCAGAAGCATCTTTATTATTATTACCCCTCACATGATTAATGGAGAAAAGTACTTTGGAAGTTATCAATTCTAAAAAGTCTCGACGACTGTGACTGGAATATTGGATTAACTCACAAATAACAGTGTAACTTGGAGGTAAAAGTCGTAAACTATCACCGACAGGAGTAAGGGAAGGAATATATGATAAGTTTGGAGTGAATGACTTAATAAAGGGTTCAATTAAACCTCTTTTCTTCAAGAAGTCTCCGCCAATAACTTCCAAAAATTCATTGAGTAGTCTACAACTAACCAATTTGAACTCCACATTGGTATCATCCGTAAGGTTAAGTATGAATGAAGTGATAATAAACCAATTCGTTTCCAACATGTCTTCCTGATCGTCCTTTATGTATTTGATTAAGAACCAGATCATGGAGATGGCCGCTACGTTTTTGGAGTTGTACCATTGACTTCTAATGGATTCTTCATTCTGGGTAACCCCAACCCCACTGCCAAATCCTAAGTGAGGACGCAAACTTCCGGATAGTTGTTGATATTGCTTCTTGGTATGTTTCTCAAGTTTCGATAGTTGAGCACAAGCCGGAGTGACCTTTTCCCTTATAAAGTGGGACAAATTAACGGCATTTAACTTATCCATGGTCTTGTCCACTATTTCACTGTCGCAGACGGATCCCCAGGGACACTCGGCATCGCTGTGGATGGCCAACGCTGCTATTATGTTTGGAGATGGAAGAACATCATCCTTAATCAATAGTATCTCACGCAAGACTCGAAGATAATAGTAATAATGGTGGTGATGCTCACTACCAGACTTGAACCAATTGACATCTTGCAATTCAGTCACGATAACCTCCAAAAGACTATCAATATTATCCGGTTCACATAATGGTGGGGAGTTAGTCCGAATGGCTGCTTCTAGGACAAACCCGTAAGAGGCATTGACTTTTGTAAACTGTTGGGCATGCACTGGAAGTTGACTTAACGCATCAACTGAAGTTGTGTCTAGTCGTTCGCTTCCCAATGTCTCCCTCGATATGTGATGTTGTTCCAACACCGACTCCAACGACATGGTAAGGGATTCACTGTAGTGAGTGAAAGTGCATTCAGGTAACAATTTTCGCATTCATTTTATAGCACTACCATACGACGACAACAATAACAACTACAATATAACTGCAACAATACAACTGATGTTTGATTACAATGCTATGGTAAAGATATGATGATATCATTGTAGTCCAGACCCATCTACTTATAACGTATCACAGTAAATTGTCATTAGCACTAGTGAAGATTCTGTTGATCCAAGTATTGGCTATCGGCATGCATGTAAGCATTAAGGCCAAAATAAAGACTTATACGTGTGTGTACATGCGTATATGTACATAATGTACATATGCATACTTATGTATATATGTGTGTGTATACATGTAAGTATATACTTAAGGCACACCTACGTATGTGAAATAGATATATGTAGTAACATTATGGTGCTCTCACTAGTATGGACACATTTCAAGTCGCACCACAATAACCACCATTTCCTTATGACTTCTTTATCTTACACCTTACTCTCTTCCTTATCTTCTCCTCCACGTATCATGATTAGAATTGGCACCAGGCTGCTTATCACAAAGAGATTCCTTACTACTCTGTCGGTGGTGGTGTCGGAAGAAATACAACAAACTCTTTCGGACAAGTCGAGACCAGTCGTATCGCTAGAATCAACCATTCTCACCCATGGTCTTCCGTATCCTGAGAACGTCGAAATGGCCGTACAGGTCGAAGAAGTAGTTAGACGGAACGGATGTGTCCCTGCGACCTGTGCCTTCATTGAAGGCATACCGTATGTCGGACTTAGTGCATCGCAGACTGAACGTCTTGCGGAACAAGCAGACAAGGGCACAGTCAACAAAGTATCCCGAAGAGACATTGGCTACACCATGGCCAATCGGATGAGTGGAGGCACTACAATCGCTCTGACGATGATTCTTTCTCATATGGCTGGTATTAAGGTCTTTGGAACCGGTGGACTTGGAGGGGTCCATCCTGATGGTCAATACACCATGGACATCTCTGCTGATTTGACGGAATTAGGTAGAACTCCTGTAGCTGTTGTATGTGCTGGACCTAAATCCATTTTAGATATTGGAAGAACTATGGAGTATTTAGAGACTCAGGGTGTCTATGTGGGAACCTATAACGATTCTAAATTGAACCCTAATAGAGTTGAAGTCCCAGGGTTCTTTTGTCGTGAGTCTGGGGTTTTAAGCCCTTATTCGTTCAGTGACTTTACAGAAGCTGCTTCAATTATCGATAATAGTGTTAACAAAATGGGGTTGCAAAGTGGTAGTTTATTTTGTATTCCTCCACCTAAGGATATTGCCTTACTGTCTGACTTTATTAGTGCTATAATTGACCAGGCAACTAGAGACGCAGCCGCAAAGGGTATAACGGGAAAGAATTTAACACCGTTTCTATTAAACGAGATTGCCATACATACAAAGGGGAGATCAGTTGAATGCAACATAGAATTTGTTAAGAATAACGTTTATTGTGCCACTGAAATTGCCAAAGAATTGTTGAAATTGGAAACGGTACGTTAAAACGTCAATGACCTTGTATTTTAAGTGATTATTGATACTAACAATAGTCTCTAGTCGTCGGAAAGAAGGTCTAGTGCAACCAGACAAGTTGTCCTGACTTCTTCTGTTCTGAAGTCTGTTCTGAAGTCTGTTCTGAAGTCTGTTCTGAAGTCTGTTCCAGACATTGTTGATACACTTATTATTGGCTCTATTGCTTTAGACAGTATTTCTACGATATGCATACCTGAACTTATTATGCATGATTCTAACCCCGGCTCTACCAGAAGTAGCATTGGAGGTGTGGGATATAATATTTCACTAGCCAACTGGTACACTAAGAAGAAGGCAGGTGAAAGAGGTCGTTTGGTTTCTTTTATAGGTGATGACTTCCAAGGTAAAGCTATCATACAAGAGCTAAATAACATGAACTTTGATACCACAGGAATCATCGTCGTCAAAAACGCCCAAACTGCCCAATACACTTCTATTCATGATGGAAAAGGTGAACTAGTTGTTGCATGTGCCGATATGACATTGGTGGAATCTGATTTTGGTGATGAAATTAAAGCTCAAGTTCAAAGAGCTATGCCCAAAACTGTGGTCTTAGATTGCAATTTATCATCACAAACAATTAACTCAATAATTGAATATATTGAAAGAGAAAGCTCAGAGACTATAATAATTGTTGATCCCACCTCTGCAGCCAAATGCACTAAGTTAGCTGCATTAAAACATCATCAGGTGTTTCCGCATAACCCTATAAGGCTTTTAACGCCCACTATCAAAGAACTAGAACGCATTCATCAAGCATATCACGAGAAACAATTGTTTTCCGACTTTGACCAATGGTTCCCCATGCTTGATTCACTTGGAATCAATTCAGCATTCAGAGAACGTTTGTTCAAATACAAACCATTAAGACCATTGCTTGAAAACGGAGTGATTCAACAATCGTTTCAACTTTTACCTTATTTCCAAAACATCTTGGTCAAACTCGGGGCTAATGGTGTTTTACTAGTAAGCATTCTGACAGACGTTACAAGCTACAAGCTGCTCCCCACAACTTCAGAGTTTGCACCAGAATTTATAATCACTTCTGAAGGACGCACGGTACCGGAGGTTGGTCGAAAAATGGGAGTAGTACTTCATTATTTCCCAGTACCTACAAAAGACATTGAAGTTGTAAATGTCACTGGTGCTGGAGACTCAATGTTGGGGTATCTTTCGGCTACACTTTCCGAATACAATTGGCTCTCGCCTTCAATTGACTCTGTTGAACAAGAATGGATGTTATGGCAAGCCATACACAAATCCCAGCAGGCCAGTGGGTTATCATTGCAACTGAAGGAAACCATTTCTCCATCAATAAACCAACTATGAACAAACTGCGTCTAGACCGGAGTTAACGGCATATAAGCCCGGAGAAAACAATTACCTTTTTCAGCAGATGATTAGTTTTCTTTTGAGTCATGTCCTGTATAACACAGAGTATGTCAACCAATTGGCAGCGAACGGAATCGAACCATCAACGACTCAAAGAACGGGCTACTTCTTTTGAATCAATTGCTTCCATTGCTCTTCCCACATTAAAGCCACAACATGATTCGGACTACACTTTTCAAGAGCGTGGCTCAAAGACTCTCGTACAGCAAGCCCACGTTGAGAAGGAACTTTGGTTCTACCTTGAGGGGCCATTCACACTGGTCGTACAAATTGGCACTTGGCGCAAGTGTTGGAGGGATATTGGCTATTTCCTATGGAGTATCCAAGGGACCAGCTATTGCAGCAGACAACAAGATCGGTGGCAGTTTTGATGCAAACACTACAGTACAAGTAGAGAGTGGAATTGATCCATACTACCTTGACATTGGAGGACCCTCAGATTCCAAATATGGCCATCAACTTCAGAATGACTACAGAATGATTGGGTCAGGTTTCAGAAGTGTGACGTTCTTGGGGTTCAAAGTGTATGCGATTGGACTCTACATTGCTAAGGATGATGTGCAGAAGGCCCGTCGAATCTTACAAGGAATCGCAAATGTTGATGAAGAATTGAAGGATGAAACAAAATCAATTGATGTGGTAAATAAACTTATCGATGCTCATATTCGGTTCCTAGTAAGAATCACTCCTGTTCGGAACACCGACTTTGGACACATGAAAGATGGCTTAACCAAGTCAATCTTGAACCATCCCTTAGCAAAGGAATACAGAGACAGTGTTGGTAGTGGGTTGGAAGAATTGAAGCAAGCAATGACTACACACAGAGGTACATTCCCCAAGAATAATGCATTGATTTTAACCTTTAATGATGCTGATGGTGGTGGTATGACTTTATACTACGACAACACCAAAAATAAGCAAGTGTCACTGATGGGAGAGATTGAAAACCCATTGATCTCCCAAATCTTACTTTTGCTGTATTTGACAGGACAAAAGCCTTTGAGTCCAACTTTAAGAAGTAGTGGGATTGAAGGGTTGATTTCCATTGCTAATTGATTACATCATATATATTTGCTTATACATTCATATTACCCCTCATGAAGGAAGGTTACAACCACTCGGAGACAGCTTTCTCCACATAACTGATGTAGTTAAGTTGCTGCCCGTATGGGGAAGAGATGAAAGCATGAATTCCGGTCACGTGATACGGGTCTGCATATAAAATGCGACATTTTTTAAAACTCTGGAGGAAGAAAATTCCAATAATGTCGTGGCTTCCACGCGTATGTCGTAATATGGTATACTGATTAATTTAATTATACAACGAAGGTATGTAATGACTAAAGAGTGGCAAGAGAGGACTCTGAGCCTCACCAAGAAGTAAAGAATAATACACAAGGGGTAAGAGTTCTTACATAATGATAGAAGGGGTTTCCACATTGGAGGAAATGGACTTGTGAGGTAAGACTTTAGCACCGTTAACGTAAACTTCATTCTTAATTTCAACGTCATCACCCAAAACGGTAACACCTTCAGTTCTGGCCCACTTACCGATTCTCGAGTTCCAGCCGACAATGGTACTTTTGACCAAAGCGTGAGCCTTGACTTCGGAATTGGCAAGCAACACCGAGCCTTGGATTCTAGCACCTTCACCCACAACAACGTTAGGACCAATGACTGCGTCTGGGCCAATCAAGGCAGTAGGATCAATCTTGGCAGTAGGGTCGATGATAACGTTGCCCATGACGAAGGATTCCTTAGCCAATTTCTCGGGTGATCTTCTCCTTAAAGAGTTCAAGTAAAGACCGGTACCGGTCAAGAAATCCTTTGGTTGACCAACGTCCATCCAGAAACCTTCTAAATCGTAAGAGTACAATTGCTTTCTTTCAACCAAAATAGGGAAGGTTTCCTTTTCGATAGAAGTTGGCTTCATGTCGATCAAATCAATGACCTCGGGGTTCAAAATGTACAAACCGGCATTGATTCTGTTCCCGACAAATTCGACTGGCTTTTCCACAAATCTGTCAATCAAGTTGGGGATGTCCCTGTCGTGGACAATGACACCGTACTTACTTGGTTCGTCAACCTTGGTGGCAACAATGGTACCCATACCACCGTGAGCAGTGTGGAAGTCGGCCAAGTCCTTGAATGGGTATTCACAGATCACGTCGGAGTTCAACACGAAGAAAGGAGACTTATCCTTTTTCAAAACCTTTTCAGCCAACTTCAAAGGACCAGCAGTTCCCAATGGTTCTTCTTCCACTGAGAAGGTGATGGAAACACCGTATTCTTCTTCATACTTCTTTAAAGTGGAAACCATAACCTCGGGTCTGTAGTTGACCGCCAAAACAATGTCGGTGACACCGGCTTGGGCCAAGGCTTCGATTTGGTGCAAGATCATTGGTCTGTTGGCGAACTCAACCAATGGCTTTGGCAATGTCAATGTCAAAGGTCTCAATCTGGTACCGTAACCACCAACTAAAATAAGTCCCTTCATTATTACTTCGTTATTGTTATATATAAGTGTCTGTCTGAATTATATATGAACTTTTGTTCAAAGAGGGAAAGAAGAAAAGAAAAAGGTTGAAGAAAAGTTTGGGAAATTGGTGAAATATTTATACCAAGTGACACCTTGTTCATAATAAAGAATATGGTCGGATTTTTTTTTTCTTTCGTTCTGTGGAGGCTTTTTTTGTCAGTGTCTGCTGGACCGTGTCGTGTCAGATGGTATTGGTTGGCGCACGAAAGGAATACCAATAGCTAAATATAGCTTTTGTCTTCGTGCCGTGTCTGGAAGTACCTGTTTGTAATGGATCATGAATATTTAAAGAATATGAATACTATTGGTAGACGGGCTTAAGTCATAGTGTGCACTGATTTTTCTGTCATCATCAGACGTTACCTTTTTTTTTTCCCCTTCGTGACTGACAGACACAAACCAACAGGACACGTTTTTCACTTGCGTATAGAACTATGGCTTCAGGTACCAGGAATTTTTTGTCTGAAGAATGCATACTACACCTGAAAAAAAAAAAGACTTCTTGTCCATACTTAAGATTGTACTAGATACGTGGTGCTAACTGGAATTTACCTATTCACACAACACAATGTGCTCCCCCAAACAGCTCGTAATTTCACTTTAGTCCTCCACTTAAACCCACGAGGTACAACGCTACAGAGGAGATAAGATCCTTTTGGGTGCCAAATGCCGGACACAACACGCGTGCATTCTTGTCGGGTTAATTCTATTTCAAGTCGAACCCGTTTCATCCAGACCAACTCATCGCAAAAACAACGATGATGTTACAGATTGGAGTTACATGCTGCACTACAACCAGTAATCGACTGCTTCAATTTCGTTCACAAATGCGCTAATCTTGATTCTACTATTGAAGAAAACCAAAGCCAGAACAGCAGTAAGCGTGGCTGGAAAACTAATATACCTCGTTCAATGTCGTGCACATAATATGCAGCGCGTTTACCGACATTTGGAGCACTTTTCTTTTTTCGGACTGTATTCGCCCATTTATATGCAGTATTTCCGATCCTTCAGCCGTTTCTGTCAGAGGGCTGGCCCAAAAGGTCAGGGATTCTCTCACCTTGAACCTACATGTGCCTAAAACGGATATGTGACAAGCTACTCATAATTGACGGCATTAATAATGGCTTTAGTTGCCTCATGAGGTAGTGAGGTTATCCGTGATATCAAACATAAACACTTACACAATAATAAAGAAGACCTTTTTGTTGGTGTTAGGGTGTAGGTATAAATATGTAATGTAATGCAATGCAGCATTTAGCAATACAATGTTGCTTTTGCAACCAAAATTACAATAGTTTCCCGCAAGAATATTTTCCGAAAGGTGACTATTAAAAAGCAGTTCCATGCATAACATCAGCTCGTATTTGACTACAATTGATTTAACGATGCAAATTTATGTCTATAATAGTTTGTATTTAAAAGACGGAAAAACCTCGAGAAACCCAATATCTTCTCCAAGCAATGATCAACAAAAGTACACTAAACATCATACTTAAACCACTTATCTTGAAATACTGACTCAAACAATATTGCCCGATTAAATTTTGTCCTTTAATGGAAACACAATGACCATCCACTTGGTTCCCATATGAAAGTGAATAAATTATGGACCCAATAGCAGGGGCTACCATGAAGGAGCCCCAAGTGGAGCCTAATAGATCCACTCCCCAAATAGAGGCTATAACCGTAGGATATAAAGTGAATATCCCTCCATAGGCTCCACCGTTGACCATACTGACAAACCAATATGAATCGGATTGGGCATAGTAATAGTAATATATCAGAGCCCATTGGCCCAACCCGCCCAACATGACAATAATGATTAGAAGCCACATGCGACTTATGGGGTATTTGCGGTCGGAATGGGAGATGTAATCACTGAGCCAACCTGTAGCAAGACGAAGGACAGTAGAGCTTGAAGCTGAGACGCTCAATTGGTTGGATAAATTGGAAGCAACACCATGAGCGTTAGTGGTGATTCGAAGGACGCTTCCCAAGTTATTTTGGTAGCTTTCTAAAGGTCCAATATTGAAAATCAAAGATACAAGAAGTACCCAAGCAGATTTGTCTTTGAGGAAAGTTACGAATCGATTATAATGATTTTCCGGTTCGACGATTTCTCTTGATGGAATCAAACTCAAATTAGAGGCCTCTTGAGTTTCGATATCGTTCATCAATGGCGACTCTTCGTCGGTTACGATGATCTCCATTTCCAAATTGACAAGGGCACTGGTTATGGTTTGGAATACTCCAATGAGTAAATACATCCAGCCAAAAAAACTAAAAGTTCGAACCAAATCAAGGGTCCCCCCTTGATCAGGTAACTGAAAGTAGTCAAGTTTAAGTAATTGAGAGCCAATAAAACTCGATAACCCATAACAGGAAACAGGCAAACTAATAGCCAAACCCTTTCGTTTCGGATAAATCTTAGCACAGGTCAACAAGCTTGAAAAGTATAATGCAGAAGTAGCCAAGCCAATAAGACAAAACGAACAACTCAACTTAGTTACAAGAGAATGATCCAATTTCTGGCCCAACAGTACAGAAACCAAATACAGATTGATCAAGTACGAGGGACAAAAGAACCATACCGAGATCAAACTCAATAAGGCTGGCCCGTAGACATCGCTAAGATACCCCAAGATGGGAAGACACAAATACATGCCAAATGCACTTAATGAAGCTATGAAGTTGATTTCCACATACAGAAGTCCTAAACTGTCATGGAGTGAAGTACCAAAGAGCGAAAACAATAGTATTGACCCGCCGGCAAGACAACTTATGAGGGAGAATACAAATGCTCCCATTTTAATGGTATGAGGAGAACAATGGAATAGCACATAGTGTCTGACAAAATGAGCTATGTCTTGTAACATGGTGACACAGACACTATTTATGCCATGAAGAAGAAGAAGGTTGCAAGTTGATTTCCCCAGATTTATTCTCTTCGGTTGAAAGGCTTCATCCACTTCCCAAAACTCCGGCATATAATCCTTTAAATAATCACGTGACATAGCCCGGATTAAAGTGCTACTTTATTTGGAAGTTAACATAAAATGAACATGATGATGCAATAAATAAAATAAAAGTGTTTAAATAGTATTATATAATTCTTCATTTGGGAAGATATGACAAAAACTTATCAATTTCACCCTTGGATCCCAACCATATACCCAGTTTGTCATGGATACCCTTTGGTGTAATTTCCAAAATACGTTCACCCTTGTCATTAACTGCCAGACCACCAGCTTGTTCCATAATCATAGCCATGGGGAAACATTCATACAAGATTCTTAACTTACCATTCTTCAGCTTGGAGTCCGCAGGGTAAGAAAAGATCCCACCGTAAAGCAAAGTTCTATGGATATCAGCCACCATAGAACCAATGTATCTTGCCGAATAAGGTTTACCGTTAGCTTGAGGCTTCTTCAAATCTTCAATATACTTTTGAACGTGTTCAGGCCAGTAGTAGGAGTTACCTTCATTGACAGAGTAGATGGCACGAACGTCAGGGATTCTCAAGTTAGGAGAAACCAAAATGAACTCACCTAACTCAGTATCCAAAGTGAATCCATTAACTCCGTTACCAGTAGTCAACATCAAATGAGCAGAAGCACCGTACATGGTGTAACCAGCAGCAACCATTTCGGTACCCTTTCTCAAAACGTCATTGATGGACCCTTTAGAATCATCTCTCAATCTGTAAATACCAAAGATGGTACCAACAGAGACACCAGCATCAATGTTAGAAGAACCATCAATGGGGTCAGTACAAACAGCGTAACGACCGCCACCTTCAAACATGATCAAATCTTCTTGTTCCTCACTGACCAAAACTTTAACTTTTCCCAGAGCCTTCATGGCGTTGATGAAGATTTCGTCACCAATAACATCCAATTTCTTTTGTTGATCACCGGTGGTATTGGCAGTACCAGAAAGACCAATCAAATTAACCAACTCGGCTCTACGGATGTTGTGCGCAATAAACTTGAATGCAAATTGCAATGCTGTCAACAAAAGAGTCAATTCACCTGTGGCATTAGCACCAACCTTTTGTTGTTCCTTGATAATAAAGGCTGTTAATGTAAGAATGTCGGTTTCAACCTCAGTGTTACTGCCCGTCATAATGTATAATGTATTAGAAGAATAATATTATTAAAAACCGTGTGTGTATTTTGCTCAATGGCGAAGTATTATATCTAAAACACCCTAAAGATCTTACTTATAAAGTGTATGAAGTATAAAAGTCAATTTCTTTCTTGCAATCCATTGGGAAGTCCGGGCCTTATATACTTTCAGAAGGTGACACAAAGCCCCGCATCTCCGACCCGTCCACTTCTTTAGTAATGGCATCTGAAATCTACAACCAGTACTTAGTAAACCGCTACACAAGGGGGTCATTCGGCTCGACTTTTGTACCAGGGTACAACATGGCAATAGCTAAGGATTATTAGTGGTAGTAAACATTAGATACTTTGACTCAATTGTCTTCTATTCTACTTTAATTGGGTTTGACTATCGGTGATGGCTGGATGCCGTATGGTTGCAAATAAAAGCGGCAGAACCAGAACAACCCACGGTTTGAAATCACTCGTGACATACATTTGTTTCAATTACTAGTGAAGGGTGTAAGGCAACAAGGATATCCATTGAAGCATGTACCATCGAAGGGTGTACCATTGAAGGTAACAAGGATGTCCATTGAAGGGTACCTTCCACTACTGTTTCTAGTAGTCTAACTATAATTAGCATGGTTTATTCACTGGGTATAACAAGCAAGCAAACCACCCCGGGACTGCTCGGATACTCCCCTCCTGGAACCACCGAACGGATCAAAGGATCCCAGAAGATCACACAAAACCACAAAACCCCAGACGTATATACTAAGTACAAAATTCCCCCCGAGAGCCCAAATAAGGTAGCGCAGATCGTGGGGAAAATGCCCTACTACTTATGAAGACTTGTTCATGAAGTGGCCTGTCAAAAATGCTATCATGCGGACCAATTCGGAATACACTCGACTGTGTTAACTCCTATTGAAAGTTTCTGGAGTTAAGAACAGAGCGTTTCTCACGTGATACGTTCATCTCGGGAATACGAAGAATACCTATTGCCTAATTAGTATAATGGACATAATTGATAAGGAATTCATTAAATAAGTTTTTGCATTAAGGGCGATCATTTAAAGTCCGTTTTGCTAAACTCTTATTTATCTCCGACATCAAGTTAAATTTGATAGACTTCGTTTTGAGTTTATTTGAAGTGTGATTCAGTTGCCATGGATTATTCAGTTCTAACAGCTTAAACACCACCACAGACCCGTCAGTCGCTTTAGCACTGGCCAAATCTGCTTGGAATTGAGTATGAAGATGATTGCGTATTTCCACCCAATTGAACTCTTCGTTGACATTAAGTTCTGCAACTCCTTGGTTGATATTGGTGGTTGATGAAGCTCGAGGAAAAGACGGAGTATCTCTGATGGAATAATTACTGTTTGATCTACTAATTGGTTTCTGTGAGAGAGCAGCAGCCCAACCTCCATTAGTGTTACTATCATCAGTAGCCATTTTTAACAGTGTAACTAATAAAACGAAGTAGTTGATCCCAATTGTTTTTTGCGAGGGATGCTTTGATTAATCGAATCACTGATATGCACCGTTGGACTTTACAGTTGACTGAAAAAAAAGCCTCTCTGTCTCTCTATGTCGTAAAAGTGTACTAATGAGATGTCTATAATTAGTTGGTTAATCCAAGGTAGACTCAGTATAATATTTTTCTTTAACTAGCAAACGGTGAAAAGGGCGGGTAACCCCAAAAATTATACAAAGGTGAATCTAACACAAAGACGTTGTCTGATTACGTAATTTAAAGAGTGCGAACACGTCAACCAAAATTAAACCTTCTACGTGTTAACAGATACTTTAAACTTTTGGAAAATGTTTCATCAACAATTTGTTAGGGATTACGTCAGCAAACGGCAACATCTTGATTCGCGACATTGCCGAATACAGCAATTGGTGATGAAAAAATTCAATTGAGACAACAAGACATTTTCAATTTAAACGAAACAACTAAAACAGTTTTGGTTAATTGATTTCTTTTACGTGTTGTTCTTCTTCGGGGTTTGGTAGTGACAAATCGAACTAATTGACTATCTGGAATATAGCCAAAGAAAAGTGACCATCACCGTATATAAACATATTCATTATGAGTGGCTTCAGAGTATTAGATTTGGTCAAGCCCTTCACGGCATTTGTACCAGAAGTGATTGCACCTCAACGTAAAGGTGCCTTCCAACAAAGAGTTATGTGGACTGGACTCACATTGATGATCTTTTTGGTGATGTCGGAAATTCCTTTGTACGGTATCAACTCCAGTGACGGTTCTGATCCACTTTTTTGGTTAAGAATGATGTTGGCCTCAAACAGAGGTACTTTGATGGAGTTGGGTATTTCACCCATTGTTTCTGCATCAATGGTTTTCCAATTGTTACAAGGTACCAAGTTGATTGCTGTTGATATGACAAAGAAGGAAGACAGAGAAACTTTCCAAACTGCTCAAAAGTTGTTGGCTTTCTTGTTGGCTGTAGGTCAAGCCACTGTTTATGTTTTAACTGGTATGTATGGCCCTCCATCTTCATTGGGGATTGCTGTTTGTTTGTTGTTGATTTTGCAATTGGTTTTTGCCGGTATCATTGTGATTTTGTTGGATGAAGTCTTACAAAAGGGTTACGGTTTAGGCTCTGCTGTTTCCTTGTTCACAGCCACTAATGTTTGTGAACAAGTTTTCTGGAAGGCTTTTGCTCCAACTACTGCTACCTCTTCAAAGGGTACTGAATTTGATGGTGCTGTGGTTGCCATGTTCCATTTGCTAGGTTCAAGAAAGGATAAGAAGAGAGCATTAATTGAAGCCTTTTACAGACCTTACTTACCAAACATGTTCCAATTGTTGGCTACCATTGCCGTTTTCTTCGCTGTGGTTTACTTACAAGGATTCAGAGTTGAATTGCCAGTCAGATCAACTAGACAACGTGGTCCTTATGGCTTATATCCAATCAGATTGTTCTACACTTCCAACATGCCAATCATGTTACAAAGTGCCTTGAGTTCTAACATCTTCCTTGTCTCTCAAATGCTTTACACAAAGTTCCCCAATAATCTTTTTGTCAAATTATTGGGTTCTTGGGAACCTAAGCCTGGTCAAGCTCAATTATTTGCTGCTTCTGGTTTGGCTTATTACATTCAACCACCAATGTCCTTAACGGAAGCACTTTTTGACCCAATTAAAACTACCATTTACATTGTATACGTCTTGGGATCTTGTGCACTTTTCTCCACCACTTGGATTGAAATCACTGGTACTTCTCCTCGTGATGTTGCCAAACAATTCAAGGAGCAAGGTATGGTTATTGCCCATAAGGAAACCTCTACTTATAAGGAATTAAAGAAGATCATTCCAACTGCTGCTGCCTTTGGTGGTGCTTGTATTGGTGCTTTATCAGTTGTTTCCGACTTGTTGGGAACCTTAGGTTCCGGTACCAGTATTTTATTGGCTGTCACAACCATTTATGGTTACTATGAATTGGCTGTTAAAGAAGGAGGATTAAAGGGTTCTTCTCTTGTTGCTGGTTTTTCCGATGGTGGACTTTAAACTTGACTAATATTATTGTTACAAACGCAAACTGCCAATCATTCTATCACTATATCACCGTCGGGCGGCAGACGTACTGTGCTTGCACTCTGTATACTGTTGTATTATCTGCAATAAAATAGAAGTAATCCTTTTAGGTGTAGTATTTCATTTTATTACGTAATAACACGAATATCAAACGGCACTACCAATCGACAAACACACGTCAACATTCACCTCTATCAGAATTATCATAGTCTAAAGTTTGAATATATGGATTGAATGTTAGAACCATTAAGGGAACATCTACAATTGACGTGTCATATTTGATATCTTATAAATGATGTTTCTCCGATCAGCTGCTTATCCCCGATTTCTTTTGAGCCGTTCTGTGCGGACTTATGCCAGCACTTATGTCAAGTATGTCCCCAGTAAATCCAGAAGTGCTGCTGGTAAAACCACATTAAAGTCAGTTGCATCTTCCACTAAGACATCCGACACGGAGATAAGCGAACCAGAAGGTGATACCGCCGTGTTGAATCAAGCTGAAGCAGATGTCTCCTCTTCTATTGTTTCCTTTAAGGATTCACCAGTGATACTAGAAGCCGAATCCAAAACCTTAGACTGGTCGCTGACCTTTCATGGTTTAGGATCCAAACCATTCCCCTCTGAGATCGCCGACATTCTTTTGGCACCCATTGATGCCAATGATATTGAAATCAAACCTGATGGACTTCTTTATTTACCTGAAATTAAATATAGACGGATCTTGAACCGAGCATTTGGACCGGGGGGATGGGGGTTAGCCCCGAGAACGGAATCTTTGATAACCCCTAAACAGATTAGTCGAGAATATGCTCTTATTTGTCACGGAAGATTGGTTAGTGTTGCTAGAGGAGAACAAGACTATTTCGGAGGAGATGAGAAGGTGACTACTGCCTTGGAGGGATGTAAGAGTAATGCGTTGATGAGGTGCTGTAAAGATTTAGGTATTGCCAGTGAGCTTTGGGATCCTTCCTTTATTAGACAGTGGAAACAAAAGTATTGTGATGAAGTATTTGCTGAACATGTTGTTACCAAGAGGAAGAAGAAGCTTTGGAAGTTAAAGAAGAATCCTGCGTTGGATTACCCCTATAAGATGACGTAAGTTCCTTCACTAAACTTGTAAATATATTAATAAATACACACTTTATAAAAATAGATGGGATGATTGTTCCGTTCATGGCTTGAAGATACCTCTACCAACACCTAGCTCTTCAACTGTTTGTGACAAAGGTCTTCTTCTCCATACGTCCCAGAATTGTTGCTTTTCCAGAGCGCTTTCCGAGTCAGCAAGGACTTGTTTTACGTCTTGACCAGCACTCGATGCAGATTGTGCGTACCACGTACCTTCACCAATAGCAAGTACGGATGCAGACAAAAAGGTGGCCCAGGCTCTGGTGGAAACAGGTAAGCTTCTATATGAAGTAGTAGCAAGTGCAGTAGAACCAGCAACAGATCCCCAAAAGATATTCCAAGGATCATTCCGTTCTCTAATGTTAGCCAACCCACTTCTAACACCCACAGCGGTGGTTACAAATGCAACGGCACTCAATGGCATCTTCAACAGGAAAGCAGTTCTCTTCCATATAGTTAACCAAGCATAAGCTCCAACGGTTGTGTAGAAGCCAAACTTGAACACTCTGGTGGTTTGGTCCTTGGTGTTGATTGGACTCCATTTGGGGTACGCGCTGGAGTTTCCCAAGTTGACGAAGGGCGTAGGCAACTTGAAGGTTGCATCGGGGTACGTGACAGCTTCAGTCATGACGGCGTTTAATTGTTGATGTTTGATGGAGTGGAGCTGGTGATTGGTCTTCAGCAAATCATATTTGAACAAAAAAAAGTCAGGTCGAGTCAAGTCGTCATCACGTGACCAAAAAATGAGGGAAGAGAGTGCTTGAAGTCAACCTATAGAATATTAATGCACAGTTTACTGCTTGCATCCTGCTCTGATGTTAGTACAATGAATTGGTGCATTAATAGAATGCTCCATGCATATGCTCGATACGGGGATAGACGTATATGGTTTGGTGTAATTAAACACGTGCTATTGGTTGAGCACCCATTACTTGAGAATTATGGTTACCCGCACTTAGCAGGCAGTACCAAGGATACGGTACTACCCGCACCTAGTACTATTATATCTAAATAAGTAAACTGTTTGAACAACTGTAAGGAAGGTATTACAACAATTTCAAGCAGCTTTTGAGCCTACGGTGTAATGAGCCTTTTCCCATGTATTAATGTTTACTATTATAGACTTGAATATAATCAACGGCTGAACATTTTTATAGCTGCAAAATGTTGATGTTAGGGTCACAGTGAGAAAAGAACATGCAGTGGCACAGGAACAACTAACGTTTACTACCACTCAAACTTACAATAATTGAATGAAATCCTTGTATCACGGTAGTTACTACTTACAGACTTTAATGTATTCGTTGCGTTGACAGTAGTCGTTAGTTATTGAACGGATTCTAGCTGTCCTTAGCTCTGGCACCTTAACCCCATCAATTTCATACATTGAATTACAGTTTAAAACATTAACGTAAACATGGTATAAGTCCATACAACACAAGAGTAACGCAGGTAACAATACAAGTAATAATACGAGTAATAACACAAGCCAAATACCAATCTACTGGCTGCAACACTTGGTATTTCCAGGGTGTATTTCCAGGGTGTTACCCGGACACTACTCGAAAATTTTTCATTGCGGCGAAACGGGATCCAGTCCTTAGTGAAACTGCAACGGCAACTTCAAACTTCACCGACTGAATACATATATTCCGAACGTACCTCGTAAACGTACATACATCAAAAAATCAACAACGGAACATTTCCTATATAAGACACGAGAACCGGATTAATCTATCATCACTAAAGAACAATTCAATTCAGCACATCACGATGGGTAAGCTTACAACATTCACCATAGTCGCTACATCCGCATTGGTAGCCTACTGCGCCTACTTTGACTACAACAGAAGAACATCTCCTGAATTTAGAAAGGCCTTGAAGAAGAGAGCCGCAGAAACAAACAAGTTGGAGCAAAAGAAGAAAGAAGAATCCAAAAAGAGTAAAATGGAAGCAGTCAAAGCTGCTCTTGCTTCAGATATCGACTTGCCCACCGATATCGGTGAAAAGGAAAATTTTTTCATGACCCAAGTAGCCATTGGTGAACAATTGAGTGTTGCTGGAAAGGAAGTTGAAGCTGCCTTGTCTTTCTATAAGGCTTTATCTATTTACCCTAACCCAACTGATCTTTTAGGTATTTACCAAAAATCTGTACCTGAAGGTGTTTATGAGTTGATTGTAATGATGATTGCTGTTAAGCCTCCAGCTTCTTTATCCTCCATTTTAGGCAATGCTGCTGCAGCTGACATTGCAGCTGAACCTGTTGCTCCTGCTCAAGCTACTGAAGCTGATTTGGATTAGGTTTTGCTCCATTTGATATGGAGAATTAATGATAAGAGGAGGACTGTGGTGATTCGGTGCTCCTGGTCATAACATATTCATATTGCCGGATATCCTTCTGTACATACAATAGTTGACTCTTTAAACGAAATTCAACGTTTATCTATGATCGTAATGCAGTATTCAACATAATATATTGTTTCATAGTACACCATATGCATTTACTTTAATATGCATATATTTATCCGATAGTTTATCCGTGGACTCTATTTACATGCAGATGTTCACAGGGGAGTGCTTCTGTGCGTATGCATAATGTTACACGATCGTAAATATCTTTAATTCGTAAATCGCGATGCTCTCAATAATTTGATTCACCACTCTTTACTTCCTCATTTCAGTTTATTAATAGATTTATGAACTCATCCAAACACTCTTCCTGATACAACTATTGATATGGAACGATGATCTGGGTGATCCAATTAATAATCGTGGCTGTGTTTGGTGCTCAAGTGTTTGGATTCAACATTAGCACCAATGGCACCAATTCTACTATAATCCAAGCATCTATCAATTCTGACAACTTTCAGTATAAAGGTGTAGCATTAGGAGGATGGCTTGTACTTGAGCCTTACATCACACCGTCGCTATTTCTTGCATTCAATGCCACTGCAAACACCACAGAAGCAGATATTCCCATAGATGAATACCGATACTGTGAAGTACTCGGAACCACCGAGGCCAAGAGCCGGCTTGAAGCTCATTGGAACTCATGGATAACAGAACAAGACTTTGCCAACATCTCCAGCGTTGGTTTAAACATGGTGCGTATTCCTGTAGGGTATTGGTCCTTCCTCAAGTATCCTGGTGATCCCTATGTGAAAGGCGCACAGAACTATCTTGATGATGCTATTGATTGGGCCAAAAAGTACGACTTGAAAGTCTGGATAGACTTACACGGAGTGCCGGGATCCCAGAACGGGTTCGACAACTCGGGCTACAGAGATATAGGGTATCCTGGGTGGCAGAACAAAACCAGCTACGTTGAACATTCGTACGAGGTTCTCCATAGCATATACAGCAAATATGGCACTGAGTCTTACAGGGACACAGTAATAGGCATCGAGGTGGTCAATGAACCCTTAGGACCCTTGTTGAACATGACGATGGTGGAACAGTTTTATACTACCACCTATAAAGATGCCAGAAACACTCAAACACTCAACAACACCATCGTATTCCATGATGCCTTCCAAGCACTTGGGTATTGGGACGATGTGCTTGTTAACAAGAAGAACATGACGACTTCCAGAAGATCCCAGTACTACAACATTCTTGTAGACCACCATCATTACGAGGTCTTCACAGTCGACGGTCTCAACCAATCCATAGGACAACATATCACCAACATTGTTAACTACGCAACAGACATTGGGAAGGAGAGCATACCGGCAGTAGTTGGAGAATGGTCGGGTGCCTTAACTGACTGCACCCCCTGGCTCAATGGGGTAGGAATAGGCACTAGATGGGAAGGCACAAGTCCGTACAAAAACAAGGCATTAGGAAAGTGTGCAGGCGTTAACAACTGGAGCAAATGGCTGCTGAAAGATAAGAAAGATCATCGAAAATGGATTGAAATTCAATTGGATCAGTATGGATCGAAAACCAAAGGTTGGATCTTTTGGTGTTGGAAAACAGAAAGTACCATTGAATGGGATTTCCAAAGATTAGTCCAATTGGATCTTATGCCCCAACCTTTGGATAACTTCACTTATATTAAGAACGGAACAGATACTGATCCACACAAGTCTGGCAGCATTAGCAGAGCTGCACAATTGAAGTGGAATTTGGTTATAACAGCCGTTTTGTTAGTTGTCTCCTCTGTATAGATTAATAAAATATATGGATAGCATCCACACCCGAACACCAAATTGGACATACACTACTTTCATAATAAGGTAGTGCACAACTCAAATAATTTTTCAACAAAAGTCATGGAGTCATAGTTAACAGTGCCATAGTATTACTTCCTTCCCTTTCTACCTATTCACCACCACTAACAATATGTCCAAATCGGTAAACCTTGCGATCATAGGCTCCGGAGTCGTCGGCAGTGCCTTCTTAAGACAATTGTCTCAATTGAAAGACACCATCAAATACAACGTTATCTACTTGGCTGTTAACTCCAGACAAGCCATCATTGCCCAAGATTATACCCCAATTGATGTTGCTCAGTACAAAAGCTTAGACACTGAGCCGATTTTGACTTTGGATAAGTTGACGACATTTTTGAAGCTGTCCCCCAAGCCTGTGATTCTTGTGGACAACACATCCAATGCTCAATTGGCTGAGTACTACCCCAAGTTTGTGGAGGCTGGTATTTCCATTGCAACTCCCAACAAAAAGGCCTTTTCTTCCGACATTTCTGTTTGGAACGACATCTTTGCCAAGGAAGCTGCTCCAGGTGGAGGTCTTGTGTACCACGAGGCCACCGTGGGTGCTGGTTTGCCCATCATTGGTCCCTTGAAGGAGAATGTCAAGTGTGGTGACAACATTTACAAAATTGAAGGGATCTTTTCCGGTAGTTTGTCCTTTATTTTCAACAAGTTTTCCACTACTGTTGCCAGTGACGTCAAGTTCTCCGATGTGGTTGCCGAGGCAAAACAATTGGGTTACACAGAACCTGATCCAAGAGATGATTTGAGTGGGATGGATGTGGCTAGAAAGGTCACCATTGTTGGCAGAATTGCCGGGTTACCCATAGAATCTCCTACTTCGTTCCCTGTCAACTCTTTAATCCCCAAGGACTTGGAATCCGTAGCTACTGGTGCCGAATTCATGGAAAAATTACCATTGTATGACGCTGAAATGCAAAAACTCAAGGACGAAGCCTTTGCCGAAGGTAAGGTCTTGAGATTCGTGGGGTCTGTCGATTTGAAGACCAAGAAGGCCAGTGTTGGTATTGAAAAATATTCATTTGACCATCCATTCGCTTCTTTAAAGGGTAGTGATAATGTTATCTCCATTACTTCCGAAAGATACCCTAACCCAATAGTTATCCAGGGTGCCGGTGCCGGTGATGAACAAACTGCCGGCGGTGTTTTGGCTGACACCCTCAAGGCTGCCCACAGATTAGCTGTATAGAATTAATAGCAGTATATTAATATTAGTTTGGAATGATGTCGTCATATTCCTTCTGCCACAGGACCTTTGCTTGTCTGAAAAGATTACGGAGATAATCATCGTTTCGACACGAAGCTCTGAAGAGAAGCATGATCCGTTGAGAATCAACAAACATGCTCTTGTCAATGTCATTGATCCCACTAGAACCTGATCTTAACCGGACCAAATGTAAGTTATTGGGAGCAAGGAAGAAGGACCCGTCGTGACGGAGCTCCACTATATAACTCCCGGACTTGTGAATGAATTGAGCATATTTGAACGTAGGCTGACCCCAACTGTACTCAATTTTAATGTCGTCTCGTTGGAAGAACACGGCTGCTCGATTGTCCAATAAGAAGTTGCACTGTTTCAACAAGTACAAGTGGTAGAAAAATCTGTTCTCCACTAAGAACTTTGAGTCCAGAAACTCAGCGTCCTTCCAGGGGTCCAATGAAAGATAAATCTCCACAAACGAATGAAAAGGGTTGTATTGGGAAATGGTGCACAATTCCTTCCACGGAGTCTCGACCAATTTCAAGCCGTGTCGTTCACACAACCGAGACCACCCGTTGATGGCATCATCAATGAACTTCTTATTCGTGTTGAGCCATTCCAATCTGACATGGTAACAGTGCTCAGTGTTATGGACTCGGTCGTAGTGGATGGTGACCACTTCTGGTCGGAACGACTTCTTTAAAGGGTCCATGTCGTATTTGATCTTCCTACTAATAGTGAACTTTGCAATTGCCGGTTTCTTTGAGTCGCCGTCTGTGTCCAAATCAGATGTAGTTTCAATCAAAGAGCCTGCCTTAGAGTCGGGTTTGGATCCTCCTCCATCTTGTTTCCGTAGAGACTGAAACCATAAAGCGGATCTACTGAGAGCCTTCAGCTGTTCGTATCTCTTCTTGTCAAAATACTCTTCCTCAAATTCGTAAAAGTAATAGCCATCCAATAACCCGTGTCTGTTGTCCACATGCTTGAAGAGTCCTTTCTTCATCAATGATTGACCGTATTGGGCAGCTTCGTCTCTGTTATCAATGTCTTCAAAGTTCTCTATCAACCAAGAGACAAACTCACTGCCTAAGAAACAATGCAAATGTGTTTTAAAGTGCCAGGTCCTATCCACTAAGGTCAACCCCCCCTCTGTATCTTGAAGTTCTTGAGCCAAAATGGAAAGCTTGATGCTCTTAGAAAAACGGACCTTCTCGTTCATCATAAGGGCCGTTCGAAGCCCACTCAGCTGTGAGACTTTGGTTTGTTCCAGTAAGTATTCGTATAAATTGCCCGTATAGAACTCAATTTCAGGGTATATTTCCTCCTTCTTCTTTCTCTTGGATGATGAAGATCTGGAATATTTCCCCTTTTCAATGGCTCCAATCAACTTCCGAAGTCCCTCCACTCGGATCTCCTCATCCGTAAGCTTCTCATTGTTAATGAAATAGGCATTCTTTGGGATTTCCGCGGGCATCACCACAAACTTCATGTGGTGGAAGCTCTTGTTCTCGTCAGACATGGAGTCTTCATATCCCGCTAAATACTGATCAAATTGATTCCAATTATACTTTTTAAACTGAAGATGACTGAAATCAAGATTCTGCGGTAAATATTCATCCACATACCGAGTTCGGATCAAATGAGGATAATTACCTCTAAATTGTTTCTTTCCTAAAGTGATTTCCTTAGCTTCTTTCTTGGGAACTCGTCTGTATAATTGAATGGAGATCAGTCCTTCATAATCACAATAAAGTCTATGGATTTCGTCGTCAAGAAGCATATAAATCTTCCCCCCATAAACCTTTTCCCGGTTTTCAGGGAAATACTTCATCAAATTATCAACCTTATTACCCGAAGCATACTTTTCACTTTCCAATGTCTCCACTGCTTTCCCATAGCAGATCTGGAACCCTAATAAGATCCTTAGTTGAATCATTTCCCGGAATAAATCGACGGAAGACGTCAATTCAAGATAGTTTTCACTGTTCAACATCACAGAATAGTTTTGAACCATGTAATCGTTATCCAACTGCTCCAAAGCTGGGAACAAGCTTGTAGTCACTGGTAATGCCGCTGGAGATTGGAAAGATCTCCATTTCACTAGCTTTCTCTTTGTATTCGGAGGTAAAGCATCTCCCCATTTACTTGATGCAATAGTTGACACCAACCCAGTTTCAATTGACCGTGAAGGGTTATCTAAAACGTCCCAGAGTTTAGCTGTTGGGTCGGCTTGGTCCAATTTCCGTTGTAACTTCCGTTTGGCCATTCTGGCTTTCCGAACTCTAACTCGTTCGTCTCTTTTAGGCTTGGAAGAGAGTGATTTGGGCCTTGCGTCCTTCATCGATTGACGGGGAGTGAGCGTAACAGCCGCAGTAGTAGCAGCAGTAGCAGTACCTTCTCCTCTTGACTGTTCGGAGATTGTAGACATCACTGGTGCAAGTATTTCAGCCAAAAAATTATCTTTCTTCGACACTAAAGTCTTATCTTCAATGTTCTTATTGAGCAGATATAAGGACGAAAGTGCAGAGGCTTCTAAAACCGATTTCTTGGTAACAGTACCCAAGACTGAAGCATTATTGGAAACAGTTTCTAGAACAGCAACAGCCGGTTTAACGTCTGTAACTCCCAGCTTAGTATTGGCCTTGCCAATAAACAATAATGATGTCGAAGGAATCTGAGACAGACTGCTAGTACGATTATTTGGTAGCAGTAAATCAGGATCAATAAACCGTCTTCCACCACCATTTTGACTAAGCTTCGACTCCCTTCTTTTAAGTCGTTTGGAATCAAATGAACTTCGGAATATATCCTTATCATATTTCTCCATTACGTCTTCGACTGACTTGGCATTGGCTGGGAGTCTGAACCGATCGATTTGGATCTGGTTCTTGTCGATCTCCATAATGCCCATCATCTGCAACTCGTAGATCTTACATCTGGGGATCCATTGAGACGTTTTCTTCAGTCTTTTATAGTACGAAATGTCACACCAATTGGGAACAGCGTACTTCACAGACCCATTCTGCTTGTACCGGAACAAAGGGACTGTGTGCAATGGAGGTTGACTTAAACAGACAAAGTCAAGGGTAGAATCACAGTTCTGGAGACGTTTTGAAGTATCTTTGAACAAGTCATAGTCAACATCAAATATCCCAGTACCAGGACTAATGACAACAAAATGGTTTAAAGAATGCTTCAAATCCGTGGTTCTAAACCGATCAACAACAGTGGATAATGCAAGGTTCACAGCCTCCAATATATTCCCCTTTGATGCTGGCAATAGACTGCCCTCTATTTCATACTTATTGGCCTTCCGTGCCATCATAACGTCTCGTTTGAAGTTGGCAAACTCTAGCCGTAAGTTATGCATGATTTTATCCCAATGGAACGTACTGACTTGGTCCACCACCACTCTGAAGAAGTCTCGGCGATCTTTGGGTCTCTCCCCCATTCCAAAGCTTAACAACGGGATATGAGTCAAGTCTATGCTGGTGAATAAGATGATTGAAATCGAATGGTGGGTGTTTTTATCCCTCCAAAGCTTGAAAATCCTCGGGAACAAACTATTAACAAGCTTATGGAAGATGATTTCTCCTGTTTCTTCAAAATTCCACATTTCCTCCGAGAGCTGAATCATCATAAACACTTTGGCACTCTCACTGCGGAACACAATCTTAGTATCCTCCAGTATATAGCCCGAGAACACCCGTTTCCCGTTCTTGAAAAGGTACTTCGCTAGCCCGGACCGATTGGTTAAGAACGTTAATCTCTTCTCCAAATAGCAACAGGTACCTATCAACTTACTAGAGAAATTCCACATAGCATCTCGGGACAAGTTGATGTCTTTAATGATGATCTCAATGGAGTCTAAAACTATTGACTCCTGTTCGGCGATCTTCGTAACTCGGACAGTACTTCTAGCCGAAATGTCCAACGCCTTCTGAAGCGGCGTGGAAAGCAACGATATCTGGAACCGCGAGTTGGATACAACACTGTTGGGTGTAATTTTAAACACAAGCTTCCGTATAGACGACCCAGAGTGCTTCGGCACGTATTCCAACTCATACAAGTCGCCAATGCGAGCACCCGGAAGGAACGATAGGTCCACTAACACGTCTTCTTCTGAGGTACGGAGTTCATGGAACCATACGGTGAGGTTTATAGGTTCGCACTCAGCGTACTCCAATGGGGGTACATCTTCGTTCTCGGACGGTTGATGTCGTGGAGGCGGCGATTGCTTTGGCAGATGCAGATGCAGACGCGGATGCAGCAGTAGCAGCAGCAGCAGCAGGGCTTCATGACTGTTTGCTGATTGAATCTTCTTACCTACGATAAGGGTGGTACCAATGTTACGAGGAAGTAAAGGTCGATGATGAGAGGTCGACATGGTGGTGGTTTGAGCTGCCCGCAACTCATTTTTGGCAACCGTACGGGATACAGGACCGGTGCCTCCAGATTCGTACATTCTGACACTTCTCATGGTGATGAGTGGATTGCAATTGGCGGAGGAAAAGAAGTGAATTATGCCTTGTTGGAGTGGTAACAGTTTAGTTATGATGAGGTTTATTTGTCACATAATGGTAGCGCAGATTCTGGGGTTTAATAGAAGGCGGAGATTAGTGGAGATAAGAGCGGTATAAAGCACATACACATACATATTATTCTATGTTATCTATTCTCTTAAGACAAACTCCAGGATAAACCATTTATGGAATCTTGTATCGGAAACCAACTCAGGATGGAAAGAAGTACCCAATTTGGAACCTTGTTTCACTGCTACTATAAATCCATTCTCCAATTGATGTAATATTTGAAGTGGAGCTTTATTCTTGTAAGTGTTGTTTGAAATGATAGTAGTCAATTCTGATTCTGATTCTGATTCTGATTCTGCATTTTCTAATATCTTAGAGATTACTGGAGCTCTAATAAACACTGTAGGGAAATCAATGACGTCTTTAATGAAGGATGAAAAATCCAAAGGTGCTTCAAACGAATGCAATTGTCTTCCAAAGGCATTACGATGAACTTGGATATCCATACCCCCAAGAATCTGTTGATTGGGTTTCCCATTGACTACTTGCTTGGCAAGAAAGATTAAACCGGCACAAGTACCCCAGACAGGCTTCTCAGAGGCTACATAGTCCATCAAATGAGCCAAGAGTCCAGTTCGTTCTGCAATAAGCGAAATAGCTGTGGATTCCCCTCCAGGGATAACTAGGGCATCGCATGAATCTAACTCTGGAGGTGTTCTTACAGGGATAACGTTTATAGGTTGTGTTTGTAAGCTATCAGCTGCAGTAGTCAAATGGTCTATATGTTCAGCAAAGGCACCTTGTAGGGCCAACACTCCGATAGTGATGTTATTAGCACGTGAGATCATGTTGATGATATCAACACCAATAGCTTACCACTGGTGAAGAGTCGAATGAATATATGTATCGGTGACACTGTGAAGCAATTTTGGTGACGCTTTGGAGTAATTTTGGTGATGATATGAGTAATGCGTACGGTATGGGTTACCCATATTGGTGGGTCCGAGTCAGATCTCAGAAGTTAGTAAGAGGAGGGGAGGTGGATGTGTAGTGCATGTGAGTCAAAAGATATTGGGTTCTCAGAACAATAGAAGGAGAAAAGGATGTATACGGAAGGTATTTAGAAATTTTGGTAAGTCAAATCTCAATAACATAACATAGCATATTCGTATTTAATTATGCGGTAACAGGGTATACATATACTTTTACTAATTAGTATCAATTGTGCCTTGAATCGTGGGACCTGTCGTGGTCTATCGGTGTAAACTACAGAACGGCAATTGAAAATTTCGTAAACCTACACAAATAAAGCCGTCATATGCATTTATAGTACCAAGACTTGAGCAATAACTCCATCAACGAGGCTTATTTTGATGGCTTAATTCATGCAAGGCCAAGGTGATAGACATAAACCGTCAGCCTTGCATCCACTAACATACAGTAATCGTGTACCCCTATAATAGAATGTTCCTTGGTATGTACAAAGGCAACTAATATATTGACTCGGGCCAATGCGGGGCACGCCAAGGATGAGTCAAATAGTTTTCCACAACTGCATTATTTATATATGGAGCACTGTTCTACAACTTATTACCTATAATCACCAACAAGAATTAACCAAAGTATCAATTGAGCATGTCAGAGTTCAGAATTAAGGCCGGGTTGGCCCAGATGTTAAAGGGTGGTGTCATCATGGATGTAGTAACTGCAGAACAAGCCAAAATAGCTGAGAAGGCCGGTGCTTGTGCAGTTATGGCATTGGAACAAATCCCCGCAGAAATGAGAGCTAGTGGCAGAGTATGTCGTATGTCTGATCCCAAGATGATCAGATCGATTATGGAAGCCGTTTCCATTCCTGTTATGGCTAAAGTTAGAATTGGCCATACTGTAGAAGCACAAGTGTTGGAGGCCTTGGAAATTGATTACATTGATGAAAGTGAAGTGTTGACTCCAGCTAACAAGGAACTTCATATTGCCAAGAGTGACTTCAAGGTCCCCTTTGTGTGTGGAGCCAAAGATTTAGGCGAAGCCTTGAGACGGATTAATGAAGGTGCAGCTATGATTAGAACCAAAGGTGAAGCCGGTACCGGAGATGTTTCCGAAGCGGTGAAACACATTTCCAAGATCAAAGCCGAAATTGCCGAATATTCCAAGATTACTGATGAAAATGAATTGAATGCCTTAGCAAAGGAGTTAAGAGTCCCTAGATCACTCTTAGATGAAGTTTTAAAGGCCGGTAGATTACCCGTTGTCAACTTTGCTGCTGGAGGGGTTGCAACTCCTGCAGATGCTGCTTTATTGATGCAATTGGGTTGTGATGGGATCTTTGTAGGTTCGGGTATTTTCACGTCAGAAAATCCTCAACTTTTGGCTACTGCCATTGTAAATGCTACTACTCATTACGATGATCCGAAGAAGGTTTTGGATTATTCAACTGATTTGGGTAAGTTGATGTTTGGAGTTGCCATTGATTCAATTGGCGATAAGGACCGTTTATCTAAAAGAGGTTGGTAATATTAATTAAGACCATATTAATGACAATAATAATATAATAGTGACCATAGTATCTACCATAGTCCGTAGTCTTATAGTCCCATAGTATAACGTAGTACCCCATTCGGTACATCCTCGGATGTCTCAACGCACCACCTGCAGTACCTAAGTAAAGAATATGGGAGACAACTTCTTACTTACATCCAATTTATCTTGATCAAGGGAGATTATCTCCTTTATAAACCGTCCAATATCCTGAGGGAACTTGTCCTTGGTGATTCCCAAGTCATCCAAACATATCAACAACATATCTGGTTGTAAATTCTTCAAGATATTAAAGTAGCCATGTATGTTACTGCATCTCAATAGCTTGTAGTTCTCCACTAAAGTCCGGGGTACACTGTAGGCCGAAAGAGACTGAGACTCTTCCACCATCACAACCAGCAGTGTAGACGCAGACGCAGATCCAGATGTGTCAATGCTGGATGCAAGATCATCCAACAGTAAGTTAGGAGGTAATATGAATGTCACGTTCTCTGAATGTAGGAGAATCTCATTCAATGGTAAGTCACTAGTCAATATCGTATGGGATAACGTAAGTGCTATCTTCTTCAGAGTATATCTAGTTGACACAGCAGTCGAATCAGATTCATTATGACTGCTAATATCATTGTGACTGCTATTATTACTGTTATCTTTATTAGGGCTATTATCATTCTCAATCGATTTATAGATCTTATATACGGCTGAAGCAATTGCTGCTGCTACAGCCGCACCAACGACCCACTTGACGTTCTTCTGTTTCCGACTCATTCCTCGCTGTCTTTCTCTACCTGACTCAATTTAATGGTGTCAATACGCTGTGTGATTCTTTTGATAGTTGTTTCAACGTTATGGTTACAAAGATAACAAGCCCCAACAAATACTGTGGGAGCGGAGAAGCTCATTTTCAGGTAAGCAGCACACTACTTTTAGAGTCGTGCACAAACCAGGCTAAAACGGTATATACTTAGTTTCAGTCTAGCCAACTGCTACTAACAATATTGACTAGATTCTCTTATACTAATTATTGTACTAATTACTGCATACTGTACAACTATTATATTAGTTCTCAATGTGACTTAAGCAGTAGTTCATTTCGTCTTCATCAAGAGACTTAATGTAAAGACATTTGGATAATAACTCTGGATTCACTTGAATATCATAAGAATTCGACCATTCAATGCATTGGGAAAGCGATTTAACAATGTGAACGGATGTCCGATACTTTGAAAAGTTAATCAACTTCAAATTATCGTTATCAGAATCAATGGTTGATACCGTAGAAGCAACTTCTGTAGCAAGCATCGACGACATGTTAGGAGGAGCCAATGATGACGTATTGATAGTAGTAGACTCTTTATTCGATGATCCAGTATGATTAGGTGCAATGGTTGACTTGACAAAGGTAGGTCTCTCTTCATTAAAGATCAAGTCAGATAAATACAATCCAACAAATGGTACACAACCTTTGGATGGTTTAATTTGGTTGATACTAAGTCTGATGTTTAAAAAGTTCTTGATAGGTGATGCCAACTCTTCCAAGTTCTTCAACATAAGAATATCCCCCGGAGGTAAGGATTTCCAAGTCTCTTTCATTCGTTGAACCTTTTCGGAGGTCAATGCTAGGATAATCTGCATCAACGTAGAATAGTTTTGAAGAGTATAACAGTTTTGAGCCACATGGATTAATCTGGAAATCAAATGGATTCTTTCACTTTGATATTTGGTTAATAAACATTCGGAAATAATCCAATTCACCATCAAATTGAACCGAGCAATTACTAATGTCACTCCACGGTACCCTGTATAATAGCTATCGTTTATAATAACTTCCAACCAACTGTTCACTGGGGTTAATTCTTTGTTCCATTTCAATTCAATTAACTCCTTCCAGTCAATCTCTTGCAACATATCTCTTTCAATTAACGTGAAATGATCAGCCAAGGCCTTAGAACCGTAACTTAACACAAACGAAATGTGTCTGTTGGCTTCAAGAACATTATCAGTTGAAAAGATATCTTTAGATAATTGATAACTATCAAGAACTGTTCTTGGAGATTCCTTTTGACTATTACGGTTAGATAGGTTCTCCTGTGTTTTGTTGGAGTCTTCTGACATTGATGCATTAGGAGTCGAGCACAGAACAGGAGTATCACCTTTGGTACTTTTAAGAACTAAAGGTGGCACTTCCTGGGTTATATTTGGCAAATTATCATGACTGATGTCTTGAGTATCAACTGCATTGATAGCATTTAATATATCTTGAGTATCTTCTTGAGTATTCATACTGCTTTCATTATGAGGCGTAACTTCATATTGCATTTCCTCTTCCACAGTCCTTGGAGCAAAATGATCAATATTGATTGCTTCATCTGCGTCACTTTCTTCTTCTTCTTCACCACCACTATCTTTGAAGTCCTCCGCCTTAGCACCTGCTTGGAATATCAACTCTGCTTCTGAAGAATTATATGTGCCATTAGATTCAGCATCCTTAAGAATCACTCTCTTAGGCTCCTCATCATCTTCTTCTTCAGGTTCGTCTTCATCCTCCTGTTCGTTGAAATAGCTATCATCTTGAAGTCTTTGAATATACTCAACCTTGTGCTTCATCTGTTCCTCAAAGCGATGGTTCTCAATATCATAAATCAGAGAATGTTTTCCTTCTAATTTGTACAATGCAAATTCCACTGGATCTGTCATTTGAAATGATTCATCTGGAATAGAAGCAAGTTCTTTTAAAACTCCACTACTTATACCTGGAATTGCCACGTTGGAATTGGAGGTTCCTGAATCTTTATTTTGCTTAATTGCCCTTAAGGAGACAGAAAATATTGAGCTATCAGCAATATCGCTCAGTCGAGTCGACATATGCATCAGATGAGCAAGTGACTTCTTCTTCATACTTCCTCCACTTAGCAAAGAATGACTCTTGTTTGCCAACTGACTATTCAGCTCGAAATTATCAGAAAACGGTAACTCATTAAGTGCAAGGCAAGTAAACCGAACACTCTTTCTTAATGACGAAGATTTAGAAAGAGCAGACCCCACAGAAGCTCGAACATTAAACGGAATATCTAATGTCTTGGTGCTTGTGGTCCTTGGTATTCTGAGTTCGGACTGGTCTTTATTACCAGCTCGCAAGTTGTTGAAACCGGTCTTTTTCCGTAAACCATACTCATTCTCCTTATTATCTTCCAATCTAGTAGCAGCAGGGGAACTGCTAGAAAATGCTGAATCGTAACTCAAATAAGATTTCATTGAATCTCTTTTGAAGGATGAATTCTTTGAAATTATCGACATTCGATTAGCTACCAAATTCATCTCATTGAAGCTGATGGTTCTAACATTTTGTTCAGGAGAAACAGCTATTCCCAAATCTTGAACTTCTGCATCATAGCGACTTGGAGATGAAATTGATGATCCAAAACTTACACTTTCATTTCCACTTTTAGGCTCATTGAAGGCATCACTTACATCAAAATACTGAGTTGCTGTTTTAGTTATTCGTTGTATACCTTTGCTGTTAACTCTCATTAGTTCATCGCTATTCTGTACTATCTCTTGAGAGTATTCTGCCAGGTTCTCAAGATTGAGCTCATTCTCATCATTCCAGTTAATATTAGTTGGGTTTTGGAATGAAGTGTCCTTGGAGTCAACAAGAGTCTCGGGAGTCATCGAGTCGTCATTATCTGGATCGTGGTCAATTTCAGGAGTAATCAGGTCACTCATATGAACAATATCCAACTCACTAGTTTCTTCTTCATAATCATTCATTTGCACATCATTTTCAACAAAAACTTCTTTTTGATTAAGTTTTGGAGAATTAGGTCCAATCAGTGATTTGCATTCTTCATCCATTTCTGGGTGACTCCCTAAAGGCGAAGTATCTACTTCATCCAATTGAGTATTTCTTTTGCTGTGATTCATGTAGAACCTAATTAGATACTCAAGTTCGTCAATCAATCTTGCACTCAAGATATCGACTCTAGAACCATCTAACAGATCTGAAGTAGTTGCATGTATGGAACTGGGCTTATTATTTATAGTAGTCAGTGCCATCAGTATAGAGCTTTCGGACATTGAAGTCGTTGAAACACTACGACCCATTGGAGAGCCGGCCATCATATCCAATAACTCAGTTTCAGTCGTAGCTCCTCCATTTGCTCTATGATTTGTGAAGGACTTCTTCCAGTTACCCATTATTTTCTTCAACGATCTTGATCTAACAACTTCTTCTTGTTCATTGGAAGGCTTTACTGGTCTCACCAAACCCTTATTGTTGTTCTTTGTCCCTGGACCCGCAGAAACTTTTTCAGAACTATTAGATTGTGGAAGGTTAAGCACATAGTCCATCTTCTTAACGGGTGTTGGGGGTAAAATTGATTCAACTTTTGATGTTGGAACTTTGATCTTACCATTAGTTGAGAATCCTGTGGCATCCAATCTACTTGGGGAATCTTTCAGCAAGGATGTTGAAGATTCAAATATTTTTGTAGTTTTCTTTAAAGACAACGATGAGTTGGTTAAGTTCAAATGATTATGTTTCTTTCTCTTGATAATATTTTTAGTACTAGCACCATACAGTTTCTTCGGATAGAGATTGGCACTATTATGTTGAAAACCACCAAATTGAGGACTGGCATTGAAGATGGGACTAGGATCACTCCGGTCTTGAAATCCCTTAAGTTTCTCATTCAATGAGGAACTTGAAGAATGATGTTGAAGTAGTAAGTTATTTATACAATATTGAGGATTATCCATCGGCCTTTGATTGTCATCGAAAATGATCATCTTATGATGACTTTTCAAGTCATAAAGTGAAAGCATGGCTGAACGTCTAAAAGAAGGGTTGGTATGTATCGACATTTCGGTGTTTGATTTTGATAGTTTTTTTGTTTGGATTTCTAATGGGATTATGTACTGTAAAATGTTCGAATGGACATCTTCAGGACTATAAGTAAACCCCCAAAAGTCTCTTATTTGATTTAGCCAATGAATCTTCAAATCTCCTAATATTTTCTTCTCAAATAACATGGAGTCCGTCACCAAGTTTGATTCTGCAGTGATTTTATTCAAGTTGGTGACAAAGTAATTGCAAAGAGTTGTATTGTTATCGAAATCATCAACAAAATAGTTGATAATCCAATGACGTAAAACCACGAAAGTTCTCAAAAGTGTCAATTTACCAACGTTGATGTTGTCTTGTGAAGTGGAATTGATATATTGTAGAGCCCAATAGAGCCTGGTTATTAACATTGCCATAACACGGTCAGCATCAATGAAAACACGATATGTTAAAAAAAAGTCACACACCAAATTGTAGTCTATGACTTCAGGAGAAGTGAGTTGAACCACGAGGGCTTTGAGAGTTGCTTGGTTGACAAGTTCAGGGTTGTGTTCATCAAATTTGATTAGATCCGAGGGATGGGGAAAGGGGAATAGTCTTTCCTCATCAAACATTGATTCGTTATGCTTGTTATAAGTATATGCTGGACCGATTTTATATTCTTTCTTTGGACTATTGAAGATGTTTTCATCATTATGGACATCATCCTCAATGTCATCATCATGATCATCATCATCATTATGGCCATGGTCTAAATCGCACACATTGTTCCCGTTATGTTGATGGCCATCTATGGAGTCATTATCAAGCGACATAAGACCATCTTCTGGTGATAACAAGTTTAGCTTCTCCATTTCTGGACCTAAGTGATCGGCATATGGCGTATGATGTTCTTGGTCTGAATCCAAAGGGTCTGAGACTCCTTCAGTTCCCACCAGAATGACATTCATTGCAGCACAACTTAGCTAACGGTTAAAAAAAGCTGTAATTGATATCCACAACTAATGACGATGTTATTTACAAATGTATATCACAGTACGGTACAATACACAAAACAACAGTGGAATAGATCAGACAAAAATAAAAGCCGTCTCTATTAATATTAATATTGATATTATTATTATGAGGAATCGATGCGTACAGCAGTTCCTTCCGGTAAGGCTTAGGGGCGTTATTATATAAACATAAACAGTCGTCAGTTAAAAGAATTCGTGTTTGTAGGACGGGAAATTATGGTCTGTTTGTTTACCATCTGGTAGCGCGACACAGAGCAGTTAGTAGCAACCGTTTGGTTTACCTGAATACACGTATTATGAGAGGACGCGATGTACATAGACGAGTGTGTACAAATATGGTAGGAGTAACGGTAACGGTAATTGTCATGGGAATCGGCTACATGGTAGCACCAACGACGTAGGGACTGCAGTTGTATACTTGGACCACCTCGTTGGGTCTAACTCATTAGGAGTGTCCCTACTCACTTTGTAACTCCCAATACTATTCTATATATCTATTTATTCATATTGTGCTTAATGGCATCTTTCAATGCCGCAAATGGACTACTTCTAAACTGAGTGCTACTTAAAACTTGATTGAAATTTTCATGTTCTTGCTTCAAAATAAACCTTCTGCCCGATTGTTTGTTGGCATTTGGAGCATTGGTATTCTTCCTTTCTGCTTCAATGTATTCAGGCTCTGCATTCTGGGGTTCAATATCAACAAATTCATCCATAGGTAAACTGGTTAAAAGTTCATCCATTTGTGGCTTTAACTGTTCTCTTTCTTTCCGCTTCTTTCTCCGAATCACAGATTTACTTAATTTATTGGATGTATTGAACGTAACTTTACCAAGCAACTTCTCGTTGAATGTTCGCGTCTTAGCTATTTGCTTATCTTTCTTGGATATTTGTGCAAGCTTCAATAAGGGATTGAAATTTGATGTCTCCTCCAAAATATTGGCATTATGCTCTGCTTTAAGTAAATTTATCTTATCTTTGATGTCAGCTCTTCTGTTGGCCTTTGCTATCTTACCTCGAACGGTGGAACGCTTCTTAACTGCCTAAAATAATAATCGGGTTAGTAAAACATCACTGGATATTCGCTATGAAAGCATCATCGTCTTTACATACCATCTTAGACCGTTGTATGAGCTTTCAAGTTGTATGCGATGATCATCGCAGAGTGGTCCCCACATAATTTCTGGTGATGATTTTCAGCTTAAAAATCTATGCTTATGTAAGCATGTAAGAAAACTATCTAATAGGTGCAAAAGGCCTAGCATTAAAGTATATATGCATATGTTAAGGGTGGTAGAGGTCCTTGAGCACTTGGTTGTCGTTTATAATTTGATTTATAGTAGAAGGAAGTAATCCTATGGCTACCAACTTTGTATAATCCCATTCCCATGCACCTTCTGTCTTGTATGTCCAGAATATCCACCCTCCACAAGACCTTTCATATACTTGGATCTGCAAATAAATGAACTTTAGAGTATTAACTATATCTTCGGAGGCCCATTTGGCTATATCTTTATAGTTTGAACAAGTTCCGATTGGAATGGTTTGTTGTAAAGTACCATCAAATCGATGTCCCAATCCTACACCGTTTAAGTAAGGTGCACAATCAGTTAGAGCTCCACTGAACTCCCCCACCACTTTGGAGTTTTCTGACTGAGCAAGCATATTACCTAATTTAATGACATTTTGAAAGTGTAGCTCCCTATCCCATTCAATTTGTGCCTGCGAAAAGATGCTATAGAAGTGGTGATCAACAGTGACTTGAGTAGGGGTAGTATCTTGGAACCCAGCCCATGCATCGATGCCTAAGAATGCGTCATGAACGAAAATAGGAATATCATAAGTTTGGGACATTTCTGATGCTAATTGATAGAATTCTTCGATCTTAGACCGTCCAAGGATAGGACCAAACGGTTCGTTAACCACCTCAATGCTATGAATTGTTTCCCGAAAAGGCTGCAGAGAATACTTTGCAAATACGAACCTTAAGACATTAACAGATATTTGAAATGAATCGTCATTCTGTAACCATAATGGGGGTGAAGTTCTTTGGCCACTATTATCAAAACCATTTTGAGATCCTGGCATTCCATGTAAATCTATTTGAACCTTCAAACCATATTCTTTACACCATTCGATAGCTTTATCCAAATACTTCAACTGACCAGCAACATATGGATCGCCTGCTTGTTTCTGTATTGCCCAATAGCCAATAGGAACACGAATCATATTGAACCCCATAGAACTGATTGAAGCAATATCTGATTTGGTAATGAAAGACGCCCAGTGGCTACTGAGCAATGGTTGAGCCTCGGGACCTAATTGTAGACAAAGAGTATATTCATCGACTAGAACACTTTTGGTGATATTCAGCGCTAATTCAAACAAGGAAGGTGTGATCCAAGGCTCTAAAACTAACCATCCTCCTAAACTTACTCCTCTAATGGATTCAGAATTATGCTTCAATGCACTCGAATTAACATTATTATTACTATTATTATTATTATTATTATTTTTAACTCTGAGATTAGAATGGTGGTCGCTTGAAGCAAGACAAAGTGTAAAACTTAAAATGACAGTTAGGAGGAACGACCACCAAATAACCATAGTTTTTATTACAGCTTAGAACAAACTAGCTATAGCAATCAAATAACAAGAGTAGCGCTGTGTATTCTTAAGCAGGGGTTATTGAAGAAGAACCAGTAAAAGAACTGGCGCTAGAAGATTGTAGATGATTACATGTGCGAAAGATCATAACTACATCCTGTTGAGATACGAAACTCTAATTAGAATATAAATACATGCACATGCTCCAATAAAGATATATAACCGTATGACGTAGATTTGTTAAATATATAAGTTGTAATTTAGTTTCGTATTATACGAGTTATGTCAAACATGGTTTCATAAGTAATTTCTTTACATACTTATCAACACATATAAATGTGCATATAAACATATAAATGTGCATATAAACATATACATGTACATATAAACATATAAATGTACATATAAACATATACATATGCACATACACATACACAGGTAAGAATATACATATAGTTATAAAAACAGTAAATGCTTATCCAAGTTGCCTAATATGATAGCACTAAGTTGTTAACCTACATAACAACCATTGATCAGACTTAAGCGTACTACTAATTATATATTTTTCAGCTTTCCCTTCTTCTCTAAAACAATATACTAAGCTTTCCATAGTACGACCAAGATTAACCCTATAATAAGTGTATAATTACAAGTAGTATACTCGTGGGTGCAAAAGATCCTGGTCGTCACGTGATCCCCACCAAAATTTCCGATAGTGCACATCGCATCAACATCTCATAACAAAGAACAGTATATCACTTGAACCGGTATATATTGTGCTATAAGTACCGGACTAGGACCTGGTTACGAAGACATTAACCGAGAGGAATCTCCATCTGACACCGCTGGTTTACTTAAAGTTTGCAAAGTTTAGGTGGATTCCCTTTTGATCCCGTATAAATCTTATCCCACCAATCGTAGGGGTACATCAAGATCATATCCTTTTGGGAATCATTAATATTGATATTCATTACACGAAGTCCGCTATTGGTACGTCCCAGATCATCTCATTTTACTAGACGCATTTATCTCGTCTGTTTGCTCGCTTACCCATCCGCATTCATACCAATTGCGTAATCAACTCCGACAACACTTGTGGTTGCGATGAGCGGACCAACCAATCAAGATAATGAGGTGCTGGAAACACCTGAAGTGGTGGATTTACTTATACCGTCACATTCAGGGGGTGCTACAAATCCATTTGATGATCTAAGTTTAGAAAATGAAGAGTTGAATAAAATGTTAGGTTTGAGTACTTCTGTTTCCAATCTTGAAACTTCGACTCCCTCAGGAACAAAAGACATTCTTGCAGCTATAGATGGTATCCTGACGGCTTCACCTATCCATGTGGCGCTTGAATCACGAAAATCAACTTCTGATACGGTACCAGATACTTTTGGGGACACATTTACATCGACATCACCTCAAACAACTCCCATGTTTGAAGACGAACAAGGATCAAGAACAAAGTCACATACACCAATACAGCCGTCGTCACCGACAGTAACAACAACTTCAACGTCAGCATCAACATTAACACCAGCATCTCAGATGGCCACTACAAACTCTAAATCCAAACAGCCTCTTGAGGAACGAAAACGGTCATCAGTATTCCCGGTGACTCTGGAGTCTGCATTAGGGAAAGAATTTGCCAAAAGAGTTAATCCAAAGTCAAGCACGAAAAGCTCGAACGTAGCCTCTGATGATGAGGAGGAGGATGATGAAGCAGCAGAAGTGGCCAAGATCTCTGCATACGCACGCTTGGATTTTGAGCATTTCACATTCTATGTGCAAACTTTGCAAGTGATTCTTGGAAGGCGATCGAACGAAGATGCCAATCTGCATGCTGTTGATGTTCATTTATCGTCAAAGAAAGCCATATCCCGAAAACATGCTAAGATCTTCTACAACTTTGGAACTCAAAGGTTTGAACTTTCGGTACTCGGAAGAAATGGTGCATTTGTTGATGATTTATTTGTTGAAAAGGGTATAACAGTACCATTGACCGATGGAACAAAAATACAAGTCGGTGATATTCCATTCTCGTTTGTTCTACCTTCGATAGAAGCAGCAGAGAATAAAAACGCAACTTCTCAAGCTGCAAAGCCTTTTAATCCTAGTGATGCTATTAATCTTCGGTCTAACTTATATCATGTTCAAACTCCCGGGAAGATGAAGAAAGGAAATAAAGTAACAAAGGAAATAGAATCCGAGAAGAAGGTGGAGCTTCCAACTATGGACATAAAAGTGTCAAAGAGTGAATTACTTGTGCCATCTAAAGCTGTATCAAATACACTTGAAACAGACACACTGACTACACAGGCCTCAAATCTGGCTACACTGGCCCCAAATTTGAACCTGGCGGAGAAAGTACCACAGAATAACAGAACAAACCATAAGATACAAGGTAAATACCAAGGTAAGACACCCCATACAGAAGGAATTAAAAACCGGAGAAAGTCATCATTCACTCTTCCCAAAGAATTCAAAGATATGTCTGCCTCATCCCGTAGGAATTCCTTAATACTTCAACGAAGGCTTTCAACCTCTAGACGAAAATCCATGAATCCTGGAAATCAAGATGAAGTTGGCGATATTCTAAAGGAGTTGGGAATTAATTCTATTGACGAAATTGGTGATGTTGATCCAAATGTTCTTGATGAACAACTTCTGAGCATTCTTGGAGATGACAGTGAGTTTGATCATGAGACTTCTCTAAGATTATCAGCATTCAATGAGTCTGCCATATTGGAAGAAGATGAGAAATCATCAAAGGAAATAGAAATTACGGTCAAGCTGGAAGATCCTAGTAAATCATTATCATCTCAAAGAAATGAAAGTTTAGGTCTTGACCTCCTCGATCCGGAAATTGCGACTTTGGCACCATTGATTGTTGCTCATAATGAAGAATTACTTCGGGAGAAGGAAGCAAAGGAAAAGGTTCAAGAAATGACTTTGGAACATCCACTTATAGGAAAACCTGCTAATAATAATCCTCTTTTAGGAAAGCCCGCGTCCATCCAACCACCGCACAATCCTAGATTATATGGGAAGCCATTATCTTCCATTGCTAAACCTCAGTTGCTCCACAATGGCCTTCCTGTCACCACTAATATGTCCACCACCAATACCTTACCACATAATAATTTCAAAGGAATTGGCTTAGGGAGTTTACCTATGAACTTGCAATCTGGCTTAGGCGGTGGGAATTCATTCCCACACCCAATTATACCTCCAAGGCCACCTTTACCCAAATTAAATGTAACGGTCAATTACATCACTGAATCCCATCCTCGTCAATCATCATCCTACAAGGCTATCACGGTTGACTTGAAACCGTCACATCCTTCGGTTTGTCTTAGAAAGTCCATGGAACCATTAGGTCAATTGCCTAAGATTCCTGCTCGAAATAAGCCAATAAGAAAGTCCAAACCAATTTATAATGCTAATGAGATCCCTGATATGTATAAGTTGAAGCCCAATATTTCGAATTCTATTATGATTACCAATGTTCTTTCCAAGGCAGCAGCTACTTCTACCACAGGTCTTACCATTAGTGAATTGCATGATGCTATCCGAGAAACATATCCATATTATAAGTATTGTGCTGATGGGTGGCAGTTCTCAGTTAATCACAGTTTAAGGCTTAGCAAGAGTTTTAAAAGGTTACCGAATAAAAAGGACAATGAATGGTGTTGGGTGATTGATGAGTCATTTATAATTGATAAGGAAAAGGCCAGAAAGAAGCAACAAGAAATAGCTGCTGCTAAATCAAAGGCAGCTGCTATTAGAACTGAAGAGTTGAAGCAGAAACAAAGATTAGAAGCTCAGCAAGCCATTTCAAACAATATTATTGGTAGAGGAATCAGTTCACCATTTGGCATCACTGCTGGTCTAAAGATGCCCCAATCACAGTTTGTGAGTCTGAATAAGGCTATAAATGGTGTTCAAATCCCCACTAGCATTGCAGAAATGGCCAGTCAAATCACACATAATGGGAGAACTATACCCCCAAGCGCACTGGGATATTTTCCTGGATCGGCATTGGCAACTTCACCAGGTATGGGAGGAAGTAGTAGTCCCCCCATGGGGATATCTCCACCTGGTAATTTAAGTCCCTTGATGAAGACAAGCAGTACCAACATTAAAGCTCAATTGGCAGCAAATAGAGCCATTTCCAATGCGAAGTTCCCACCTAAACCCAATGCTTCTGGAGAACAACCTAAAACGATACCAGTTCATGGTTGGACTCCTAAATCACAAAATACTATATCATCTTCAAATCCAAGTACATCTGTTACAAATACTACTAGAGAGACCTCAACAGCTAAACTGGTTTCACCCCCAATTACGTCTCAGACTATTAACCAAGATACCAAAAAGTCTTTGGCTTATTTACAGAAGGAATTATTTGTGCTATACAAAGCCAGGAAGCTATCGTACAATACAGCGACGACTACCGAGATAATTACTAATGCCCTTGCAACGACAATCGCCCAAGTGAATGCTATCGGAGCTAAGGCCGGTTGTGGAGATAATGCGTTGATCTTCTTGGTGGAGAAGGCACCTCAACAAGTGAGCAAGATCTTGGATATTGCCTTGTCCAAATCGATTAAGGAGAAGCAAGGTACAATGCTCTCCAGGCAAGCAACACCTGGTCCTTCTAGTAGTGGTCCTGGTACTCCCCAAGTTGCATCACCTTCACCTGTGACGACCACCGCACTCAAAGTACCGACTACTACTACTACTGCTGCTGCTGCTGCTACTGCTACTGCTACTGCTGCTGCTGCTGCTACTACTACTACTACTACTGTATCAGATACTGCCAGTAGAGTTTCCACACCAGTAATACCTCCTCCCGTCGTTGCAGCACCCATTCCCAAGAAGGCAACGGAGCCAATACTTGCAGCATCCGAACAAAACGATTCCGACGTCGAACCATTGTTGTCGAAGCCTGCTTCACCGTACCAACCCACAAGTAATACTATAGCAGGTGCAGCAGATGAAGCAACAGAAGTAACAGTACCACCACCACCATCACCATTGGTTAGAACGAATGAGACTTCAAATACTAAAACTGAATCTATCCAGACTACACCTACATCCAACACATCACAGGTCCTGCCCAAAATAGAGGCCATCCAACAGCCACCTTTATCCAACACGAACACAATTACTTCCAAACCAACAATACCATCAACGATATCACCAACCGTCTCAACTCCTACCATGAAGAAACCATCATATAATCATCCTGGACTTTCCAAACCACCAGTGTTCTCTTCAACACCCAAACCACCAAGTTTTGGGTCCAAAGGAGGGTCTAAATTTTCACAGATGGCCAAGACACCTTTATTCTTATCCAATAGAACTCCCTTGTCGTCGTCTACACCATCTGGTGGCACACCTGTACAATCCAAGTCATTTACACCAAGATTATCGACACCTGAACCCATTAACAGTGAGGGAACCAATAAGAGGAAACTTGAAGAGTCCCCCGAGAGTGTTTCCACCAAAGTTCAGAAGATTCTGGACCTATAGAATAGTATAAAATATCTGTATAAATATGATTAATAACAACAGTTGTAGAAGTAGGTTATGCCTTTTGGTGCGCGCTACCACATAAAGATATCATGTACGCTATAAACCTTATGAGCTCTTAAACCAAGTAAATTTGAAGAGCTGGAGTTAAGAAGTCTTATTTTAATCCAACACTTTACATTTATCCGTATTCATCACTATAAGCACTTGTTTCAGCTACAGTGTACTAGTTTGTAGAATAGATTGTGTTGAATTGGTTTTGACACGACATTAATGATGTTCGGTTTGAGGTGGCAAGGAAATAATACAACCACAAGTACTTAACGTTCAACAACAAGAGTACTCAATTGGTTGTTCCGAAGGAAGTGCATGGATTAATTAAAGGTTTATCCGAGGGAAATCACATACAAATAGTTAACTCATAAAGAAGGTTACATACAAAAGATACGTAAATGAACTCCATTGCCAAACAATATACTCAAGGGAATGTTAACCCCGTATCAAGAGAGATCAACGATGCAATGGCGGAGTTAGCAACTCCACCCCAATTGGGATTGGCGCCTACATTACAACTACCACCCATTTCACAACCAACTGACTTTTTAAGAGCTCATACTGATGATGCTACTAATCCCGATTGTAAGATTAAGATTGCTCATGGTACTACTACATTGGCTTTCAGATTCCAAGGAGGGATTATAGTTGCTGTTGATTCCAGAGCCACTGCTGGTAACTGGATTGCATCTCAAACCGTGAATAAAGTTATCAGAATCAATCCGAAATTGTTAGGTACTATGGCTGGTGGTGCAGCTGATTGTCAATATTGGGAAACTTGGTTAGGATCTCAATGTAGGTTATATGAATTAAGAAATAAAGAAAGAATCTCTGTTGCTGCCGCTTCCAAAATCTTATCTAATTTGGTTTATGAATATAAAGGTATGGGTTTATCAATGGGTACAATGATTTGTGGGGTTACCAAAAAGGAAGGTCCAACCATATTCTATGTTGATTCTGATGGTACCAGATTGAAAGGTGATTTATTTTGTGTTGGTTCTGGTCAAACATTTGCTTATGGTGTTTTGGATTCAGACTATAAGTGGGATTTGACCGTAGAAGAAGCCTTATATTTGGGTAAGAGAAGTATATTGGCTGCTACTCATAGAGATGCTTATTCTGGTGGCTCCATTAACTTGTACCATGTTAGTGAAGAAGGTTGGGAATATCACGGTAACTACAATGTGGGTGATATTTTCTGGGATATCAAGGCAAAGGAACACTCCTTTGTTAACGTTGAAACTTAATCCTCGTAACTATAATCAAATAATATTCCATAATAGAAGCCCTAGTGGTCACGTGTTTTACACGTGAGCTAGTATCTGCGTAGTATTGTTGTGCTCAAACCCTATAATTATGTTTTGTCCGGGTAACACCATTGGACACACTTTGTGTCGCATTAACGTGATGTCTGAAAAATTTTCCCTAGTGTGAGTGTGTCTCTGGTACGTTTAATAAAAATATCTAAAACGGTAGTTTCTTCCAAAGTGTATAGTGAACTCCATCCATAGAGAAATATAGCCAAAATGGTATGTGTATATGCTGATGATTAATGAGAGCCCTTTCAAATCGGAATCAAGTGCAATATACTGTTGAATATATTATGTTAAGTACAGAATGAAGTGCACATCCAAGCGAAGTGGAGTATTGATGTCGTGCAATAAATTTGAAGAAAGGTGATCACATACTATTATTGTGACAACATAATACTAACCAGTAATAGTCTGCTAAAGCTCAAAACCCTATGCGTGAACTTCGTATTGAGAAGTTGGTCTTGAACATCTGTGTCGGTGAATCCGGTGATAGATTGACCAGAGCTTCCAAGGTTTTGGAACAATTGTCTGGTCAAACTCCAGTTCAATCCAAGGCTAGATACACTGTCAGAACTTTCGGTATCAGAAGAAACGAAAAGATTGCTGTCCACGTTACTATCAGAGGTCCAAAGGCTGAAGAAATCTTGGAAAGAGGTTTGAAGGTTAAGGAATACCAATTGAAGGCTAAGAACTTTTCTGCTACCGGTAACTTTGGTTTCGGTGTTGAAGAACACATTGACTTGGGTATCAAGTACGACCCAGGTATCGGTATTTACGGTATGGACTTCTACGTTGTCATGGGTAGAGCTGGTGGTAGAATCACCCAAAGAAAGAGAGCCAGAGCCACCATTGGTAACTCTCACAAGACCAACAAGGAAGACACCATTGCTTGGTTCAAGCAAAGATACGATGCTGAAGTTTTGCACAAATAAATAATCTAGTGTTGTGTATTTAATAAAAAAGCATATGTAATATAATTAGTAAAGTGATATTGTATTATTTCTATTTAAGTCTTTCACCCACACACTTTTTAAACAGTGCAAACTCTTTAGCACATCTATCTTTAGCCATAGTTTGGTACGACAGAAGAACACAGTTTCCATAAGCCATTCCTTCTGCTGCGCACCCTCCAGCGGCTCGGAGCAACTTCCGGGCCGGCCTCGTCTTCTTGTCGCTCATTACTGCAGCGCTATATAAATCGGATAAGATAAGATCAGTGTTTAGTCAGACGTAAAGTGCTGAGAGCTAAGAAGAAACTTGGCTGACAGTGATTAATATTTTGGTTTTAGCACTACTATATAAATGTCATCGAAGTCAAATGTAAATTTGCCCCGGATTCTTATTGCCGGAGTTGAATCAAACGTCAATACTACTTCCTCCTTGTTGTTAAGAGAATCCTCAGACCAAAGGAAGGAAGGATATGGTCCTGACATATGGGTCTGGAGCTTGTGATAGCTTACCATGTATGTGTAATAATAATATGACAGTGGCAAAGTTGACAATTACTAACAGAGCCTGTACAGTTTTAGATCTAGACATAAACGATGAAGTGTGGCAACTGGTAGAGGAATCTATACGACGGGAAATGGATTCCGTGGTAGTAGCCGAAGATGGCATGAGACCCATGCATCCGAGAGTGGATATTCTTCTTCCGTTGACAGTGTCAAATCACTGCAAACCGGTGTTAATGGAGGAGATCGAACGATACGAGAGAGAGGAAGAAGAAGCTAGTGATATAAGTGATGATGATGATGGTGATGATGTTAGTGGTAATACTATTATTCGTGATGGCATCAAGTATCCTACGTCCTTCTATAATGATAAGGATGAAATCGACTACGACGCCATTTATACAGCCTTGTCGCACTCCCAATTGGAGAACAGGGACCTAAATCTTCTAGCTGGAACCCAGACAGAAATAGGGATTTGTCAAGATACTTATTTAGTTCATTTGAAGGAGTTACAGGGACAACTCCGGGCACTGGCCAACAGGAAAAGGAAGGAAACAACAGAGTTGGAATATTCACGTAAAAAACGTCAAATTGAAGGTTATGGCCCTGTGGAAACTTATCTCAATCAACGCTGGCACGATCTGATCAGATCAATAGTTGACATGGGGGCAGAAATGGCTACAAAAAATTAAATATTTATATATATTCAGGTTAAACTAATGCATTATTGTAATTATTCTACTTAACAGTGAAGATCTACAAAGACTAACACCATCTGATGTTCTATGTTTCAGGTGAACGAAGCAAACGTACTGACTGAAACTGTTAGCTAGTTCATCGTACCCTAACCCTGTAAGTGTACTCTGTAGTGCCACTTACTTCTTCTTCCGATATGCTACTTCTGTTCTGGAACTACCCATATTCAATATGCGAGGACACCCTTCACTAGCTTTCTCCATTCGTACACACTCTAAGCAGTAATATGCTGGAGTTCCCTCCGAGGTGTTGTTGCCGCATAGAATACATTTGTTCACCAAATGTCCCAAAGAGCATTCAGCACAGATTCTGGCTCTTGTGGTGGGTTTCACAAGTGAGTCGCAACTTGGACATCGACCATCACACAGCGGACAAACAAGTCCGGTTTCGGATCCTGTTTGCTTCATACATTGGACCAAGTCAAACTGATGACGAGACATTGATTTGACTACACGGTGGACTAGGATACCCCAATCTTCGTGTACATGACGGTTTAAATCCCGAGATGCGCCGCCTTACTGAGTCACGTGACATGGGTTTGACATGTTTGGGTGCAAAGGAATGAACTATGGGCTCCTTCGCCATTCAAAGTCGTCCACATTGCCTTTGATAGAGACTGGATTTTCTGTTCGTCCCCCAGGTGCAATTTACAATTTCAGGAGTCAAGTGTTCAAATGTTGACCCAGAATATTTACTTTCCATCTAAAACACGAATAAAGTGAGAAAAATCGGTCCGTATAGAACCAAAATGAGCACTCCCAACCTTAGAGTACAACAAGTACAACAAGTACAACAAGTACAACAAGTACAACAGCTAAAATAGTACTATAAAAGGAAGCCATATAAAGCATTCTTATAGTTACCACTAATTAAAAGCTTTATACTTTTCTGTATCTTCAATTATATCTTTTAATCAGTCCATCATATTTTCCGTCTATGTTCCGTTTGATTTACATTGACTCTGAAGGAACTAAGCAACCCAAGACTAGAGTACTAGGAAACACGTACAATAACGCTAGCTAATTAAAGAATAAACATACAGTATAGCAATCACGCATATTTACCTAGCTTTTCTCCTCGTTCATTCAACCCCTGCTTTTCAACTAGTTTTACATTAGCATATTTGAAACCATTAGATAGGCATTTGCGTGTGTATACCACACCATCTCTTAGCTCCATTCCATATACACCCTAAGTTATATGCCACTGTCTTACCCTGCAACGACTCCTCACTGTCAAACCACGACAAATGGAAGCAGACGAGTGCACCATTTGTCTAGAGGCCATCAGCCACGCCGGCATACTAGGCATAGTTGAACGGTGCAATCATGTCTACCACGGACAGTGTATTTCCAGTTGGGCCAAACATTCCAACACTTGTCCCACATGCCGCCGCAAGTTTCATCGACTTCAATTCACAGAGAAGGGCACCAATAAGTCCCTTGGCAATGCAAGAGTCCAAGACAAGTTATTGGAGAATGCAGCTATTAATGATATACCCTCCGAATTCATAATACCTCGAGATCAAGTCCGTACCACACACTCTGATATCCCTAATGGTGCCAGTACCAACAATCTTATTATTATTAATGGTGGTGGTAGTGGCAGTGCTGGCACTGCTGCCGAGGCGTACCCCAGTATCTGCTGTATCTGCAACCAGAACGTTGAAGGAGCGTACATTATTGGTTGCTATAGTTGTTATCAGAGTTTCCATGTAGGCTGTTTAGGTTTGCACATGGCAGGAGCCACTCTGGTTTGTCCTATATGTGATGTTGAACAGTCCTTTGTCAGTGAAACGGTAGACAGAAGTTCAAGTTCAAGTTTAGGTTCAAGGCCAAGATCAAGAAGACTACCATCGAATGAAATGGTGCTGTCTAACAGTAGGAGAAACATTCGCTCCATAGATTCCCAAAGATTCGTCTCTCTATTGAACCCGTCGGTAAGAGTAACTGAAGAAGACGACGAAGCTGTTGTGCGCCGGCTGCTGCTGCTGCTGAGAAGACAAGGATCACGACGTGGTTTGGTTATCCATAACGAGAACAACGAACTTGATGATGACTTTCTTTATGGCTCAGGCTCAGGCTCAAACCAATCATCTCCAGAAACGTACCCCCAATCTTCACGACCGGTACTCAACGGAGGTGTTCTTCTACGCAAGGAGTTAAGGATACAAGAGCAGTTGAGTGAGGAAGAAGTCAGATCATGGCAGGCGCTTGATGAAATAAAGCAGAAGGAACATGTATTGGGGACGCAGGCCGTCTCTAACAGAAGTACTACCACTACCATTAACTCCACTACTAACACCGCGAGTGCTATAATTAATGAATCCCCACGAAGGAAGCGAAGAAGAAGAAGAGTGGTGGGGCCACCACTACGAGATACAGGCGGAGATAGCACTAGTGGAGATAGTGCTGGAGAGACTCGAATTTCAAGTCTAATCAACCAGATAAAACACTCAAACAATACCCCAAGACGTTCCATTTATTTTGATCACCACAACTCCAACACTGGCCCGGCCAGAAGCCCATTATCAAGTTCTTCAAGTGCCCAGCACCTGCCTATTCATCTGCCATCGTCAGAAGGTCAATTTGAATTGACGTTGGAACAGAAACAAATGGTTCAAAAACATATCCGGAATGCTCTACGGACCATTTATATACCCAATGGAGACCCGAACGAATACCACTATCCGATATTGAAGTCTGAGACAGAATACATTGAGGTGAATAAGACGGCTTCAAGAAGAATATATCGGCACATTGTTGAAGAATACGAACCGGTGAAACAGCTATTTGAAGTTGGAGATGATCATAGACTCCAACGTATAGTTGATGAGTTTGTTAATCGTGAGTTAAGAGCACGCTAGGAGAGATACACTATACGAAGCATTATATATATTCATGGTTATCTCCGACGAGGACCTTTTGGCTTGGAGAATTTGAGTCTTGAATCCGGAGTTGATCTTCCAGAAGCAGGTTCAGATTCGGGGGTTGATACACCTGAGAACTCACTTAGTTCCAACTCATCAAGATCACCAACTTCAAAGGACTTTATAAAGTGTAAGCCATGTTTGGACTTTAAGTGGTTCAAAAGATCTTGTTTGAAGGAAGCATACAACATTCTATCTTTCACTTTGGAACCCAGAGGACAAGCGTATATGAACATCGGGCCGCCGGACAGATAGTTGTAGACTGCATAAATTGGGGTTGGAGAGGCCGATTGTAACGTTGGAATAATTGAATCGACAGCGACGTTCTTGTTCACCAGATTCAATTGGATCTTCTTATCAGTATCATTTATACCAAAGGAGATCAAAGTAGACTGGCTCCATTGGTCAATCGAGTCGGTCAAGTCGGAGTCAAAGGCATATAACAATCCATCAGAGTTACTATGAGTATTGCTATTCGTATGCATTGAAGTCAATTCTCTCTTATAGTAGTTTTGAGTAAGTCCTGTTGCTTGCAAGGCATTAATGGCATCATTGAGTTTCTCTTCCTCGGTAAGAGGTTGTGGGTCCAAGTGCAGATTACGGGCGCTCTTATAGTACTCATAGGTCAATTCCTCCAACTCTGTCCAAGCATAAGATTCAAGCAGCCCCAGTCCTAACTCAGAGATAAGGGCGTTCTTGGAGGACGCATAAAGCATCTTTTGACGAATAGGAGCATCATCAGGAATGAAGCTTATCAAGATGTTAAGCGGCTCCGAAGGAATAAGAATGTATTTTGGTTGAGGATAAATGGACTTGATATATTTATGGATTGAATCGAAATGTCCGCTCAACGATGAAGATGACGTACATGATGATGAACTGAATGCTGGATCTACTTCAATCTCTGTTTGATTGGATGAAATGGTAATGACGATCGGAGCTGGGAGGTTCCGAGTAGCCTCCAAAAGAGGCTTGGAAACAGTGATACCCGATTGCGCAGACATAAGATAGTATAGTGATGAAGTAATGTAGTTTATAGTACATACATTCTACATTCTGCTGGAGTGTGCTTTATACCGATTATCTTTGTGTCATCCAGCATATGCCGCCATTAGCCGGTGCGACTTGTGCTAAGTTCGATCCGGCACCGGGACCGAAATCACAGGACAAAAGCAAAAGATAACATGAACCGATCTGGTACGCTTACTGTACTGACGTATACTACTGTGCCGGGACTGACATGAACATATTCAGATGGACTTCTCCTTCTATACCTCAATGGAACGGTAAAGATTCCATGGACTTACAAATCAAACTGCTTTCGTACATCTTCACCAGACTACGAATCAACAAGCTTTCAGCCTTTCCCACCAGTTCCGGGTCTCTCAAATACCTAGACCTGACTACTATAAGTGACTCCAAAGAAGACCAAAAATACGGGTTAAATACGTTCTTGGAATTGCTCCTCAATGATGAGTATCGAGTACTTGTTGATTTCATTAAGAATAAGTTTAGAGCTTTTTGCATTCTACTTGATGATTTAGGTGGTGATAATAATACGATAACCTATTTGGTTGATCAGAAGAATAGGCCCATGAAAGATTTCAGATTCATATATCTAACCACAAGGGATACCACCGTTGAACAAATAGCTTCGACGTTAGCGTCTTCGGATATTTACTGTGAACATCGAGTGCCAATGAAAGCCCGGTATCAACATGCATTGAATCTGATCGTTGCAATCATTGCTAAACAAGCGACAGGAAACATGATTACTGTTACCACTCAAGAGGCAACGGCTATCATACGACTATATTTGGAGACTATGGCATTCAATGTTCAATTGAACAGGATATACGATGAAACAATAAAGAAACAACTCATATCAACACCTGTCACTATACCATCGTCCTCAACTCCTCCAACTTCCCCTCGAAAGCCTGTTTCCAATAATGACTCCAGTCCTACCAAACGGCCTACATTAAAGTCTAAACCATCTATTCCGAGATTCCAATTGGACACTTTATACAAGCCTCAACTTCCTACGCCTACTTCACCTGTTAAGGCCAGTGCATACTTGATTCATTCTCCTTCAAGAGCAAAATCCCCTACTCGACTGGATACAAGTTCGTCTTCGGCTGAGAATAAAGACATTCGAATATACGAAAAATGTCGTCAGGCAGTTCAAGCCCGTATAGATTCAGAAAGATTGAAGGTGGGGTCACGTGATGCATAGAGTGGGTGTACTTATTTAACATTAATGTATTAATAATGTGTCTTATTAATGTGTCGTATTAATGTGTCGTATTAATGTCTGTAGTAATGAAATTGTCTGTTTTTTTTTATCTCCACATATAACTCTTATCTCCACCAGATTCGCATGAAAATCAAACCCACATCAACCCCATTGCACTGACTCCATTCATCTTAGTCTCGTACCACATCCAATGTCTTCCGTACTTTCCCTCTACAGATTTCGGATTCTCAGATCGTACCTGAAATCAGCTAAACATGCTGCCACCTTATTCGGAGGCGGGGCTCGACCAACGTACAAACAAGAAGACTTCACTCCACCAACTAAGCAAGCAGTAACCAACCCCGTGGATATCTTGAAGAGAAACGATGTGCTTGCATTCAGTGCCAAACCTGTCAACTACATCGAGACAGTGTCAGACAGAGGCTTCCACTTGAGCAACCAGGTGTTGATAGAACTGACGGAGGGTAACATCACCGGATGCATGCTCATCGGGAAGGAAACGTTTGAGGTGGACTTTAGTAATAACGGAGTGGAAATTGACGGAATTAACGTGACTTTTGATCAAAGCATAATGCAAGTGTTTGATAAAATCCACCCTAAACCCGAAATCTTATGTATTGGTTTGGGCAACAAATCAAGACGTTTGGCTCAAAGTAATAGAGACACATTGAGTCAATTGGGTATTCAAATCGAAACAGGTCAAACAAGAACAGCTGCAAGACTCTTTGATTTGTTAAGTACAGAGAGACCAGGTGTAATAGGTGCTTTAATGTTACCACCGAACGTATGAACTAAGTATATAATGAAATCAAGACATATAAATAATAAGCACCGTCATTAATATATAAATAAAAATAGAATGGTTCAGTCCCATTTCTGGGGGGAGTAATTGGGATAATTCATAATATGGGAATGCTGAGGTGTGCTCATGATCATACTGCCATTCATATTGGTTGTTTCCAACGTATGCATTCCCTGCTGTAGTTGAGGGTGTGAAGTTTGGTGATGAGCATTCTTGGGTGGTGGCATGACTGCCTGTTCCATAGTAGAGTGATGTAATGGTAAATGCTGTTGGTACATAAATTGTTGATGTTGCTGCTGTTGCTGCTGTTGCTGCTGCAGTTGTTGTTGAATATACTTCAGTGTATTGGGTGATGCAGTAAGGAAATTTCCCAGTGGTTGAACAGAATTGGAATGATATCCAATAGAAGAAACCAAACTATTCATATCAAACGACGTATGGTCAGTTATATTAAGGTTAGAAGTATTGGCATTGGAAAGAATACTAATCTCTTTGGAAGTATTAATTGATTGGTCGGCATTTTGGACCATCAGATTATTACTGTTGGGATGAAGTATGGCATGAGACATTGAAGGTGATAAATGTGATAAGTATCCTGGATTCTGAGATTGCATCATCATCAGTGATCCTTGATGAGGAAATGTTCCTTGATTTAATGATTTTTTGGTCTTTTTCTTTTCATTCTTCTTCCCAGATGGTGATAATGATGTTCTATATCCATTGGGATTCATTGATGAATTTGATGTATTAGAATTGGAACTCTTCTTGCTATTATTGTTAATATTATTAGTAGTCCCAATATGTGGAGGGTTCTTGGAATTCATTAATGTATGAACATCAGTGAAAATGATTTGAAACTTGTTAACTCCACCTTTACGTTTTTGTTTATTATTGTTTATGGGAGCCTTCTTCTTGCTTTCTTGGAATACTCCCATCATAGGAATGCCAATGTCATCTTCAATCTTTATTCTTGTTGGGGACTGTCGACGATTTCCAGGTGAAGCAGAAACGTTCAAATTGGTAGTGGAAGTGGTAGACTTAGCCTTTTGCAAGGGAGTAGAAGAGAAACCAGTTGGTGATGTTTTGGCACTTGAATTAACAACAATTGTGGAAGGTGATGAAAGTGGTATAGTAGTTTTCCCTTTGGGTGTTTGGAAATTATTGATTGCCAGATTATGAGCATTACCTGCCATTACAACTGTGACCCCCGTTGAATTCTTGGGAGTTCTTGCAACTCGACTCTTGGGAATATACTTCTTACTTGGTGTTTGAAGGAATGAATTGTTCTTCTCGTAATCATCGTCTTCATCATCAACATTGTCTTTATCATCATCATCATCATCAGCATCATCAGCATCATCAGCATCATCATCAGCATCATCAGCATCATCATTATTATCTTCATCATTGTGATCTTCGTCATCATTTTCATCGTTACCGTGATCTTTATCTTTAAGTGTGGACTTGTCCTTTATTGGAAGAATGTTCTCTTTGTTTTCACCTTCCTTCAAGTTGCTAAGCAATTTGTGAGCTTGTCTTGGAGGTGTGTCAACCTGAGAAATGGATCTTTTTTGCTTATTCATGACTTCCTTAGAATTAGCCTTACTACGGGATAATTCTACCATAGGAGCTCGACTCTTCTTAGAATTGGAAAAGTCAAGCAATTTGGCAACTGAATTGGGGATCAGGTTTGTACCAATTCTAAATTTAGAAGGAGTAATGCTTTCCGATTGGTCTCTGAAAGGAGTTGAAATAATTACCTGTGATCCGTTTGGACCTGAATGTGATCCATTTTGATCAGCAATAGGAGAATCCATGAAAAAGTCAACTAACTGGTACGATTTATCTTGGAAAGGTGTTACACCTAAAGAACCCGCATGACTCACTGAATTTGAATATTGCAATTGTAATTGAAGTTGTTGTTGATTATATTGGTTAAGAAATGGAGTCAATGATAAATCCACCATTTCTCCAGGATTCTGATATTGTCCCCCCATTGACCCGAGGAAATGGGTACTGGCAGATGTCCCTGTTGCCGCAGCAGCAGCCACCTGATTCAACCCTCCAGGGGCCGCAGGTGTGTTACCAATCGTTGTGGTCAAATTCATTCCTACACTATTGCCAAATCTATTGGGGGTGATGTTCAAATTGGGGTATTGGTCGATTGTCTTAGACATGACCGGTGTCCAGCCTGGAAATGGCGTACCAGTGGCACTAGGCATGAATTTACCCAACGGAGGGTTATTGGAAGCGTTTGTCAGACCCACATCTTGGTCCTTAGGTACAAATAGTTGTGGATCCAACCTTGAAGGTGAAGACAGCAAGAAGTTATGGGCCATCGTTAAACAACAAAGCAGAGAAAGCAGATTAAAAAGGAAGGGATCGAAACTATCACGAGATTCTATCTGGGATGTTTTTTTTTCGTACTTTATTTAGACCGGATATGAGATGTTGTTTTTTGATGATGGTATTGCTATGTGATGTTGGCTTGATTTGATTCAGTGGATGTATCGGCTTCAATTGGGTGCTTTTTGTTCGGGAAAAAAAAGAGTCAAAACTAGTGACACTAATAGAAGCAATGGAAACACTCAAGTATCGAATATTCCCCTGCAAGAGATGCTTATATCGTTGGTGTTTGTTAACAAATAATGTGGTGATGTTTTAATCACCTTTAAGTTTTATGTTTACTTTGTTGCGTTTCATGTGAAGGAGAGTCGTGCGCCAACAAAAACCTAAAGCGTGTTTTTGTGGCATGGAAGAAGGGTTAACCTAACTTACTTTTACCAACACTTTACAAAGTGACGAGCCCCGTACACCAACAATTAGTGATCAAGATCATGTATAATAAACATACATACAAACAATACAGTTAGAAGTGAAAAAGAAGGCTTGTAGAAATAACAAGCTTTTGCACCAAGACAAGAGCAAGCATGGCATTTCTTATCTTATCTTATCTTGATATGATAATCCATACCCTCTTTTGCTGATGAAAGAAAACACATATAAAAACAAAAAAAGACAATCAGACTGAACTGAACTGGCCTAGCCTAGCCCATTTAAGCGGTTTGCTTGTTTTCTTCTTCCCATTGTTGTTCGGTGGTGTGCAAGTGTTCAGTTTCTTCAGCCAAATCAGCAACGTCATCATCGTACTCTTCTTCGTGACCAGCTAAAGACAAAGTAGGTCTGACAGCAGCAGAGTCAAAGGTCCATGAAGCCAAAGCATTTTCACAGTCAATGATGATTTGTTTGGATGCTTCGTAACCATCGTAAGCAGGTCTGGTTTCACCAGGAGTAACAGGAGATTCATCCAACAATTCCAAAAGAGCCTTACCGTAACCAGCAATTAAGGCAATCTTTTCAGCGTGTTCTCTAACAGAGTCAAATTGATAGTTGAAAGCAGTCTTCAACTTTTCTCTAGTAATGTTAGACAATTGAGCTTCAGCAACCAAGGACTCAGCTTCAGCTCTAACCAATTCTTGTTCCAAAACGTTAATCTTTGGAGATTGAGGATCCTTGTACTTGAGGTAAGCAATTTGATCAGTGATTTTTTGCTTACGTTCTCTGGATGGTTGAACACTACCTTCAATATCTCTGATGGACTTGATGGTAATTCTGTATTGATCATACTTGTCAATGAATTGATCTTCCAATTCACCAACTTCATACACTAAAACACCCAACTTATCAGTGATATCAGAGATATCATCATCGTTGGATTCACCCCACACACTCAATTGCTTAGCAACGTCTTTACGTTCACGAGCAGTGATTTCAATGGAACGCATCAAATTCTTCTCCATTTTGATCAATTGAGCCAACTTACGGGCCAATTCTGGTCCCATAGCACCAGCAGCAGATTTACGGAATGAATGGGAAAGAGATCCCTTACCGAAAAACTTTGACTTGGTTGAGGATGTTGGAGGTGGAGGTGATTGCAATTGAGCAGCCGTTGGGGCTCTCTGAGATCTCAATGAGTATGTTCTGTGCATGGTTGGGTTCGTTCTACTAGAAAAGATAATAAATTTACTATCGCGTCGACGTCTTTTTCAGTGGGGAAATTCCTTGCTATTTATACTCGCAATTTTCTCGACAAAACTCAGGAGGTATATACAGAAGCAGACGAGAGGGAAATTACAGGAAATAAATCTCACAGAGTTCAGTCTTTAATTACTGGAATGTGACCTTAATGAGATTAGATTAATCCCATGATTATTCCTGCTACTTTTCATATCATCATTTTGAAACAGTCACGGAACACAATTGACTCAATTAGTACCCCTAAGACTAGTATTACCGAGACTACTACTACTATTGCAGTTAATATTGTAGTTGTTTACATTCAATTGCAAGCACCTGGGGTCACGGAACTCAGCGAGATCCCCATGTTGCTATGTAGATGATTTGACTACCTTTATTGTCTCTTGATAGTCGATAGAAGAACACATTTCCCTTCAATACTGCACACTGGTGTCGAGTACTGTCCCCTCAACATGTCATTCACCCGGCTGCAATTGTGACAAGGAAACTCTATTATATTCTTTGCAATTCGGTATCTATTACAATCTGTCGACAACGTTCATGCTTATGTGTGTATAGTGAGCCAGCTTTGTACGGCCACCCAATGGTGTTTTCTTCTTGAACATGTAGCCGTACTGGGCATTCAACGCATTATCTCATTCGCCGAAAAATCTGGAATTCCAGATGGACGTCATAAGGCTGTGCCACTCCAGAAGGTAGGCGATTACATTATACTATACTATAAAGCTTTAAGAAAATTGTGGTACTTGTTGTTGTGAATCATTTTACTGACAAGATGTACATGTTTATCAAGCAGTAGTTAGCTATCCTTTTACGTGATTGTGTTGCTATATGTCTTACCTTGAAGATAAATAGTGGGCTGGCTTTCTAAAAAGGGCGTAAAAAAGGCGCAAGAGTACCGTGCTTAACTACAGAGTAAACATGGTAGCGCGGACATCTTTACCTAAAGTGAGAAGGTATAGCGATTAGCAGATCAAATGTGTGTTATAACTAGTTGAAACGGGTTGAAACCTTTCTGTAATATTGGGTACTTGCAGATTTCTAATTGATGTCGGCTAGTGGATCATCTTTTTATAACCTCTTGAAATCAATCACACCTTTCAACCCCAATACTTGTATTGTTATGAACAATAATTCAGGATCCATTACACTTCCCAATTCTAAATGTAATTTTCAACCATGCCTTATCTCCACCTTCCATGCATAAACTGCATTCGTGTATGCACAAAATGCTACTTCCAGTGATGCATTAAAATACACATCACCTTTCTTGATGTACAAATGACTATATATACATATACAGTAAGTATACAGCGATTTTTCAGATTGTGTTCTCAAACTGTTGCATTCAATAAGGTTGTTTTCAGTCTTGTGTTCCTTTTTTCTCCTTACTCAATTTTATCCACCCATACTACCCGCTATACGTTTTCAACGCGACTACTATCCATTTTTGATTTTCCGCGAGCAGTACTCCAGTGTATATGTCGCCGTCTCCTGCCATTTACAGCATTAACGGCACGCGACCTCCACCCAAATTTTTCACTAAGTAGATACTATCAAAAGATGAGACAATCTATACTTAAGCACTCCACTAAGTGTTCGTTCTTTGAGTATTCATCCAACTCAACTCCACTCCATTCCAAATAGGTCCTAAAGTTGGAACACATCACCACATATGCCTTCGCTTTTTCATAAGTATAATAAGCTCTTACTTAATCACCCCTTTAAGGCCAACATGGTGACTACTGGGGTGCTCTTCGCTACTGGAGACATCTTGGCACAAGCGATGTTTCCTCATGTTGATCACCTAGATAATGATAATCCTGAAGAGCATAAGGATACGTCCTTATGGACAACATTTCATTATCCTCGTACCCTTCGGGCAATGATCTACGGATCATTTTTTTTTGCTCCCATTAGTGTTATGTGGCAGACAAGAAAGTTACCACTGATTAAAAACCCTTTTATTCATAGGTATAGACAAATATGGCCACATTCCAAAATCCATTTTTATGATTCAACTTGGAGGTTGTCAATCGATCAATTATTCATGCCAAGTTTGGTATGGATTCCTCTCTATAATACCGTTATGACAGTACTTGCATTACATGACAACCCATTACATTTGGCTAAAGAGAAGTTGGAAAATAACTGGTGGCGTGTATTAAAGGCCAGTTGGACTGTTTGGCCAGCGTTCCAATTTGCCAACTTGATGTGGACTCCTGTTCATTTACGTATCGTGGCTGCCAACTTATGGAGTGTCGGTTGGAACTGCTTCCTTAGTTTTGTTCACAACACCAAAGGTCATGGTAAAGGCAGTGGTAAGAAGTTGGAAGAATTGGTTGATATCGAAACTGATGATGAAGAGCAAACTATGGTTTATTCATGAACATTGCCAATCTCTTACCCGCACATTATGAAATTTCCCCACTTGAGATTTTCAACATGACTCGAGCCTTAGATGATGAAGCAATAAAGCAATACTTAACACGGACTGATAATCAGCCACTGATAGTCACGGACTGACGCAACCAACATGTATGGAAGATTAATCAAGAAGCACCCTGTGGCTATCAATTGCTTGACAGCAATGGGACTTTTTTCGTCTGGTGATGCGATTGCACAGTTGGGGATCGAACATAAATCTGAATGGGACATGAGTCGTACAGCCAAAGCAGCTACTTATGGTATCATATGGGCACCCATAGGTGATAGATGGTACAAGATTCTTGGACGTATAGGCGGAGGGAAAAGTGGGATTGTGCCTACGTTAAAGAAGGTGGCCATAGATCAATTAGTTTTCGCTCCTACCGTTGGTATACCATTATACTTCACAGCGATGGGGGTACTAAATGGGAAGCTGGTGTCGGAAATTCAATTGCAGTTAAAAACAAAATGGCGTGACACGTTATATTCCAATTGGATGATATGGCCGTGGACTCAAATGGCCAACTTTTATATTGTTCCAGTTCATTATCAGTTGGGTGCCAGTAGTGTTGTTGGATTAGGGTGGAACTCGTATCTTAGCTGGAAGAATTACCAGAGCATTTCGAAGAAAGGTTAAATAGTAGAATGTGTAACAATAGCATAGATTATTATAGAATACAATACAACAGTATAGCACCATATTGAGAGAACACCCGTACAGTACAAAAGGGTATAAGTGCATTTCTACTACAGAAGCAACATTTGACAAGATTGACCCCAACGGGAAGAAGAGACGTATAATTACTGGAGTGGAATCAATGGAGTCAATGGAGGGCATAACGTAGTAGGACATAGCGTAGCGCCGTATAACATTATCGTTTAGTGTACACTATACAATTTTCTATGCTATAGCACTGACAGCTTCGTCAAGAGTTGTTATCTACAGTATAAGAAAACAGCAATTTTTTTTTTCAATTGCAAAGCGTTACATAAATGAATATGATACTGTTTCAATTTTTTTGAATGGTTTGATGCTTCTGAAATGGTCATTACAACTAAACATTAGCCTCCGTACAGAAATCCTAGTCCATTGAAAAAGATTCTTTCAACGTGACACGCATCATAATAGTACATTTGTAGGGAGAAGACGAATAGTAAACTTAATAGTATCAACCAATTACTTCTACTGCTGCTACTACCATTACTACTATTTTGTTTAACTCCGTCCAATTTCACTAGTTAAGTAAAACAGGCTAAATCTCGTCTCCACAAGCAGGAAAATACCCCTGGAGGTATAAATGATACGGTCGTGTCCCTACGCTAAAAGCTCAACATCAAATAAATTTCGAAAACACCCCGGCTGCTGAAAACAGCCAATACAGTGGAGTATATAACCAAAGTTTCAGGTAACGGTTGAGGACATAGAGATCGTTAGAGGGAAACGAAATAATTACCAGCTAATACCATTGCAATACCACGTGATTGCACACACAGTAGTGTTTTGTTTTGTTTTGTTTTGTTCTGTTCAATCTGCTTGTCAAAAGGTCCATAAGACACCCCTCTAGAAACAAATAAAGTCAAAGGCGATAATATTATTACTGCTACTCTTATTATTATAAATCACTTCAACCAAACAAATTCGAGTTGAGTCTCCAGCTTGTGTGCATCATTCAGAGTAGAAGAACGATTGATCGTCTGGTGTCCCACTCTCCTTAATTGATTTGTTTCATAGAACATTACTTTGATATCTTCCTTTCCAATTGATACGTTGCTAAGATGATGAAAGGATTTAAAAACAGGCTCACGAGGAAAAGTAGTAGTAGCTCCACATCCAAAAAGAGTGATAAACGTGAAAAGGAGTCGTCCTCTTCTGCTTCACCATCGCTGTCTTCCGGAAAGGAGTCATCCAAAAAATCAGATTCCTCAACTACCTCCAATAGTCCACTGGGAAGGAAGGATAATTCATTGAAGCTGGCCTTTTCACCCCGCTCGAACTCCGCTAGTCCCTTGTCAGTTAAATCTGGAGCTTCTTCTGGTTCTTCTTCACAATCACAACCACAACCTTCCCAACTGCAATCAGCTCAAACTACTACTACTACAGATTCTGCGGCTGGTAATGGTTCTGGCTCTTCATCAACCAAAACATCTACAGGATCAAATTTAGCTACCATCTCAGCACCTGAAGATGATATACAGAAGCAGAAAGCTGTAAGTCAATTTGCTGCTGCAGATGATTCAATGATCATAGATAGCACAGCTGGGGAAACTCCAACGTCACCTAAGATATCTATAAATGACTCTACTTCAAATTCAACCACATCGATCGGAGGAGGCCCATCACCACCAGCACCATCATCATCATCATCTCAGGGTTCTGTTAATCCAATGATGTCTGCATCTGGATCCATAGCTCCCTCTCCAATCACTCCTACGCCATCTTCTCCAATAACTACTACCACTATAGCGTCAGCTACCGGGATTGGGGGTGGAACTTCAAACTCCAGTAACTCTCAGGGTCCTTCATCTCCCGGAAGGGGGATTGGATCTTCTAGTACTGACACAACTATGGGTGATAGCGGACTCTTTGATCATATCAGAGTAAGCCACTCACTGCAACAATACCATCATCCTTTAAACCCCAACATTTCATCACCTAACAGAGATTCGCTCGATATTGATTTGATTGTTAGTCCAAAAAGACACAGTTCTTCTAGGTTTGAGCCTGTTACAAGTGATAAATATCAGGAGATTGTGAAATTACCAAACTTTGATGAAGTGATGCCTGAGGAGCAAATTGCCCTTTTTATACAAAAGATTGACCAATGTAACATTATGTTTGACTTTGGTGATCCCACATACGACATTCGTGGTAAAGAAATCAAACGTATTACCTTACAAGAATTGATATATTTCATTCTGAACAACAGATTCACTTATACTGATGAAATGTACAAACATGTGGTTTTGATGTTTAAGAACAATTTATTCAGACCAATTCCTCCTCCAGTAAATCCTGTTGGTGATCTTTTTGACCCTGATGAAGATGAGCCAGTTAGCGAATTGGCTTGGCCACATATGCAAGCAATCTATGAATTCTTTTTGAGATTCATTGAATCTCCTGACTTCCAGCATCAAATTGCCAAGCAGTATATTGATCATGAATTCATTTTAAGAATCTTAGAATTGTTTGATAGCGAGGACCCTCGTGAAAGAGATTGCTTAAAAACAACGTTACATCGGATCTATGGTAAATTTTTAAGTTTACGTAGTTTTATCAGAAAGCTGATTAACAATGTGTTTTTGCAATTTGTTTATGAAACCGAACGATTTAATGGTATTGGTGAATTGTTGGAGATATTGGGATCCATTATTAATGGGTTTGCCTTACCTTTGAAAGAAGAACATAAGGTGTTTCTTGTTCGAGTGTTATTACCATTGCATAAAGTTAAATCTTTATCATTGTATCACCCACAGTTGGCTTACTGTATTGTACAGTTTTTGGAAAAAGATCCTTCTTTAACAGAGGATGTCATTATGGGCTTATTGCGGTATTGGCCCAAGATCAATAGTCCTAAAGAGGTTATGTTCCTTAATGAAATTGAAGACATATTTGAAGTTATGGAACCAAATGAATTCCTCAAGATTCAAATCCCACTCTTTGCTCAATTATCAAAATGTATTGCATCTCCGCACTTTCAAGTTAGTGAAAAAGTACTTAGTTATTGGTCAAATGAATACTTTTTGACTCTTATAACTGAAAATGCAGAAGTGGTGTTACCAATTATTTTTGCAAGCTTATATGAATTGACTAATGCTACTCAACCAGGTATTGCTACTGGTGTATTACAACAGAAACTTTTGGATAATCCAGATGCACCAATTGATGCAAATGGTAATCTTGTTGATTCATCATTGATGCTCAATGACTTAAATGGTAGCAATGGAGTTAATTCCAATGGTACCTTGGGTCATCATGATATGAGCGAAGATGAATACTATGATAGTTTTGCCAATGCTCATGATCCTTCAGGTATGATGGGAGGTCCCAATGGTGGAGCAGATATGGATGATTTTGGTAATGGCATATTACCACATAATTCTGCAACCCTGAATTGGAATCGGTCTATACATTCACTAGCATTTGGCGCATTGAAAGTATTCATGGACCATAATCCGATTTTGTATGATCATTGCACGATGCTTTATCATCAAAGTTTAGAGGAACAAAAAGTCAGAGAAGCCTCTAGACGTGAAGGATGGAAGAGAATCGAAGAATATGTTAATGAGATTAGAGGGAAACAAAATTCAAATATATTATCTAATGAAGGTGTTACTGTTTCAGAATCCACGAACGCAACTGGAAGTGCTGAAGGTGAAGCAACAGTAACACCATAAACCAAAATTGACGACTGTATATATATATATATATATATAAGGTGGATGATACGATATGATATCTTGAATGTGCTGTCCATGACTTAAACTACTTTGATATTTGATAAGCGTATTTTGTATTATTCAGCCTCTATACTTTGTTTCTCTTGTATTTGTATGATAAAAGTTAAACGATTAATTTTAATCAACGTAAATACAGAATATAGACTTGAATAGACTTATAGACGCAGCGTTACGTTATTGAGTAAACCTTGTCTTCCATTGATGTATCATTGATACAAACCTATCAAGGCAATCATATCACGTGACAATTTGTGCTGGCGGACATCCGCGCAATTCATCTAGTTCACATACAAATTTATCATAGATCCTCCCGGTGGCCAAGCTGGTTAAGGCGCGAGACTGTAATGAGTATCCTCAAAGTAATCTTGAGATCGGGCGTTCGACTCGCCCCCGGGAGATTTTTTTAATTTGTTATTAACATGAAATGGAATGAATTATTCTATACTATTTAACAGTTCTAACTAATTACGACTCAACAATTCGAAGAAGTTCTTCCAAATATGTATCAGGATGAAACTGTCTCATCAGTTTTGTTAGTTCAATCAAGTACTCTATATTTTTACCGCTATCCCCCACACTAGTTCTTATAACCAGAGCAGTATCCATGATATTCTCTGGTCCAATATATGCTTCATTATCCAATGTTCCTAAATAGATCATTGAGGTCAAATACTTATGATTGGTTTTAGGGTGTACAGGCAATACAGACACTACATCTTCTTCCTCTTTAGAAGAACACTTATTATGCTCCGGAGAAATATGAAACTCGACTTGATGTGTGGAATATCCGTCTTGTTCTCGTATATCCAAATACTCCTTGACTTCCGCCACCTTTTCCGATGGAATGTAATAAGCAACACACCACACTTTTAAAGCATCATGAGGAATAGGCACTTCTTGTTCACTCAGGGGGATTTCATGGCCAATTAAATGATCTATGTATTCATTCCGTTTCTTTATGAGATCCTTATGAGACACTAATGTTACTACTCTACCAGGATTAGCAGGAGTACCACGATGATCTCGTGATTGCATGTAAAACCTTCTGATAAAGCCTGTAAGATACCCCTGTAACCTAAACGTGTAATGTGGCGGAGGCTTCCATATAAGTGAGCCGTATCCGAGAACCCACATCCCTTCTTTAGGAGTGTCAATAGTCATATTTGATTATGCGATTACCGTAAAGTCCGGCGAAGTCATTGTTGAAGTAGCCCTCTTGTTCTTCAACTTTTCAAGCTAGAATGTCCTAATACCAAAAGTGGGTAGTGACCAATGCTGACGTAAGCATTATATATTTGGGTAACGTTATTCTTTTATTTTTTTATTAATATGGAGTACTCGCTCGGTACATTCCTAAATATAAATGTATTCTAAACACATTCCTGGATCAATAACTTTAGTAATAAGGATTCCAATGGATTCTTGGATGTTTAAGATTTACGAGATCCACGTTGGAAGTTTCTAGTCAGAGTCCCAGGAAACCCCTAAAGATATAAATACCTATGAACAACAATTGAATCAGGAAGTTGGCGAACTATTTGAATATGCGCAAGAAAGAGAATATGCGGTAATGATTCAGAAGGCTGAGAAAGAGCCCAGATACTTCACAGGCAAAGAGGAGAAGCAAATCTGATTTACGAGATAAAATCACAGTACAAATATAATATGGTAATAATCACAATTATGACATCAATACTTCATCTCCCCCTCCCTTCTCTGATTCCATTGATTAAGCTAATTAACAATAGTAAGTTTTATATGATTGAATTGGAGGCTAATGGGATTATGTGTCACCAAGAGAAGAGATTTACAATATGCAGTCGAGGCAGCTGCCGCCCTAGGAAATCGGCCTGAGATTTTATTGCCGACAGCCCCTATTGCTAGGTGTAAAGGAGTAAACGAAAAAACCGGGCAATATGCAAAAACGACATACAAATAGAGATGAGGTTGATTTGATGTTGAAAGTTGAAATTAGTGCATCTGGAAATACATATGAAAAGTTATTGTAAGATGGAATGGTGACGTAAATGTAGTTGCTGTAGACGCATTATATTTCAACTCTAACCATAGTTCAACAATCAACGGACAACACAAGACAAGGCAAGACTGTTGAAGACTACTTGACATTAAGAATTAAATTAAATATGCGTGACCGTGACCAGAATATATATGTTATTGTTAAACCATGTGCCATGAGTTCAGTTCTTGGTTTGCTGTCGAAAAATTTAGATAATGTAGCCAAGTTATTAATTTGTTATGTTCAACGAGGCTTAATCCTTTGTCTCTCTTAGTGACTGTGGTTTGTACCCTCTGCAGCCGTAGATCGCAACTATCACTTACAGATGACTCTGTGATGGAAACTCGCATCCGATGGGCTTTTTTCACTTTCCTTTTTGGGACTGAGGCATAGAAGTCTGGATTCCGGTCCATTTTTGTGAGTTACTCTACAGACCTACAATATATACCGTACTTGGCGTATTGCTTTTAAACTGATATGTCCTGTTGCATACAATACAAATACAGACAAATTTATATACATATATATATGTATTTGAGCCTTCTCCTTATATTTGACGTACCATATTAATATTAGTATTGTTGTTGTTATTGTTATTGTTGACTGCGACCTCATTAATAGGGATATACAGGGGTCATCTGAAGCCCATAGTTAAAGGTCCTGAGAATCAAGTACATTCATAACATAACATAAGGTTTAGATCGTTTGAAGGTCAGCCGTGACAGACAGCAAGATCGTATACCAAGACATCTTGGTTGCTATATATATATATATATATATCAAATCTTGGACTCAAACCTCGATCCTGACTCATTAAACTCCCAGATGTACAATGGATATAGATAGGAAACGTCACACTTTCTCCAAGGTCTTACGAAGGCTTAAGCAGGCCAACTTGTCTCGAGTTAAAGTACGGATCCATAGATCACGACTCAAGCTAAAGCTTTATTCTCAAGATGGGTCAACAAGGGATGTTGTCACCTCACTACCTTTGAACCCACCTGAATATTCCATGGTAATATCAGATGAAAAATCCCAAACAGAATATGACGATGATGAACTGTTTGATGAATGTGATGACAAGGGTGTCTTAGGCAATATTACTACGGATGATACTACCACGGTTACTGTTGGGATTACCAGCACTCCTCCTACGTTATTAATACCAGCTTCCGATCCACGTCGAAGTTCAAGTCCAAGTCCAAGTTACACAGCTGCTTCAGTTGAATATGTTCCCGTCTACGGTGGAGCCAAAACCACTAGAGCGAACATTAACAGTAACAAGAATAATTACTATAATACTACTACTACTGCTGCCGCTGCTGCTGCTGGCTTTCATACGAGGAATAAAAGTGTTAGTCCAGTACGAGATAATGGCCGACCGCTAATATTATTCAAGTCGCAAGTTAATGTTCCCGTGCGAAAAAGTCATTCTCCGGAGCCACCCACTAGTGAACGGGTTACCAGCACTAGTGAGACAAACATAAAGGCTAGCGATAACAATAGTAAGTCACGTGTGTCGTCACGAACTATCAAATTGATGGTTCGTAATCATACGTTGGTGGTAAAACATGGGGTATGGTTTAGGAGGTTGCAGTACGGGGTTATTGTTTATTTATTCTATGTAATATTATTTGGTTAGATAATGGGTAAGTTGGGTTAAGCATCGTATGTTGTAAATCTTGATAATTGTGTGCGTACCATAAGCGAACACAATAGTGAATAAGAAGGTTTTCGAACGAGTAAAAAATATAGGGGTAATTTACTCTTGCTTTCACTCTTAACCATTCGTGACCTGATTAGTTATTCTGTTGCTCGTTTATGGTCTCTTAGGTCCCAATTTAGGTTAGGCAACTCGACCTCTTTCGATACGGAACTATCACATATACATAAACACATATGTACCATATATGACATGCATATACGGCTTATGTACCGAATTAATCAGCACATAGCCCTACCAATAACATGCCACGTTACCTTTCCCCATCACATAGCCCATCGATTGTTGTAACATCGACACTAAACCCCAACACCAAAGCCCGGTTCACTTGAGAAATCTGGGGTCGAGTCGTTCACAACCTACCACGACTTTCGGAGCAAAGCTAAGGCCGACGGTAATCTCCGCTGGCACGGAAATCGATCATGCAATGTTTATGTCCACCTCTAACTACTTTATTGTATATTGTTATCTCCTACTATAACCACTTTAACTTGTCGGCGTTTGCAGTCAACCACAACTGGGTAGTGATATAAACTGTTTGGCTTATTTACGTCCTGGCAAGGAAGCTAGCGCATGGCATACAAGCAAGATTATTGAAACCAATGATGATTATTCTACCATAATAAAACCCATGTGTATAAGAAACCTAGAAACCAATATAAATAATAAATAATAAATAAATAAATAATAAGAACAACATCGTAAGTCATGAAACTAAAACACGCTCTCTATTGTATAGATTGCATCAGTATGCCTGTGATGGTGGTGGTGTTGTTGGTGTGGGTGTGGGTGTCCAGCACTTTCCACCATTTGTTTCTTATTTCGAATTTCAACAGGCTCAATGTATGTAGAGTGGTGGTGGTGTTTGTGATTCATATTCTCATCATCTGATTCCAGATCTGAAGATGAAATTGATCTTGTTAATTCTGGTAACTCGGAAACAGATACAATATCTGCCAAGTCGATTTCTTCTGGTCCTTTTATATTTTCTTCTTCAAACTCCTCTTCTTGGACGCTTGATAATCCCACAACACTGTTGTTTCTACTTAATGGATATCTGTAAATCGAGGTGGGAACAGCAAACGATAATTCATCATCATCATCGTCGTCATCATCAGAATCACTGTAGTAGTAATCGTTTTCTTCATCAGAATCAGAATCAGCCAAATCAACTGAAAGCTCGTAAGAAGTAACAGCATGGCCAAGAGCTTCAACTTGATTGGAAGCACCTCTGTGTAAACTTTCGATATCTTCGTCTTCGTCTTCGTCGGAGTAATAGTAATCATCTTCACTATCACTGTCACTATCAGAAGCAACTTCATATTCAGTAACATGTGATTGATGGGTATAGTTAGGAGTGGATTTAGCCAAAGGGCTCAGGTGTTCAGGGGTAGAAGATTCTTTTTGAGGTAACAGAAATGATACACGACGAGGTGTAGAAGCAGCTGTCTTTCTATCTCTAGCACGCTTTTCTGTTTCCTTGGTGATGTGGTCCATAAGGTTATCAAACAAATTAGCTTGAACAACCAAGTTCCACAACAGCGACTTTGGGTTGGCGGCTTCCTTGGTCAACTTATTTTTAACCTTAGAAGCCAATATGTAAGTTTGGGCAAATGTGAGGTTTGATGCCTCAGCTTGTGAACCGTTCATTATAGTAGTGGTAGTAGCAATAATTAAAAAAGAAAATCAATTTAGTATTAGTGTGAAACTGAGTTGATAGAACAGCAATTGATTGTGATTAAGTAATTGATGTCTTGATTGAAGTAATTTAATGACTACAAAAGTATTATGTCTTGATAACTGTCAAGACTTTACGACTGCTTTTATATGTCCGCCACCCGTAAGTATGACTAAATCCATCCAGGTTGCAAATGCGTAGCAAACCACCTCAAGTACGGCTTATTGTTCCAGGAGTACGGAGAAAAATAATCGCACAAAACCTTTAAATCTCCGGCCCGATGAGTAATTGCATGAGTAATCACTTTAGGTGGTGGATGTATTTGTAAGATAATAGAGAAAAGTCCAGAATACAATAGTAATTAACACTTTATTAGCAATAGGAAACTTGAAAGAGTTTTTTTCCCTTGTTACTACTAATTACTACTGGGAGCCATGGTGTTAAAATGTGCACGATGATATTGATGGGATCCAATATTCCAATGTGTTAGAGTGATGATGAGTATGCAAACTTGATGCTATTCGTTGACCGATCGGTGCAACTGTCGTATCCGATAAAAATAATGTCTATTATAACTCGGATCCGCATCTAAATTCTGTCAGTCCTTGTTGTATGCATGCAATAGTTATACGGGTATACCTAAATTTCTCGGGTTCCCAGAACAAAAAAAAACACAACATCCGCATTTTTGTCGGGGGCAACAAATTTTCGGTCGGACACCTGGTGTGGTGACTTAGCTTCTTGAGCAATAACGGTTTACATTCGTTCTAGACAATGACCAACCAGTTCTATTGTCGGACAGACTAACGAATATTCGATCCATAACCTTCCGATTAACACTTGCAAGCCGTTGGATCCCACTCAAAAGATATCTTCTCAAGAGAATAACAAGATTACGGATTAATGCATTCCTATTTCTCTATCTACATGTGTGGTGGTTCATACTCTTGACAAAATAAGTTGTAACGCTCTACATTCACTTTCGTAAGCGTTGTTTTTTCCATCTGAAGCGGATACGGTGCTTACCTGTTTGAGAAATTATCTCCGACACATCTACGTTAACTCCTCCCACACACTGACCCCGACAAAGCAATTTTTGCTCAGTCACGCTAACCCATTATCTTTACTCATAGTAGCAATCGTAAATTATCGGTGACTAACGATCATGCTCAAATTGTTCTTTGTTCTGGTCTAGTCTGGTCTTTTCGTTTGTTCGATTTATCATATTCACTTCAACCAGTCGGTGATCGGTAATCGGCAATGAAACCTCCTTTTTCATCTGTCTCAATTGGGTAATAACATACCCGCCACACAGTAAATCCACAGTTCCGAATCTCACTTATGACAACATCGTACATTCTAGATAAGAGGGCACTGCTTATTAACTCAAATAACTTTAGCAACCGTTCAACTGAGCATCCTCTGGAAAATTCTAATGCTGCTGCTTGGTTTACTATTTACTTTCTCAATGCGACAAAGCTTCTGCCAGCATTCTCGTAACTACATAGTGTCTGTCTATTTTCTCAGTTCATGTTAAAAATTGTTTATTCCCTCATCGGCACATGACATCAATTTTTAGAATTAAAATCCGAGCGGTTTTTGACCTCATTTTGCTTCGAACTCGAATTTCGCTCGTTGTACGGTCAGCCCATGCATATGTCAAAATCGAATGTTGGGGTCCCCGGCTTATTATTCTCCAGGTCGGATCCGCACCACCATTAATCTTCCCCTCACATAACTTACAATATTCACCACAAGTCATTCGACTCTGAGTTTTGGGATAACTTTCGTTTTATAGTTTCATTGTCATCAACAACACCAACCCAAATGCCACGTTCAATCATGCTTTAGCCATGAATGATATCTCCATCGAAGACATAACTTCTTTGCTTGGGTGCAAAACTATTTTGACATGAGGTCGTGCATGGATTTTTTTGATCAAGACCCTAACACCCATCATGTCAATGCTAATACTACAAAGCTAGCCCCTACAAATGATGGTTGCAATCATTTCAGTGTGGCCAATTGATTGCCAATGGCTCTACAAGTTCAAGATATGAAGTTAGAATTTAGTGGAAGACGCAAATAACTTTCACTACGCAAACACTTTCTGTTGATTCATTTGATTATCAAGCAAACTCTCTCATGCTAATGAATACTTAAAGATATCATCCCAAACTACTGTCAATTTTGACTTGTAAATATCATCAGTGTCCAGTTGCTTTCCATTCTCTTCATCATCATATTTCCTCTACATTATGATAATTTCTAACATAATTTTTTTGTATTAATAAAGTATTATACAGGGGATGTTCTTTCGTAACTCACGGAACTAGTACTTAATAGCAACCTTTAAGCTTAATCGAACAAACCGAAACCCATGTCATCGTCAGATTCTTCAGCAGCTTCTTCTTCCTTTTCTTCGGCAGCTGGAGCGTCACCAGAAGCAGCAGGAGCAGAACCGGTAGAAGCAGCAGCAGGAGCAGAAGCAGCGAAGGAGAACAACAATTCCTTCAAGTTTTGACCGTCCAAAGCCTTAGCGAAAACGTCAGCCCAGACTTGGTCAACTGAGGCACCAGCAGCCTTAGTGACAGACAACAAGTTGTCAGCGGAGATTTGGATTTCAGCATCAGCCAAGATCAAGGCAGCGTAGGAAATAGCAGCTTCAGAAGACATCGTTACTTTACCAATATATGTATATTCAAAGAAGTATCAAACCCCTAAACTGTCTGTATCTATACTTTTCTAAGATTGAAAAATTTTCGTCATAGTAAAGCGGGTGGGTAGGCATATTGCGCGCTACCGTAATTTTTTGTTGAAAGTAGAGATAAACACGACCAGATCTTTCAAGTGCGGGTAACTTTATTTAGGGCTTTACTCCTATCATTTTGTGTTCACGTGATGCAATGTACTAGGAAGTATTATCTATCTGTTACACTGAGTTCAATAGGTTCAAGTGATTTATTATTTGATTAAATATATACAAGAGAGCATCATAAACTAAAAGACCTTTTTTTTTATAAAAAACAGTATTTAATTATAGCTATAATAAAAGAATTGCTTAGAAGGAGAGCGGAAGCCTAAAATTTGATTACAAAAAGTTGTTAACTTCTCCCAACCAGTTTCTGTATTCCTTTTCTTCTTTAACTTCCGAGTAAGAAATAACAAATTCAGCTAATTCCTCGTTAATCCCTCTTTCTTCCAAATATTCTTCAAAGGCAACTTGTAAAGATTCATCCAAATCAGAGAATCTTGGACCTTGGTATTGGAATTTATCAATGAATTCACCCTTAGCAACGTTTTCAGTGACAAACTTAGTAGCATCCTTTTGGTAATTAACAAAGTCAACCAAGAATGACAGATCAGTGTTTTGCAAATACAAGTTCATGAATAAACCATCATTACGACCCTTGTTTTCAATTAAGATCTTAACGTTAGAGAGCATAGAGTCCATGGCACCATACTCTTCTTCCAAGGAATCTTCGCCAACTTCAGCTTCTTCTTCAAAGTTTTCTTCAACTGGGATATCAGTGATCTCATCAACATCAAAGTAGACATGAATAATGTTTCCATCAGATGCAGTCTTAACCAATTCAACAGCAGAAGTACCATCGGTTTCAATCAATGAGAACCCTTGCTTGTCCAAGTATTCTTGATAGGTGGCATCGAATTCCAATGGCAAAGACTTGGAGATCTTCAATTCAGAGCTAAGAACTTGCTTCAATTGAGAAGCAGTAGAATCAGAGTATAATCTCATCTGAGGAACAATGGAGGGTCTAATCCATTTGGTAGCCAAACGAGTAGCAGCAACTCTTGGAAGAGTCTTTAAAGTAGTATTGAACAATCTGGAAGCCATTGGTGACGAATGAATGGATAAAGTAACAAATAAGGAGGTTAATTATAAATGGGGGATGTGTAGTTTGCCGTAATTGGTTTAATTTCCTTTAATGAGTGAAAATTTACTCCATTATTTGGTCACATGACTAAATATGCAGGATTTCTAATCAGATATACGATGATCGTAGTCAGACATTTTAGAATAGAAAAATGGCATTAAATTACTACTGGAGTATATGAGTTTATATAAGCAATGTAAGTGCTGGTTGACTTCTGAGAAGTATCAAACGGGTATAAATATGCGTGTGTATGTGTGTGTGTAGAAAGTGACATTAAGTTTGAAACAGTAACCAAATTCACAGACACAAGTCGTAAACTTTTATTAGGTTCAGTTTCTTCAAAATTCAATCTGCCTGAGATAGTCTTGTACAAAGAGTGACAGTCTTCTGTAACGACGTTCTTGGTATTTCTCATAAATGGCTCTGTGGTTGCGTTCTGGATGTTGACAATTGTGTAATAAGACAGAAGCTAATGGTCTCAATTGAGCCTCGGTATATCCACTATAAAATACATGAGCCTCTGTCCAGTCTCCTTTATTTAACAATTGTCGACTTAGATAATGTGCTCCGGCTGCAAGCCAACTGGGCTGACTAGCAACAAACCTATGGTCCATGATAGTGATTTCAAGAAAGTATTTGGCTAAAGTCCGTGTTTCATAGTCGTAGTCATCTGCTTTACTTGTACGTCTAAGGAAACTCATAGGTCCTGGCCATCCCATGTCAAATTCAAGAACGTCAATCATAAATCGTTCTGCCTTTTTGAAATCATCAATGGAGTATACGTTATCGGCCATATACGCAACCTCTTGTATTGTTGGACAATTGATTTCTTCAAATTTGGCTGCGAGGAAAAGAGCCACTGCTCCAACAAGTTGAAAACGGGATAAACTAACTTTTCTTTTGGAAAGGAAACGATCAATATAATTAACTGCAAGATATAATGTTTCTGGAAGTAAACTGAACCGTTGATGTACTTGAACAACCCAATCCATTAATACGGCACGCATTTCCCATCTGAGTTCTTCTTGTCTATCAATATAATTTGGATCTGGAGCTAGCTTATGTTCCAACTCATGCATATAATTAAAAATCTCAGGTGCATACTCTGCAACCATTGTGGCATCATAAGTGTCCTCATCATTAGGGTCCAATGCTGCTCTAGAGAACTTTCTCATGACATGTTCGAGTTCATCAAAAATTTGACGATTCCATGGTGCACTTAATGGTTGGCTAAGGTCGATTTCCAACAGGCCTTCATCTTCATCATCATCAACAACATCGTTGTCATCGTCTTCCACGTCTTCTTCTACTTCTTCGTCTTCGTTAACGACTCTTTGTCCTTGTGATTGCATGTCTAGATTTTCACCAAGGATGATTGTATCTCTTTCTTCCTCTTCTTCTTCAAAGGAATTGGTTTTATCAAGGTGAACTTTCTGGTTAGTATTTAATGCTGCTGTTGTACGACTTATGGCGGATCTAAGGGACTCCTTATTCGAGCCAAGGTCTTCCTGAATGAACTGAGCATCAGGCTTACTTTGGCGGAGTTCGTCGTCGTACTTCTGTTGATCGATATCATCGATAACTCTTGTGTATAACTCTCTTTCTTCATCAAAGTCACTATTGCTTCGATAGTCTGATGATATTTGCATATTCTCTCTTTCAGCGTCACTGACATCGCTTGAAGAGAGTTTTACTTTTTTATTGAATCTTGAAGTTGATGCTGAAGGTCTAGATCCGCTGGAACGTGTAGTTGCATGGTTAACATCTAGAGCGCCTAAAACAGCTCTCCTTTGAGTTGAACGCTCAGATGAATTAGCAACAGAGCGCCCAGGTTTGGACTCACTGGATCTTGTAAATTGTTGTTTCAGGGCAGTATCATTCTCGTTGTTGATTTCTTGACGACGGAACATGATCTTAGAATAATGAATGGAATGAACTATAACAGGAGTTAAAAAGACAATTAAACAGTATGAAATTTTAAAAGCGAATGTAAGTAAGTTGGATTGGAAAAGCGAAAGTGGGCAGCGTTGTAGCCGTAAGTTAGTTAGTTAAAAAAAATAGTATCTGGATGTAAGAAAGTATAACCAAATCAAGTAGAATGTATGGATGCTATCAAGTAGAGTAAATGTCTGTGGATCAGTTTGAATGAGTGTAGTAGGACTGTGTGACTCAAGGACTCAGAGCATGAACAACGAAGGCAGGTGAGTAGCAGGTGAAAAACGACTCCTAAAGGCAAATGGTATCCCTTAGTGAGATGATCAGTAACGGTTGTATCAGTGTCGATACACAAGCTGCTGTTGGTATTAGTTGTGATGAACAAACAGTGATAAAGTGATGTTATTTGTTTGTTTGTTTGTTTGTTCGTTGTAAGTTGTAAGTCAAATATATGTTTTGGTTCGTTCCCACTACTACGATGTTTTGCACTAGTGACTGATCTTGTTGTGGTTGTACACGGCGGAATAACAAAGCAAAATATTGCAAAGCTGAGATTACTATACAACATAAACAATCGACCGTGCACTCCACAGAGTATCTTTGGCGTTCCTACAAAACGGTATGCCCCAAAAAGCTATTGTACTACCCAGGAGACTTTTAAGGCACGCTTTTTCCGAGCGGGAAGCATTATGCGTGCATTTGGTCCCATTGGCAAAAGGCACCTGTGTTGATGGCTAAGTGGCTTATCCTGTTAGGTAGTATGTTTTGTTTACTCCCCTGTGTGTTGGTCTTGTTTATGTTATTGTTGTAGGGATGATTTATTGATCTTTCGAGTCTTTGTGGAAGGAACGGTTTATTTTAGTGTGTGAACCAATAGCCTTGTGCTATGAACAGCACAATATGGTAGTAGTATTTCGCATACTACATTTGATTTACTCCTGCAATAGTCATGTCATTGAAACATTGAAGAATTCAAGACTGATACGTTAACACCTGTAACAGCTTACTGAAACTGAAAAGGAACCCTCTCAATGTTGTATCAGCAAGTTGTATAAACTAACCAGTTTCGTACTTATGAGTGACTTTTTCTATGGCTTTAATTGTACCTATAGTACTCTTCTTGTTCATATACAATAACACGTTGATTACAGCATCATATAAACATCTTATTAGCATCATCGAGCCATCATATAGACATCAAGTAACCATCAACTAAGCATGCATGCATAAATGTATGCATACGTTTAAAGTAATGTAGCTTACAACAATTCCATTCCATTCCTTCCATGCATGCTTTTACATCCCTTCTGCAGGTTCGCAGATCTTTACCAAACATTTTAGGGCATGTCTATGGCGTAGACAAACTACCTCTATCCTTGTGCTTTGTCATGCACTTTCATGGGCTAAGCTCAATCCGTATTCTTGGACATGTGCTTATACTCCTCGTATAGCTACTTTATGTTTGCAGCTTTATGGTTGCAGCTTTTATTATACACTCTTCAAGATATCTTTTTATCTTTCTTTCTCCGTTTTTAAAATGGCAGTCAACGTAATTTAGTCTTAGATTTCCCATATACTGGCATCAGAATCATTCATTTCTTATTGAGGAATAGTACTTGTTACGACCGTCGTCGAGACTTGTTTTTGGCTGCAGGAACGTAAGTTGGCTACCTACGATATGGTGTGAAATGCACATTGGAATCTTGTTTCAAGCGGTTAGAATTTGATCGCAAGGGCTCTTTCATTTAGTGGTTACTGCCGTTTACATTGATTAGATTCATTTGCGGTACTCAACTGTACAAGTAGACCATGTTGTGGCTTTAATTATGCTTTTGAGGCCCCTCCTGTATGGGGAACGAGGTTGTTATCCTTTGCTAAACCAACTACAAATAATGGAGCCTTTAATTTTGCAACTAACGATGGAAATTGTAAGGATATACTGTATCTGTTTCAATCTTATTGGTTACAAAATATTCTCTACAATAAAATCTTTAGATTCAATAATAAGTCTATACGAATTACATAAGCTACATATGCCATAAAATGTTGATACTTTTTAAGCTTGTTGACTAGCAGTATCAAACTCTTTGTAATTACCATCATAGCCAAAGATAGCGTTGTAATCAGCTCTCACGTAAGCCAATGTAGCAATATTACAACAGGCAATGAATGTAAACCCAGCAATAGCAATCATTGTTGCATCCAAAACATATTGATAAACTTCATGTTGAAAGATTTGACCTCCATAGCCTTCAATCATTCCTGCTAAACGGTAAATATTTCTCACAATAAGAAGTAGAAAGATCACAATCAATGCTAAAGTAAGATTTTTCCAATAGTATCTTGTTGCTTTAACTCTAATTTCAAATTCCAATTTCTTCCCTGTTAAGGTTTTGACTGCACTCGAATTCTTTATGAAGAAATGAATTAAGACCAAGAGAACGGTAACCAGAACCAATAATAAGATACTGAAACAAACAATAAGTAGGGCACGAGCGACATTATACTTGGAGGTATCGGTAGTAAGTAAAACTGAACCAGAGATTGCAAAAACCACAGCAAAAAGAATTTGGAAAAGAAACATTTTGGTTATCCACCACTCAGGTAATAAACAACTTCTTTGTGCGTTGTTAGTTCTAATAACTTCACCATAATACAAAATCAAACAAACAGTGAATGAATTGGGGGCAATAACAGTTAATAAAGTCAGAATCACGTATGGAGCTGTTTGATCGGGGTTCTTATTAATAAATATTCTGGCAATATAACCACCCATCTCAAGACCCATTGCAAGTTTGAACATATGAGCGATGATACTAAATCTCAACCAGTCTCTGTCAGTAGAAGTATCTTTATGCTTGGCCTTGAACCTCCTTTCGTGGCCGAGTTGAAAGACAAACATGAGACCAAACACAACAGAGAATACGATGGCAGGGGCAATTTTTGGAACATAGGTGAGTGTAAAGGCGACATCATCGCTAGAAGTTGAAGTTGAAGTCATATTATTTAGTTAAGATAAGTATACTTAAGATATAGAGAATCTTATAACGTAGAATATTTTTTCTTGGCTAACCACCGTTATTGCCTCTTATTTATATACGAGACTATTCAGCTTTCGATGAACAATTTGGATCCCAACTATTGTAGTCTCAGACACAACGACATTTTTTTGACAGCATACTATAGAATGTGTCGCATAGCCATAATTAGTGACGCAATGTTACACTCCCCGATATGTCGAGCACTCTTTGGTAGGTAACCACATACAATAAGATGAAGCCGTTCAAGTCAATTGTTATTTGATTGTTCTATCGTAATTGGAACAAACTGTATGTTAGCGACCCGCATGTGGCTGAGTGCATAAAGTCCGCCTTGCTGTGTAGCAGCGACGCAATTTACGACAGCTAATGTATTTTAACTCCGTCTTACGGAGTTGATTAGATACTGTATATTAAAAAAACTTAGCATTGCAGATAGCAGCACTTCAAAAAAATAATAATAGCAACACTAGCTATATAGTGTTATCAAAGCGTTATCAGTGAAAGCAAACTGTCGTAAAATTTGACGTGAGCCGATATACCATACCCAGAAACCGAAACTCTTGATAGACATACAAACAAGTAGACGGGTTTAGGTTAAATCCAGTATTGTGTTAACGGAGAAAGTTACTTAAAACCGTGAACAACCATAGCTATTCATAGCCAGTTTAGTATTGTACCCACATCTGCATCCTATTGAACAAAATTCAATTCGACACAAAAATTGCCAATTGTCCTCTATCCATTTTGCAGCATCTATCTGCATAGAGAACATTTTACGGGGATCGTCGTAAAAGGAGTCACATAAGAGTGAGCTGCGGCTGCTGCGACTCTATTCCACATGTCACTAAGTACACGTCAAATATTTGAAAGCGATGACAACTTCCATTGTGTCATAACTGAACCTTTCAAGCTCACAGTGGCCTATATAAATCTAATGTATCAATTGTTGTACGTCTTATTGTTACTGGGGGAACCACATCTACCACTACATTATCCATCTCCAAGATCACTTTGATAACACTACTTGAAGTGGGTGATCTCATAGATAGCACCATTTGAAGGAGTGATCTTACCGGTATATAAAGTTCAATTTTACGATGCGGAGACTTCTTCCAATTAGGGGTCAGCAGGGTCCACTTGCTTCAGCTACAAAAAAATACCGTTTGGAGCACACTCCCGCTTTTGGCGAAGTTTACTTCGTCACTGGGCTAGTTATCTGAAACAACGTGAAAGTTGCAGGCATGAAGTTGCAGGCATGAACCTTGAATGGGTGGACAACAACCTTGCACCCAGATCTTCAGGCTTTCTGCGATTGACATCCTTCAATAAGGATACATATTTACCACCGTTTGGGAGGTTCAATTTCCTGTTTGAAGCAGGGTCAAGGAATAAACATGTTCCACTAGATGTAGAAGATAACGAGGACGTTAGTACCGTCAGTGTTGCTATTACTCTCATCCGTAATGATGTTGACGATGGTGCAGGATTATCATTCTCTTATGACTGATTTGAAGTAGAAGAAACGGCCGTTGGAAGGCGTAAACGAACTGGGTTTGAGATCATTGAAAGCAACGTGAACCACATTGATTGTGCCAATCACTTTGCTTGCTTTTGTCACGTGATCTAGATTCTCATTTCCTAATATGGCTTTGCGTGACAGATATCCCCGGATTTCAATTAGATTCTGGAAAGTTCCTGAGTGTTCTGAAGTTGGTCTGATGATGATGGTAAATCTCCCCATATTTTTACTATTTATAAACGCAAAGGAATCCATTGAGTGTCAATACTGTGGATAATTACATGTAATATTATTACTAGTAGAGGATGCTTCGTTCGGCGTTAAGAGTAAAGGTTCCGGCAAGAACCACAGGACTTGCTTCAGTGGTACCAGTCACCGCAGCAAGGGGATTTTCAATTACCCTGAATGTGACCAGTCATAAAAATGAAAACTATAATGTGAGGAGTCAGAATATAACTCGTTATAATGCTCAGTTATTGACGGGTACCAGACAATTCCATAGCAGTAATGTCCGAAACATGCAAATGCAAATGAATAAAGAAGAACAAGATGATAGACCAGCATTGGAGAAGTTTGGTACTGATTTGACCAATTTGGCCAAGGAGGGTAAACTAGACCCTGTGATTGGTCGAGACGAAGAAATCAGACGGACCATTCAAATCTTATCCAGAAGAACCAAGAATAACCCTGTGCTTATTGGGAATGCTGGTACGGGTAAGACGGCCATCATGGAAGGTTTGGCCCAAAGAATAGTTAAAGGAGAAGTACCTGAATCTATGAAGAACAAGACCATTGTTACTTTGGATTTGGCAGGAATTATTTCTGGAGCCAAGTTTAGAGGTGATTTTGAACAAAAGTTGAAGCTGATTTTGAAGGAGGTGGAAGAGAAAGATGGATCTGTCATTTTGTTTGTTGATGAGTTACATCTTTTGATGGGTTTAGGTAAAGCTGAAGGTTCGATTGATGCTTCAAATATGTTGAAGCCTGCGTTGGCCAGAGGCAAACTCTCATTATGTGGTGCCACTACCATTGAAGAGTATCGTAAATATGTTGAAAAAGATGCTGCTTTAGCCAGAAGATTCTCACCTGTTCAGGTGAATGAACCAACTGTTCAAGATGCTATATCTATTTTAAGAGGGTTAAAGGATAACTATGAGGTTCATCATGGTGTTCGTATTACTGATGGCGCTTTGGTGTCTGCGGCCTTATATTCCAACCGGTACATTACTGATAGGTTTTTACCGGATAAAGCCATTGATTTGGTAGATGAAGCATGTTCTACCTTAAGGTTGCAGCATGAGCTGAAACCTGATGCCATTGCGCAATTGGACAGAGAGATCATGACCATTGAAATTGAGTTGGAATCGTTAAGAAAGGAAGATGATCCTATTTCTGTGGATCGTAAGAATAAATTGGAGGAAGACTTGAAGGTCAAGAAGAGTGAATTGAAAGAATTCACTCAACAATGGGACGAAGAAAGGAAACTGATTGAAGATGTTAAGAATGCCAAAAAGGAATTGGAACAAGCAAGATTCCAATTGGAACAATCTCAAAGACAAGGAGATTATGCTAAGGCATCTGAAATCCAATATTCCACTATCCCAGCTTTGGAAGATAAATTGAAAGATATGAGTCAACATGAAAGTGAAACCAAAAAGTTATCTTTATTGCATGATTCAGTGACATCAGACGACATTGCATATGTGATTTCCAAAATGACCGGCATTCCAGTGACCAATATGATGAAAGGTGAAAAGGACAAATTATTGGATATGGAAATCATCTTGAAGGAGAAGGTTGTGAACCAAGATGAAGCCATCCATGCGATTTCTGATGCCGTGAGACTACAGAGAGCTGGTTTAACCAGTGATCAGAGACCCATTGCATCTTTCCTTTTCCTTGGACCAACAGGGACTGGTAAAACAGAATTAACCAAGCAATTAGCTGATTTTATATTCCATGATAAATCTGCAGTGATAAGATTTGATATGTCTGAGTTCCAAGAAAAGCATTCCATCTCTCGTCTTATTGGTTCACCACCAGGTTATGTTGGATATGAAGATAGCGGAGAGTTGACTGAAGCCGTAAGAAGAAAGCCTTATTCGGTTATATTGTTTGATGAGTTTGAAAAGGCTCATAAGGATGTTTGTAAGCTATTACTACAAGTTCTTGATGAAGGATCTTTAACGGATTCTCATGGTAAGAAGATTGATTTTAGAAACACCATTATCGTGATGACTTCCAACATTGGTCAAGATATCTTATTACACGATAAGCAAACTTTTGATGATGGGCATATTTCCAATGAAGTGAAGACTCAAATTAATGATGAATTGAAACATTATTATCCTCCTGAATTCTTAAACAGGTTGGATGAGGTTTTGATCTTCAACAGGTTATCTAGAGATGCCTTAAAGGACATCTTGGAGATTAGATTACGGGAAATCTCGGAAAGATTAAGTGATAAGAGAATCAGATTGAACTTGACCAAAGGTGCAAAGGCAAAGCTTTGCGAATTGGGATATGATCCTGTTTATGGGGCTAGACCTTTGAACAGAGTCTTACAAAAGAAGTTATTGAATCCTATGGCTACACTTTTGATCAATGGGAATATCAGAGAGGGGGAAACAGTTAACGTTGATGTGAGAAAAGGCGAAATCTATGTTGAGCCAAACCATAAGAACGTTTGAACACGACAACATTCATGTACATAATTTTTGTTAAGTCTAATTTATAATCAAACAACTCTACCAACTGTAGCACCGGTTGATTCTTTAGTTTGTACTTTCTTTAATCTTGCACCCCCATGGATTTCACCTAATAAGACATTGATGTTGGGCGTGGGGGCGGTAGCAGACAGTCCTGTTTCATTGGGGGCTCCCAATGAAGGTAATGGAGGAGCATCCATTGGTGGGGGAGGGGGTGGGATAGATGACGACGAAGGTAATGGAGGAGCATCCATTGGTGGTGGAGGGGGGATAGATGACGACGAAGGTAATGGAGGAGCGTCCGTTGGTGGTAGGGGTGGAGGTGGAGGTGGGGGGACAACATCAGATGATGATACTGGTGGAGCTGATGAAAGACTTGGAGGCACTTCGGTAGGAATTGGGGGAGCTACAGCTTCATTCGGGGCTTCGACTGGGGACGCTTCAACTGGAACTTCATCTGTACTACCTTCATCTTCCTTGGTTTCACTTGGTGGAGTACCCCAATCATCTTCAGACTCTACAACTTCTTCCTTGGGCTTCTCTTGATTGGTTCCAATAGAAGAACTAGTATCTGTTCTAGTGGGGCCTCCCATTGAACCGAACAAAAGTGTAGCCAATTGAGCAGCACCGGCTCTGTTGGGGGATTCTTCTTCTTCACTGGAATTTTGTTCTTCATCACTCCAGTCATCATCACCTAATCCTCTTTGAGAAGCTCTTTGGGCTGCTACTTTCTTCGCATCAATAGCAGGTTCATTGCTTGTAGGCTTAAAGAATGGATTAGTAGTGTTCTTCGTGCCATTAGGGGTAGTTGATGCTGGAGCCTGATTGAACTTGGCGAATGGATTACTCTCATGAGGCTTATTGGTAGTAGCAGAAGCCTCTGAAACACCAGGAGCCTCTGAAACACCAGCAGGAGCTTCTGAAACAGTAGTGGGTTCTGCCTTTGATTCGGTCTTTGCCTCTGTCTTTGGCTCTTCACTTCTTGAATTAGGCTTGTAGGTCGCTGGAGTAGCAGCTGGAGCTTCACCTTCATCTTCATCACTGTCATCCTTCAATGCCTCCATCTCCTTTCTCAATTGCGCAAGTCTATTCTCCTTATCTTTTTGCTTTTGCAACTTTCGTTCCTTCTTACGGTCTTCCATAAGCTTCTTCTGTCTCAACAACTCTTGATATTCGTCTTCATCGTCGTCTGAGGAAGAGTCATCGGCCTTACTATCTCCATTGGAGACTGGTACTTGAGCTTGAATGTTCTTCACTTCCCTCGATGCCGGTGGGGCAGGTGCCTTTGGCTTTTCAGTAGCTTGTGGTTGTGGTTGCAGTTGTTGCAAAGGTGCTGCTGCAGTTTCTGGCTTCTTTGAAACTTCTTCTTGCGGTGTCTTTGGAACCTCAGCTGTGGTCTTTGGTTTTTGATCAGCTGATGTCTGCGTACTGGATCTACTACGGATCCCAAGCTTAGCTAATCTCTCTTGCATTTTCTTTTCTGCCTGGGCCTTGATGTAAGCAGCACGCTCTTCAGCATTAGTATAAGGTGTTGTTGAGGAAGAGTTGATAGTAGGGATTGAAGAAGAAGAACTGGTGTTCGAGACCGGAGCTGGAGCCCAGTTCGAAGCCACAGAATTGCTGCTTGAGCCATGATCGCTATTATTATTGTTAACATTGTTGGTCAAACTTCTCTTGGTGGCATCCGAATACGACTTTAATTCTCTAATGAAAATGCTCAACTCATTAGAAACACCATCTCCATGTTCCCATTTCCGGTTACCAACTTCTTCCTTGGTAGTAACTTGCAATCTCTTGGTTGCTCCATCTTCAAGCTCATTGATACTTGATTCAATGTCGTTGATGATCCCAGTTTGAATGCTGAACTCCTTATTGGCAACTTCAATGTTCTCGTTAAGCTTAACATCGGCATCTGCACTTCCACCATAAGATTTTCCTGTCAATGCTGCCATCCGTTGCTTCAAGAGTTGTTTGGACTTATGTTTGCGTCTATCAACATCTGTGATTTCTCCATTGGGGCCAGTACCTACAATCTTGTCTTCGGCATTTGGTTCCCATCCTGGATTCTCCTTCTTTAACTTGAGTTTGGCGAGTTCAATCTTCTTGTTGGTGATGTCCTTATTGATTTGATGGAGTTTGGCTATCAAGGCAGGCACCTTATCCCGAGTCAAATAGTTAACTCTGTCGAGAAGCAGCTTACCATCGTCTCCAGCACCACCAGAACTGGACTTGAAATCCAATGATCTTTGAACCTCTTTGATTTTGAGTTTTAACTTCTCAATCTGCTCAAATTCATGCTCAGATGAACGGGCATTCAAAATCATCTTGTCCTCGTCTTCAGTGTCAAGGGCATCAAGTAAAATCCGCTTCTCACGAATTAACTTCTTCAAATCATCAGTACTCAAATCCTTAGAAGACGAAGACTTCACACTGGTGGTGGTTTCACTAGCAGAAGAAGACTTTCTATGTCTTGCATTGGAGACGTATCCCACTTCGGAATCATCGTTTTTGAATCGGGAACCATCGGTCTTAGCACCACCTTTATTACTATAATTATTATTGTTGATGCTTGCTGGTTTTGATGGAGGTTTCTTCAACGAATCCTTCAATGTGTTCATAGAATCAGTCAAATACTTGGTGGATGGAGGTACTAATTCAGGTGGTAATCTAATTGGTATGTCGAAACCATTCAATCTTCTGTAAATCAAATGCATAGCAACTGCAAACTCATCTTTATTCAATCTCCCGTTGTTACTTGTATCTACCAATGTCCAGATCGATTCAAGATCTGATCTGCTTAATCCAGACTTGCCAAAAGCAGACAAGGCACTTGAACCATCAATGTAACCCTTTCTAGAAGAGTCCCAAGCTGTGAAAATGCCATCATAAATCAGCTTCTCTTGCTTAGTGATTGACCAAGTAACATTGTCCTTCAAGCTTCCATCCATGGCATTCTGTAACTTGTAACTTGGAAGCTCAGAAGATGGCATGAAATGTTGTTGCATGGCTTGTAACCCAGGGATACCACCAGTTGGCATGGGTACAAGCCCCCATTGACCAGGTTTTCCGGTTGGTTGAGGTTGAAAGCCTGTAGCTTGAGGATGGAAGCCTGTAGCTTGAGGTTGGAAGCCTGTAGCTTGAGGTTGGAAGCCTGTAGCTTGAGGTTGGAAGCCTGTAGCTTGAGGTTGGAAGCCTGTAGCTTGAGGTTGGAAGCCTGTAGCTTGTTGTGTAAGTGGGGCATCGCGATACCCTGTACCCTGAGCTCTTAATGGTTGTTGTTGCTGTTGGTTAAACCCAGAGCCTTGCATAGGAACCAGACCAGTTCTTTGTGGTTCCAAAGCTTGGAATCCTGTCAGTTGCTGAGGGATATTAGTGCCTCCTCCTGTTCTTTGGCTATCCAAAGGCTGTTGGAAACCACCTCCTGTTCTTTGAGTAACCAATTGTTGGAAACCCTGATTGGCCAAAGTACCTGTTCTTTGTGATGGAATCAAACCAGCAGTTTGTTGCGGTTGTAATGGGATCAATGTTCCACCGCCAGTTCTTTGAGAACTCAATGGTGTAGTAACACCGGCACCAAAACCTGTTGCTTGGGGTTGAAAGGACGTCATGGGGACTCCTTGGCCTTGAAGGCCTTGCCCAAACCCAGTAGCTTGAGGCTGGAATGAAGTAGGAGGAGCACCACCACCAGTATTAAATCCACCGCCCGTAGCTTGTGGTTTCAACCAATCATCGACTCCCCCACCTTTGGCAAACGATGCAAAGGGTGTGTTCCCCAAAATGGCGTTCTCGTCATCTGGAACAGCAAAGTTTATGGCATCGATGAAACTTTGGACTTCATTCTTCCATTTTTCAGGTAAAACATGGGGGATCTGATCACCCTTCTTGGCCATGCTACATAAATGCAAACTTAAGGCAAACTCAGGAAACAATAACGATCCGGACTTGTTGAAATCAGACAATTGCCATACCTCAGCCAATACTACCGGCTTTAAACCGGATCTCATCAAGATCTCACTAGCTCCATCGCCCGATATGGCCAGCTCCCCTTTGGGCACGGCTGTACGGAACAAATGCTCATACTTCTTCTGATCGTCGGCATTGATGAAAGATAACCGGATAGAAGGAATCTTGAGGGCCATATTCTCCACAACAGTAACATTCGCTCCTCCTGCTCCGGCCATTTGAAACCCCGTGGGTTGCGTCTGGATGTAGCCCGTGACTTGAGGCTGCAACTGAGGCGCCTGATTGAACCCCAGAACGCCCCCCATTGGCTGTTGTTGTTGTTGTTGCCCGTATCCCGCGCCACCATACTGGCTCGGGTATTGAGGCTGTTGCTGCTGTTGATAGAACCCCGTGGCTTGTCCTTGTAATGGTGGGGGCTGGAAGAACTCATTTGAATTGAATGACGGCTGTTGAAGCGGCGGCTGTTGTTGTTGTTGATAGCCGCCAGGACCCCCACTTGCTCCAAATCCTGTCTGCTGTGGGATAAACCCACCTTGTTGCTGGTACGGATTGTACATGGTGTAATTGGGGGAAGAGGTGGCTATGGGTTTATAACTTTAAGGTGTCAAGTTGTTTGATACGTCGATCAGTTTTTGGTAGGTGCACGTTGATGTTGGGGGTTAGTGGTGTCAGGGTGTGAACTGTAAGGTGTCCTATATTATTATTATGATTATTATTATTATTATTATTATTCTATTTATTCCTTTATTACTTCGTCCCAGAAGGCAACCTCTAGCAATGAAACATCGCTAAAGATCCCTGCTAAGTACTCAAGCCTGGCTTCGCTTGTCTCTGAGGCACTAACAAGTACATCCAATGACTTCATACCTTCCAAATGAGCCTTATGATACCATTCAGAGTTGTAGTCATCTATCCAATCGCCATAGACTTTAGCCTCCAATTCTGTGACCTTCCACTCGTCATTAGTGGTGCTCTTAACTCCGTTTCTTATATGTTTTGCATACTCACCTCCGTATCTGTAGCCATGAAGACAAGGTGCTAGGGCCACTTTGATGGCCACAAAGTCGCCCGTACCAGCGATGTCTAGAAGGTAATTGCAATATGCTTCGCAAGCTTTACCCTTCTTCAACTCTATATCAAGATCCATGTCTCGTTCGTAGACAATGTCGTACTTGTGGCAGAGCTTTTCCTTGTGTCGTTCAATCTCTTGAACTATATCACCTATTATAAGGGCATGGGCATGAGTCTGTTCGTAAGTGGGGGCTACTGCTGCTGCATGGGCATGTACTTGAGCGTAGTTGATCAAGTAATGGTAGTCTTGTTTGAGGAAGTAGATAAACCGGTTATAGTCCAATTGGTTCCTAGCCAACTGGTGGAGGAATCTGTGGTTGGTATACTGTTTCCAAATGGCTGCGACTTTAGGGTGGTTAATGAAGTAGTCAAGCACTGAAGGGCCGGTTACCGGGGGATTTAATGCCGTTTCAGGCGTAACCTCGTTATTTACTACCTTTTCCGGTGAAACCGTTTCCGGCGTAACATTATGGTTGATTGGTCCATTGCCATGGCCCAAATGGGGTCTGATGGAGTTCATTCCTTGATGAACATAATCAACTGCACAGCCTACTGAATCTGGAATGGTATTCCCAAGCGCTAAGTTGGCAGCTATGGCTGAAGCTAATGTACATCCAGTCCCATGACTATCTTTGGTATTAATGTATCTGGACTCGTAAACGGTTACCGTATCAGACTCAGATTCGTATAAGATATCAAGCATCGATATAGTGTCAGTACGTGACTCCGGAATGTCCTCTGCCGGTCCAGAGTACGGACAGTCTGCAATTGTATCCCAAGGTATGTGCCCTCCTTTGACTAGAAGATTCTTACACTTTAATTGTCGTTGAAGCTGGATGACAAACTGCACAAAATCATCAACCAGGGTAATCTTGGGCTCTATAAATGTTTCTTCCTTCTTTCCTAGCTCCGATACAATCCTAAGCAATTTAACGGCTTCCTTGTAATTGGGAGTCACAAGATCACTCTCGGGTAAAAGCTCCCTAATGCAGTTAACTATGGTCTTGTCTTCACTGAGTTTGCATCCGGAAGTGCTTACCATAACAGGGTCCACCACAAGTTTGATTCCCTTGGATTTTAAAACCGATATCTTCTCGGTGACAACAGCAACTCCCGCCTCGGTAAGCATACCTGTTTTGAGCACCTTCAATGGGGGACTCTCATAACCTTCTACAAAGTCTTCAAAGTTCATCTCAAACATCTTGAACAAATGATCTCTCGGGGTTTCGATGAATGACCCTACGCCCGTGGTGTTCTGGGCCGTCAATGCCGTAATGCACGTTAAGCCATATACTTTATGAGCTGCCAACGTCTTTAAATCGGCTTCTATTCCTGCTCCTCCTGAACAATCAGATCCGGCCACGGTGAGAACAGCGGGCAACATTGCCTTGTTGGGATTGATGTCATGCCTCAACTTCCTTCTAATCGTTGCTGTCATTTGTGTTATAAATTATGAATAAAATAAGAAAGACAACAGCTTAGGAGTTATACTTAAGCATATATATATGGATCAGTATTGGACTGCATATAGTTAAGGTCGCAAATCTTAGACATGTAATCGCATGGCATATAATCTCCATGCAGTTATGGAGCTATTCGTTTACGAGGGAACAATTGCAATATACGAGATCTACTTGAATAATTCACCATGCATAATGTCAATGTGCGAGGTGTTATATAGTCTTCTAATATTTGCGATACATTCAATGTTTCTTTTGGGAATAATAATCAACTAACTCCATCTCACTCTGTAAAGTGTCGTGTCTGTAGTTCAACCTGACCGGTGGTACATTTGTCTTTTCAACATCATTACCCTCAACTCCTCCAAGGTAAAACTGCTTACCAAGCCAGTGCTTCTTGATACGAGCTTCCCATCCTGATTGTCTACATGAATTGTAAGCCAATTCACACATATCGACTGGGGATAACTTGTAGATCTGCGCAGCCACGGAATATTCCTCGATCAAAGGTTCTTTGGTGTACGAGAACTGCAATGGATCATCGGTGGAGAGAGAAACATTAAGACCCTTTTGGAAGAACTGGAAGAATGGGTTCTTATCGTAAGTCAAAAACAACGCATTGTTTGACAAGGGAGACATGGCAATACCAATTTGATCCAAATAGTACAAGTATTGAATGAAGGGAAGTTTTCTTAACAAAATCCCATGGGAAATGGAATGGGCCACTAAGAATGCACTAATCAAATGTTCTGGGTCACCTGCTTCACCACAATGAGGTCTAAACACCAATGTATTGAAGTTTCTCTTCATTCTCAAGTGATTCAACGAAGTCATATTGGCATAGATGTAGTACAAATAGTAAGAATATGGTGGATTCCCATCAAACTCCCATTTGCTGGCCTTGGGGTACTTCTTCCCTATGGGTTTCTCTTGCTTTGATTCATCATCAACAGAATCAAATCCAATGACTCGTTGAAGGAATATATGCAATTTAGGATGAGATTGGGGGTTAATCAGGGCTTCAAAAAGTGGAAGGAATAAATTCTTCATGATATCTTGGAAACATTGGACATTCTTATTCTTCTTGTACAAATCATACAACCGAGGAACTTGAATCAACCACCGGACATTATGACTGAACAACCTGTTATCTACGATCCAACTGGCAAGCTTGTCCCATTCGTCCAAGGAACGGCCATAGATGGAGATTCTTAACTCCGTGTGTTGGTATTTGGAAGCCTCCAAATCTTCAAATACTTGTTTGGTCAATTCTGCCAAATACTGGCCGTTAATGAAGTTGTCGGTCTTAAGGAAGATCTCTCTGAGTCGGGACTCTCCAATGGGATTATATTTCAAGTTGAACTTATCAAAACGATGGAATGAGTCGGTATGGGCATGCATATCCAAAGTATCAATGGATAAATCGTAGCCCGTCAAATTCAATGACTCAAACACTTCCTTTAACGATAAGATCTTTCCATCTCTGAAGATAACCTTCTCATCAGGCAGAGTCTTCAACTTGTACTTGATGAACCGCAACAAGTGTTTCTGGTTCATACATGCAGAATGGTGGATGTGAGTATCGACCTTACGAACATTATAAAAGTCTCTGTGGGGGTTCTGTTTCGATTGCTTAGACTCTTCGTATTCATTGAGCAACGCATACATCTTCCATCGGGCTTCCAAATACAGTAACCGTTGGAACGCAAACGACTTGATGGGTCCATCACTGGCCAACTTGGAAATTGTGTTCAAATCAACATAGTAGTCTCTTAACGTGGGGACCAGTACCAAAGGTTCTTCTGTTTCCGCATCATATACCGTAAATATATCTTCTTGATTGGTGCTTACATAATAGTCACAGGGTCCTTCAATGGTGAAATGTCCGATGTCAAACTCCACCTTGTCGTCGTCTTGATCATCACCAGGTAACTGGTTGAACTTGTTCTTCGACTTGTATGTAGGTTTGGGGGGCGGCGGGTAAATGTCCCAGTCGTCTTTGTTCTTGGGGTTGTCCATCTCATTGGCCTGGAGCGACAAGTCCAAGTACTTGCGTCTCAACCCAAGACATGCCTTGACATCACGGAATGTCGCATGGAGCTCCTCGGAGTTGCCTCCCTCGGGCAACGTGTCTGATTGGGGCACTCTGGCCGATCCTCCTTCATCGGTAGTGCTGATAGAGAGTCGGGATAAGGGGATCTTCTGATTGGCTGGAAGATCAATCACCAGGAGTCGTCTGTTAGTGGTTAAGGGTGACAGCGTAGGAGTATTGTGACTGGTACTATTGGTATTATTGTTATTATTACCATGTAACGCTTCAAACGTCTTCACCTTCAAGTCGTGGTTCCGAATGTAATTCTCTTCGGCTGGCAGGAACTGGGCAGAACTGGGGAGATGGTATTCGCTGTTGTCGTCATCGGTGAAGTCTTCATGACTGACGACATCATCGTTCTCAATGTCCTGGTGGGGGTGAGACATAGTTCTTCGTTTACCTGTTAATGTGTTTCTAGTCATCGTCAGAACAGCCGGTTGAATTCTGTATTTTATATTGACGCCGTGTTGGATTACGGGGCTTATTTCTAGTAGTGTTGTAGTAAGGTTTATGTAGGACAGGTTGTAGTAGTACGGTCATCTTTGGTCCAAAACTGTACTGCATATTGCGTGGTAGCGCGGGTGTTGAAGCCGTTCAAGGTTAGGTCGTATAGAGAGTTGCCCTATGATAAGCACAATATATCTAGGTTCTGATTGCACTACTCAGTGCTAAGCAATAAGAAAACTAAGTAACGTAAGATCTATTATATCTAAAGTTTAGTTACGGTAAGCTAAATATTTGTTTGGTACTTTTTCGGCACAGTTCCTACAGAATAAGCACATAAATCACAAAAAAGTCTTTTAATGAAGGAAAACACACCTAAATAAGGGTATAAAGCGATAGCAAGGGTTCTTATAATGTTTATATCAACATAATTGGACTCAAAAAGAGCACTGCACGTCCGAGCCAGCCGGAAGAAGGTTTGTGTCCGCCCAGAGAGAGAGAGATTGAAGGTACAGCAGTTTCAGTGGTAACATCAACGGTTGCTGCGACAGTTGCAACGGTTTCAATAGTTGCAAAAGTAGATATAGTAGCTGTTTCTTCTCTCTTGACATAGTTAGGATCCATTAATTCTTCAATGGTAAGATCTCCACGCTTGATCAACGAACCAAGATCATTGATCAATGCCTGGTGTAACTTGGTATCGGTCAAAGCTCTTTCAAGAGTGTGAACAAGTAAGCCAGAGTCAAACAAGGCAGATATGATAGGAGTTACGGCTGATAAGTTCAAATGAGTCACCAAACTTCCTATTTTACTAAATGAAGCCTTGATTAAGGTCACAGCAAAGTCTTGGAACTTGGAATTGGCTAAAAGACTGTTGATTGTACTGGGAACAATTCCAGACCTAGCAACCGACCCAAAAATAGTGGTCATTAAATCTTCAATGTTGTCACGCTTAACAGGGCTATAATAGTCAGTTAACTCCGAAAGTTCTCTAGCTTGAAGTTGTAACTCATGAGAGGAAACAGGAGGAAGCAAATCTCTAGCATAAAGTTGAGTTGAATCCTTACCAGCAGCTTCTAAAATGTCTTCCCTTTTAAGGATTCCTCCCAGAAGCAATTTAGAAACAACTTGTTTAAGCGATGGGAAGAACCTACTATCCTCCAATGTCCCAGCAATAATTGAATAGAACAACCCGGAATCATCCAACGCATTGAATACCATGGTGAAGTTTGCTCTGAGCAATAAAGGTAAACTAAACTTAACAATCAGTTCGGCAATTTTCAAAGTGGTGTTATGGGATATAATAAACATAGCACTCCAAGGTACGATATTAGTAGCTTCAACAAGGTCCAAAGCGTAATCCAAATATCTTGTTCTGTTATTCTTGGTCAACATCTGATTGAGAGATCCAGCAATTGACTCCAAATCTCTCTTGGAAACTTTATCCACTGTCATATACTTTTCAACAGCATTGGTAAAATCCCGTACTTCAACTTCTATCAAATCATATTCTTCACCTCTGGGATACATCACCTGCGTAGCATGCACAGCAACACCCATCCAAAAAAGGAATAGCGTAAGGAATTCATTCAATTTCATTTTATCAAGTGGTCTTTTGGTACCTTCAAAAGAAAAATATAAAGCCCTTTGTTCTGGAATTATGTCCGAGTATTTATACTTGGATGAGCGCTGGCTTTTGGTCCGCTACCACAACACGGGAATTTACGCCAATGGGGAATATTTTTTATCTATTTCGTCAACCGTTTATATTATTTTTGCAACTTGCAACAAGAACAACATTTGTGTGGGCCTGCATATACTTTATTTCCTAATCGGGCAATAATTCAAGGCCCCACTACTCAAACGCTGTGGCAGATACAACCATTCATGGTAATACCACAATAGGAAATTTAAACCTCATATCGGTACCTGAAGAGTCGTGTTGATAGTCATGAATAAACTGGATAAAACTGGTGGAATAGTGCAGCCCGCTAAGTGCCGGGTCGAGCTCAGTACCATTGTCAGTATTGGTTGTTGAAACAGCACTACCCAAGTTATCGTCAACATTGTGGCCTTCAAGCTCCACAAGAACAAACTTGAATGAAAGTTGGTATCTAACATCTAAGAAGTTTGTAACTCTGAATTCTGGGGTTAGAAATTGGGGGATATTGATGGACCCACGAACCATGTTGCTTCCCGGATTTGGTAAAAGACTACAAGCCATAGTATTCAACTTAAATGTTGGCGTAACCTTGTAACGATTCTGGAACTTATCTTTGCTCTCGGTAACATGGTAGTTCTCAATGGCTTCCAAGTGAACGGTAACACCTACAACTTTAGTGGTTGCTGCATCAGAGGGATTGAGATCAATAGAAAAGTGGATGTTATTACCTAAATGGAACGTTGTTCTAGGCAATGAAATAATGCATAAATCATGGTTATTAACTCTGATCTGGAATTTGTTCTTTAACGAAGGAACAGGACGTCGATTCCACTGGGCCATTTCTTCACTACTGGCCTCGGCAATCGACTTCTTCCTCAAGGAGGACTGTGTAGTAATTTCATAGATATCCAGCTTAATAAGAGTGTCTAATTCGTCTAGAAACACTTGTCTTTTATTATCAATTTGTAGAAGAGAAATATCAAGCAGCTCCGCCAGAGGTGGTGACGCAGAAGAGGTGGTCACCATTGTTGAATCCGTAACTTGGTTCACTTCTGGCGTCCAATCGTTATCAAACTTGATTTCAGCAAAATAACTTTGCAAATACTCTCCACAATGCATGGATTCGTCTATATTCATTCTCATAGTGTAGGGGAAATAGACTGCCCTGTGTACAGGGTCTTCATCATGACTATGTTGGAAGTTGAAGCCAACTATCAAACGGTATTGAATACTAACCCAGCCTTGATCACTCAATGGTGCAGTCATGTGCGTGTTATATGATGGAGGTAAGCCCAGGACACCAGGAAGAGTAACCTCGAAACTAGTGGACAGTTTCGGAGGAATATGAAGCTCGGAAAACATTAGGCTCTGTGGAGTAGCGTAAAAGGGCGTAAGATTATCTGTAAGTTCATGAAGTGGTATAAACCCATTTTCATTTGGGTCATCATCATGGACAGTCAGTGTCGGAGTAGGGATGGAATTAAATGGTGATATTAAATCTTGAAGAAGATACCGATTATTGGAATTGATCACATTACTCGTCTTCCTGACCTGTTTCTCTACCACTATTAAATCATTAACAGCACCCATTTTGCCTCCTATAACCAAGGGATTGTCTACACTATGGTGCATCAATGGCGTCAGTAGGATCTTCTCCAATCTTGTTTCGTAGCTATCGTTCTGTTCACCACTACCACCACTCTTATTATTGTTGCTGTTGTTCTCGTCGGTGACTATGCTATCGTCATAAGTGGTGGTGTACATGCTGTTCACCCATAAAGACTCGTTGGCCTGAGGACTATAAGCATCATGTGATCCATGTCGTATGCTGTAGTTATGGACCAAGTATCCAAAGAACTGAATGTACCCTAAAAAGATCGTCACGGGAGCACCACTGTCGGCATCAACATCATCATTCAAATGTGATGTGTCAGACTCTTCTACTTCAGATTCTTCAATGGTTTGTCTAAAGCCAAATATACTTAGCCATCCGGCTTTCACTTGTTGAGGGTTGATCTCAATCGGACGGTTCTTTAACGTGTTATGGAAGACAATGGTCGCTCTGTTATCCGATCGGTACTTGATGGTGATCCGAAGTGCATTGCTTACTACCTTCGTATACTCCGATACAAAGTCATTCATGCTGTAGAGAGAGGAGTACCTTACGGCGAGACATTAAGTTAGTATGTGATATCGCTATAACCATTTTCAGCGGCGCTACCACTATAAAACCTTAACACCAAACTTGTAAACTATTCTAATTAATTACATTATTCCCGTAGCGTATGTATATAGTTTATTATAAAGTAATACCATTAAAAGTCCATAATAATGCATTATTAAAGATCCCGCACTGAACTTGACCCCAAAATTGATCATTCCGGTTGATTAGACGTTGAAGCCGAAGCCGAAGCCGAAGCCGAAGCCGAAGCCGAAGCCAAAGCAGAAGCAGAAGCTTCAGCCTGCTGTTGTTGTTGCTGCTGCTGCTGCTGCTGTTGCAGGTTTTGGATCTGTTGTTGTTGTTGATAATATTGTTGTTCGTTCTGAGCCACAACCTGGTGGAAATCCAATATCTCTCGGTACATCATGACTCTCCAAGTATCCACTGGTAAGTCTGCATCGTTGAAGGACCAATCAAACTTGGACTCGCAAACCGGCTCATCGGATGGATCATGGTATGGCTCCATGTAGATGTGCTTCAAGGCCCCTTCAGCACTAATTCTCTTTTTGGGGTCAAACACAAGTACTTTCAGTAATAAATCAATGGCTTCTTGTTCAACATGAGTACAATTAGCAAACCGTTCCGAGAACGGGATCGGATCTCTATGAGGTAAAGAACGAACAAACTTCAATGTGTTTTCAGAACAAATGGTATCAATAACGTCTTGAGGAGGAGACCCCAATAACTCAGTGATGATAGAAAACTGGTGAACATGATCTTTACCAGGAAACAAGGGCTTCCCTTCAATCATTTCTGCTAAAATACATCCAACAGACCATATGTCTACTTCTGTATCGTATTTTTGCCATGTTAACATGATTTCTGGAGCACGGTAATATCTGGTAGAGACATACCCAGTCATTTGAGGGTCTTGGATACGGGCCAATCCAAAGTCACAAATTTTCAAGTCACAATTCTCGTTAATCAAGATATTGGACGGCTTTAAATCTCTATGGATAACCCCAGCCGAATGTACATATTTCAATCCCCTCAAGATTTGATAGGTAAAATATTGGATAAATTGCTTTTCCAAAGGTCTGGATGTTAACAATCGATGTAAATCAGTCCCTTGTAACTCTGTGACAAAATAAATGTCTTCCAAGGGACTTAAAAAGATATCGTCCAATGATATTAAATTCTCGTGACGCAAATGCTTCAAAAGCTTCAACTCACGATAAGTTCTTTTGGCCAAAACACTGGTACTGAAAGGCTTCATGATCTTCTTGACAGCGACATTTTGCCCTGTCAACTTGTCAACAGCAGAGCACACAAGTCCGAAGGCTCCCATCCCAACAGGATTAAGATTCGTGTATCGGTTGGTGATTTCAAACACTGTCCCAAAGATTTGGGTTCTGGTGAATTCTCCATCCGACGACATTCTTATGTAATATTATTAGTAAAGCTGAATACAGATAACAAATCAATTGAATCTGACGTGTCAGAATGAAGGAGGATGTAAAGAGTACCAGGAGGACTGGTGGTGTTTGCGTATTTGGACTTCAACGGCCATATTTTCCTTTGGAGTGGAAACTTATTTTTTGAGGATCACGTGACTGTACTTATATGGTAGGCTGGTTGATGACATCATTGGTATTAACAGATGAACTATTTAAGGCTTACCACATGGCAATCCTTGACCTTGCTGCTGTGATTGGACAGAGACGACGTCTTAACGAAGTAGATGCTTACTACAGATATCTATCTGCTCGCTTGCGTTCGCTTCGTGCATAGAGCATGAAGATCTTAGCCAGCCTTACTGAAGAGACATTCAATTCACCAAAGTCATTACCGTACTATCTTCATGCTGGTACAGTGCATTGCGTATGCATTCCTTAGATAGGTGTACGTTTCTTTTAAAAACGATGTTCTAATAATAGTGTAAATTGTACTGGGTATTGAACGACATGACGACCATCACCAGCCAGGGCATAGATCATAGCAACGGCGAAAATCATTACCTCTCTTTCTACAGCTTTGTTCCTTTTAATGGCCAACGTTACTATAAGTGAGCGAAATATTACGGGGAGTATTACGAGGGTGATGGCTCTCTTGCATTTCGTAAAAAGTACTCTAGTGTTTACGAGGTATTATACGAGATCTTACATATATCCACATAAGCGTACTTATTAATGCAAATCGTTTGTCCTATATGCTATCTTAACAACATCTTCCGCACATCATTATGGCTGGAATCATCATCTGTTTTACTTGCAATTGACCGCTTCAGATCAAACAATGACCAGAACTTCAAGTTCTCGTCTCCAGCAATAGTGGCTAGAGTCAACCCATCAGGTGAAAGACAGCCGTTAAGGATCCGGAAATCATGAGCTTGATGGATTTCACCCGTCTTTTGTAATGTAGGATAATTGAACAATGAAATGTTGTTTGTAGGAAACCCATGAGTAGCAACGATTTCAAGCCCTGTTCCGTTGGCATAACCCCAGTTTAATGAACTTATTTGCAGGTGTGTCTCAATGGTATTAACTCGAGCACCGTTCCCAGTGTTCCAAAAATGGATGTTTTTATCAGATGAACCACCTCCAGTGGCTAACAAGTTGTTCTGGTACGGACACCAACTGATCGCCTTGACAGCTGCTGTATGGTTTGTCTTAGAGAAAACAGGCTGCTGTTGATGAAGGTGTTGTCTTGGAGAGGAGTTACTCCAAGTCTTACGAACATCCCAAATACAAACCAAGTTATCATTTCCACCTGTAGCTACCATTTGACCATCACCACGATACTCAATACCACAGACTTCGGCCAGATGTGCTTGTTCATTCTTAGCCACCAAATGAGAGGCTACTCTCACATCACTATGGTACAATCCTCCAACACGACTTCCACTGGTGAGGATATGTTGCAGCCATGCTTGGGCTGCAATTCTTGTTTGGTGATTTTCGCAGTTTAATGTCCGAAGCTTCGACGTGGTCTCCACATCCCAAATTTCCAATAACCCATCGTCACGTCCAATCAGAATATACGAGCCATCTTCTGACCATCTGAGCGACGAGACTGCACAACCACGAGGTACTTCACATAGTAACACAACGTCTCCTGTGTTAGCATGCCAAAGATACACTGAATCTTCAAGTCCAATGGCTAAGACGTTTGTTGAAGACCATGCAATTAAATTGAGATAGAAATCATCTACAAGTCCTGGAGCATCAAGTACTCTTTCAGGTGCTGTAGGAATCTTTTTGGCTCGAGCACTAGCTACTGCAGGCTTCAATCTATTGGTGCCATCATCAGATGACCCTAGAGACTTTTCATCTAATGATTTATCCTTTTTGGAAAAGCTCAATGGCTTTTTTGATTCTGGAGGTAATGGTTGGAATTGTAAGATTCTGGAGTTCACCTGGAGTCCACAAGCTTGAGCCACATGATTTTGATGGATTTTAGTAGTTTGTGCATTGATGTGCATCACTGGAGAATCATTAGGCTGAGGAATGATGTTTGTATTGTTTAACTTTGACGTAATGCTATTATGATGGGATGGAATAAATCTGTCCGTCAAGGAAACGGTACCCGAATCAAACAATGATGAAGATGATGATGATGCACCCGAAAGAGACGTAGTTCTTCTCAACTTCAATTTAGTTGGAGAGACTAACAATAGAGGATTGTTATTGTTAGATGATAATGCAATGGAAGATTGAGACCGAGGATTGGGAATCTGTCTTGTTAATAAGAGCCCTTTGTTGGTGTTCGGAACAGTAGCATGAGTAACAGTATGAGAAGCAGCAGTTGAAGATGATGATAATGCATGATGTAATTGTCCATTGGTGGTGACTCTTCGTTTCTGTTGCGGTCTTGTCTTGTGGGTAACTGAATCTTCAAAAATGGTAGAAGTAGTAGACCCTGAAAATGAACCTCTATGTAATTCAACTTCCAGTGATAATTCCAGTACTGATCTTTGTTGATATAGCTTTGGTCTCCGGATCGGCGGCCTACAAGTTGAAGTCCCTGGCTTTGCACTCGTTAAGTACATTTTTGGAGATTTGACATTAGGACTCATGCTATGAAGATGTAAACGTTTGGAAGGTGATAGCAGCAGCAGAAGAGCTCCTTCAGGTGAATGCAAACTTTTGGTAGTTGAAGTTGAAGAAGAAGCAGACCCATGAGAGTTCATTGGGGTTGCTGATATGTTTTCATCACTAAGAGCTTGTATTACCGACCGTTTCTTAGTGTTAGATGACTTTAGAGAATCCATAGAAAGTGAGGTAGTAGTTCTTCCCATTGGAGGAGGAGGAGGAGAACTCAAGGGTGCCTCCAATGACATGACAGCAGTAAAATTGTTCAACTAATGTTAATGAATATGTAATGAATGCAATTTTGTCGTCTTCCTTAATATTATGGTTTTCCCATTGACGACGACGACGACGGAGTAAAGTCTACTTTAACCGCTGAAATGATGGTCGGCCGATCTTTGATGGAAATTCCGAGTAAACGCCTATTGCAGATGGCCTCGTCGATTAACAATAGAAATCAACTCTTCTCTGTGCACCTCTGAAATTGAAGCTATTGACTGATGAAGTCAAGTTAGTAATGGTGTTTACAATTAATCTCAATTTGGTTATATTAGAATTCTGTACAAACTAAAGCTGGATTAGGAAAGTTGTGTCGTTTGATCGGTTGCTTATGTAATCAAATTATATCCGCTGTTGCTGCGGAAGAACTTTATTCACCTAGACTTGTACCGGACCGGAAACCACGCTACGAATGGTAAGTACTACAACCGTTTAATTTATCTTAATAAGCATGAACCCAACAATACCACACGTAATAATTATCAACACATAATAATATATGATAAATTATTGTGAACAAGCCATTTCTAATCCCCAGTTATTCCGACCATCAATGGCACATACACGACCTCCCGAGGCCTCCGTCAATAATGTAAAAGGGGCGAGTGGTGGTGGTCGTGTACAGTGACACAAGTATGTCGTAAGCGAGCAATAGTTATACGATTATGGCCAGCTCCAGGCCAAGCCGTAGCTTAATAAGCTTACGTTGAAAAATACAGTGGCATACTCTTCTCCACACTCACCAATATAAATATAGGAGCGGAGTTTCTCCTTATAAGCAATTGAATTGTAAAAGTATAACAACAAACTAAAAACAACAAATAATTTCTATACTCTACTAAAATGACTTTATCTATTGGACAACCATTCCCCAAGGACGTTACTCTTGCTTATATCCCCATTGACATTAGTCAACCTGTTGCTGATGATGTTCTTGTATGTGAACGTCCAATCCCATTGAGCTTGGATACTTTGTTTGCCAAATACCCTGACGGAAACAAGGCAATTGTTAGTGTTCCTGGTGCCTTTACTCCAACTTGTACCGAGAACCATATCCCACCTATTTTACAACATTTGGCTGATTTGAAGAAGGAAAAAAATATCGATGTTGTCATTATTCTTAGTGCCAATGATCCATTTGTTATCAATGCTTGGGGTAAGTTGTTGGTGAAGGCCAATGTCACTCCTGGTAATGCTGATTACCCCAAGTTGATCTTTGCTTCAGATCCTAATGCCAAATTCAGTCAAGATCTGGAATTGGAGTTTGACGGTACTGCCATTGGTTTTGGTATGCGTTCTGCCAGATATGCCATCATTGTCGGTGCTGATAATGTCGTCAAGTATGTGGCTAAGGAATCTGGTTCTGGTGTTGAAGTTTCTGGTTACGAAGCCCTTTCTGCTGCCAAATTATAAGTATATAGTTAATTGAACAAAATGTTTGAGCTTATATCAAAGCAGGTGGTCGTATTATAAATCATACATAAAACGCATTAGCTCGTATTATGATCGTATACAACGCATTAGCTCGTACTCACTCGCATCTACAACAAAATTAATCTCGTATATCGTCAATTATACTACAAAAGTACACAGGGACGTTTACAATTCACCACAGTCAGCAATGGTAACCTTGTTTCTGAGAGAACCAGAACCGGAACCAAGAGCTTCAATCTTGGAGACAATGTCATAACCATCAACAACTTCACCGAAAACAACGTGCTTACCATCTAACCATGGACATGGGACAGTGGTAATGAAGAATTGAGAACCGTTGGTGTTAGGACCAGCATTGGCCATAGACAACAAACCTGGTCTTTCATGTCTCTTGGAGAAGTTTTCGTCAGCAAACTTTTCACCGTAAATAGACTTACCACCGGTACCGTTACCTCTGGTGAAGTCACCACCTTGCAACATGAATTCAGGAATCACTCTGTGGAAAGAAGAGGCCTTGTAACCAAAGCCCTTTTCACCAGTACAAAGAGCACGGAAGTTTTCAGCAGTCTTTGGAACAACATCGTTGTACAACTTGAAAACAATTCTGCCTAATGGCTTGTCGTCAACGGTAATATCAAAGAAAGTTTGGGTCATTTTAATTAGAGTATATCTGCTTCAATTGAGGAAATCAAATGGACATAAATTTTTTTTAGGATTATAGTGTCTTTATATAGGCTCAGACAATGGAATAAGGACACAAGAAGGCGACGATCGAAGGTGGTCGAAGAAATTTGCTGGACGGTGGCACTTCCGAGGTCTTGCTCGGCATGGAAATTTACTAGTATCACGTGATCCCGTAAAATTTCATCTTACTTGAGTTTACAAAAGGAGCAAGCAAATTCCTTTAGGGGTTCGTTTGATTATTTGCATAACTTTTGACCACGTTGAAAATGGACACATGAACATTATAGGTTTGAAAAAGTAGTGTAGATGTTTGACTCACCCCACACTTGCTGTTTGTCTAGATTCATGGTGCTTATGATGTAATGGGACTCGGCCAAGTACACTAACACTTCACTCAAAGGTACATGCAGGTCCAGTTTACCCGGACATACTGGTGCTTTGTGTAACTGAGAAATGTAATCACGTGACTTGAACCATGACGTCTTTAAAAAAAATTGCAATACTTTCGCATTCTAGTCTAATCATAAACGTGGGGAAACACCCACACACCAAGGATAAGTAAATTACTTTACGAACAATAGACGAATATTAGTAAACAATAAATCCCAAGATATTTCGCTTATATAACTTATATCTGTTATTGTGTTGTAAAGGCCCCAAGCGGATTTTTATTGCAGCAGAAGCACGTTTCTTTAAGGGGACACATTTGGACCTTTAAATCAGTGTCTCATATAGGTTGTATCAATTCTTAGATTCGAAGACGCCACTTGCACATGCATCTAATTTACGAGTAATCGTTCATTGAAAGAAGAAAATATCTGTACAAATATATATATGCATGTACATGTAAATGTACATGTACTGACATGTCTGCATTTCTCAGTTCCTGTCTTGTATATTGTGCAACTAGTACATTTAATAATACTGATAATAATAATAATAAATAACAATAATAATTCAGTACGTGCTCACTGCGCCGGTGTTCACTACAAGATATATATACATAAAGCCCCAGGCACAATTTATCATACTCTTCACCACTTTTTTTTGAGTTCTGAAAGTGGCTGCTCACTAATATAGTTTTAGCCTTTTGTATTGTTTGGTTCCAAAATCTTTCGCAGTTATTCCGAGCGTCTGCCATAGCCTGGCTGAGGTATAAACTACAAAAAAAAATACCATAACCAAACTGTGACATCCCATACATTTGGTCGACCAGATCGTTCGTACTTCCTTTTTTTTTTTTTCATTCACTCTGTTTGTCTTTCTGTCTTCAAAGTGATGTCATTGTTCTACTGCCCTCTTTCAAGGTGGTGTTCACCCAGACACTTATCGTGGGTGTTTCTTCCTGTCCTAGCGGCAGTTGCCATATCCATCCACATGCTATCATGGCGCTCTATTATCAAATGGAATCAATTCTCCTCCATATCAACCACAGAGCATTACGGTGATATTGTTTCTAATCTCATCAACTGTTTCTTTGTTTTGAGAGTGTCGTACTTGAGTCATCACTCAGCGGCAGGTGGTGGTTATTTGAACACCACTGAACCAATAGTCATGATACTTCAATCGTTGGGTTCACTATTTATTATGTACCATCCATACTCGGTTATTTATGATCCTTCCTTTAACAAGGTACTTAAATGTTTATTGGTAATTCAATTGGTGGCATCTTGGTTGGTTGCTTTAAGTTACCTTGTATCTCACCCAAAAGGGTGTAATGTCTCACAGCTAATCTCCGAAACAAATAATACATTAATGCCGATATTTATGGTATACTCCTTTGTATTGGTGAATGTTCATTTCCCATTCATTCTGGAAGACTCATTGCATTGGGATTCACAATCTATAGGTTGGTTGGTTTTCATATACGAGTTGGCTATTGTCGGTTCTAAAATGTATTGCATCACCATTTACATCATTTACCAGATACAACGAGATACTGAGTCTGATCATCACCACGACCTCGAAGAAGGGAAACTTCCATGCAGTGAAGTGATTCTGAAGAAACGGGTGCTATCCATTAAACATCGTGTCTTCTTGTTCGTGGGTGCACTCTTGATCGTCGCCGATGCAGTGTACATTGGCATGTACTATTTGTACTCTCGTTTCTAGTCATATCAGAACGTCCACTCGTTGTACTAATAATAATTATAATAGAATAGAATATCCAAGTAATGAGTCCTTTGTACTGAAATCAATGCCAATTAATTCTAATACGTTTGTTGCTTTAACTTCGAAGCTATGTAGCACTTAAATCGGTATCTGATTCAAGTTCTGACCCCAGAGTACTCAGAAACTGCAGTACATGTTCTAGAGGGCTTTGGCTGGGCTTCCTGACACTATTATCGCTGACTTCTCCAATAAGAGCAGGATCAATAGGGATCGTTGTTTGCCCATTCAATTCTCCACTATTACTTTCACTCCTATCAGGATTGTTACCAGTTATGTCGTCACTTTTATCATCGTAACTTCTATCATCTCCACTCATACCATCTTCAGCCGTCTCTGTGTCCAGTTCCATTTCCTGATCAACTTCATCCAATAATTGCAGACCCCATTCACCAGCAAAATATGTCAATAACGCATGCTCATGTATTCTTGAATTAAGTAGATCCGTTTGATCCAATTCAAAGGAATCGTTTATGCCATCTTTATTTGCTTCCATATCAGTAACAATAATATTTTCAGTCACTTGGAGACGTTCAGAATCTTCATTGCTTGGTAAAATCTGACTAATGTGGATGGACGATTGAGTTTCTTCTCGTTGCTTCCTTAACCGAGCATCGTAGTCTGCTTGTTGATCTTTATCTGAATATGTAAATGGTTGAATGAGGCCTCCATTGTATCCACTTTGAACCTCTTGACTCAGAGCCGACTCGTCATCGCTAAATAACTGGTATAAATGCTTAAAATATTGATCTAAAGTATATCGTCTCCCAGTAACTTGCTTAATGGCTTCATAGACATCTGTACGCGAAACAGGAGCTTGAGTTTTATGCTCCACATCAAAGTATCGGTTATTTTGACATGCTTCTTCCACTTTCTTGGTAGCCAATGCTAATAGTAATCGAGTAGTGTAGCATCTTACCAAATCTTCAAGCATAAGTAACGTTTTGGTTGTAAGCTTAGGTGTTCTTCCCGAGTCAAATCTGGCATTATTTCGATACAATTGACTCAACTCGAAACATACCTTCTCGTCAATAATGCTAACGTTTGGATTTGGTAAAAGTAGTTTCAACCGTCTTGTCTCATCACTTATTTTGGTTGCTTCATATGCAATTATTAAATGTGCTTGAGCTTCTTCCATGGCTATAAATGATTCAGACATCTCATAAGCAATTGGAATATCTTCCATCTTTATCAAGGCTTTCCGACGTCTTTTAAACTTCAGTTTCTTTCTTATATAAGCTGTATCCTTCTTTAAAATTGTATAGTATTGAATTATCTCCAATCGGCCTTTACTTCCACCCATCCCTTGAACTATATCATCTAGTCGGCTCATTCCATATCGAGCCAACAATCTAAAGAAAAGTTCCTTCTCTTCTCCACTCCAGAAAATACCAGGTCCCTTACGTTTGTAAACCATAGTATAATGACCAGTAATATATGACAGGTTAAATTCGGTAGAGGTAGTATTAGATTGTCGCATCGTCGACGCGTCACCAAAAAACTCTCGCGTCTCTCGGTTATATAACTCCACATATCGTTTACTCCCTTTATAGCGTCGGCTCATGAGTCATTTGTAAAGGGTATCTCTTACATGCTATTAAGTATACCTTTGCAATGCTCATCGACCAATTTGAATCAGGTAGTAGTGGATTTTGTGTCCGATGCCTGTATATAGATAATTGGTGTTCGGGTGTCGCGTATACGGTCAAACTAAAATAAAATCACTGTTATTTTTATTATTTTTATTACTATTATTATTCACTACTGGTTACAATATTAATACAGACAAAACAACCACTTAATTTCTTCCCGTTACTAAAACCCATACGTACTGTCATAATGCAACGCCGGCAACTCCTTCCAGTATGTCAGATACGGTAATATGTTCTGACACTCGCAGTTCTGTTGTTGATTGTGCCTGTTGTTCTGTCTCTGCATTATCATCATCATAATATAGATGGTTTTGTTCTGGAGGTGGAGGCAGTTGTTCAAAGACAATCTCTTCGTCATAATCACGATAAACCTCTACATATTCTTCAGGAACAAGCCCGTTCTTACCTGTGGTTGGATCCTCGGCCACAAGCCATCCTTGGCCGTGTCGGTACGATATCCAAATGAGTTGACCCTCTATCAATGCCACTTCGTTATCATTTTCAGGAATAAAGTCAAATAATGCCACTGCTCTTCGATTGATTTCATCTGTTCCATATAATTCATCATCATCATCATCGTCATCAGCTTCTTTTTCTTCACCCTCAGCATGAGCTGATGGTCTGTGCTCATTGTCATTTTCTTTATGGTCGCTATAAATTTGTACATTGTGCACCTTATCCCACGCTTCCTCTGACTCGTAATATGCTTCGTCATCTTCGTTGTCTTCCTCTTCATCATCATAGTCAACGTCGTCTTCATACTCCCCATCACCATCTTCATCCACATCAAAGGCACTAGATATAATTCCCGTCGCTAGCTCATGATCACTATCGTATGCAAAATCCCGTATCACTATCCCCGGTGGATATAGATTCATCTGTGTTTGGTATCCCATGTACTGCAATAAGTATAATTATAGCTATAAATGTCCACCCGCACTTTTTTACTTCAATATGTCAATACTCACTCGTGCTGCAGTTGAATTCTGTTTCTATGCTCTTCTAGTGTGGAATCCAACTGCGTTTCCCTGATGTTTGTATGCCGACACTTTTGGTCCTTATTCCCGTTTCAGTTTACCAATTATATGCAGGTGCAAATACCTTACAAAAGTTGTCTATGTATGCTCACTATGTGTTCACGCTCTGTGAATATTGCTTCAAACATAACCATATGTTTTGTAAGAAAACTATACAGCCACCATGCAAAAGAAGAGGTTACTGTTCTGTAAGGTTACCCGAACCTAGTTCGTAATTAATGTCGTTGCTGCTTTGTAAGTGTTGTTATGGTTTAATTTCGTTCAATTGTTGAGCACGATCCCGATTACGCAATGCAGTAGCACATCACCATTTCTCATAGAATGTAATGGCACATAAGTGAATACTATTAATAGGAATACCTGATACTCGTCCACAGCAGCACCATTTATTTAATGCTATGCCATACTATAATAATGTCTCGCATGGCATCTTCAAAGTGCGCGCTACCGCTAACTCTGAAAAATCTCAAACCTATAAAACACTAGTTATTCCGTACTAATACTTCTACTATCATCAACTATAACTAACACAAACACTTTCACTGCCATGGACCCACATGAAGAGCAACAACAAGAGCTCGAAGTCTTGGAATCCATTTATCCGGACGAGTTGACGATAATATCCGAGTCCAAGTTTCAGATCCACATTAATTTAGACACAAATAGTGAAAGAAAACATGCATTAGTACTAGAAGTGAAATTCCCTGAAACGTACCCTGAAGTAGTCCCCGAGCTTGATATTGAAGTGGGCAACAGCACTGCCGAAGATGAAGACGACGATGGGTATAGTGAAGATGGAGATGACGACGACGGAGATGACAAATTGGTGATTATCTCCGAGACCATTGAATTTGAGAAGGCCGATTTGAATCTGTTGAAGTCAAAGTTAAACGAAGAAGCAGAGCTCCAAGTAGGGATTCCCATGATATTTGCATTGGCCACGACATTGAAGGACGAAGCAGAACAACTCTTCCAGGACAAAGTAGACACCGCTCAAAAGGCATACGATGATGAGATGTTGGAAAGAGAAAGAGAAGAACAAAAGAAGTTCAACGGGACCAAAGTCACTCCCGAATCGTTTGCTGAATGGAGGACCAATTTCAGGGCCGAAATGAAACTAGAGGAAAAGGATAAACAAAGATTTAACGATATGCATCAAGGTAAATTGACAGGAAGAGAGATCTTTGAGAAGGGTCTTGCTGGAGGAGAAGACGACGATGACAATGTTAATGAAATAACAGAGAATGTACAGAATGTAACCGTACATTAATACTAATGATAATAATAATAATAAGGTATATATTAATGAAAGTCTACTTACTCTATCTACAAATTAGTGATCCACTCCCAAACCAACATAATCTCGCCGTGACTTTCCAATAATGTTGATTTGACATTGGTATTCATCTCCACCTTTTTGGATACTTTCTTCCACAATTTAAGCTTCCGGGATAAATTGCTTTCCTCCGATAATATCAAATCTCTTAATTGAATTGACCCAATGTAACCAGGAATCGAGTGGTTAAGCTCACTAATTTTCTTTTGTCGTTGTAATTTATTCATCACTTCTTTATAAATAATTTCCAACTGTAATTGGTGTCTCTTGTTCTTGTAATATTGCCATTCGGTAATCTTATACAGAAGAATGAAAAACATCACAAGAAATATAATGTGTTTGTTTTCTAAAATAGCCATTACTAAAGTGTTCTGTAGTTGGCATGCGAGACTGATGTTTTGTAAGGACGTTGATCGAAGAACCTTTTGGTGGTGGTTCTCTTGTCCTTGGTCGAAAGATTGAGCTTTTTCGGAGGTTGGTACTTCACCAAACGAGTATCCAGACTAAAAAATTAAATTTTGTTAGTAAATTTTGTCATTGAAAAGATATTATAATATCAAAAATCGGTAACTTGCCTTACAATTATTTCTGGTTCTTTCTCTAATTCAATTAGAGACCGATTCCATAAATCATCAAATTCCTCAATAGTAATATAGGGTGCTTTGATCGATAATAAAATATCATGTAACTCCTTAACAGATATTCCCGCTTCAAATTCATCAGCAGAAGTCTTTCCACAATTATTATCGGCATTCTTGCTTCTCAACAAATCTAATGCCATGTCAATCATGAGCTCCAACTTCTCAGCCTTCTTTGTATCAGGAATACATTTTCTCTCAGTAGGAATCAAAAAGTCATACCAAGGTGAATGTTGAATAAAATCTTCATAACAGCCTAACTCCAAAAGATTGAAACATCTGGCGTGAGCAGGACATGAAACACATTCAGGCTTATAATGAGCGTCAAAATAATCTCCAACTGCTTGTAACCAAGGATATGTATCGTCTGATACTGTTCGTTGATCAATTTCATAACCACAATAGCCAACCAAAAACATTTGCTCTCTATACCAATACCCAAATAAAGCAGATGACATCATTATAACCCATAACCCAAGATAGAATAAAGTCTGTAAAACCGAAAAAGATCGGACTGATTTTAAGTTTGTGGGCATAATGTGGTGAATTTCCTCAATCATTTCAGCCTCAACTTTATCAAATACATCAATAGATTTGTTGGCCTCTTCAGTAATATCTTCTTCCTCCTGTTTCTCATTTTCTTTCTCACTATCTAGTTTATCGTCTTTATCTTCCTCCTTCTCGGCATTTTCAAATCGTGAAGGTTCAGGGCTTTCACTCTTTTCAATTTCAGGCACTTGGGTCTCACGCTTAATTATCGCGACCTTAGGAATCAAACTTTCCACGCCAGCTGAATTGAATTCAGAGGAAACAAAAGTATGCTCTTCTTCAACTTCAAGTTCTTCTGGTTCTGGTTCTGGTTCCTCAAATCCAACTGGAGGTGCCATTTGTGTGGTACCGAAGGATGTCATCATTGTTACTCCCAATTGCGAACCCAATTGGACAGTATCTAACTTCCTGAGTGGTGATCTTATAAGAGAAGGAGCTGGTTCAGGTTCAGACTCCAGTTGTGGTTGCATAACTTCAGGCTCTCCTTTGATACGTCTCAAATTGGCATCAAAATCATTCACTTCATCTTCCATATTATCAAACTCCTCAAGTTCTTCCGATTCATCTTTCAATAAATTATCTATAAAGCTGGAGTCCTTGTTTGAAGATGGCAAGACTGGTGTCTTTACTGGTTTAGGAGTACTTTGCTTATCCAATTCTTCAGATTTAATCGGAGGGCTGATCACCTCTGGCACGGGCTTAGAAGACTTGGGAGACCTCAAAGATTTGGGAGACTTTGCATTTGGTGGTGTTTCCACCTTGGGAGATTCCTTGACTTTATGATCTCTTTTTGCTGGAGTTAACACTTCCAGATCCTCTAAACTATCATCCGAATCATCGAATATGGATTTTGTTTGTTTCTTTGCCTTCTTAACACTTGGACTCTCAGAATCTGACAATGGTCTTTTACGGAATGGTTTATCAGCTGACTTTGGACTCTTAGATGTAGATCGAACAACGCTATTTTCAGCAGAGCTTTCGTTATCCGAATCATGACTCTTCTTGGGCTTTGGAGAAATCTTAGGAACAGCCAACGTCTCAAGAACACTTGTATCCTTCACTTTAGTCACCTTTTTATCCTTTGCCCCATCTTTTGACTTCTTAGTAATTTTTGAAGAAGTTGTTCTATCGGAGTCTTCTGACTTCTTCGTTTTCTTCTTCTTCTTCTTCTTCTTCAATTCTTCAGCTTCAGAGGTACCATCACGTGAACCATCTACAGATTCAGATTTGGTCTTTTTCACCTTAATCTTCTCAGACTTTTCCTTTCCGCCACTCGAAGACAAGCCCTTACCAGAGCCAATGTTGGTCTGGAATAACTCAATTAAATCCGCTTTCTTAGAACCAGATGAAACGGAAACCCCATTTTCATTAAGGATCTTTCGCAATTCTGCTACCTTCAATGAGCTTGGATCAAACCCTAAATTAATGTAATATTAGTAATGATGCTCCAGCAGTATAACGTGCATTGTGCGCTGACATGCACCGAAACTTTATAACGTACCTTCGTCAAGCATATTCTTTCCATCCATCCCGTCTGTTGCTGTCAATGATTGTGATTGGTTGTCAGACGGGCACTTGAATCGGAAGACGTAGTGTGCTTGCCACTGTTGTTACCCCATAGTCCATGTCCGTATGTGATTTTTTTTCTGCCGTGTTTTTGTTTTGCTGTGAAGAGTGTAGACCCGGTTGTTGCACTACCAAATAACGTTAAAGTTTAATTTCGGGTTTCCGTTTGTTAACACTTTGTATCAGTGTTTTGGTTGATTGATTCACATAGATGGAATCAGCTGAGTAGATTCAGATTCAGAATCAAATCTCCTTGTTAATAAATACAGTTTACGAGGATGTGTTTTTGAACATTGTTTGAAGAAGAAACAAGGAAATTTTCGTATTTGCTCTGTGATATCTTATGCTTGATCAATTCCGTTGCGCTATGCACTTTCACTTACTTTGCATAGAAATGCAAATGAAAAAGCACTAGGAGTGATCGCAGTAATTTGAGTAAAGGGGCCGAGCGGAATACCCTAAAGAATTTATATGATATGAAAATCTCTAGTGGATTGCATAGCACTTGCATTCGGGGAATTTCCAAAATTAGAAGCTTACAGTGTTGTTTTGCCGTACATACGATCGCGTAAATGAAAAAATACTAGGCGGGCGAAATCCATACCGCTTACTGGGCTCACTGGCATTCTGTTTCAATTTTGTCTAAACATCTAGAATACCAACTTTCCTCTCGAATGGCACCAATATTCACAATATTGGTTGCTGGTAACTATTCTCAAGTTCTTGGTAAATTGCTGTAATGATTATCTCGGTAAAAATTCGTTTGTACCGCCATGCATCGGATGAGACTTTTAGCGTGAATAATAAGATAATTTAATCTGCATTACGCACAGCGATTAACGTACTTGGGCTTAGAATTAATTGTCTCTTATAAATTGACACAAAGACGTGGAGAATTTCCTTGTGCAGAAGATAGGGAAAATGTGACCTATTCAATCTACGATATTCAAGTCAATAGAGGCCCAGTAGGAAGCCATGCTTGTTAACCTCGCTTTTGAATCTAAGTATGAGCTCTTATATCGGTAAATAAGAGTGAGTTTCCAAAGTTACGTAATAAGTATCTTACAATAGAGCTAAGAATACGCGCATATAAAGATACTTGCATGCATTCTTAGAAGGATACATGCAGCATTCGTCGTTCAACACTCCACTTTTCCTCCAGTAAAGGTACCTAACAATCACACAACGCAAATTTGTGTTTACAATCTGATCTGCATATATGGTGGTGCATATTATCTGTGCTGAGAGTTGTTCCCTAGCAGAGCCAAGTCCCAAATAGTTTGTTACTTCTCTAAAATAATCGAATCACCACAACCTCCAGAGGTAAGGTATATCAACCCACTTGCAATAGCACCTCAAAAGGGTACAGAGTAGTCGAAATTGAGCCCAAAAACAATTGAGGAGCACTAAAAGCCATCACTATATTATGTTGAAGAATAGAATTATCTTGAGAGTGATTAACATGATCACCTGCTTTGTGATTTACACAATAAGTGGTGTGGAAGGTTGACAGCCAAAGTTATGTTTTGCTATCTTGATGACTTGAAGAAACCATCTATAGTTAAGCTTTGGAGCTTTGAAGAAATTAATACAAAGGAGGTGCAGAATTAGAAGGCATGCATCGCAACAAAATTTTCTTTGCTTAACCACATTCTAAAGCAGACTGTAAGTCCACTGTGGACTTACAGTAAAATTTAAGTTCCCCTCCCAGGTATGTAAGTGAAGAGTCTTATAAAACATTCGATACTTTTGGTGTCGCCGATTCTTAAGCCTAATTAACCAAAAGGTTACAAAAATGATGTCACTATGTAGTGTTTCCATTCAATCGGAATGTATTATCAAGAATCCGACACTTCGCGTATTTGAAACTTAGATACAGAAAATACTCTCTGGTCTAATTATTAGGAAGGCTTAGTACTTAAACTCAACTAGTTACATTTGTGTTTTTAAAAGCTCTAATTATTATGAGCAGACAAAATAATTGCAATTTGTTACCCCTTTTGAGGTCTGTGAAGATTGTTAAGCTACAAGCTTAACGCTAATATCAGTTCAAGAAAAAAAAGGAAAACTTGAGTCCTACGTGAAAAAGGCAGGCACGGACTTTGAAAAGGCTGCCACTGTGATAGATGAACGCAGGAAAAGGAATTCTAAAGGGCTTTAAACCCAGCCATGATCATTGTATTCCCAGCTTTCTCATAACTACGATTGAATGTCAGAAGTCAGTAGATTTCCTAAGTTACGAAACGAAGCAATTAATATTCTCCGTACTCATTCGTTAGTTATTGCTACAAGTTCTTTAAAAGAAATCAATGCTATATGAAGTGTACGAGGTTCTATTATAGCAATTAGAGTTCGCAAACATGCAACGCATTCTCAGCCTACTAAATCATTTATAAAGTGCTTTTGACATCCTGTGACAAAACCAAATTTGTTCAACTCTAACCTGATCTATCGGAATTCTTGTAGCTTAGTTGCGCTTTCGCAACTATATTAGTTGACAGTATCCACCCACAGCTTCATTAATTTTATTGTTGTTGAAGAGAATACGATAAAAACAATCTAACTATCGTATTGAAACTTCTAAATATAGCGGTTTTTGCCCGAGAAAGGTTTCATCCGAAAGTGACATCAGATAAAACATACTTACGCGATTGTAGTGGTGGCTTTAATTAGTTCAAATTTGGCCATCAATTATACCATTTCGTACTATCATGCATCAAAAGCCAACAAATTATGATGAGAAACAAAGCAGTTGCTGTATTCGGAAGTTTTCAGCGGTTTACTCATGCTTCATCTTGTATAGAAATTGTATGACTTAGTTTGAAAGCCCTTTTCGTAATCATTAATTCTTGGACTGGAGTCCATTACAGATATCAGACATTTTTCTTTACTAAACGTTGTTATTGATAGTTTGAGAACAATAGTGGGTTGATAAAGAGAAGCGCATTTTATTCAAAAGAGCTGGCACCTCAAACAAAGTAAACTAAATTAAGATAAAATCAGCCTTGACAATTGAAACCCTTAGCGATAATAATAACGGCAATCCGAAGCATAACTTAGGGTTTATCTTATATATGTTCAAAAACTTGAATAAAGCATACTACAACTTTCCAGAATAAAAATTATGAAAAAAACTGTTTAATTGTGATTAAATATCATAACGAATTACGTTGTAAAACTTCCAATTTCCTTGTTGGGTTATTCTAACCAGGAATGACATATTCCTAAACTGAATATAAAACCTCAATTAAGCCATTATTTTTTCGTATCAGTAAGTTTAATTTCTGAACAAGGCCTAACTAAAATATGTGCTTGTCAGTTTCTATTGTTTGATACCAACACATACATCAAAATGTGCCGTACTAACACAAACAGAAATACACACGCACCTTTTATTGTGCTATTTCACAGATAAGTACCCTATTGTTAGGATGACGCTAGGCAAGGGGAATGTAGCAAAAATATGGACTTTGAAGTTGGATTTCTTAAAATTAAGTTAAGAATATGAGATGCTTGCCCACCACTTTTGTTTATAGGAGCCTTTATGGGTGCACTAACCAATCCCAAAATTCGTAGCCTATTTTCGATAATGTGATAGGCTATACTAAACCTTAACGAGAATCACAAAATGTTAAAGGTTCAAATACATGTATTTGAAGCTCCTACGTTGCTTTTACAATACCTCACTGGTTTGAAAGCCATCTTGGGGAAGACGCGTAGTCGATTGCCAGCGCAATACGCGTAAAATATAATTAAATTAAAACTTCGAGTGTGACAATCAGAAGCAGCTAATGTGGCCCAATACATTAGATTGATTTATTTTCTCTTTGTTTCCTTTCCCGGATTATTTGGACAGAGCAGGCGTTAAATTTTTGATTATCTGTTGGCGGGGCTTATGTGCCACCAATAAGGAAACCGCTAACCAGACGGCAAAGTTTGGTCTGAAGTCCATCGTAAACCTGCAACAAAAGAGAAAGAGGTGCACAAGGTTTCAAGTTGAAAGTTAAAACGTGTTCTATTAAAAGAAGGGCATGAAGTCTGAAACATAATGCATCGAATATACGAATTTAGTAGGATCCAAAATACACAATCAAACAGTATATAACGTCCGGATGAAATAGACTAATCTCCAATGGTTCCACTGTTACGAACCGGCGCACGTATCATTGCGTAAGTGTGAACGGCGTAAAGTTTAAGGGATTTGAGATTTGATAAAGCATCCAAGAAATAAAATCCTAACGTAATGAGATAGTGTACATACTATACCAGAATTGAAATCTTAGTATTTTTTAATGTAGCATTATGAACTGAAATCGTGATCAGCGACAAGATGCAAAAAAAGTGTGCAACAATTCATTTTCTGATTTGCTATATGCACTTAAAGAGCTTCTGCAGATATTTTGGTTCATGATTTTTATTGTTATGTTTGCTTTGGTTATAGGTCATCCAGCTCTTGAATCTACACGCTGGCTTTCAGGCTTTCAAAAAGCGATCACCAATAAACATAGAACTGCATGCACAAGATTAATTATAACCTCTATTTTACCAACAGAACTAGCCCATCAATTCCCATTTGTGGCTTTATAATTTTTAAGCACTTCCTCTAAAATACTGGCTTGAGTAAAAGCTAAGCCGCATGGAAAAACTAGACTCCGTTCCAATGCACCAGAGTTGGTGCTACTATCATAAAAGTATATATCAAAGCTTTTCCCAATTTCAAAACTTGTAGGTGAAGTAATGTCCAATAATGATTCCGCTTGTTTAATCTGGTTTTAGACAGTATGCGACCAACAAAAAGTTAGTCTCCAAAGGTTGGAATCAAAATAGCCCGATGAATATCACAGTTGCGTAATAATACACTGAATCAGTTGAGATACTCGTAAGGTATTTTTTATCGACCAAGTTTTCTCCTCAACTCCCATTATCCACTCAGGAGTTCAGCACAAAGTAAGCTCCTTACAACTAGAAAGTGTGCATGGCTGTGCAGGTAATGTGCATGAGATGATTTATTTCAGGATGTACAATTATAGGCTTGCTGGCGGGCTGTGGTATTGCCGAAGGGTTTGCAACGAAGCTACTATACCCAAGCGACACCTAACAATTGGGTGAAAATGCGTAACCATTCATGTAAGAGATTGAATCTGTCCACGTGACTCCGTAAGTTTTCTATTATGGACCCACACTGTGTACAGAATAAGGGAATATTTTTTTCCATCTTATGAGTGAATTTGTTGTTAGGAATCTGACATTATTAAAAGAATCATGTAGGTGAACAAGAGCTCCAGGCTTTGTAATACACTAAACTTACGATCATTCACTTTGGGTGTTACTAAGAGTTGCAAGGGGAGTAGAAAACTATTGAGAAGCCTCAAGTATTTTTTTATTCAAGTACCAAGTTCACACTTGCGATATTTTCTATGCTAGAATAAGCTCATGCATCGGTTCATACTACACATATAGTGTTCTATGTTGCTGCTCTATTATTAAATATTACTCAATGTACTTAGCAGAACCAATGTGTAATAGGGGTTAATAAAGCAGTCTTACCTGTGCTACAATAAAAATACAGGCGTGATGCATCGTAGCATTCGGATACAAAGATCTATTGATGAAAGGGTATTACAAGTCCGAGTCAATCCCAGCTATGCCAACATACCCAGGGTTCATATTGTATTACGTATGTTAGAGTTCACTAGGTTGATGAATATGTGTGTACGTCTGCATGTATGTCTGCATATATGCATGTATCTTGTATTACTGTGTGCATTGTTTAGAATTTTGTCTGGACATGTCTGCATACAGTATGGGCTCGTACATTTGCACATACCTTCAACACACTTAAAAAAAAACAAACAATCGAGGTGTGGTAGCCCTGACAATTATAGTTAAGAGGTGAAGCCGTAAACAGCAAAGGTAGTTTATACTCATGCTTTAAAATTCCCTTAAGCTATATCTTGTAACACCATTTAAGAGAAGACAGTTGATGGCAAAACGCATACCTCGTATGAGCTATTGTCCGATATAACTCTTAAAAAATTGGCGCCCCACGTCCGCACAAATGGCATCGGGAACCGGCCCGCAAAGCTAATTGCTGCATCCTTCATTCTGACATCCCCCACCAGAACCCCCAGATTTCGGCCATGCGTCTGGCGTTTGTGCCACTTTCACCGAGCCTAACGTTTAACTCTTTTGTATCCACTTAAGAAATTGTAAGATACAGCATTAAAAGGATCGTTTGTCTTGCATCACCTTGTCACCAATTTCATTGTTAGCTCACAAGGTGTTGTGTGTGGTGCAGTGGGAATTTGTCACTGTCGTGTCTTAGCTTGTAGATTTACCTTTTCGCGGTTTCTCTTTCGTTCTTTCTTTCATTCGCCAGCTCGAGGCTTAAGGCTTATTTTACCACCAAACCCGTCATTGCAGCATTCAATTTGGCGGAGTGTGTGTTGGAATATAGCTATATATCTTGCATCATTCCCTCCAAACCAGAAAGGGCTTGAACTTTTGAGGACTTTGCAAATTGCTATATTATTATTTATAATCAGGTTCCATAGATTATTATTACTATTACTATTATTATCTGACCAAAGGATCACCACTGGACTAACACTATCACAACACGACTACTACAGAGTCTAAAGATTGTTATTGATACTGCTGCAATATCTATTTTGTGTACCTATAAAGTTTCCATGATATTGGGTTGCAACTGTTAACTTTGAATACTTTAACTTCTTTACTCCGATAAGAAAAACGAAGAGTACTACAAACTTTGGATATAACTGATTCCAAATCGACAACTGTAAAGTCGTCGTTATCATTTGCTGAAAATTCCAATAAGATTTCCTTGATGTCAAGACTTATGATGTCCCCTCAACAACTACCCTCTGTCCGGGACATCTTTAAAGCAACATCTACATCAGCTCCAGAGCCTCCTAGAGATATTTTGAATGATCCTCCATCAACAAAGCTAAGTTTGCCTGTCCAAAAAATGACAGAGTCAGTCATTGGAATACCGACACCTGCAAACCAACCTCAACAAAACCTTATACCAATATCGTCAACGGTTTCCTCATCTACAACTTCCCTACTACCCTCGATTGTACAAACTCCAATACAGCCACTGCTAGGTCCTGTAATAGGGCACTCAATGGGGAACCAGTATATTCCAAGATCAGTCCCTGGCAAAATCCCGGTCAATTCCGCCAACCCCTTGCCAACTTCTACTTCAGCTGGTACAACCCCTAAGGTTCCCGTATTCCATAATGATCCTTTACCTGAAAGGAGACTCACAGAACCTACTATACCGTCTATGTCCCTCTTTTCACAGCCTGGCCAAACACCATTTCTGTCAGGTCGCACGTCACACCCCGTTCAAGAAGCATTGCAACAAAGAAGTAACTCGTTGGAAGCAAAACCAAGGGGGTCTATCGATTCGTTACCTCTGCCCAAACTAGTTACATACATGCAACCTCCACAGCCAGCACATGCCTCACCTCTGCTTTCTAATCCAGGTCCACCTCCCGCACAGGTTATTGTATATCCTCAGCAACAAGGTCCTTCATTAGGCCCACCTCCCGTCACTTCTTCGACCAAACCAGTTGAAGCTCCTATGTTAGTCTCAGGCCCAACTGTACCTTATGGCTCACAACCAATCTCTCAACAAGTCGCATTAGCTGGTAATCCTCCTCCTCCACCACCACCTCCTCCACAACAGGCAGAATTCTACTATGCATCCAACCCCTCCAACGCTTCACAATCTCAACATTATTCCAAATATTACTACTCGCTTAATCCAATAACAGGAGAACCTATTGGAGTTACTGCTATTCCCATGGGCCCTACGACGGGAATGATTCAATCTTATCCAGGAGGAGTACCATCTGGTGTTGCTCCAATGCAACCTCAGCCTCAAGTACAAGCACAAAATCCACTACCACCACCTCCTCCACAGCTTGGCCATGGCTATTCACAGCAGGTGGGCTCTACACCAGGCTCTGCAGCTTATCTCGGGCCACCACCAGGTACACATCCCAATGGATATCCTATGTTTCATTATGGCTTCCATTACATGGGAATGTATGACCCCAATAGTGTTGGGACTTATGGGTTTGATCAGAACAATGCGTTGATGAATAAAAGACGCATAATCAAAAGGAGAACTAGAACGGGCTGCCTTACATGCCGCCGAAGAAGAATCAAGTGCGATGAAAGAAAGCCTGAATGTTATAATTGTGAACGAAGTGGGAAAGTATGTTTGGGATACGAGATTGTTGATCCTTTAAACATGCGCAGAAGGAATACTGTTGCCAATGGCAGTTTGCCCTCAAATGCATCCGAGAATGAAGAGTCGAGAATAAAGAATGAAGAAAAATCACAACCAGGATCCCCTAAAAAGCTGGTGCTTGAAAAAGATCACCAACATGACCAGGACCATGACCTGCAAGAAACAACAATAAAAGACAGAAATAATGCCAAGTTACTTTCTGTTTCAAATTTATTAAGTCAATGAACTTTTACAAGGTCACTCTTTTTATACATTCTTACACACTAAACAGCTAAAAGAGATAGACCTTTGCTTTGGCTTCTTGCAAACAAAGAAGAAGAGGCAAACAGATTCGTCTAAAAGGATGGATTAACTTTAATAGTAGACACACGCAGTTAGGATATATTAAACTTATATGTTATGTATATGTATCACTTATATGAATTATGTATGAATTAAAGCGCAAAGTAAATGTTAGTTAGACATTATAGCCATACGTGTTACAAATATATCGACTGAAGTTGACCATTGAAGAAACTGGCCTCCGTCCCCCAATTGCAACTTATTTACCAATTAAAGAATAACATTGCTATTGTTGCTATGATGAGCATTGTTGAAAGTACTCCAAGGTGTCGCAGAATAATACATCTGCAGTTGGGCCACAGAAATTAGTCATCTACTTGGTTTTATTCTTTCTATAAAATACGTACTCCCTTATCGTATCACGTTCCCATTAATACAACAATACGATCCTTTATGCTCAAAAATTGTTCAAATCTCAGCTGTCTGATTGAAATGGTATGTGTTGTCAGTGTGATTCGATTGCGGGTGGTTTATTATCGCGACTGAATCAGAAATAATTTTTCCATAGTGGCTTAATACAAGGGGGTGAAATTTAGAATGGGTTCTTCTCTTCTGTATGTTAAATCTTCGAGATGGAATTCACCTAACTTGATACCCATTGTTTATTTTCTTTGGCCCTGGGTTTTCCATTAACAATAGAAGGACCGTAGTCACTCATTCTAGAAACTCGTGGAACGTATCTAAATGACTTTATCAGGCGAAGTCAATGAGGTCCCGTTCAAAATAGTTCATTGGCGATGAAGGTACTTCACAAGGGGGAGTTGTACACGGGTTCAGACACCCCGTAATATGTTACCTAACCTTAAAAGTGTAAGCAAATGCATGCATGATTGCGTACATTTGTATGTAAATGTATGTCTTTCACAATACCTGTATGTGTACGCTTATGTATGTGGTTATCTTGATTTAGCAAGCAGCAGCTGAAACCTTCTTAGATCATTAAAAATTGCAAGTAATTACGAGCTTCCCATGTACCACCAAAAAAAAGTTTCCTTAGGCGCAACTCATCTATATACATGTGTTGATAATAAATTGCCAAACGCCTTACACCACCTTTAACTTCGTAAGCTATTCCGGCCTATGTACAAGCATCTCTAGACCAGGTCAGTTGTTTACAACAAAATTGATGTGTCAGTCAAATAATGCAGTGCTTAAACCCCAGTTATCATACTAAAAAAAGTTTCTTGTACTAGTAGCCGTTTCAATAGCAGTAGGTAGCGCCGTAACAAAACCTACCTGACTGTGATGCTGCTCTGGACTCAAACATTTTACATTGTTCGTATTTAACACTTGCTGCACAAATAGATGCGACACAAACCATCGTGATTGTCAGTTATTGTTCATGGGGAATGTGACCTTATTGGCAGCTCGGCACCAAGATGGCATTGGTAACATATCCCACTTTGCCTTAAAACCACTTTTTCATTGCTCGATTGGCTTTAGGTACCATTTACGAACTTGATCTCTTAATATGACAAACAGCGTATCCTGCTAACCAGAATTTCAGGGGGATATGGGATTGAGAGTCGGCCATGGACTGTTTAAGGTAAAATGAATTTAATACTTCAGGATCCTGAATTGGGTTTGTGCTATTAAAAAACTGTCACTATTGCCTATCAAATATAGTCGCCTCTTTGTGCAAGACAAACCAACAGCAAACACCATTATCAGTCCTCTATCTCAGGAACCGAGGCAAGACAAGCCAACAAGAAACATTGAGAACCGTAGAGAACACAATCTAAAAAGAAATTACTACTAGAATCACCACTCTTCACCGTACGACATTAAATACACGGCTTGGTATACTTCACAATATAAGCGAACGCCGGACTTCGGTAACCAAAATACGTTAACATGATGCTATACACAATGGGAGCCACAGTCTGAGGAAGTAACATGAGAGCACATGTGCTTGTGCCAAAATGCCCAAAGAATTTAGTGACTCTGATTGCCGAACCATTCACCATTTGACTTCGACTTATAAAGGTACAATAATAATACCATGGATTCGTATGGACAGTTGCAAATTAGGAAAATTTCCAGTGGCAGGCAATCATCTATGGTGATGCACAACCTTTCCTGTCTTCACTAATAATGGATACTACAAAAGGCAGGTACCGCATTTGGCGATATAATTAACCCAAAACTGATAAGAACTATGTCAGTGAGTACTGTATAAGCGAGACTTCTACACCCATGCTAGTAAAACCAAACTATTTTCTTGTAAAGCCGTTATGAGGCTCAATCCATAAGGTTCGGTGTCTCAAATGCCTTGACCTCTTTAGTCACACAACATAGAATATTATAAACATAATCACTCCAAATTTTAACAATACAATGAATTTATTGTCTTGTTGTCAACTGCATTATTGATTTATCTCTACGGCACTTTTAGGTGCAATAGAGAACCTATTTAGCCATCTACTAACTACTCTGCCAAGGAGTTGAGGGTATTGTTTCCGAATACGCTTGATGGCCTACAATCACCAATTTCCGAACCTATGGCTGTATTTTCAGGAAGATGTTCGGTTAACTGGAGTTCTCGATATGATTCGTAAAGCTCTTGAACTGTGATGTCCTTGAGTTCTCGCAAATGCGATGTTAAAAGACAATTTCGCAACATACTGAGATCACACAAGTTGGGATCGCCAATAGGAATCAGTCCCCATCTTGTGTTGCGAGTAGCTTCCAGCAAATCTGTGGATTTAGATGACTCACAGCGGTTAATAACGGTAAAGGGAACAGATCGCTGTAAAGTAACCACATAATCCAATTCGTCACGATCGGGAATCAGTTCAGATTCATCATCTTGAACCTTTTCTTTGATACTGGTAGGGGAAAACTGGTATAGCAGAATATTATGTTGCTTTATATCGTTTTGAATCAAACGCTTATTTAAGTTGATTTCCTCAATGGTTAGGGTATCAGCTTTGGAAAGAATAGGAATGATGTTAACCAAACTTCCAATTCGTTTCATAGTGGCTAAATCCAATTGACTTAATCTGTACGAGTTGGTTAGTATTCGACAGTAATAAATAAATTTTTTGACTACAGTAACATACCCTCTACCCGTGGCTCTAATAAACATAAGAGCCACATGTATTCTTGTATCTTCAAACCTTGGGTTACGGTGGATCTTTAATTCCTCATCAAGAACTCGTTTCAATTGCTGTTCAATGTAGTTGGCGATCTTATCAGGAATATGAGTTGTTTGCAACTCATGTCCATAATTGACCGTTGACGTTATACGAAGCTTCAATGGAACGGTATCTGAATCTACAATATCTAGAAATTCAATAGTCAGTTAATAATATTGGCCATTATTTTGGTAGTATGGTGGATTTCTTGTAACATACCAGTAAAATTGGTTACTAACTTGAATTGATGATCGTTGGCATGTGGAGTGTTGATTGTGTAATCAGGCGGTGGTGCATTGATTTGTGTTAAAGAGATGGTATTTATAAACGACTTCAATCCAATGCCGTTTTCTCCAACAAGTAAAACGTTAAGGCGTTCACCTCTTCTATTCTCTCTCTGCTTTCTTAACTTATAAGCAGACATCTTTAATGAAGACATTGTTAGTATTGATCGTGTATTAGTTTTTTAAAATTCTGGTACTAAACAAGGTCTAACCGCCAGTGATGTAAAGCCCTAGCCCCAGCCCAAACACCCTACGGTTAATTAATTTCTAAATCACTGCATATCTACCGTAACTAGGTACCACGATGCGGGAGCAAGTCCGAAGTACATACGTTACTATTATTAGTGAATGATTTCATTTCAAAATAGTGATATAAAGAATAAAGGAAGGGCAAAGTACTATGAAATTTCGAATAACAAACAATAATAAATGCGAACCTAACGCACTGCAAAACAAACAAAAAAAATCCCACCCCATTAATTCAGTTATAAGATCTAGCAGATCATGACAAAAAATATTCCGTAAATAATAGTGCTTAGACGTGGCACAAGTCCGAATGAATCGACAGGCATAAGTATGCGTTGAATTTGATTAGTAAACTCGCACGGCTGTTTTGGGATATACATTTTGTACCTTTCTCCTGTCGGATAGATTCCAACTTTCTTTGTTTGGATTAACTTTTGAAAGCTGCTAGATTGTACATCTTGAAAAATACCACTGCACCTTAGTACATATACGACTAAACGTAGAGCGCCTAAAAGTAAAAACATCCTGCACTTTTCTCTGCTTTAGAGAGTCTATATTAGCAGCATCTCATTTTAAATCTCTACTTCCAACCTCAAAATGCCACCATCAGACTTTTTGAATGGCTCACTTATACACAGCTTGACACAAGCATCAATTTACATGAGGGTTTTCGCTTTGTTGCTTTTGTATTCTATCCCCCCATACTTGCTAACTATTGTTTGTTGGGTTCGACTACCTTGCAGCCTATCAGGTACGAATTATCCGTATTTGGATGAATAACTTTTATTCTCATCTCCACCCTAGAAGGTCCCACCTGCACCAGATAGCAATGTAGGACACCTCACTAAAGACAGGAAAATGAATCACTATACTTAATCAACAACAAATATACTTGATTCCTGTGAGTATTTTGTTGCATACAGAAATTGTTTTATTATTTTCGATAGGACACAGTTAAATTCTTGGTGGCTTAAAGTCGTATCGGTATTGTCGGGCACTAAAGGCTTAAGCCCTCGCCTATGCACCTATAAGTATGTGAAAATGAATTATGTATCCATAGGAAATATAATGCATCCTGGAAAACATAATAGGAAACAGGAAAAACAAACGCATAAACAGTACACAAATCCATTTTTGTATGTTTTCCGAAATTACTGGACCCTAACAACAAACACAATAGAAAATGTCGGGTATAATAAAAATAAGATTAAGAAGGATTATAATTTGTTTTTGTCTTGATGACGTCGCCAAGGCTGCTTTTGCTTAAGGTTTGATATGGTGGAACTACAAGTACCTTCACGTACTCGCAATTCCCTGCACTCAGTAAATTGTGGTACGGAATCTTAAAAAGTGGATACGACACTATCGCACACAGTGTCTGGACCGAACGGATAATTTCGTGTGGGAACACTGGGAGCCTGGAAAGCTAAAGAACCTTAAAAACAGATTCAGAGAACCGTACCTACAACTAAAAAATAAATAATGCGTAAAAATAGAAAAAGTTTACATGATTCGACTTTAAAAAATAAATTCCCAGCATCATGCACAATTGCATTAAACAAAGGAATAATTGACGTGACGTAATACTATAACCATATATAAAATATAATAAAGAAAAGGATTGCAAAAAATAAAATCATTCGATATTCTTAACTTTAAAATCAAACCACAAGTTTATTCATTTCTTCCAAAACATAATCAAGTGTATAACTTTGCTGAATCAAATCATCAATCCGATTCAAATGACGTTCGTTATATGGGATAATGGCTTCAATTAATGTACCAAATTTGGGTATACTAATAAGTTTTTCAACTTCAAATTTAAAAAGTATAACCATTAAAACTTTTTGACTGATTTCAAATAATTTGAAATTGACATTCCAATCTCTTAATTTCTTTAGTAAAAGTAACAATTGATCTTGTGATAATTTGCCAATGGTATTTTCCAATTCAATTGATCCTAGAATTGAATTAGAATCTTGATTTAATCCAATAGATGCCTTAATGACATTATACAACTTCATAGATTGATTTAATGTTAATGCCAATAAAAACGCATTGGACCAATCTTTGTTGTTGACGTAATTATTCAATGTTTGCTCTTTTTCAATTTTCAATTTGCTTTCTTGCTCCAATCTGGCTCTTTCTTCTTCAGAATTATCTTCCCAAAACGTTATTTGACCATCTGCATCTCCAGTAACAAATGTTTCACCGTCTTTCTTTACATCAAGCGACCAAATCCGATTCTGATGGTTATCAAAAGTCTTTAATGCATCATCATCAACTTTCAAATCCCAAAGTTTAATCAACCCATCGGCTCCAGTGGTTAATAATTGTTGATTACCATTAATAAATTTAGATCTTTGTACGGCATTTGTATGTCCTTCAAATGTCTTTTTACAACTGAAATCGGTTAATGACCATAACTTGGCAGATTTATCTCCACTAGCTGTAACCACAAGTTTGTCATATTGACAAAAATTAATATCCCATAAACCTCTCTTGTGTCCCTTTAATATACCAATGGTTTCTCCAGTATCAACGTCCCAAATCTTTCCTGTTTTATCATATGAAGCAGTAGCAAAATATTCATCATTGGGTGAAATATCAATGGCATTAATATCCTTTTCATGAGCTCTTCTGGTATATTCAGAGACCTTTATAATTTCAGTCTCAGTCTTGGGGATCTTCCATTTCTTAACAGTTAAATCACTTGATCCACTAATAATAAAGTCCGGTCTTCCATTATTCACTTTGCTTAATCCTAATGCTGTTACGGCTCCAGCATGTCCTGTAAATGTACAATATATGGTGAATGTTTCTTCTTGTCCATTCCAATGCCATAATATTATATCATTGTCTTTGGAACCGGTAGCTAACCATTGTCCGTCCTCAGTTGAATCAACAACATTTAATAAATCACGATGACCTTCACAAAGTATAAATTGTAAAGGATTGATAGGATCCACTATTCTAAGAGATGGTGAATTGGTAGCAAGAGCAACTAACAGAAGTTCAGGTCCAGTATAAACCATATCAGCAATAGTACCATGATTACCAGCAAACCTTCTACCTATTGGTAAAGTAGTTGTAGACTCTTGTTGTTCAAGATCAACATCGCCATCAAATAAACATTCCAAATCAACCTCAGCCAAAGTTTGATCACTAATTACCAAAAGGTATTTAGGAGAATATTGATCCAACTTAAGAACATCTATAATAAGCAATTCTTCATTTGTTTCCAATGGTTTTTCTGTTTCAGCTATTAAGATCATTTCTCCATTCTGCTTAGGGCTCCAAATACGCAAGGTGTTGGTTGAACCAGCAGTATACAAATAGTCCTTTCCATGAATTGATAAATAACCGATATTCTCAATTTGCTCTTTCACAGGATGTGTACTTTGATGCTTCCATGTCTTGGTACTGAATGTAAGTACGACTTGGTCTCTCCCACCAGTTGCAAACTGTTCACCAGAACTGCTAAATGCTAATCCTCTGACAGCAGCTGAATGCTCATTGATAGCTTTGATGCATTTTCTTTTACCTAAATCCCAAATCCGCACACTTCCCATGGTATCACCACTTGCCAATTTCCATTCAGTTGAGTTTAATTCACCATGAAATGCCAATGCACAAATGGTGGTTCCATGTCCCTTTAACGAATGACTAACATATCCTCCATCAATATCCCACACGGTAACAACACCATCCGATCCTCCAAATGCAAAAAGTGATGAAGTCGAATCAGCAGTTGATATGTAAACGGGCGAGCTCATCTTGAAGCTCTTTATGATTTGCTTGCTCAAGGTATCGTAGATTCGTAACTGTTGAGATTGTGATAAAATGGCCAATTTGGTACCATCTGGGGTCATCACCAAACTAGTAATCACTTCCCCATCTCCTTCTATCTTGTCTATAATCTCATCACTATTCAAGTTGGTGATGGTAACATCTTCTTCCACAGCTGTTGCCATAAAGTTACCACTTCGGGAGATGGTGGCTGAAGTTCCACCAACATAGAATGGCTCAATGTCTTCATGCCCATATGTAGTTCTTAGAGTATTCATTATGCCTTGCAGTTCGATGCAGACTCAGTGCAGCTAAGTTGGTGGTACAGTTCTTTTTGGTGCTCATCGCAGTTGAAAGTTCAATTTTTAAGACACAAAAGTGGCTTGCAATAGCGGGTCGACAAACCCCCGGAAATGTACCGACTTTCCCTCGTAAATGCCATACAAGTTAAATTATCTCCGGACTATTAAGGTCGAACCATTCTAATCCTAATTTAGAAGCCGAATCCTTAATGAATTCTTCAAAGTAATCTTCTAATCCCATGGCTTTGCTTCCATATTTGTCGCCCCAAACCCATTGCCTAAACCGGATCAAGCCGAAAACCAAATCAGCTGAAAAAAGAGTCAACTTTTGAAATAATAACTTCATCCAATCACTAATGCCATTTGGTGTAGAGGTCCCTATGGCTTCTCTTGAAAACACATTGATTCGATTAACAGGAGAACCAAAATGTTGATTTAAATTCTGTATCATACGCATAGCTCGAACAACAAACAAAAGTTCAAGAGGAAACTTGCCCTTATCACTAATGAAGCCTCGAAGTAAATCTTGGACACTGGTCTCACGTAATTGAGTATCCAAGGCATCTTTTTCCGATTTTGACATGAAGTTAGCTGGTCGAAGTAACATTATAGTTGCAAATAGTTCAGCTTCATTTATACCCCAATTCCGACTAATACTCACCACTCCCTTCTTGTTAAACAGATATAAATGTCTCCAGAGTTCACGGTACTCATCTTGAAATCTAGGTGGTAAAGTAGTATAAAGTCCATGATCAAGAATAATTAATTCTTGATCCCCCAGTTGTTCATTGAACCGTACCATGATATTCCCAGGATGAGGATCCAGATGAACAAACCCATACTTGAAGATTTGACGAGCAAATACTTGGATATACTGAGACACCATTCGACCAACATCAAATTTCTTTTCCAATATCTTTGCCTTATCCAGTAACGGTACACCGTCCATCCATTCTGTTATTAACGTTTGCAGCGTTGTAAACTCATGATAAACTTTAGGGATAACAATGTGCTCATTCTTCATCCCTGGGTCGTTAGCAATGGCAGCTTGTAACCTTTCAGCATTGACCATCTCATTGATAAAGTTCAATTCGCATTGTAGTTCGTCTGAGATGTACGACGTATAAAACGACATGGGGATATCAAATACCCGTTCAAACACTACGGAGAAGACCCGGTACACCAATAAATCAATCTTGGTTTGCTTAGGAATGTAAGGGTGTTGTACTTTAATGGCCACTGGTTGACCTCCCCACACATCTTTCAAATATCCTCTGTGAACCTGAGCAACAGACGCACTGGCCACAGGGACCGTGTCTATTGATTCAAAGTACTTATCTTGATAACCATTCCCCAAATTAGCCTTGAGCACCTTATCAATTGATCTCCAACTATCATTAGGTGCATTATCGTAGAGCTTAACAAACCGTTTCTGGTACGCAATGGGGAACACGCTTCCTTGATTGGCAATGGCTTGTCCAATCTTGATATAAAGTCCTTTATTGGTCATGAGCATCTGATACAACTTCTCTGCTGCTTCTTCATGTAAATCAGCAAGTTCTTTAGACCCTGGAGGGAGCTGTTTGGAGTATTGGTACGCCACCCACGATAAAACATAGGTGGCTCGAATGGTTCTACCAAAGACCGACAGGAACAATGACTCGTCAGTATAATACACAGTGGTACCTCCAATAATCCCTATTATACTTACAGTAGTTAACTTTCTCCATGGTCCAGACCTCCTATCAGTGTTGGATCTAGAACTAGTGGAAGGCGGCCTAGCACTGTTGGTATTGGCTCCAGAACCAGGCTTTGATCTGGGCTTTGCCATTCGTCCAAGAGGACGAGCAGCTTTGAGTAACGTCAATGTACCAACTCTCATCACACACTATTGCATATCTTTTATACATATACAAGTATATTGTTAGTAAGTAACATAATGGTTTAATGTCTATTATCTTAATTGAATGGTAGCGCACACCCCTCATCGTTTGTTTCCGGAAGAGCATTTCCGGGATTATCCCGGACCAACGAATTACTTTTAAGGAAAAGTTTGTTACCAGTCAGATTGTCTATTAAAGTTTGACCATTAACAAACATTCATTGGCCAAACATGATCTCCATAACAAAACAGGTACTCAAGACCAGACCAAGTATTCGTTCATATGCAACAACTGTCACCACCGCTAGTCCTAAAAAGGTAGGTGCTTTCAGAGGTATTTTCATTGGCTTCTTAACCGGTGTTACTGTCACTGGAGGTGCATCTTACTATTATTTATTTGATGAATATAAGAATGCCAATAGTGTTATTGTTACTGATGTGGTAGCATTACAGAATTCCATTGCAGCTTTGGAGAAGCATGTCAAGTCATTGGAGGAAAAGAAGTGAATCATGCGTGTATCATAGTGTGTATTGTTAAATAGTGAAATACATGACATCAATTGATGAAGAACTGATATCAGAAGTGTAGAATGTATGTATGTATGTATGTATGTATATATTTATGTATGTATGTATGTATGTATGTATGTATGTATGTATGTATGTATGTATGTATGTATGTATGTATGTATGTATGTATGTATGTATGTATATTCGTATATACGCATATATGTAAGCTTGTTCATATATGCTTTCTATATTTACAAGTTATATCTCCTTGACAAAGTCCAATGAATCATCTAATAACAGATTGAATGATTCCTGGTTAATCCCATCCTCAAGTTCTCCAACTAAATTAACCTCAACTTGACGACCTCCCAATTGACCTCCCTCAATTAAACTTAATTGAACAAATCGTTCCTTATATTTGAAATCAAGCTTTCTAACATGAGCTACGCTCAAGTACTGATACCGAACCGATTTTCCATCAATAATGAAGTCAATATGACTTTCAATTTGTACTTTAGATCTTCCATTGAAACCCAATTTTGATTTCTCCAAGAATTTCCGGAGTCCAGGCTGATTATTGAACCGAGAGTATCTATCTGTGACCAGATCCAACATGGCTTGAATCTCAAGCTCATCATCATCTTTCTTTGAGCCATTTTCTTCTTTGATTTCATTGTCCTCTAATAATGACGATGTTGATTGACATGTGATCTTTAAATCAGCTTTGTTCTTAGGTAAAGACACATAGCAATTGTTAAGCCCCTCGACAGTCACTACAGCCATAGAATCAATATCAACACATTTCAGTTCATCCAAATCAAACCAAATCTCAATTTGTGGATATTTAACTTGTTCTCTCAATTGTTCAGAATCCTTCACAAATGGGGTTGGTGCATATTTCAATTGAAGGGAATAATGACTAGGATCTTCCGAAAGTAATCTATTGATTTCCTGAGTACTCAAGGAGGATGTGCCATATGGTTTCAATGATAACACTTTATCGGTTGCAAAAGGAATATCAGAACTGAAAACATATGGAAGCGACTTTAAGGTGTCTAATTTTGGATTTGGAGGAATTATCTCATCTCCAATAGAAACGTTTTCCACATTGTTTTTGAATAAAATATTTCCTAAGGTTACTGTCATGACCTTATTATTATGCCTTAATCCATTTAATTTATCTGCGTGTGAAAAATCAGTTAATTCGTTGTACAAATTTTCACGTTGAGCCGATAATAATTGTGATGGTCCTTCAATTTGTTCCGATGCTTTACTGTCGTCTTCAATCTCGTGATTGAGATCGCCCGATTCCAGTATCTCATTAGATCCAAATCCTAATTCAGCCAATAATTCAAGACTTGTTCTCTCCATTTCCGCCATCTCGGTCGACGTAGGAAGGCGATCGGAAGGTAGAGTCTTTGCAAATTCAATTTCTGTTTCATATGATACCCGAGGGTTACTCATATTTTCATCTGAGAATGTTTCAAGTTGTTTCTGAATTAATTTACTCATCAGACTAGTCTTTTCGTTTTCGGTGCTTCTTAATTCAAATAATTGATCTTGTCTCAGAGTCCATGGGATTGCCTTATCATTCTTGAATGGTAAGAATTGAAGGGTTTTTGGCTCTGTTAAATCAGGCAAGAATATATTTTCTTTCAAATGACCATTGTAATTTAATAACCACAATAAAAGTCTTTTGGCTCGCTTCAATTGGGATTTCTCTAAGGTAACCAATTCATATTCATCATTATTAGCAGATTTTAAAGGCTTAAAATAAACATCAGTTTGTTTCTGAAACTTCAGCAAGGGGAACTCTTGATATTTCTCCATAAATAGTTGTTTAATGTTCTCCAAATTAACAACTTCTCTGGTGATATTATCCTGCAAAACATTCCATACTTCGTCTGCTTTGGCAACTTGCAATTCAGTTCCAGCAAACGTTAACTTCATGGTGTCTGGATCAAACAGAATCTTAGCTCCACTTCTAGATAAATATCGTATTATTCTTCCATTCTCTTGTAACAAAAGAAACATGGTTTCATCTGTCATTTCTACAGACTTGAACAGTGCCAACTCATCCCATGATGTAAGTTCATCAGTCTTTTGGATCCCCCAAATATCCTCCAAAACTATTTCAGCCAAAGCATTTTTTGTTCTACTGGCCAAACCCTTTTTGAGTCCCTTATAGTCTGAATCATTGTACTTAGTCTGAATAAAATCCACCAATTGAGCCCGTGTGAACCCACGAGTCAACAGTTGTCTCAATAGCTCAAATCTCTGAATAGTTACCTTTGAAGATTCATCTTTAGAAGGTCTGAGTGAGTCTATGTTAAGATTCTCGCCTTCATTGAGGTCCTCCATCTTGCTTTGATACATATCTGCAATAGAAGCTCTCAATATCCCCTGCTTTGTCCTTGAACGAGTTGAATCTCGTACGTTGCCATCGTTTTTGGAACTTCTAGTCGCTACTCCACCTCGTTTATTTGTCTTAATGCTCTTTTTGCTGCTCTTTCTCCCTGTTTGATTGGGCAGTAACACCACATATCGCTTACTGGCGTCCATATCGGCTATAGGAGTAGTTTTCTTCAATTCTTCCAATACCAACGAGGGTATCCGGAACAGCTGATGACCGTAAACTCCCAGTGTACTTGAAAGTGAACGGATACACGTACACTGATGTAGAGACCCCCACACCGCACGCACGCTCGATCTCCTCATATTATGCTCAAAGAGGTAGTGCGTAAAGCCAAACTATGGTGGTAATGATCAGCACTTGTACCATTAGTATCATCGCAAAGTAGGTATAAGGTATCAAAATTTTAATCTTTATTCACGTGCTACAACACGTGAATAAATAATTTATCACGTGTTGTATGTCACGTGATTGTTAGCGGTAAGCATGTACAGAAAATTTGCTTATCTTATGCTCGCCGTCACTTACTTCTTTAAGACTGACTTATCCGATAACACCCCACAAATTGATAGCCTCCGCAATCCTGTATATCTCGGTTACACCCACCGTTTCTGGATTCGGTTCCGCTCGTTAGAGATAACCATATTTAGCCATAGGGAATACCTTCATCGGTGACTGTTCCCGTAATGAGCTACAGAATATTTTGCTATTAAGGCTGGCGTCGATAAACAGATGACATATCACGGTCTCAAATGCCGTTAGGGTTTCTAGTTATAAATATATATAAAGGTGATAAATTCCATAATACCCAAACAGCTGAAGAGTAGTAATCTTCATCAATAATACTCACTCATCCTCAAGTATACTCATATTAAGTCATACTCAAATTTACGTCGCATCGTACTCAAATATACCCGCAATATACAAATCATTCGTTATTGTTAATGTCATCAGTTCTTCTTAGAAATAGAGTCGCAACCAACCGTTCGTTGTACCGTGCACTCGGTCTCGGACTCTACAAGACCAATGCATTCACTAGCAGCGCCAAAGTCAAGACCACTGCTCCTGCTGCTCTGCCATTGGCTGCGAACCAGCAGGCTACTTCACCCCTCAATACCAACACCAACACCTTTAGACTCGGAGATCGCTCTGCAACCTCGACCGAATACTTGAAGGCCTTCAACACCACTGAGTTGTTCCTGTTGTTTCTCATTGGCTGTTGCACCTTAAACAAACCCATATTAGACTTGTGCATTAAGGTGTTCCCCTATGTCCCCACGTTTCTCATCAAGAAGTTGATCTACAACATCTACTGCGGTGGTGACACTGTGCCTCAAGTGATCGAAACCGGTAAGAGGTTGGCCACCAGAGGCATCAACAACATGATGATTTCATTGACCATAGAAGCCTGTGATGGTAACGATAATGTTGACCCCCAGTTCATTGTGGATGAGACTATCAAGTCAGTGACCGATTTGGCCGTGCCTCACACCATGAACATGATTAAGACATCAGGCAAAAATATCAACGAGATTCCTCCTTGTTACGTGGCATTGAAACCCACAGGGTTTGCTAAGAATGCTGCTGCTGTATTGGAGAACTACTCTTCCCCAGACCATGCTGCTGAGTTTGATGAATTGGTGACCAAGGCTTCCAGTATAGTTGAGTCCATTTACAACTCTAACGTGGAATTGGCCACCAAATTCCCCGATAGAGCTGCCCCCTTCGTAGTGGCTGTCATTGATGCCGAGAAGCACGACTTGCAAGAAGGAGTCTATGAGTTGCAAAGAAGATTGTACGCCAAATATAACAAGCCTAACATGCCAGTGTCTGTTGTGGGTACCCTTCAAATGTATTTGAGTGAATCAGCTTCTCTTTTAACCTTGGAGGAGAAGTTGGCCAAAGAAGGCAACTATAGATTGGGCTTGAAGTTGGTTAGAGGTGCTTACATCCATTCCGAAAGAAAAAGATCATCCATAATCCACAAGACAAAGGAAGAAACCGATAGTAATTATAACCAAGGGATTTCTTATTGCATTAATTCAGTCTTGAGCAACAAAAGTAACGAAAACATTTTAGGTCATTTGGTTGTGGCATCCCATAATGCTCACTCATTGGAAACAGCTACACAATTGGTGTACAATGATTCAGCGGTCTCCAATAAGAATAAGAACAACGTGGTGTTGGGTCAATTGATGGGAATGGCCGACAATATCACTTATAACTTGATCAAGGAATATGGAATTGGCAATGTCATTAAATATGTTCCTTGGGGTCCTCCATTGGAAACCAAACAATATTTATTAAGAAGATTGGAGGAAAATGGTGATGCTGTCAGATCAGACAATGGCTTTCCATTGATTAAGAACGTCCTAAGCGAATTTTCGAGACGGTTATTCGTTTAAATGAGAAGCTACCAGCTTCCTTCCTCTGCATATAGTTTAATGTCATCATGATTAAAAATTAAAATAGTCTGGTTCCCAAATATGATTACTAATAACACATTGTACTAACCATTCCCAATCAACAAACCCAACTGTAGCATGACTATGCTGAATATTTGACAAGTTTTGAGCAATTCCTGATCGACTTCTGGTTATCCGAGGCGGTTCAGGAATGTCAAATGAATTCTCCACACTCTTTCTTACATTTGACCCCACTTCAAACACCAAGGTCTTGTTCCCACCACCTTTAATGGTTTGGATAGTAGACGCAATATCCACCATGTCAACAATGTAATCCACGCTTTTGGCCCCAAAGGCATGGAAAATAAATACAGCTGTTTCCAAAACCATGGTGCTCATATTTAGTTTCAGTATTAACACATTAATATCTCCAAGTAGCGCACTGTTGAGACGAAGCTGCTCATTAAGAGTACATTGGTCTTCGTAGTTCTTCCGGAACGGATAAATATCCATACTCTTAACGGCATCTCCCAAGTACTTGGACTTCCCTGAAGGTAATAAATAGGCACACCATGATTCAAGATTACCAGGGTTCCTTATGGTATCAAAGATATAAGCATCAGAAACAACAGGCCACCCTAATGCAAGGGCTTGTAAATATTTAGCACTTCGACAGTAGCTGGTGGACAAAACACATGCAAATCTGAAATGGGCCAATTGCCCGTCTATAACAATACAAACCCCTTGATCATCAGCTACACACCTCAAGTGCTTTTCAAAGCTTTCCAATATTGATCCTCCATTTCTTAAAATCACATCACAAAGTGCCTGCTTGTTGCCTGATACACTAGTGATAACAAAGAGTCTTCCTGAGAACAACTTTGTTTCTTCACTTCTAATTGATTTAATAGGACTCGATCGGCTTTTATGTCCTTTAACAGGACTACTTCCATCAATAACAGCAGTATTATTACTAGTAATATTATTAGCATTTAATGGAGACGAGCAGCCAACATCAATATCTGCAATTACATCGCAGAGCTCTCCAAAGGACTCAAATTGGGATCTACTTCTTCCTTTGATCAACATAGCATTGCCTTGATGGTGGTTCATCAAATCTCCAATCTCCATCCAACATTCCGAAAGCGGAACCTCTATTTCAGGGAACGATTTGGTCTTAGTATTCTGTCTTTTCAACAATACAGAATTATACCCTCGAACACAGCATATACTGTTGGTATCATTGTGAGTCTTCTTCAAGCCAGAGACGGTAAACCTGGCGACTTTCGATTTCACTCGAATGGTATCTCCAATTCGTATATCCAATAAATGCAAGTCTTCGTTCTTTATCTGGTATGTGCCTTCTTCAAACTCCACCTCCAGAACTTCTTCTCCCAAGGAAAGTAAGACTCCAGAATAAACTCGAACATTGTATAATGCCCATACACTGCCTTTATGCAAAATGTCCTTCTCTGTCATCACAGTCAGTGGCTCTTCTCGTAAAAGTTCTGGAGACTCAGGGGATGCACGGGCTCTCTTAAATGGGCCCTCTTCATTCTGGGAATCTATAACGAACTTATGCTTCCTTTGATAAGTATTTGGAATCATTATTTCTTCTTGATCATCAGTGAATGTCTTTTCATCTTTAGCATGACGACCAAAATCAATCTTAGCCTCTTCGTGTTTCAAAGTCGGCGACGATGGAAGCAAAGTTACGGTCTTTATGACCTGAGTGTTGGAAGTGTCAGGAATTTGGGATGTTCCTGTTCTAAATTGCTTATTAGCTGTAGGAGAAGAATCTGAAATCACCGTCGGTGAACCCAGACCCAATATAAGTGGCTGGTGTTCAAAACATGAAGGTGCTAGTGTAGTCTTTTGAGTCATATGTATCTTTTGAGTATCCATTAAAGAATTGTTTCTAGAAACTGCCTCATCATCTGATACTATTTCAATGTCTTCTTCTTCAACGTCTTCGTCTTCTTCCACTTCCAGAACAACATTCCCCACCGCATCTAAAATACTATCTTGGGTGTTGGGGACTTCTCTATGCGAAGCAAGAAACCTGATCTGACCCAAAGAATCATTAGCATCTGGTTGATACGCCAGAGTATCGAAAATGTCTGTGATTTCTCCTGCTGTTGGATTTGCTAGTACTTTCTGGGTCAATCGTAACTGTGTTGGAGTTTCCATAGACAAAAAATGTCCTTTATCACCATCACCATCATTATCATCGTCCATTTGTGTAGGTCCCATAATAGTCTTTGACCGAGGTGCTTCAGGATTGGATACCACTACTATATCGTTATCATCATGAGCCATGACAAGACTCCGTTCCGGAGATAACTCAAGACGATCAGGAAGACAGCGTATTCGTTGAGTCAAAGAATTATTGCCAGCATCATTACTACCAGCATTATTATTACCAGTATTATTATGCTCTATTACTTGGGTATCTTCAAACACGGATTTGTTCCTGGAAATCACTTGCGTGTCGGCCACTGTGCCTTTATCCAGATACAGCTTCTTCCATGGCGACAATTGCAGAAGCTGCAGCTCTCGCCGACGACATTTGGTGATATCGTGAGTGCTATCAAAGCCTGGTGGTGGTGGTACCAAGTTTGGTCTTCCTTCAGAGAAGAGACTGCCACTCATTATAACCGTGGTCTCAAAGGGGTCTTGTAGTCGTTGCAAAAAGGGAGTTTCGTCCGGCTTATCCACAAGGGAAAACCGGCAATTATTATTGGTCGATACTGTTGACTTGTCACTTGCACCCAGCGAGTTATTATCTGCGTTGGTACTTGAAGTCTTCAAGTCGTCTCCTCCAAACACCAAGCTGTTATTATTATTATTGTTGTTGTTATTGCTGCCTGCAAACGCGTCTGTCTCTGGTACAAGTCCATGAGCTACCGTGCCGTTGCTGCCGGCCATAAGGAGAGAAGATGAGGCAAATGTCCATAAAGAAACAAAAAGACAGACAGATTGAGTTGTATGGCTATAGTTGAAATTGCCAGAATTAGTATGGTCCGTATTATGATCTTTTCAATCACGTGATTGTGATCACATGATTCCAGAAAGGATATAAACCTCTTCAGCCGGCTATAAGTAGCATAAATTTTTATTTAATACAAGTATTTTTACATTATTAACTCATTATACTATACTTTACAATTAAAAACCACCATTACCACCATTCATAATGTACTGACTAACCAATTGTAATGCACCTTCAGGATTAGCAGCTATTTCTGGGTTCCGAGCACATATATCATCAAGGACTTTCCTCTGTTCAATTGTGAGAGTAGATAATATAGAAGAACTACCATTAGTTACGGGAAAACTCGCGTGATAATGGGCCTGATCTTGGGAATCTAGACTTGACATCGGTTTCGATCCAAGTTGATTCAATATAGCCTGAAGATCTGGACCTGAACTAGCAGTGCTTGTCGTCTTCTTCAAGATCCCAGGAGGAGCAGGGGTATAATCTTTCTTCACCACAAACACTGCAAATAACCCAACCATGATATCAGATTTGAATTCAGCCAAATAATCAGGAAGCAGAGGATCATTAAAATCAATTGAAATGATGTAGGCATCCTTGACAAAAGATGGTTTCCCAGACAAAACCCCTACCTTATTCTTATTAAGTAGATAATTATTGAGTCTATCAAAGCCCAGTTGATCTTTAACACATGTGAGTTGGATAAGATAAAGGTCCCTGGTAGTAATGACCTTGTTGAGGTAATCATCGGCCACTTTCCGATCCAATCTACCTTCGATGTTGTGGTCGTTCTTGGTGAGTAATTCCTTAGCAACAGATATAAACTTGTTATGGGTTCTCACACCATTAACTGATGTTGGTTCTACATAATTTGAACAACTATAGAAATCTCCTCTTGCTTCAAATGATGAAAACTCTGGGAAAACAATATGGCCAGTCCATAAGTTCCTTCCCAGTATTATTAAGGGGAGATTGGGGGTGTTTTGTGGTTTCAAAGTCTTTTTTTGTTTCTCGTCACTCTTACGCTTTCCTGTAATGATGAAATTCAAGTCATCATCGTCTTCAATATCAATTTCTGGTACATTATCAATGTCACTTGATTCTGAAGATGAAGATTTCCCATTTTTGGTAGATGTTAATCTTATTGTTTCAGCACTTTCAGCTTCTTCCTCCTCTTCATTTTGAATGCTATTATCGATATTATCTTCATCTTCGTTATCAAAATTATGATAGCTTTGTCTGTTGTTACCTTCAACCTTTATGTCTGACTTATGCAGCGAATCATCCTTGAAGATGCGGTGATCGACACTCCGAGAAATAATCCCACTGTCTCCTTCATCATTATGCTGATTGGAAGATATGCTTTCCACTATTTCCTCACCTTTATGGGTTCGTCTAACCCGTTGTTCATTATCTTCTACTACTATCACCGTCCGACGGATGGCATCTTGTCTGACCTTATCAGCATACGTTTTCAACGTGCTGTCTAGTTCTTCAGGCTTCATTTTCACCAACTGTTCAAAAGTAATCTTGTGGTCCAATATCTGTTGGGAAACATTAGGCTTCCGTAGTAAAAATAATACTCTTCTACACTCATTGGTGTATCTATCCTTAGCTTTAGGGAACTCATTATGAATGGCTTCCTCTAATTCCAATGACCATTTAGACGCTACCGAGTCTCTATCAAATCCAAGCTCAAACTTATAATCTTCAGGTATTATCCCTCGAAACATATTGTAATATGCTTTGGCTATACTGAGTCTGGCAGAATCCTTCAAGTTTTTAACAGAATACTGAGACGAAGTCTGACATTCTATGCATAAATAGTTCTTGGGTATAGCATCAGGTTTCAACCCCATACACAAAGCATGTTGCCAGTTCTTGCATTTATCACATTGAATCATCATGCCTCCTTCATCCTTATCTTCGTCGTAATTAGCCTTAGTGGTCTTACAAGGTAAACATCTCACCTCGCCTTCGTAGTCTTCTTCAATACCTTCTTCTTCCTGTTGCTCGTGCTCATCCGCAAACTTAAAGCTCTCTCCTCCATGCTTTGCTTTGGCCTTCTTACTTACAGGCACATCACTACTAGAAGGCAATACAAGGTTCACCTGAAGATCATAGTCTTCCTCCAATGGCCGTTTCGGTGGTTGTCCCTTATTTGCTCGCGATGATCTCCTTACAGACGTAGACATTTTTCCGCCACTGATTACAAGTAAACAAGCACAGTGCACACAAACAAACAGACAGACACACTCAGTCGCACACACTTACTCAGTTGCACTCCCTTTAACAATACCAGCAAACGTCCACTATGACTCGACGGTTAATTCGGTGCTGGTGTAAAGCTGTTAGCAACAAAGGCTTTTATTTATGTGGTGGTTTGATTTGACGTGAAAAAATAAACAGTGAACTTTTAGGTTTGTACACGACTTTGGTGATACTTATAAGCAGACCCTAACTTGTGGTCCTATAATTACATTTGACTCCATTTAAAACTGTGTTTCTTAAACTAACTAACTATCATGTACATATGCTGAATGTCTTAATTTTTTTCTTTTTTCTGTAATTTTTCCTATATTTCTTCCCCTTTTCTTTATTCTTAAGTACTCCAGTATAAACCTTCAAGAATAATATAAATCCTATAATGGCCCCTCAAAGCCTTCAAATCCCACGAATAAGTGACATAAGCTCAATATCGTCAGCAAAAGTCTCTTCCACTTCAGCCATGGCTGCTTCACTGAAAAGACCAGACTTGGTAGGTCGAAATCCTTCAGAGATTGCCTCAACAATCGAAGCTCTCCGTCTGGTTGATTTGGAAAGTGGCCCAACAATAGACGACTTTCTTCTTCCGCTTTTGTATACTCCATTTGAAACTTGTAAAGCAGAAGCAGCAGATGAAGAAGAAGAAGAAGAAGAAGAAGAAGACGTGGCTTGTGGCTTGGAGGTTCCATTGGTTGTTCCATTAGAGTCAGTAGCACTACCACTATTTGTCGTTGAGCTTCGTCTCCGATGAGATGACGCATTCGATGGGGGGTTCCGAACACCATAAACCCCAGAATAATGATTCCCGAGAGCATTATTTTGTAATATTGATTTGTTTCGGAATGCTCCTAAGGGAACCTGTCTCTTATGATTGCTGAAATCTCTCCAAATACGGATATCGTTCTCATCTCCGTCATCCAATTCACTAACATTCAACAATTCATCGAGTCCTAATGCATCGTCTGCATCAACCTTATTGGTTATGATAGGAAACGAAGTTCTGGGCTTTTGTTTGGGATCAAAAGGCTTTGTAATTAACGATCTGGTGGATAAACCATCAATAATACCAAATGGCTTGTTACTCACAGCAGCCCAAGTTCCAAGTACTGGAGGACGATGATCAGCAGTTTTGGAGGATAGAACCTCTTTGGCAACCTTCGATCCAAGTTTACTTTTGGAAGAAGACTTTGGTAAATTCAAATCTTCATCAGTCGAATCACCACTGTCATATTCGTATTCGGAAAACTCATCCAATCCAGTTGGATATTGGTTGCCAGGTTGTCTCTTGTTAAGATCATTAGTTGGTGATGATGCTTGTTTCTCCACTGTCGTGGCTAAGTCATTTGATGGACGCCTTCCAATTAACTTCGACCGGTTTTCGTCATCGGATAGTAACATCTCGTCATCCGAATCATAAGCATGCAACAGCCCTTCGCTTCCGGTTTCGCTATCACCATCATTTTCGTTCTCGTGAGAGTCACTATCAGAACTGAAAAAGTAATTCCACAAATATGAATCATCTTCATCATCACTTGCAGTTACATCTAGGCCACTTGACTTCCTGTCTTTGTTCTTGTGCTTACGCTGCTGCTTGGGGAACCGGGGAGAAGACACTTTGTTGTCGTTTCTATTCTTGCTGGTACCACTCTCTTGGGAGGTTTCCTTCTTTGATTTTGACTTTTTTTGGGCCTCTTCGGTTTCAGATAACGGTAGTTCAAAGTTAACAAAGTCAATGTAATCATCATCTTCCATGTCATTATCATTGTCTTCATTATCATTATCATCATCCATATCATCATCACTGCTGGCGTATTGAAGAACTTGGTCATTGTCATCGTCACGGAAATGATGATGTAACCCATTTGCTATCTTAGCAATAGTACCAAGTTCTATTTGACCATCTTCATCAAAGCCATTACTTTCAAACTCATTAACCAAGTATGCTTCTTCTTCTTTCAAAAATGCACTGTCTTTGTCCTCATCCATGGACCCGATAGAATTATTCCGAGTGTGGTTAACGCTTCCTTCATTAAGAAGAAGATCATCCTCATCATCAACTTGTAAAGTAGCAACTAACTCATTGTCATCTATTTCATAGTCATCGTCGGAGTTAAGTTCACCATCTTTAAACTTGGGAACTGGAAGTAGTTGGGATTCAAAATCAAAATCAAATTGTAATTCTCCAAGATCATGACCATTAACATTGGTTTCTTTATCTGGGGTAGTAACCTCTTCTCCAATATCTTCTTCATCATTAAACTCATCATCTCCAGTACGTTTAAGCAGGTCAATATGCTGCTGAATCTTCTTCTCATTGACATTATTACCATCATTGAAATCATCAAAGTCAAAAGAGAAATTGATATCTTCTGGAAGTGCAACCTCTGATTTTCGTCTTCCAAATTTCGATTTACTTTTGGCAATAGAGTGCCTTTTCTTCATATGCAGCAGCTTCTTATCAATTCCTTCAGACATGCTCTTCCTTTTCTCTTTCTTAGAAAGCTTCGTTGGGGATGATTGTCCATTCATGGCCATGACTGCATTCAACGTCTTCTTCTTATGCTCGGCTTGTAACCTCACAAAGTCTACTTCAGAATCATCTGAAGAAGAGTACCCGTATTCTTCCTCTTCATCTTCGTCATCGTCATCGTTATCCCCAGATTCAGAACCCGAATCAGAGTCGGAAGCTTGAGCTTGATGGTTCAAAATAGCATAAAGTCCCTTTAAGGGGTCCTTGGCCTCATCTCCCGAGTAGTTGTCGTCTTCATCATCATCGTCATCATCATTATCGCCGTCTTCTTCATTGGAATCGCTGTCATCGTCATCATCCTCGTCATCGTCTTCGTCTTCGTCAAAAGCTGGGCCCCTCTCAAATTGTGCTTTCCAGTTAAAAGTCTTCTTAGGTGCTCTTTTCTTTGCATACCGAGGGTTGGATGTCTTTGATTTGGACTTACGAGGAGAAATATCTTCAAATAAAGAACCCCTTCTGGAAGCCTCTATCTCGTCTTCTTCGGACACTGCAGTCAATGAAGAGTCTGAATCTCCATCCGACAAAACAGTAGCAGTGTACTTGTCAAACCGTTTGCCTCCACTAGTGTGATGACCTCGCACATTGTGGTAGATGGTGTTGCCTTCATCATCTGATCCACTGTTGGAGTCTGACAGCGAAGACGATGACTCGGCTATACTAAACCGTCGGTTTCTAGAGCCTTTCTTATTGTTATTATAGTTGAAGTATTTACTGGGGTTCTTCCCAGCAATAGGCCGAGGGTTCTTTTTGGATGCTTGTTTGGGATATTGAGACCCACTTTTGGCTACGCTCTTGTTGCGCGTGTACTTTGTTGCCTTTCTAGGACTTTTAGCCATTATTACCTCGCTTATGCTTGTGCTTGTAGCTTGCTTGTGCTTGTGCTTGTGCTTGTGCTTGTACTTGTACTTGTGCTTGTACGTGTGCGTGTGCGTGGGTCTAAGTGAACTTGCTTGGAACGATTATTCTAAATCTATCAAAATAAACTGAATGGGAGTGCCTGCAACCCATGCTATTAAGTGAACGCAATAAGACGCTGTTTAAAACTGGAGAGGGGGCTCTGTTCTGCTTTAGATAACTAATGACCAGCAGGAAAAACAGATGCTTCTAGGACTCACCAGGGGCAATATGAACTGTTGTGGTGGCAATTGAAATATACAGTAATCCGATCTTTAAATACCGAGGATAGTGATAATGGTAGTATTCACAACTATGCTTAGTATCTCTGGTTTCAATAATAAGATCTGTTGCCAATAAGGGGGCTGCTCGTTATAGATCTGTGAGGAATCAATGGTAACTGTAGAGCAGAAGGGATGATAAACGTTATCTTCTGATCTTATGCTTGTTTTCGTATTCGTGTCTGTGTCTGTTGTAACTCGTTCGTGTCCCGTTAATGTTTGAGACTTCTTCTATCGTATAAGGAGTCAATTACTTAATAAGAAGGAGATGAGCCAGTATTTAAGGTTGTGAAATTTAGGAATTTCCAAATGCGACACGATGAGATTGTAAAGAATGACGCCATACGACAATGGCATGCAACAAAATGTCAAAAATGGCCAGTGGTAGCCAATATCGTATAGTAGTAATCAATGGTTGATATTATTATTGTTGGATTAAGACCACGAGCCCTAATAGGTATTATGATTGGGTAAAAGGATAATAGGAGATTAATATTTCAGAAGTGTCCCTTGGTTACGTAACAATGAGACGATTTTCACTGTGCCTATAAATGTGTGGCAATGTTATGACAATATACTGACGAATGCATGCGCACCACACTACCTACTTGTGAACACACTTCTATACATATGATTCACTCGCATACATCTTCTGCTTCCGTTTATACACACCAATCACTCTACACCCATCGTACTACAGACTCAGTCTAAAGTTCCAACTGTTATTATACTATAACGTATCTAATCTACAAAAGAAGCTAATGCTTCTTGTCGGCATCCGAAGTGGCCTTAGCAATCAATTCAATCTGTTCCTTGACGGCCTTTGTCAAGTATTCAATCATAATAACATCTTGGTTATGGTTATGGAAATGTCTTCTTAATTCTTCCATGTCATCCAAGATTTGAGGCTTTGATAACAAGCTGTTACTTAACAACCGCAATAAGTCTAAGTTGTCATCATTTTGTAATGCATCTAAGGAAGCGGATTCCACACGGTTCAATATAGCATCGATATTGTCAGTAACAGCATTCAATTGAGTAGTCAAAAAGGATAAATCCAGAGATAATTGAGTAGAATCGACATTAACAGTCTTTGTCTTCAAAAAGTTGGCAGCAATTTGTTCAGTGCTTGAACCATCAACAATCGCATGAGGAATAGGGGTGAAAACATAAGAATTGTTATTGGAAACAGTCTTCCAACCCATCTTTTGAGTATTATTGGCACTCTTACCAATAACAGCTCCCAAATAAGTGGTGAATTCAGGAACATGGACTTCACCATCTTTTATGTATTGTACGTTCAAATGTAAAGCAGGAGATGGATATGCACGGTCGGTACCATGAGAATAGAAATCATGGATTAAAGCAGTAGTATTATCTATTTGTTCAGAACTACCGAACCATCCTAAAACATGTTCCTTCAAGTGAGCCTTCTTATATAATTGGTATAATTTCCTGTGTGTTTCCTCTTCAATGGCAATGGAATCTCCAGTCTCATTACATGGGACCATAAAAGCATCCTTAATCTCAAAAAGCAGTCCGTCGTCCAGTCTTATCCCCAATAATGTTCCGATCATTCTCTTGTTTTCGGGTAACACTTGTTTGGATACAATTTCCAAAACTTGTAACACAGCAGAGGTGTGAATCTTGATCTTGCATGCAGAGCCAGCTGTACCAGCCATTGGTGCACTCACACTTGGCTTCACCAAATGCATAATAGGACTTTCCACAGTCATCTTCAGCTTGCTATGGTATGGCTATTTGATTAGCTTGTGGTAAAGGGTTAGAATTAACATCAATTTTTTCACTTTTTTTTTCACATATTGTGAAGGGCGGTATACGCAGGATATGTATATAACACCCTAACACCAGGGTATTTGTATGGTTTGTAAATCATTGAACCGGGGATTCAAATGTGAAAACTCCATCAACGCAAGTGGTAGTCGATGTGTACTAGATGAATATGGCTGGTTTATATATATAGTTGTATCTAATATTGGCGGATTTCATTAGCGTTATACATCTTACACCCTCGGTGTTGACCTCGTAAGTAGACGATTAGAAAGGGACATTACTAAGTCTTTGAAAACATCAAGGTAAACTTAAGCATTGTCATATTAAGGCAAAATTATTAGAACAATTATTAATATATAGCAGTATGTTTGTAGCATTTTTTACCTTAATTTTGGTAGAACTTTTACTATAGTGGATAGTATAAATTGTATGGCCGGAATTCGAATGTATTCCGAGGTTAAGATTTAATAGATACTAAAAGTCTCAATTCTGAGTTGCACAAGTAAAGAGCACCAATCCTACATTTTCCGTTCCACACTGTCAACAAACATGAAGCGTGGCTTTGAAAGCATAGATAATGAAATTGATAGGTCGAATAATGACATTAGTAACGGAAATAGTCAACCGCAAACCAGTTGGATCTTTCTGGAGGAGTGTTTTTTAATCAAATCACCAAGTAGAAAGGCTATGAATTTAGAACAAGATTTGAAAACTCGAGAAGCAATACATGATTTCATCATTAAGCTTGGTACACAGCTTCGGGTAGACGGAAGAACCATTCTAGCGGCCACAATATATCTTAATCGGTTTTATATGCGATTACCAATCACATCATCCAAATATTTTGTTGCAAGTGCAGCAATGTCTATATCATGTAAGCTTAACGATACTTATAGACCTCCAGAAAAAATAGCGTTGGTTGCCTGCACAATTAAGAATCCTAGAATCACAGTGGACACCCAAAGTGAGATTTACTGGCAATGGAGAGACCAATTGCTATTCAGAGAAGAGTTAATGTTAAAGAACTTGAACTTTGATCTTGATATAGAGCTTCCTTATGAGATTCGAAATGAAATAGTTGAAAAGGAAACTGAAGAGATAGAGAACAAAAAGAGAGATGATGATGAAGAGAAATCAACTTTTGATAAAAATGAAGTCGACATCTTGAAACAAACAGTTTCTTTAACAGAAATGTTATCATCATTACCTATTTTTGTGGCGTACAACATGAGACAAGTATTTGGATGTTGTCTTATAATTGTTTTACATGAAGGCTCTAAAAAGTTCAAATGGGATATTCAGTTACCTAGTGATTATTTGAAGTATAAAGTTGATGTTGACGTTGAAGGTTGTTTCAAATGCTTCTCTTACATCCATGTGTTACTTAAGCACTGTCTGAGTAAGCATCCACAGTTGTTGAGCCACAAGCCGCTAATCAAACGGATTCCACAATTATCAAGAGAGGAATTCTTCAAGTATGCAAATGTGTGACATAGATTATACAATGACTAAAGCTGCCCTGATGGTTAGATTAGCGTGGGGGTGGAGAGGGGCGCAATTACTGCTAAGAAGCCTATAACAAGCATTTTAGACTGCCTATACATTAAGCCTTACAGATTTTACCCAACTCTGCTTATACGCTGCTCTTTATACCCGATTAGGAAGTTGACTTGTATTTGGTGAAAACAAGCTAAAGATTCGACATTCTTGTGCTTGATATTATTTTACCTTCAATGCACGTCTGGAAGGAAGACATATGTTGCTACGTTGGCGATAGAATTCTGACAATTTCATCAGAGCTTAAGTTCGTTCTGTGCGTATGCGTCAACGTGCGTATAAGCACGGCTTAGAAGAGTACTTGAACCTACATTTGCAGATACGAGCGAGCTATTTTCCTTTCTTGAATATCTTAGCGATAAAAAGGACTTGAAACGAAAGGAAGATGAACAATGTAAGGGGAGGACTTTGAATATTTTTGGCATAGATTACCCAGGCTGCATGGGAGTTATGTAGTAGCCCTTTAGTGGAAAAAAAATGATGAAGTTTATATTGGAACTTACATGTGTTGTATGCGATTCCAAGAAGATGTATAGAAAACAAGGAACTGAAATAAAAACATTTCGATCCTTGTATTCCTTGCAGTGCCACAGCTGCATGTTTCCTGATGTACATTTGTACATTTGTTCGAGCATACAAGCGTACGCACGTGCAATCATTTGGTACTTAGATGGTGCTAGTAATGGAGATGGATCAATTTTATACATGAATCTTACGATTTGTATATATGGTCAGGTACTGGATATCCATTTGGTTACATAGAATCTCGCAAAAGAACTCTTTGGGGCATCAGAAAACTAGATGATGGTAAATTTGAAAGATATTTTAGAGATGGATACTTTGATATAGTAGAAGCTAAAGAAGTTACAACAGATTCATTTATGGTAAAACAGTGTACAATACATGTGTATACATTAGAAGAAAAGTAAGCGTACGTTTTCCTAAAGTAAGAAATCTTATCATCTACTGCATATTCTTGGAATAACTAGATACGTCATAGTGGTGATAATCATTGAGTGTCCAAGGCGAAAAATTCATACCGTAGGTGGAGTTTACCTACTGCTCCCCTTCTCAAATCAACTTGGCCCCAATGAACATACAAGACAATCAGGTGACTACTGATGATAATGAAGATGACGATGGCGTCCACTTGGATTTGTTCCGAGATCTTGATGTGGATCTTATAGACCTTTTCAGCCGAGGAAATGTGGCGCTGTTATTTGATGGTCTTCCTGAAGAAGAACGCAATGCCCGACTAGCGGAGCTCAATGTTCTTTTAAGTTCGAGATTCGTAGGATCTTTCCAAGCTCCAAGGCACAGAAACAGGTTAAAATATGCTTATAGACGATATGTTTATCGTAAACAACTCTTTCTGAGGATACCAATTCCTATGGTTAGAGTGGGCTTATTATGGCGAGAATATAGTCCTTCACTTTTGGCATATTTCACACACATGTACCGAATATTCATGTGGTTGACTACATATATAATGTGGATTTCCGTTTCCTGGTTTGTTATCTTGATGTTATGTCGATTTGTGTTCAATGTATTGCTTTTATATATCAGTCAAACAGTTCTGCTGAATGATCTCGTGTCAGATGTGGTCACATACTTTTTAAGCGACTCTGTTCATTATCATGATATCTACAAGGATGCTTTTAAACATGGTTTGAACTTCTTTTACTTCCTTGACGAATTCGATGATGAGAGAGATGGGAACTCAAGCTTACAGTATTTTCAGAAAGTATACCATTACTGGGTTGCATCTTTCCTCAATATGAATTGTCAGCCAAATACTAGAATCAAAGATTATGAGTGTATTGTTGATACCAATTCTTTAGTATTCAAATTTGAAGATACTGTGAGAACCAATCTCCCATCATTTGGTTCTTTCCAGGTCCTGGCAACTACGCTAACAATTTACTTTGCTTACGTAATTGTGTCCACCTACATTGCCTTTCATGTATTTGGCAGATACACTGATTTCTTTCTAAGCAGAGGAGGCAAGCATAATAAACTCTACCTTGCTATATTTCGAAACTCCAAGCATCTGGTCCGTAATGTCGTCTGAGATTCGACTTGCCTAATCGGGAACATTCCCGCTAAAATTAATAGTGTGGGGTTTGGGGAATCTGGTGATTTGAAATTTCTCAATTTTAATTTTCACCATCTTCTTCTTCTTGCTTCCGTATCTTTTGCAATGTCGTCAATGCCAGAAAATATGAAGGCCGTGGTATACCATGGTCCCTTTGATGTTAGGGTCGAAACAAGACCCACCCCTAAAGTCGTTCACGACACAGATGTCATATTGAAAGTGAAATACAGTGGTCTCTGTGGCACAGATCTCCATTCATATCGCGGTCATATTCCTGGTCCATGCGGTACAATTATTGGCCATGAGTTTTTGGGTGAAGTGGTTGGTAAGGGAAACAAGGTTAGCAAGTTCAAGGTTGGGGATGAAGTATTAAGTGTTTTCACTATCCAATGTGGCGAGTGTTTCTATTGCAAACATGGATATACTGGAACATGCGTTAAAACAAATACCTTTGGTAAGACTGGATTGGATGGAGGTCAGGCGGAGTATGTTAGAGTCCCACATGCTGAAAACACTCTTTTGATGAAGCCAGCCCAAACCTCATCATCTTCTATTGTTGATGATTCTATTTATGTCTTGATGGCTGACATCTTTGTTACGGGTTATTATGGGGCTAAAAAGATCTTAAATTTCTTGAACCAAGAAGCACCTCAAGGATATAGGAAACAAACCACCAAAGATGTCAATTTACTTTTGGTGGGTGCTGGGCCCGTGGGTCTTTGTGCACTCAAAGCCTTACAGAGTTTCGGTTTCACTAACATTGTTGTTGTTGATAGCATTCCTTCACGGTTACAGCAAGCTGAAAGCTTTGGGGCCAAGAAGGTCATTAACTTCGAAGAACAGCCCGATACATTGGCAAATTATGTGAAGAGTGACTTGAATGGCATTGGTTTTGATGGTGTATTGGAAGCAGTTGGAGCCAACTCAAGTTTAAGATCAGCCTATGAATCAGTTAGAAATAACGGCATTATTTCTGCTCTTGGTATGCCCCACGATGCTCTTCCATTTACAGGGTTGGAATGTTATGTGAAAAATATCAATATTTCTTTTGGACGATGCCATTGCTGGGCCTACTTTGCTGAAGCATTGGCAGTATTTGAAAAGACCAAAGATCTGTTTGCTGGTTTCATCGACCACAAGTGTGCCATTGAAAACGCTCCGGAAGCTTATAAACTCTTTGATGAACATAAAGTAAATAAGGTTGTTTTTGATTTCACTACATAGTAATGCATGGTATAATTTAATCATGAGAGAGATTGTATATTCATTAGAAGGAGCATTTTACAAAACTATGGCAAAAAAATGGACGAGTCCGGAGTCGAACCGGAGACCTTTCGCATGCTAAGCGAACGCGCTACCAACTACGCCACACGCCCTTAGTAAGGGAATTGGTCCCTGGCGGGATCGAACCGCCGATCTTGGCGTTATTAGCACCACGCCTTAACCAACTGGGCCAAGGGACCTATTCTTGGTGGTTTGAGAGCTAATCTAGTATACATTATTATGACTATCTATTTTTTTTTAAATGGGAACATCTCAAGCTATGAAAACCTTTATTTACTTACACTTTTCTTCTCTTCTTCTAATTTACCACGATGATACTTTAGAAAATCTCACGAGATGGTATCACAAGCATTTAAGGTCCTTTAACGATGTCATCTCAGAGTGTGGCAATGTCGCCAATCACAACTTCTTTTCGCAGCCACCGCCATAAGTCCAAATTGTGAATCTCAACTGCTAAAAGCTACTGGTAGAGAATTTGTCCTATCAAAGGTGCTTAACAGGTTTAACTATCTCTCGTGCTAATTCTTGGGTATTTATTGTAATTTTATTTAGCTTTATCAGGAAGTGTTATGCAACTCTATGTAGTAGTATGGTTACCAATACCTCAGAGAACCTAGACACCATTTTTTTACCTAGCCATTTGGAAAGCTATGATTCTAGTGGTTAGGTATTTGAAACTGAATACTACCTAAACAGACTCTCGATGTGACTAACTATTGTGGTCTGACAAAATTACCGTCATAAGGCTGGATATGGTTACTATGTGTTCAATACTGGGGTAACAGGCGGTGGTATGTGGTGTGGCATACACAACTGGCGGGTCAAAGTAGTATTTTTTTGGGGGGGGGTTATGCCTAGTCCTCCCTCTTATATATAGTTAACTTATATTAAAAGGGTCGTTCTCCCCTATGAATATAAGTTAATTTAGATAAAATAACACCAAGTATAAAATTCATTGCTATTACTGAGTCTCAACCAATTGAGATAATTTGCATGCATCCATTTTATTGATTTTCAACCAGATTACGTACAAAAGTATAATATCAGACAAAAGTTTCCAACTGACAATAATAAAGCGTTTGAACCATGTTAGAATAGCTAAATTGATAATCAACTATTATTTAATGATACTTAGACCAGTGCATAATAGAGTATATATATACTCTACGACCATTGCTTACGTAATTGTGCGCACTAGCATCGACAAAAATATATAGACTGAAAAATAAAACAGAGCATACAACTGCAACCCTTCTTCTTCTTCCTCTTCCCCATACGACGCAATGGATATGGAACCAGAGCAGTCACTCAAAAGAAGTAGAGATGACTACGAACAAGACCATCAACAAGGACCAGGTGGGGGATACAACAACAACAATAATGACTTTGATGATGACCGGAGTAAGAAACAACATGTCGATCCTCAACAAGAATTGATCAATGATTTATGTAAGGATATCCGAAGAATTGGAGAGAATGCCAATATCTCTGTCCAGGTAGATGACTTGTCATATATTTCCAACCCCATTGTTGCAGAGTTTGAAAAAATTGATAAGTTAAGAACCTCCATATTGTCTACTGTACTTGCTATAGTATTGGAACAACCCCAGAAGATAAGTCCGTTAAGTAACTTGATTCTTATTTGTAACTCAAAAAACTTTGTGGTTGCTAAATATACCATTGAATATTTCCATTCTCAAGCCCAATGGATGTTGGATAACTTGAAGAGTTGGGATACCGTTGGTTCTAAGGACTCTGCTGGAGTATGGAATAACTTAAAGTCTATGCTTAAGTTTTTGGCTACTTTAGCTCCTATTATTGAAGGAGATGGGGTAGTGGCGATATTCAAGCAATTTTTGATGTTAGCAATTGAGTTAAATCTGAAACTGAAAGACACCACTGAGAAACGGAATGGACTTGCGCAGGAAATCTTTTATAATACGGTTATCTCCATTCCTTATTTGTTGAGTAATGAGCTGTCACAAGAAATGATTGATCAAGTCAATGGGTTAGTGGATATGGCACAAGAATTCAAAGAAGAACAGAATTCTACTACTGTACTACTTCAACCGTTTGATTCCAGATTAGGCAATTTCGAATTACCTTATGAACCTAAAAAGATGATTGATTTGGTATTACCTTCTTTATTGAAGTTGAGAGGTGAAGACAAACAATGGAACGATCTTATTGGTGGGAAATTGTTTTTAAACTATGATGAATTGTTGGGGCCAATCATTGAAGCAAACTTACAAAATAATCCAATTTCCAGTGAAATAATTAAACATAATTTACCCCAATTGAATTTACCCACAGTCGATACATTACTTGAAGAAGGCTACAAACCTCATGGTCTGATCGATGAACTCTGGTTCAATAATACCAGATTACTTTTCCAAGTTTACAATACTACTGAATTTGAAACTGTACCTGACATTACTTCATATGTGGGCCTTTTTTTGCGTGATGTTGCTTATGATATTTTAACCAATCTTTCCTTCAATAAGAATGAAGCTTCCATTCAATTGTCAATCTTAGATTTATTCTTCAATAGGGAATTATTCGCACCTCCAGGTTCATCTATTGATCAATTGAGTTTGATTCACAAGGATAATTTAGAAGGTCTCAACAGTCCACCTTTATCAACTTGGAAAGTTGAAGATATGGCAGTAGAAAGTATTTTGACGATGATTTTCCAATTACCAAAATCTCTCCATGTGGAAATTTATTATTATACTGTCTTGATAGCATGCTGCCGATCGTCACCGGAATTAATTGCACCAGTTTTCGGAAGAGCCATTAGATTTTTATTTAATAATTTGGAAACTTTGGATTATGAATTGAAACTTCGCTATTTGGATTGGATGAGTGTTCAAATAAGTAATTTTGAATTTAGTTGGAAATGGGATGAATGGGTTCAATATTCTCAAAAGTTTAGAAACTTGAAGTATCAACCAAAGAAGAACTTTATAAAGAATTTAATTGCCAAAGAAATCAGATTATCCAATAAGAATAGAATTAAAGGAAGTTTTGTTCTTATGAGACCTGAAGAGAATGAAGCAGAATATTTAACTGAATTTTATCAATATTTGGATATTTCACTCTATGAAAATGGTGGGAAGTTCAGATTTGATTATGACTTTGACCTTTATGGTGGAGAAGATTCTCACATAAAGGAATTATTATTAGGGTTGTCCACCAATGGTAATGGTGCAACTTTGGATAATAAAAATGCTTCTCCTCAAGAAGAATTGGTATTCATATTCACTAATTCCGATCTACCATTCTCCAACGTGGCTAAAAGAGTGTATGACTTCATTGTGTACCATTGGAAACCTAATAATGAATTTAGTACGTTGTATAAGAACGTTTTGAACGGTATTAATCAAGAGATAAGCGACTCACAACCAAATGATGAAGAAATGGCAGAACCAGAACCAGAACCAGAACCAGAACCAGAACCAGAACCAGAAAAGCAGGAAACGGTTGAAACCGAAACCATTTCCACCTCTTCAACTTCACAACCAGTGACCGATGAAGCTGCTGTTTCTGTGTCAGAAACAACTGTTGATAGTGGTGAACCTGATGTACAGAAGGAGGAAGAAAACTTGGAAGAAAACTTAAATGAACAATTACCCCCCAAACGTCGGTATAACCTCTCTCAAGTGGATCCTATAAAGTTTCTTATCAATTTATTTTTTCAAAGTTATGCCTTTATTGGTTCTAGGTCTGTCTATTCTGTTATCTCCATTTTGTCACGTGACGTTAACAAGTTACGGTACCTTACAGGGATGCCCATAGAATATAAGTCGGAGAACGAATCTAGATTTGAGGAGATTGAACTCAATGAAGAAGAAAAAGACAATAGACAACGTTGGGTTATTGATCTGATATTCCGGATTTGGATCCACCAACCACAGGTTGCATTTTTAATCTTGGAATATTTAATTGAGTTTAAAATCATTCAAGCTAAGCATTTGGTTGCTAAGGCCCTTTCGTTAGATCATAATTTGATCATTGAAAATGTCTCCTGTATGGAATCTATCAATAGAGTATTGGATAGGGCAATTATGGAAGACAAAGATACAGAAATCTTGGTTCAATTATGTCAAACCATTGTTAAGAACATAAATGATATTGGAACTCGCTTAGGGGTCACAGAAACAGATGTTGTGAAGATTACTAAAGATTTCCCGGAGGAAGAGGCTGACGATATTGAACTAATGACATCAATTGATCTTCAATGGCTTTTCTATGAATATAAGGGAATTTTAAAGACTTACTATAGAAAGTTTTCAAATGCTGTTAGAACTGAAGAATTCCAAACCATATTCAATGGTGTTGATAATGTTCCTGTTAAGGAGGACGTATTGAATTGGCTAAAGGAATCGTGATGCTTATACTACTTTTGGAAGAGAAATGTCGTATATTTTATTTTTGTACGACATTTGTCTATCTTGTAACAAAATACATGGAAAAAGTCGTTCAGTCGAACCACTTTCTCTCTAATCAAACACAGTAATATATTCACCACCGTAAAACATCATCTTCTTTTTTGTAATCACTATCATCTGTTAGTGTCGGTGTTTATCAATGACTTCAATTAATAGTGAAGACAATACCTTAGCCATTGAGACCATAAATCTCAATTACGAATTTGCCAATCACCGAGTCGGACTAACGGATATTAACCTTGAGATTCCATGGGGAACTACCAACTTGCTTGTTGGGCCCAATGGAGCCGGGAAGTCCACCTTATTGAAGATCTTAGCGGGCAAAAGCCTTATTAAGAAAGGGTCATTGAAACTAGGAGGGTTTGACCCCTTTGAGTTCAGTTCCGACAGGCACACTCACCGTAACTCCGATATCAACAGTTACATTACTTATTTGGGAACGGAATGGGCTGCTAACTCCATAGTGAAGAGAGATATCCCCGTGAAGATTTTGATTGCTTCTGTTGGAGGAGATGTGTACAGTGAACGTCGAGATGAGTTGATTGATATCTTGGACATTGATTGTGATTGGAGTATGCAACAAATTTCCGATGGAGAACGCAGAAGAGTTCAAATTTGTATGGGACTAATTAAACCTTGGAGACTCTTATTATTGGACGAGGTGACCATTGATCTAGACGTGATAGTTAGAAGCAAATTGCTAGAGTATTTAAAGAGAGAATGTGCCTTAAGAAGATGTAGTGTTGTTTATGCCACTCATATCTTTGACGGCTTAGGTAAGCAGTGGTGTGATAGAGTGATTCATTTGGATGAGGGTAAGAAGAAAGACGACATTGTCATCTCACAAATCAGGTATGTTGTGGCCAAGACAGAAGATGAAAAGAGAGTTAAAATCGACAACCAGGCTGTTTCGGTGCCCTTAGCAGAGACTTTGCATCCACTAGCATTACATTGGTTAGCGGGTGATTTGCTTGAACGTGGGTCACGTGAGGAGCAACGGCTTCGAATGGAACATGCAAGAAAGGGGTGGGATAATGAAAGAGATGGAAGGTATTTTGATGCTGATAGTGCAAAATTATCCAGTTATTTCATTAGCACCAGAAGTAAACCAGGACCAAGTTAACAATAAACCAAATTATATTATATTAAAGAAGAACAAGAAACCAATCAATGCAATAGAAATGCAGTAGTACTACCATAGTACTACTTCAAACAACTATAGTAGTACAATTATCTAAGACCTAATACCATAACTAGTATTGTACTTTAACAGTACTATGCAGTGCTGTACTGTCTTTCCAACTCGAGAAACTGTATATTTTTTTGCTGTACTTCATTCTGCTTAACAAGAATATAGTTTGTTAATCTCATATCAATGGTTTCTAATGGAGTTGGAGGCACTAACAATTGATGCAACTGTTCGAAATTAAATGACGGTACTTCATGATATGATTCTCTTGATTTCTTCTTTGCCTTAGTAGCCAAAGGACTTCCGGCTGATCGCTTGAGATCTATTTTGGATTGGGAAATGTCTTTGAGCACCACACTGTTCTCCTTGTCTTCCATCGCGAATGAAGACGAAAAAGAAGAAGAAGAAGAAGTAGATGATGGTGGTTGATTTGAGATTTGATACTGTTTATAATTGTACCGATCGGGACGCGACATAAATGGCTGTATTGGGTAATCCGCGACGTAAAAATGACATATGCGTAATTACCGTAATGGGTAATGTCATTTACGTATGTAATATTGCGACATGAAATAAGGTATTGTCTAGTAATTCGTCTAACGTCCATTACGATTTTAGACTTTTACTGTCTTGTACGACAAACGATCAACAAAAAGAGTCAAAAACATAAGAACTAATACTAGTCTAACTTAAGCTTAACTAGGTTCCCCTTAATTACGATATTGTATCAGCCGTGCCAAACAAAAGATTCTAGCCAATCACAAAGAGCCATTCGTCAAACCACAAAAAAAAATACAAGTATATCATATCCAATAAGCTATGACACAACCGAGTCCTCTATTTGATGAACACCAACGACCTATACAATATGGTATTAGAAGACATCAACCTCTGACACTGTCACTGCGTCTGGCACTGGGACTGAGTCAGGGACTTGGTGTACCCTCAAACCTGGAGAAGCGACATTCACGACATTCCTCTCGATCAGATACCCTCCCCACCACGACATTTGTGAAAATTTTCAATTCGGCCAACGTTGTATATTTTCTAACAATAATAATTATTGTGTACCTATTTATTCCTTCTTCTTCTTCTTCTTCCTTTTCTTCATCACTTCTGATTCCTTCCCACACTTGCACGTGTTCGATCCCCCCATCCGAAGTACCATCTATTCATTCTACAATGTCTGACGAAAGAACCTTTATTGCTATTAAGCCTGATGGTGTCCAAAGAGGCTTGGTCAACAAGATCTTGGGTAGATTTGAAGACAGAGGTTACAAGTTGGTTGCTATTAAGTTGGTTCAACCTACTGAATCCTTGTTGAAGGAACACTACTCTGACTTGACCTCCAAGCCATTCTTCCCATCTTTGTTGTCCTACATGTTGTCTGGTCCAGTTTTGGCCACTGTTTGGGAAGGTAAGGATGTTGTTAAGCAAGGTAGAGCTATTTTGGGTGCCACCAACCCATTGGCTTCTGCTCCTGGTACCATCAGAGGTGACTTTGCCATTGACATGGGTAGAAACGTTTGTCACGGTTCTGACTCTGTTGAATCTGCTAACAAGGAAATTGCCTTGTGGTTCAAGCCTGAAGAAGTTATGTCTTACAAGTTGAACCAATTTGGCTGGATCTACGAGTAAGTTAGTTCATAGTTTATGTTAATACAAGCTTAAGATTATCATAATCAGATATAGTACACTGTAGACTCAACTTGTTGAGTACTGCAGATTACTGTGGCTCACTATATTTCAGCACAGTTTATTTCAAAATGTAATGATACGCTACCTTACTTATACTCTATTCCATTCATTACATTACAGTGTACCGCATCACATTGCATTGCATTACATTACAGTGCGCCTCAGTAAAACTGTGCCAACTTTATTCATTGCGTCTATGTCGTGGTAGTGAGTGCGAATTGAAATCAAATAGCCGTCAACAACTTTACCAGTGGCCCCTCTACAATTGACAATGCCAATGGAAGATGACTCGTTTGAGAACAACGAGTTGGTTGTGGACGAAGACCAGGTGATGAACATGAACATGGACATTGATATGGATCACAGCATCGACAACGAGGAGGAGTACGAGGGAGAAGACGAGGACGCGAAACGTGAAGATGAAGGTGAGAGAGAAGAAGACGACGATGACGGCCGAGAAGAAGACGAAGATGGTAAAGGCGAAGGTGACGATGACGATGACGATGACGATGATGATGGTGATGATGATGATGAGGACGAAGAAGAAGAAGACGACGACGATGATGACGAAGTAGATGAAGCCAAATCTCAAAACAAGGCTCAAGATCAGTCATCACCAACTGTACAAGTTGCTGCAAAGGACGCAGAGATGGACGATGCAGACATTAAGATGGAAAATGCAGACACTAAGATAAAAACCAAGGAAGAAGAAGGTAGTGCTCAGCGCGACGAAGGTGATACTCAGCGTGATGAAGTTACGGTTATTGGAGAAGCCGATGTTGATGTTGATGTTGATGCCGAGGTTGAAGCGGATGAAGCCGAGAAGTTAAAACAAGAAGAGGAACAAAGACTATCTAAATTGAGTCATCTTGAAAGAGTCATACTAAAAGCTAAAGCAGCTACAGAGTTTGATATCGTTCCGTCGGTGGCTTTCCCCTATAGTGGTCAATGTCATAGTATAGCACTTTCAGATGGTCCTCAATGGATATTGACAGGTGGAGAAGACGGATTCATAAGAAAGTACGATTTCATTGCTTCTATTCAAGGGAAATCTCCATTGACGGTTGCTCAGAAACATAATCTTGTTGACTCGGTCACCAAGGCCGGAGTCATCTCTTCGTATTGGGAAAATGAACAACCCATCACCAAGTCAGAGCTTCTTAAGATGAACCCCAAGATCAAAGCATCCGATTTCAATACCGGGTCCATATCTTATGAACCCAAAATCAATCCTGTTTATTCCTTGGATGTTGAACGTCATGGATATTGGTGTATCTCGGGGTTGTTACTGGGAGGAATCTCTCTTTATACCATGAGATACAATGAAGGTCAAATGCACCATATTTTCGCTCAAGATTCAAAAGTTAATCCTAAAGGTTCAGGTCATACAGATGCAGTTTCTGTAGTAACGTTGAATCAAAGTCAAAATGCTTTCTTGAGTGGTTCTTGGGATAAAACCATCCGGTTATGGGACTTGAATACTGGGAAAACTAATACCATCTATAAAGGAAGTTCAGGGCAAATCACAAATGTTAAATTCAGACCAGATGGGTTGACAGATTTGGATATCTCATTACCCGGTGACGATGACAATGAAGAAGTCAATGGAGATGAAGATGATATCGACTCTCTTTTTGGTGACAGTGATAAAGACGAAGATAATAATAATAAAGAAGCCAAAGACCGAGATAACGATCCCAAAAGAGTCAAAGACACCTCCAAGACCACCTCAAAAACTTTAACCAATGAAAACATCTTTATGACTTCTTCAATTGATGGTACTGTCAATATTTGGGATGTTAGACAAGAAGATCCAGTGATAAAATTTGGAATTCCTGAAGGGGTACCTCCTTGGTGTATGTCAGCCATGTGGTCTAACAATGGTGATAATGTTTATGTGGGAAGAAGAAATAGTACAATCGAAGAGATCAATCTTCGAATGCCTCATGCTAGAATCAAAAATAAAGGTTCATTGATGGCTCCCAATGTTGCCAAAACTCTTCAATTTCCAAAGATTAGTGGTCCTGTCAGTGCTATGACTACCATGCCCAACGATAATTTTATCTTGTGTGGTTCAATGGATAATATAAGATTGTATAATCTTGAGCTCTATGGTGATAATGCCAACAATACTCATACTAAAAAGCATGCCACACCATTCTTAATCATCCCTGGCCATCAAGGTGGTATCTTGAGTAATTTGAAGGTTGATCCTAGTGGTAGATTCTTGATCAGTGCTAGTGGGAATAGAGGTTGGGGCCATGCTGCTTATGCTGAAACCGTCTTAGTTTATGAAATAGATTTCGAAATGTAACGATTCATTTTTCCTTAGAAATGAATTATAAATGAATATAAGAATAACACTCACTTAACAACAGTAATAATCGCAATAATAATAATAATGATAATAATAATAATAATAATAATAATAACAACAGTCCTTCCAATAAATAAAATAAAATAAAAAATAATTTCCTTCCAATCATAATCCAAAAATAGAATTTCTAATGTTCCCTAAACCAACTTGTCCAATAATAAAATTGGTCCCCACAGAACTCTTAATTGATCTGACAGTTTCCTTAACAGTCATACCCACATCATTTATCATAGAATGTCCCATTCCCATAATTTCTTTGGACCATTCGGATGAATTAGTTAAATTCTGTAGGAAATGGTAACAATTAAAATTAGGATATTGTTTGGTAATCAAAAAATGAAGAACAAACCCAAAGATTCCAATTGTTATACTAAACTTGTAGAAACGTTTATACAATTCATAACCACCATGACTATCTTCATTCTTTTCTTGATTACTAATGTTGTCAGTCTCTGCATTTTTCTCAGAATCCCAATCGATTTCAAATAACGATTTGAATAATAATGCAGAAGTATCAGCAATTTTAAGATTAATAGACGATGAAAGACTCGACAAACTGGATAGACTCGATTCCAACAGATATCCATGCTCGTAATCAGAACTAGAATATTCATCTGTGGCTAGTTTGTGAGATTCCATCAAGTCTTGTTTACGGGCAATTTCAGCAAAACTCTGTGATTCAATCTCATGTTCTTGAGTCTCCAAAATATTAGCAAGTGAAATACTACTTGTGAGATTCAACTGTGATTGTGATTGTGGTTGAGTTTGACCTTCATTATATATAACAGAAGTCGTACTCAATACCGAGTTCTTATTATACTTTTCAAACCACACATTGAAAGTTCCATCATTTAATGATGAAAGTGGATAACTATTAATTAAATCTTCAGCTTTACTCAAGATTTTCACTAAATCGTTATCAGATAAATCTTTGAGAAGAATATTGGGTGACACCAAAGTGTGTAGTAAATCCTGATCAATATCTTCATAATTCGACCCTGTGAACCCCAATTGACTTAGTATCTTCTCCTTGTAGAAAATAAGACAAGCAGCATAAATATACACATTGGGAAGTATTGAACTGTAGCTCATAGAAAAGTCCCAAACAGTCAATATATGTTGAAGATTAGACAAATCGTGACTGAATAAAGTCAATATGGATGATAATGCAGGGTGGAAATCATAATCATAACCCAAACCATCTGTGGTTGCATGAGATGACTTCTTATACAATGAAAATAACTCCAGATCTGCTTGTTCTAAAATTGCCGGAATTAACCGTAAATGATTGATTGAAAGCTTGATATTTGAAGTCATGAAATCTCTTAAATGATAAACTGTCAATAATTCCAACAATCTAAAAGCCAATTCTTCGTCAGCTACTAATGTAGCATCAACAGTATCATGATGATTACAAACTATCAAGATTATACTAGCAATATCATGGTACCCCTGATAGTAATTCAAACACGGGTATTTACGTAAGATTTTTATGATCAAGTTCGAAAGTTTCTTTCTCAAACTGTCAATATCCTGTTGGGAATAAATAGCAGTAAATGAGTCTCTTTGAGTGGATTGGAAATGTGATAACACCGTAAATGATCGCTTAACATCCAACATAACTTGATCTTCATCTTTATGTGGAGGAAGATCAACAGAATTCAAATCATCTAAATAATACTTCAAACTTGGAGAATCTAATCTCATCGAGTTACCCAATTTGGTAGAAGGACTTTCATGAAGATTGTTGTTCAATGTTAAAGAATTCTCTAATGATGATACTAAAGTACTTTTACCACTATCATCAAAGACAGGTTCAATCTGTATATGATCTTTATGATATCTTTCTATTAACAATGGCCAGATCTTGACTCTCCAATCATTATTTATAAGACCGTCGGTTGTTCTAGCACATTCTACCAAAGTATCAATAGATCCATTGATCAGAGCTTCTTTAAGCAGTTTCTCCTTTAAATTCCTAACTGTCTCCGTAAGTGGATGCTCATCATTGTGATAAATCGAAGTGCCCAACTTATCAACGTCCATCAGTACCCAATCGGGGTGCAGCAGTTGTGAAAGTGTTGATGCCATTCTATTTAATCCAAATGTGATGTATCAGATAGTATAAAATGCCCCTTAATGGAAACAATTTATTAGCGCCGCTCAAAACTGGTCTGCCAAAGTTTTGGCTTCACTGTGGTCTTTGAACAATTATATCAAACCTGGCGTTGACACTTAGTTGACACTTGAGCAATGTGATACGCCGGATTAGATAAGTCAGAAAGAGTATGCCAGTGGGGGACATTCCAACTGGTACCCTTGAAAAGAAGCGTAGGTTTAATGATCGCGGTCTATATGCAGGACACTCATTATTGGATATAACCAACTATTTCTATGGAGTATAAATGGCTAAGAGAAAGACCTTATAATATGTTAGCAGATGCTTGCTTGCACAAGGCTATTGATGTGTCAGCAGATTATCGTATGATAATAGTGACGAGACTGGGAATCGAACCCGGGACAGGAAACTGAAAAATAGCTAATACTTTGAAAAAGGTTGAATATGTGTATACAAAGATGTGACACAATCCCCATACGGAAACCAATTGCGGCATGCTTATATGCAGTTGGTTAAATTCACCTATATAAACTCAATCATGTTAATCATTTATGAAGATAAATATGCAGTTACCTACATTATCGATACTAAACAATGGCTACAATCAAATCAGCTTCTTTTGATGACTCAAAGGTATCAGTTACCTTTTCCGACGGAAACACCACCGTCTACCACCATATCTGGCTTAGAGACAATTGTCACTGTGAAGAGTGTTTCTATGGTCCCACCAAGCAACGGTTATTGAACACTGCCACGTTAGATTTGGGTATTAAACCTTTGACATTGAACAACGATGACGATACCATGACCATCAAATGGTCTCAAGACAATCATAAATCAGAGTACACCAAGGAATGGTTGTATCTTCATGCTTATTATCCCAGATTAGTGCCCGTTGATGAAAAATTGGCTGGTCAAAAGACTAAACTTAAGCAACAGCTTTGGACTGTTGATTCCATTAAGAAAACCATGCCAACTGTTGATTTCAATCAAGTTTTGGACTCAGAAGATGCTCTTACTGATTGGATCCTAAAGATTTGGCTTCATGGGTTCTGTTTGATTGATAATGTGCCTGTAAACCCAGAAGATACTCAAAAGTTGGTGGAAAGACTCATGTATATCCGTCCTACTCATTATGGAGGATTTTGGGATTTTACCAGCGACTTGGCCAAAGCCGATACCGCCTATACCAACTTTGATATTGCTGGTCATACAGATGGTACTTATTGGAATGATACTCCTGGTTTACAATTGTTTCATTTATTAGCTCATGATGGTGAAGGTGGAACGACTTCATTGGTTGATGCCTTTCAATGTGCTAAAGAGTACAAGAAATTGTATCCAGAATACTTTGATTTATTGACCAAAATCCCCGTCCCAGCCCATTCAGCTGGTGAGGAAATGGTCTGTATCCAACCAGACATCGCCCAGCCTATCTTCAAATTGGATCTACAAGGTGAATTGGTCCAAGTTAGATGGAACCAGAGTGACAGATCGTGTATGGATAGTTGGACTGATCCTGAATTGGTACCAAAGTTCTACGATGCCATAACTAAATGGTTTGCTCTTGTTACTAAGCCTGAGAACGAATTATTTTATCAATTAAAACCAGGTCAATGTTTGATCTTTGATAACTGGAGATGTTTCCATTCCAGAACAGAGTTCACAGGTAAAAGAAGAATGTGTGGAGCTTACATTAATCGTGATGATTTCATGTCAGCATTAAAAATAAGAGTATTGGGACGTGAAGCTGTATTGAATAGTATTTAATCAGTAGAAGATTGGAATCTTGTCCCAATCCCAAGGATCATTAAATCTTAACTTTATATCTAATGATTCAATTTTTTTCAATTCTTCAGTAGTTAAATCAAAATCAACAACTTCTAAATTTTGTAATAATCTTCCTTGATTGTTTGACTTTGGAATAACGGCGATGTTTCTTTGAGTTGCCCACCGTAACAATATTTGAGCTGGTGTTTTCTTATGATTGTTGGCAATGGACTTAATAACATCATGTTCAAATAATGTAGGAGTCTTCAAAGCTCTATCTTGATTCAACTCTAAGAACGATTGAGGTCCAAATGATGAATATCCAGTAATGGCAATACCATTCTTGTTACAAAATTCAACCAATTGAGGTTGTTGTAAATATGGATGATGTTCAATTTGTAACACTGCAGGTACCAATTTACAACCTCTTAAAAGATCCAAAATCAATGAAGCATTGAAGTTAGAAATCCCAACGGATCTCACCTTACCTGTTTCAGTTAATGCTTCCATTGCCTTCCAAGTCTCCAATAAAGGCACCTTTTCATAATGGAAATTATCTCCATCTCCACAGTAGAATCCAGGAGGGTATTTCTCCTCAATTGGAACATACTTAAAGGCAATAGGGAAATGAATAAGGAATAAATCCAAATAACTCAATTGCATATCTGAGAGAACCTTATCTAAAGCTTCTTCAACATGTTTGGGATCATGATAATTATTCCATAACTTGGAAGTAATGAAAAGATCCTCTCTTTTAACAACACCTTCATCAAAGGCCTTCTTTAAACCTTGACCAATTTCCTTACAATTACCATAATCTTGAGCACAATCAAATAACCGATAACCGGTCTTTATAGCGTTGTAAACAGTCTCAGCGCATGTATCGTTGGTTACCTTCCAACACCCGAACCCCACTAGGGGCATATCGTAACCAGAATTCAATTTAATAGTACGTGTCATATTTGAGAAGCGTTTGAGCATTCAATTGATTTGAAGAGGATGAGAATCACTGGAGGAAAATCGGAATATATTTATAGGCTTGCCGTCCTTATATGTGCCCTCGATCAATCCAACAATTTGCCGAAATGTCCTGTATACATACCACATATAGGAGTCTGTGGGGGAAATACATAATAATGTGGGGGATAGCTAGTAATAACTTCGGAAAAAATATAGTACAATACCTTGCCCTAAATAGAAACTTAGAGCCGTGCTTTATTAGCGTTAGTACAACCCTCGTAAACACCTCGGAATTGTATCTCGGAAATATTGTTTCCTATTGGGGAAATACGTGTCGCAAAATGAGGTTGAATCGACATATTCACTTGGGCAGTATAATCCTAAAACAGAAGGTGAATCAGCTTAGGGTTTTGAAAGGTTTCACCAGAAGTATTCTGCATCCTTTTAAGAGCCCTCGAATCAGATATCAGAAACATTAGCTTTTACCAGCTTGCTACAAGTATCTCAAGTAGTTTTATGTAGGGTATGGATTCTTGAGCCTAACAATATTGTACTAGAGGTATTTACAGCACGTAGAACTTGTTTAACTGAGGAAAGTGTATACTACGCAGAAGCATCCACTTTTGGAAATACAACAACATTCTAAGGCATATTCAAAAATAAAGCTGATATTGAAGGATTCACCAGATGATATCAAGCATATCGATAATGTAAGCATGGACATGTAGAGTACCAGCAAAGGTAATTGGTGGGTACTAGATTTTCAAGAACAATAAGAGTCACATAGAGATGGAAGAGCTGCTGATCTTGAACTGAATTGTATCGTTAGATAAGCTGTGTAGGGTTGTATATCTTACCTCTTTGTATAAAGCTTTGCAGAGCTACATCGTTGACGGTACTTGGAATGTACAGTGTTTATCTTTCCATCGACCATCATTTTGCACGTCGCACGCCTTTCCACCGTCTACTGACGCAAAACATTAAGTGCCAGATTGGGAAATATCAAAACATCAAGAGTTTGTTGATCTAACCGATGGATGTCTTGATATAAGAAATGGAAATGGACTTCATTACGTTCTAGTCCGTTCCAATTCCAGTTCCAGTTCCAGTTCCATACACAATATGACATCGTCACTTTCGTTGTACTTGAAAGTGAAGGGCTCTAACCAGTCCCAATCTGACCAGTCACAATCTGACCAGTCCCAATCTGACCAGTCACAATCCGACTGTAACCAGTTCTCTCAGTTGAATGAAAACACAATACAATTTGGTACAAAACAATACAGATTCAAAAAGATCATAAACGATGATACCAGTGATCCTCATGGGTTCTTACAAACTACTGCTGGTGCTACTGGTGCTGGTGTTGGTGCATCTGAATGCTATATCCTTTTAGGACCTACAGGTTCCGGGAAAACAACGACTATGAGTCAAGTACTCGAACAAACAATAACTTCATTTGGAGAGGACAGGTCTATTTCCATGACTGCGTTTGAGGTCATTGATAATAAGATCATTACGGATTTGCTTGATGAAAACCTAAAGAAGGAATACAATATCACATTTGAATCCCAATTGAAAACCATCCAGGCTCCCAATCGTTTTCATTTGCAACAGATTTTTAGTCACAGAACCAGTTTCAAAACTTCCGCTAACCCGATTAGCAGCAGATCATGTTTGGTAGTGACATTCCATTACGGCGACGACTCTAATCGTCGAATGACTTTCATTGATATGATGGGCAATGAAAAATATGATAAACATACTTCTAACGTGTTTGCTAATTTAAACATGTCGTCTATCACGGAGTTGCTAGTGAAGAAGTCTAATGGGTATGGAGGTAGATCTTCTAACTTGGTAACCAATCTTATCTTCAAGAAGGATGAACAAAATCATATCAAACTTATATTGCATTTGGACCCCAAAGGTGATGCTTCGTTGACTAAATCTGCATTGAATAACATTGCTTTATTGGTTCATAAATTCAAGTTGGAGATGCAACGAGTACCTTCATCCAAATCTAATCATACTACTAGTAAATCTTCGGGTGGTGGGAAGCAACTTCCATCTTATGCTAGACCTACTATTTCGTCGTCTTCTACTACACCATCTTTAAAAGTTACCAAGACTATCCACAAGTCCAAATCTATTCGGAAACTTAATCAAACCAGTTCTTCTTCTGTTTCTGTTTCAGCAACTACAAGAGCTAAAGCTTTAAAAGTATTATCAGCTCCTGCAAAGAATATACTTCTTGAAAAGCCTGTTGATGCTAACGTTGATTTATCACCACAACAACTGCTTGACAAGTCCAAATCATACTTCAATTCCGAATGTTCTCGTTCTCCCATATCAAGACCGGCTTCTTCTCCAATTAGATCAAGAATTTCAAAAGCTCCAGACACCAAGTTCAAGTCTATGAGAGAAAAATTAATGGAAAAGACCTTTGAGAACGATGTCCTCAGGAAGGAGAACCTTTCTATGGTTGAATTGTTGGAGAAGACTCGTCGACAAATTAATGAATATTCTGAGTTAGCAGTAATTGAACAAAGGAGAGAAGAATTAGAAAGACAACGGTTACTTGAAGCCAAAAGGGAAATTATGGAACAAGTTGATGCTTTTAAAACTGAATTTTATATCTTCAAAGATACCCATGAATCCTTTAATGATACTGTTGAAAAGTTAAAGACTTCCTTAGCTTCAATTGAAGTGGAGAATAGAGTTTTAAAGTCTGAGACTGATAATTTGAAATCAGAGTTCAGTATGAAGGAGGAATCGTTGATAATTTCCAATAGAGAATTGAAAAGTGAAATTGAACAGTTGAACAATTACTTGCTTAATGAGAGATCAAGATTATCTCAAGCAGAGAAAGAGAATAATGCTTTGAACCAAAAAGTGGTGGATTTAGATACTCGAAACACTGGATTATCCCAACAATATACCCGAGTAATTGGGGAGTTGGAAGAACAGATTGCCATGAACAAAGAGATCAAGGCATCTTTGGAACAGGAATTATCAGAACAAGTGGGTTCAAAAGATCTTCAAATCTCTAATTTACAAGAACAATTGACTAAATATGATTCTGTTGCTTCTGAAAGAGATGCTCAGTTGGATAAAAAAGAGAAATTGATAGTGGAATTGGAAGACAAGTTGGCATTAGAACAAACCAAATCTAATGGTATCATTACTGAGCTCAAACAACAATTACTAATATCTGAAGAGAAAGTGCATGCAACAAGAACGGAACTTGAAGCAAGTAACACCCAAGTTGTTGATTCCAACACTGAAATTGAAAGGCTTACTAAGTTAGTTAAGGATTTGGAAGATTCTTCAAATGAAACCAAGAGATCTCTTGAGCAGATTCGTGACCAGGCACTTGGAAAAGACGATGAATTGGCAGTTACAAAGGAGAAGATGTTGGAATATGAAGAAGAGCTTTTGATCAATAGAAAGGAGTTACAGAAATTGAAAGAAACTCATGGTGAAGCCAATAATGAGTTATTAACCACCATGGCTGAATTGGAAATGGCCGAGAAGGCACTTGAATTCAAACAAAATGAATTGAAGGTTGTTGAAACTGAAAAGTCGAGTCTTGCTGAAGATTTAGAAGCACTTCAACAAAGGAACTGTTCAATGAAGAAGGAACTCGACGAGTTAAAGGCTCAACAAGTTCCTTTTGAAATTGAACAACAGAATATCAAGTTGAAAGCTGAATTAGAGCAATTGAAGGTGGCCAGAAACTTTGAATTGGACAACGATGATGAGCTTAAGAAATTAAGAACTGAAGTTGCTGAAATAGAACATTTAAAGGATGTTTTAGAAAGCAAAGAGGTTCAAATTGCTCAATTAAAAGTTGATAACGAAGAAAGTAAAAGTGGGTTACAAGGTAAAGTCAATAGTCTTTCTAAAGAAAAGGAAGAACTATTGAACTCATTGACCCAAATGAAGACCAAATATTCTTCTGTCAATCAAGAACTAAAGGCCATGAAAAAAGATGCGTTGAATAACAATAAAGACTTACTTTCCGCATCACCACAATCTTCAATTCTAGCAACATCGTCACCGAATAGTCCTATTATGGAAGAAAGTGTGAAGGACGATATCATCACCACTCCAATTGTATTGGAAGCACCAGCCCCATTGAAGAAACCCTTTGATGCCAAACAAATCTTCAGAGATAGAACTTCATCCAAGTCTCCAACAAAACATAAAAAGGATAATAAGCACGTGTTGACTCCTTCCAATAGAAATATGACGACTGAGTTGAACATCAAGAAAGATAAAAAGCTCAAGAGGAAACACAGTGATTTCAAATTGAATGCTAATAAACTACAAAGAGCTGTTCTTTAATAATACTTTTTATATGATACCCGTAACAGCAATAGAATGAACTTATATACTTACTGTACTTCCATCGACCGAACTAATCTTATAATACAACAGTCTCATCTTTATACTGTTCTTCTATCAGCTAAATACCTAACAATGGGTCCTTCGCCAGATACTTCAACAACCTTTTCAAACCAATTCAACAATAGTCCTCCTTGCTTAGCTCCATAAGACTTTCCCATGGTCTTATATAAATACTTGACCAATACATCTTGTTGGTCCAGAGTCAAGGACTGTATGAATGACTTTAGCTCACCAACTTGATGGTTGTTCCGTATCGAACACAACACCTCAAACACTGTTTCGGTGTGGGTTTCTTTGGTTTGTTCGTCGGAAACATAAGGAGGTGTATCCAAGACTAATGCAAGTGCTTCGGAGAATTTACCACTACTCAAATATGTTCTGGATTGTTGAGATACCTTTTGGATCTCACTGTATGGTGTTTCGGGTAAGTCCGGAACAAGCTCTTCCTTGCTGAGGAACTTGTCGGGTTCGTAGGCGTCAATATCAATTCTTCTCCAATCTGACATGGCGTCAATTGATTTGTAATGTATATGGTTGGGGGGCAGAAGGATTAATAGGCGTAGTCAGTTTCTGGTATTTACAGTGTTCTCTTGGGGTTTGGACGTTTATCAACGGTGCTACCAATATCGGATGTTTTGTGTGACGTTTCGGGTCTCCGTCGGAACAGACGCTCATTTGCATTCTCATACATGTTCATATAACTATTACTCTATACTAATATACAAATGAAATATCTGATTAATCAGTGTTCTTTTTCCTTTTCTTGGAGCTTTCCTTTTCCCCTTCGTTTTCCTTTTCTCTCTCCGGTTGTGTTATCTCGGAATTGTAATCATCCATGAATTTCAAAGCCTTGTCTCTAAGCTCTAATGTATCAACAACAATAACCACTAAACCGTCCAGACCAACTTCGTATTTGATATGGGATTCGTTAGGAACAGCGATTTGCTCATCAAAAGTGTCAAAGAACTGGTTCATATCTTCAAACAGCTGGATTTGATCCAACATCCGTTCTTCCATATCTCCGTCGGGAACATCTTCGGCTTGGACCACGATGATTACCCGAAGCGGATTATCTAGAGCTTCCATCTCTAGAAATTCTTCAGTGTCACTCATTATTGAATTAATCCGATCGGATAAAGGGGTGGAGTCTGGGTTCTCTCTTATGATAGTTAACCTTCAAGTAGGAAAAAATTGAGATGAGCCTGTATATAGCAAGGCATATAAAGTCTATAGAATCTTTGACTACATCACACTGTGGCCATGATTGCCATGATCATAATTACACTGTTCTTATATTTACTGAATAGAATCATCGTTAACATTGAAATATCTCAAATTATAAAAAGTCACAAGCTTACAAAGACCATTTCTTGAATTGGTTAATTAAAGCATTGGTTGAAGGATCATGGTTACCAACTTGAGCATTGTCATTCAATTGAGAAACAATGGCCTTAGCTAAAACCTTACCCAATTCAACACCCCATTGGTCAAAGGAATTGATATTCCAGATAGCACCTTCAACAAAAGTAAGGTGTTCATAGTAAGCAATTAAAGCACCCAATGTGGATGGTGTAATCTTTTGGGCCAAAATAGAGGTGGTAGGTCTGTTACCAGAGAAAACCTTATGAGGAACAAGACCACCAGTGGCACCTTCAGACTTGACTTGGTCTTCATTCTTACCAACCATTAAAGCTTCAGCTTGAGCGAAAAAGTTAGAAGCCAACATCTTTTGGTGTAAATTGTTCTGGATTGGGTTATGGGATTGAGCTGCAAGAATGAAATCAGCAGGGATCAATTTGGTACCTTGGTGAACTAATTGGAAGAAAGAATGTTGAGCATTAGTACATGGTTCACCGAAAAGAATGGTACCAGTTTGATAGTTGGTGAACTTATCACCTCTAGTAACTGATTTACCGTTTGATTCCATAGACAATTGTTGTAAATAAGCAGCAAAACGGTGCAAGTATTGGTCAAATGGAGCAACCAAATGAGTTTGAGCACCATGGAAGTTGTTATACCAAACGGATAAAAGAGCACCAAGAACTGGGATGTTTTCTTCTAATGGAGTACTAAGGAAATGGTTGTCAACAGCTTCAGCACCTTTAAGGAAGGCTTCAAAGTTATCGAAACCAATATACAAAGCCACTGATAAACCAATGGCAGACCAAACAGAATAACGACCACCAACCCAATTATCAAAGGGGAACATGTTCTTAGTATCGATACCGAATTTGGCAACTTCATCAGCATTAGTAGATAAAGCAGCAAAATGCTTTGCAATATGAGCTGAATCCTTAGCAGATTCCAAAAACCAAGATTTAGCAGAATTGGCATTGGTAGTAGTTTCTGCAGTAGTGAAAGTCTTTGAAGCAACCAAAAACAAGGTAGTTTCTGGGTTTAAACCTCTCAAGGTTTCAGCCAAATGAGTACCATCAATGTTAGAAACAAAATGAACAAATAAACCTGGTTGAGCATAGTGTTTCAAGGCTTCAGTGACCATAACTGGACCTAAATCAGAACCACCAATACCAATGTTAACAATGTCAGTAATGGCCTTACCAGTGTAACCCTTCCAAGAACCAGATCTAATTTCTTCAGAGAATTCCTTCATGTGTTGTAAGACAGAATCGACTTCTGGAGCAGTGTTGATACCATCAGCCTTCATTTCCTTCAAGGCTCTGTTTCTCAATGCAACGTGGAACACAGCTCTATCTTCAGTATAGTTGATGTGATCTCCAGCAAACATAGCATCTCTCAACTTTTCAACACCGGCTTCACGGGCCAACAGGTACAATTCCTTCATGATGGAATCGTCCACCAAGTTCTTGGAGAAGTCAAAGAGAATTTCTGACCCGTCATAATTGGTGAAAGTTTTGGATAACTTTTGGTATCTCTCACTGTCGGCCTTGAAGGCTTCAGAGACGTCAAACGACTTACCCTTGGAGTCGTACAACGCCTGCAATTTGGCGTACGAGGGCAATTGAGTAGTCAATTCAAAGTCAGCGTAGTTCAGCATAATGAGCACAAGCTTAATTAAAGAAGAAGAATAGAGCGGAATAAAAAGAAAAGGTGGTAGGTTTAAGTTATTTTATATCGTCGGTTTCGGAGGTGAGCTTTGCGAGGAAATGTAAAGGGTTTTGTGCAACTTGCTCTTAGATAGTTCAAGATGTGTAGTGGAGTGTTGAAATGCAGACAATTAACTAATAGAGGGTGGTTGGTTATATGCACACTCTCTTAGTTCAGTATCTATTGCTGCATCAGGTTGCACCACCGTATATTCCGTTCATTGGTAAAGCTTTGACTAAACTGGACATCAGTAAACCCACCATTACTAAAAGTTTAGTAACGGAACACAGTTTTTCCGAGTGGAAACGCTTACAAATGTTGCAAACAGATTGTAATTCATACTGTCGGCACGCCGTTAAAGTCACTAGCATTCTACCTCAGTCAAGATCTGACAGATAGCTGGGAGAAAGAAACATCTGAAGCAGCTTATAACAAACAATGTCGATACCCTGTCGTAATAATCGGGTAACACTATACTTATTTTGTTTCTTGGTGAATCAACACCAGACAGAAGCTAATAGTATGTACTAGCCGGATGCACTTCAAAGACCATAGTATGAACCTAGAGAAGTGCATGTAGTACCATGCCGTTCAGGTACATTCAGTGTTTACGGTGACTCCTACTATGTCTTGGTACCTGTAGTATCATTATCATCAGTATCACAGTTGCAACTGTTGCTGTCTTTGTGCGACAACAAAAATAAGTGAGCCTTCGCTTAAAATTAATGCATACTGTAATCGCCTCCTCTCATCAACAAATACGACATTAAACATGCTAGAGTCTAAATGGGCTCCCAAGGACGCGACTTCAACACCAATTGAGTCTGGTGCTGAAGCACAACTACAATCAAAGTGGTCAAAGCCAATAACTGTACATGGGAATGAGCAACTTGTGAGCAGATGGGCCAACAACTCAGACGAGCCAAAGAAGGATGAGCCCAAGACAGATGATCATTCAAAGGCATCTCGTGGACATAATTATGGACATGGACAAGGACACAGACGCGGGAAGAGCAAAGACAGAGCCACAGGGTTAGATACTCCACCGGATAGTAGAGAAAAGAGCAACAGTAGTAATAAGAAGCGTCATGATAAGAGTAACGATAAGAAGATGGGATTTAAACAACATAAAGAGGAACACACTCACCTTGATGAGTTTGAACTGAATCAAAATCGCAATGGCAGCCAAGAAGATGGCAATTTCAAACTTGAATCAAGAAATGAAGAGAAGACACAAGTTACAGATGCAGCAAAGTCGTTTGCTGAACGTCTTGGTCTTAGTATCTCCTCTATACCAGCACATGATGATTGGGAGGACGAAGTTGAAAGCCACAGTCATAATCAGGGACACCGGGGCGGGCTCAAACCTCCCAAAAGTAATTGGAAGTCACCAGCATCTCAGAAAGGTAAAAATTCAAAGAGCAAATATGAAACACCAAAGCAGAAGAAAGATAGATTTACACTGGAACAACTTGTTCAAGCAAAGAAGGAAGAAGAAGCCAAAAAGGCTCAAGTGGTGGAAGAACAACGAAAGAGAATAGAACAATTATGGAATGATGATTCTACCAAATCAATGAATTGGGCAGATTTTGACGATTGATGTATATTAAAGCATGCTTATTTATTTATTTAATAGTGATTCAGTACTGCAAAGGCTCTGTTGCCTCTAGCAAACCAATAGACAACTACATATACCCAAATGGCATTATAGACCACAGCCACATAGTTCATGGAACCTGCTTCCACGGGTAAGGCATAAGGGAATGAAAGGAATACCAAAGAATAGATTCCCCAGATAATGTTAAGATGTTACTAACAAGACCCAGCTTGCCCAAATAGAAGGGGTCTGTTAAGGCCTTGGACCGTCCCTACTTCAGCAAACAGATAGTTGGAACCATATACGACAACAACAAGAGGGTTATACAAGCAGAAATAATGGCACTGAATGCTTGCAGAGATGCCAAAAAGATACACCCAATTACAGCGATCCAGAGTATAGAAAAGAGATGGGCCTTAACAGGCAAATGAACCGTCTCATTGATTTGAGACCAGTATTTGGATCCAGGTAACCCGTTATCTCTGGAGAAGGACCAACAGTTCCGTGCTTGCCATGTATGGCCGTTGATGTTACATAAGAAGTAACAAACGATGACCATAGCCATCAAGAACAAAGCTGCGCTTTTATTTCTAACTGCTTGATAGTAGATCTCCAATGGAGGTAACTGGGCAGCCACCACAGCCGCCGGATCTTGAATTGAAAAGGTTAAGATGACTGTGTAGAGCCAAGCAGTAACAAAGCCTATTGCAATGGTAGCTAACATTACTCTTGGGATTAATACTCTTTATTTCTGGACTCCCAAGTCATCAACCTTGATGAGAAGCAGCATCGATACCGGCAAACAGCCAAATAGGAGCCACCATATTGGCCACAAACGACATTCCAGTAGTGGACCAGCCCATGACATTATCAAAAGTTTTAAACACGAACGAAGGGCTTTGGAAACGACCCAGAGCACAGGCTCCACTTATTATCATGGTGACCAAGAAGGTCAATATGGAGAGATAGAAAGCCGTTTTGGTAACATAAGGCAAGGTCTTTGAGTAGAAGTTGAAAAGAGTAATAAAGATATTAAGAAGCTCATAGACTAAAAAAGTATGCCATTTCTCAATGATGAAGTCGGGATGGGTGAACAGATAAGAAGCAAGAATACAAGTTGCTAAACTTGAAGTGATAGAAGCACCCACAAAACCGATCCAAAATAACCCAAGTTACCACACAAGTCTGCTAAGAATCTTCTATACTTATCAGGAGCCAATTTGATGGTCCGATAGTTGCGAAAAAAGCACTGACTAAACCCCATACCATGATAGGAGCACCGCCAGAAGAGATCACTATACCCAATTGGGTAGCCACTCCTAGCCATGAGTAGATCAACCCAAAGGAGAACCCTAAAAGAGAGAGGAAATTGGAATTCTTTTCAAGACCAACATTGTGTTCTTCATTAGATGAACTAGAGTCCAGACCATTACCGACTTCGTCAATGGAGAGAACAGAGCCCACGGCCTTTTCACCTGGAAGAGCTTTCATTTCGACAGACTGTAATATACTCAGTGGTATCACTTGAACTAATTGGTGACCTATTAGTATTTATAAATAGCATTATATTGCAGAACTTATCAGATATTTCTAATTGCGCTTGTTACCCAGTCGACAACAAAGTGTGCGTGAGTACCTGGAAGCGGCTCAGTATAGTCATTGGCCATCAGTATTCATTAGTAAAATAAAGCTTAGACTTTTACATTAGCTCCGGTTGTTGATTAGCAGGTAATGATAATGGTGAGTAATGCGAACCCGTTAACAATATGATGGGAGACAAGACACTAGGAGAATGGCGATAACGCGTGACCATCACCAAACGTCGCAAATAGGTTCATGTTGTATTGTGATGGTACATGAGTGTTGTAACTTGTGAAGCTTATCTTTTGCATTCCATCACGTGACTAGAATATGCTGCAAAAAGATGTGCCTCCCAGAGACTACGCTGGACAAACAAATACTAAATCGACAAAGGTACATCCTACAAGGTACGAACTGTTCCATAAAAATCAGCTTATTAGGAGACAAGAACCATATTTAGTTTAAAGCATTTGGAAACTCTGACCGCCAAAAAGGATGGTTAGCATATTCCGTGTGTTGATATCAGCAAGCTTTACTCCATGGCTTAAAAACGTAAGAAATGTTCTTGGCTTGACTGCGGGGCCCGTTCAGTATCAGAATACAACCGTGAGCCCAAATTCTAACAAAGTATGGCGTTCAGCATAACGAATATAAATATTGGTTTTCTAATTCTAACTGTTTCCATCAGCCAACGGTTGCTCACTATCGTAGTCAGGAAATCTAATGTTCTCTGGTTTACTTGAGTTATTCATGTATTCCAATACAGCAGGTGCCCAAGCGTCTGTTCTCTTATATTCACCTACTCTGTCATCGATACCAGCTATTGCTTCACATATGGACGAATTCCCCTCTAATTTTAGTTGTGTTAGTGGAGTCAAATAAGTCTTGATGGTGAACACAATGGCCTTCAGTCGAGGAAGTTTAGTAACCACTTGACGTTCTACTCTGAGAACTACATCATTGAAATCCAATTCTTCGGTCTTAAGATGATTCTCATGATCGTAATCCTTTGTTGTAGCCAAAGCAAACATTTGAGGGTGTGCTTGCACCGTCCAATTGGATCGAGTTACAAATTTGTGAGGATCCACTCTGCTTAAATATTTATTCATAGACGTCTTCAACTTCTCTTGATAGTAGGGCACTGGCAGATGGATAGTCAGTATATCGTTGTTGAACTTATCTACGGGATCAAAACCAGACGGCAAACACCAGGACCCACCCTTTAATTTATACTCTGGATCCATAGGATCGTCTTTCAAAAGTAATAGAAAGTCTTCTTCTACTATCACCAGGAGATACCGGAGAAGGTCTCTTGATGTATACTGAGAAGCGGTTGTAATGTCAGGAAGATATTCATCCCGAATAGTATCATGAACCCAACGCAAGTGTCCAGATTCCTTCTTTATTTGTTTATAGTACTTTGGATACTTGATTAAGAGGATCTTGACAACCATCTCATAGTATTCGTGAATGGCTAGATCGCATGCTTCATCGTTAAACAACACATAAGGCTCGTGTTTGCTTACGACTCTTTTCTTTAAGTCTGTTATTTTCTTGTGGTCCCACTCGATATTGAACCAATCTTGTGGCAGAATGGTAGAGATTCCCATAGTCATGTTATATTTCTTCTTGAAAGGTCGAAGGGCCAATGGTGGGGTTTTATTCCATTCATAAGTGTCGTCCACTGGATGCACATCTAGAAACCCGAGCAGCTGGCGTCTAAAACCCAGCCCGAGCAAATACACTCCTACCAAAAGTACGACTATAGTAACCACCCATAGAAACATCCGATCCATTAGTTAACGAAGAAGAAAGTCCTATTTGCAACTGAGATTAGCATTCAGTGTTGAGTGATTCCGTTATACAGCCAAGGCGTTCCCAATTTGGAAAGTCAAACCGATTGTCTGGGGTAAGCCGAGACCAATGAACATCAAAGCAACAACCTTATGTATATATTCCTTAAATAGTACCCATAATCAACTCAAGCATGAGTGTATAATCTACAGCTATACAATAGTAGGATAATAGAAGATGTCACTAATAACTTGCTTGGACTCGGTAAGATCACCCATCATGCCATGAGTTGGCCGCGTAGCTGACTATTGACTTCATATCAGTCTTCAGTCTCCGTCCTAAATCTTCGTTCACTATCTCCATCTCCCGACTTCACCTCCTGTCTTCAATACATCCAGACCCGTCTTATTCTGTGTCACTATGCCGTCAAGTTCACCAACCGATTTTGTTACTTGAAAAATTCCAAGGTGGGGTATCGCGGAACGCTCCCCCCAAACCCAACCGAATGTCATTGAGATCATCACCAAGATAGATATCTCAATTGACGTTGAGTACATCGTTCATATTACGTATCATATAGTGATACTGTTCCTGCAGATCTATACTCGGTGGACAAGTTAGGGATTGAGTGATTGCTACTACGTGACAGATGTTTAGGGGGTTGTTGAAGTCTCGCCAATGGTCGAAAAGACTATGTTTACGACGGCTCATGGTGACTGGGTCTAGACAACAACAACAACAGCCACGGATTCTGTTGCAATTGGGGGGCAATGGGAATGGAGATAGGTATGACCCTAAAGGAAGGATCAAAAGAGGAGTGTTGGTAACTATGGGTACGGGAACGTTAGCACTTGGACTTTATGTTTACCTTCAAATTAGATGGAAGCAAAAGATGGGAGAAAAGGATAATAATACAATCTTTGTTCCATTATGGATTAACCCGAATTGGATCTATCGTTCAGCATACAAGTTCCCCAAAACAGTTCAATATTTTGATTGCGAGTTCTTCAAGTATCTTGAACAAGAGATAGAGCAAGCTAGTGAAGAAACTGAGTTGGAACCGTTGGGGAACCCCTCCTTGACCACTCATATACATAATTATTATATGGGAGAAGAAGCTTTAAAGTTTATGCAAGTATTTGTCAATACCAATGTTAAGTATAAGGTTCTTGAAGAGTTACTGAAAAATAAAACCATTCGACGGCTCTTTGGATTACCTTTATCAATTGATCTTATAGACTATCGAAGAGAAAACTTTCGTGTTTGGGTTGAAAGCAAGTATCCGACAATTTCTGGGGTTGAAATCCCAATGGATGATTGGAAGTCTTGGAAATGGGTGATCAACCCGATAAATTGGCACACGTTGGCCAACAATTTGGCCAGTGAATGGACTTTGAATCGAGAAAATGCTAATTCTGTTGATGAGAATGACGATGACTCACACCGTGCTTCATTGGATTCGTCTCTGGGGTCTAGGAACTATAGTATAGTTTATACTGGTGAGTTTCTAGTTCGAGATCATCAACTGGAGACTGAAAGCTGGCTTTATTATAAGGGAGTCATTGATTTCAACCACTTGCTTATCAATCGTGGAGTGCAGCTCATTGAACTAGACTTGATCATCAAACAGAACAACGAGCTTGTTAAGTATAAGATTATTTAAATAGTATAGTGTCGTACATACTGTTCCGTCGGAGACTCCCACACTTTCCGAGAGTTTCGCACACCCTGGCTTTGTGTGCCTGGAAGCAGATACCATACGAAAACATCAAAGTCCAGGCCTATACAACCACGTATAATATATAAACAAAAGTAAATACACAATTGTAAGGTGAGAGATGGCACAGTCTTTTTCATAGAGACCCCATTCAAATAGTTGTTGTTATCTGAGAGCCCGGGCAGAATAACCTCTTTCAGCCACCACTAACACTATCACCACTGAGACTATCAGCTCATACAGCAACCATATCTTGGCCAACATGTCCGAAGCTGAAAATAGCAGCGGAGAGCCTCCAAAGAAGAAGAACAAGTCAAAGTCAGATACCGAGTCAAAACAAGTGGACGATCAAGAGCATCGGACTCGCAAGATCTCCCAGGCCACCAGAACGTTAAAGGCTTGTGATCTTTGTAGACGTCAAAAGACACGATGCATTCGAAGTGATGATAATCGTACAAGTTGTATACGATGTATCTTTTTAAATAAGCCATGTTCCTTGGATGTCGATCTGGAAGTGAAGAAGTCTCTGAACGAATCTTTGGGTGTTTCCATTTCAAATCATCCCATGGACGTTGGTATACCTAACTTTACCTCCGCTAATAATAGCAATACTACTACTAATAATAATAATAATAAGGATAAAATAGATGCTATTTATCGAATGGTTAGAGAGCTATTGGCAGTGACCAAGAATCCGTCAACTGCAGCAATTGACTCTAAACTGCTAATATATGATCCTCTTGACTCAGGTCCACTACAGCCACTTGGGAGTACTGTTGATAATTCCAACAGAATAACGCAATCACCAGCTAAACTTGGGGGTCATCACCATCACCATCAAAGAGGTCGTCAGATGCTGACTACTACTGATACGGTATATGATCTTGATATAAATTTCCGTCCAATGGAAGCCATTCCCTTTACCGTAGTGAATAATATGAGAGATGAAATCAATGATATGCCCAAATTGATTACTTCTATATTCCCACAATGGTATCCGTTTATGCAATTTGAAAGGAAACCAAGTAGAAAAGATATCATTACTTTGAATATCTTATCATTAAATGAAGCAATTGCATTAATGAATGATTTCAGACGTAATTATGGTAGATGGGTAAGTTTCCCTCAAAATTTACCCACTGACCATTTGGTTGAACGAATAAGAGAAAAATCAAGCTTTCTATTGACTACTTGTTGTGTTATATCTTATAGATATTCACCACTACGAATGACTCATAAGAAGAATTATAAAATCTTAATGAAACATTTGATAACGGATTTTAAAGCTGCACTATTAAAGAATGCTGCAATGCAACCTCATAGAGATGGTGATATTGAATTCTTACAAGCAATAGTCATTCTTTCTATTTATCTGCACAGTCTTTCATCTTCAATTACTAACAAATATAAACCTTTTATATTGGAAGATTCTGGAGATGACGAAGACGATAACTTGGATGATGAAGAACTTCAAGAGTTTACATTGGATCCTTGGAACTTATCATCTATGGGGTTAACAACATTTATTTCTAGAGGCACGCTTGGAGATTCCCTTTTCGGTAATATGAAGTCTACTACTTCAAAATCGTCAAGTTATAATCCAGGAACAGCAAATGATGGTGATGATATTAATACCAACAATACCAATCCAGAAGATAGGATATTTACCTTTTTATTTGATCCATTAGAAAGCTCCAATGAATATCAAAAACTCACAGTTATTCGGTTATACAATCATTTGACATTAGTCCATCTAGTTAATTGTGTTATTTCTGGAAGAATGTGCATTCTTGACGACACTCGATTGGATTATTGTAAGAATACCTTGGGGTTACCCAGCTCTACAAATTTTGATGGTAGAATGATTAGTGAAATTCAAATCTTGGTTATTTGCTACAAATTTATTCAGGCTCTTCTGTTGAGCACCAGCTCGGAAGAAGTAGAAGATCATTATAAATACACTCAGGGAGAGATGTTAGCCTGGAAGGGTCAATGGGAATATTTATTTGAGCAACCAGCATTACAATTTGTTGATTTCTGTTCCAATTTTGTACAGCTATTGGTGATATTTAATTATATCTATTATAAGTTGAAGCTTGAAGGGAAATTCAAAAAGAACCCCACGAATTATATTCCCCAATTGGGTAATCTTGATTCAGTCCTTGAATTGGCAAACATGGCCGATCTTGCAATAATGTATCAATATGCTTTAAACGTTGTGAGTACGATCCGAAACATTGAGAACGATGCATATTTTGCGTATTTATCAGATCAAATTCATTTCTTCTTTTATTTCGCTGGGATTGTATTGGTGAAGATGATTGAATGTTTCAAGCTGAAAAAGGTAGCCATTGATTATCGACCATCACGAAGTTGTTTGAAACTTTTAACAAAGAAGTTCGATGCTGTTGGATTGAATAATGATTTGATATCGACATATAAAAATGGTCTCATTCAAGTTGCAAAGAAATGCAATCTTGATCTAACATAAAGGAGTAATATAGTATTACCATATTATTATGTTATTCTGTGTCTGCTAAGAGAGAACATGCCCAAGAATGGAACTCGACAAAAATCATTTTATCATTGGTCAAAGTCATCAAAGATTTCGGAGAATTCAATTGACGTCTCAAATACGTTTCCCCATTAAGAACATTATCACCATTAACGGATTGGGCAACATTTGCCTTGGTAACCTTGTGTTGAACATTGGATATAAATGTACTCTGATAAGTATCTATAATGTCCCAATTAGGCAACACTTTTTTTTCATCATCACTTATATAGAGCAAGCAGTATTTCCTTTCGCCTCCTCTTGCACTATTATCTTTGATCTTGAAGATCCGGTACAAGCAGTATCCACTTGTTTCGTCTCCATAGAACAACGGTTTACTGAGATCAGAGTTCATCTCCGCACTCAAAGCTTTCATGAGGAACTTGGACAACGAAGCGTATCGCTTGGCCAGCTTGGGGTAGCTGCATGAGATGTAGCCGGAACCCGTCGCGTCTTCAGCGGTGTCTGAGTCCTTGCTGATGATGTTGGGCATGTTATCTGGGAAGCTTAGTCGACAAAGCACACATTGAAGAGATTCATCTTTGACTAAGACGTTCTCGGAGAGACAACTAACATGCTGCGTACATTGGATGAGACTTGGACCGTGCACTTCGCAGAAATGTCCAAGACATATGAAGCTGTTGGTCATTGTTCATGGAATAAAGAGCAGCATTTGATTTGATAAGGTATCGTGGGTATATCCAGAAGAAGATATGTGTGGAAGTACATATATATAACTTATGTATACAGGATACACTGTAGTCTATAAGGAGTACGGTATTGATGGATATACTGTAGTCTATAAGGAAAAAGGTATTGATGGGTGCACTTCTAGTCATCTGGTTAGTGTGAGCTCATGACAGACAGATAACGTACGGTGCACTGGTCTATGCTTTAAGCTGCTCGCATCGAACAGTGTACTCGTACATATAACTCATATAACTGTGCACCTTGAGCGTGCACTCAAGACTGCTGCACTTTAACTGCGCTCATATAACCGTGTGCTTTGACTGTTCTTTGACTGTACTCCAACAATTGGACCACTACAAACCCACACTCTACCGCACACACTGATACTCTCGTTGCAAATAGTGCAAGCTTACCAGCTGACCATAAGCTTACGTATACGCCCTTATCTGATGTTCGCACTGAAAATCTTGGGTGCACCATGGGTTCTTCTCCACTCGTATGAATGATAGATAACGTTCGAGGGGTATCGTTGTTTAACCTTCATCGTCGTGAGCGTGACGCCGTCGCTGGAAAGGGCAACGGCAACGGCAATGCCACTCCCGTAGTAATGGCTGATTCGTTCATTGCTATCCATAGTTACGAGGAGGATGGGAAAGAAGGTGCTTTGCTATACTTAAGTCCCATAGCCTATGGAGCCACAAGCCCTACGTTTAACAACATAGTCATGCCAGGATCAGCTATATCCCTTGTGGTGATCAAACTATATATTAAGGAGTTTAAGGGTTGGTCCTTGTTGATGGTGTTGAAATTAGACTTGTCAAAACTTGTTGTGGTATCGCCAGAATCAAGTACTGTCAAGAACCATATTAACAGTTTTATCATTACAGATAGTGCCGGGTTGACTTATACGTTCCAGAAATATCTGAAAGCATCCAACCATCATCATCAGCATCATCAGCATCATGATAATGACGTTAATGCCAGATCTTATAGTCGTTCCCTTCATCCGAGCAAAAGCTATACGTTTGCTCAACTACGTTCCCTTGGACATTTGGTGAAGTCCATTAATGAAATCACCGCCACAAAAGGTAGACTACTGAAGGAAATCAACTCCTTCCCGAAGGATCACCAAGACTTCCTACTGTCTTCAGAACAACTAAGGTTCGAAATCGACCTATTGCAATTGGACTCCAAAAAGTTGAAACAAACGAACGAAAAACTAGCATCCCAAATCTACAACTTGAATTTCAAATTGAAACTGATACGACATCATACAGATTCTACAATGAATCATGATACCTTGTTTTCCGTGGAAAACGAACTCTTTGACTCTCAAGTCTCTTCAATAACAAAGAACCTTGAAGAATCCGTGTTCCCGGATACCATGGTGCTTTTAATTGACAAGTTCACGCAATTGAATAAAATAGTCCCAATTGAACAAAATGATGTCAATGGCAATTTTACCATTCTTCAACTCGAGTTCCCTTCAAATACCACGTCCTTATTGGATATTTGCTATAATTCACAGCAATGGGAAAAGATAGAGAAAGTTAACGTGGCTCTAACTTATATCGTTCGCTTCATGGAACAACTTGCTACTTTGATTTGTATGCGCTTCAAATACCCCATAAAGTACATTGAAAATCAATACTTTGTAAGTGATGTGGAGAATAAACACTACCCGTTGTTTTACGACTTGGATAAAAGACGAAGAAGAAATGTCGTACGGGATTTGCCTTTCGAACAAGCAATTTCCTTCCTTACTAAAAACTTGATTATTTTAATCAGTAAATACATTGATTTATGGAATCAATATCAAACTTTCCATCAGTCAGAGTCTGTGGGTCACATGAACACCCCACCACCCCCTCCACAATTATTACGTAATATTCCATTTGAGTGTCTAGACAATTTTCTTTGGAGTTTAAAGTATTTGGTTCTTTTGGTTACTGCACCTTCAGTAACTCCGTGATGAGTTGGAGTTAAGCGGACTTTAAGCATGAGTCGATAGATGTGCAATGGCTAATTTCTGGTGTGGTGTGGTACTTTGAAATTTTGTGGTGCTACAGCAAAATAATGCCGTGCACTGTGCTGTACTGCAATGTAGGATTTCCGGGCTATGCCGACTGGCCCGAACCCCACATTTCAATCTTAGTTTACATGAAAATTAAACTAACCTAACATAATCATTCTTTTGAAGAGTGCACTATATAGAAAAAGACATTAAAAATACAGCTGATAAAATCTGTAGGGCTTCTATGCTGATTGCTTACAACAAAGCAACGGCAACGGCACCCAACATGGCACCAACTGGAGCAACGTAAACGCTACCTGCAGCACCAGTGGAAGAAGAAGATGAAGCTGAAGAAGCGGAAGAAGCTGCTGAAGAAGCGGAAGACTTAGCAGAGGAAGCGGAAGACTTGGCAGATGAAGCAGAAGACTTGGCAGATGATTCAGAAGACTTAGCTGAAGATTCAGAAGACTTAGCTGATGAGGAGGCAGCAGAGGAAGCGGAATCAGCAGCAGAAGCTGATGAAGAAGATTCGGTGGATGAAGCAGCTTCAGAACCAGAAGCAGAACCAGTGGCAGAAGCAGCAGCAGCAGCTTGAGCAGCAAGACTAGAGTACCATGGCAAAGCAGTTGCAAACTTACTAATTTGTTCAACAACAGAAGTGTCCTCCAACAAAGTAGTGTAAGCATTGTCAGTGTAAGTCTGAACGTTAAGAGCCAATTCAGTCACAGCAGCTGGAACAGATTCAGTGAAAGTGGCCACAAATTGCAAGTAAGAGCCTCTGTGAGAAGCCAAGTCAGACACCAAAGCGGTCAAAAAGTCAACTTGCTGAGCGTCAGCAGCATTGACACCAACAGCTGAGGCAGCAGCCAAAATAGTAGCAGTAGAGAACTTCATTGTAGGAGATTTAAAACGAATTGAATTGAATTGAACACCAGTTGGTGAAAAAGAAAACCAGGTGTATATGAATTAGGGTATTTTCCAGTCTCTTATATAATGAAATATTGACTAGACCGGAAAAGAAATGTCATGCATACGTAAATAACCCGATTACCTTTTTGTGTCACTTTGGTATATTCTGCCGCTACCTCCCCACTTTTCGGGTACAAAAGTTGTATGTTTTTTACTAGAGACCTCAATTGGGACCCGCCCACTGTATTGCGTCTAGTGCGTTCATTTAATAAAAGATGCCTAATAGGTTGATTCGTGGTCGACAGTTGAGCACTGCAATTAGAAGAGATATCTCAAGCCATCACAGCCACCATCGCCATCACCATGAAGTAAATTTCACTTTCTCTCACGATGGGACAAAAACCCTCTGTATATTGCCTACTGAGGTAATGACGCCTTTATTGTTACATGGTCGTGCGAAGGCTTAGTGTGGGGAGACTCTAACAAATGGTCAAAGGGCTTGGTGGAGGATGCTCTGAAGGCCGTGTGCACGAATTCAACTGTCGTGGGTGAAAGGGGGGAGCAGGAGGAGGGGAGAAAGATATAACGTGCAAGATAGTTATACGGCAGAAGTTTCAATAAGTTACGAAGATTAATTCTCTTACAATAGTGCCATCAGATTGAGCCTAAACTCGTTCCACTATATATAAGTCGTACTGCATTTCGTTGGCATTATGTGCAGGATGCCATTTGGTATACGGTCAGGTTCATTTTCGGTGGAGGCTCGTTTAGGTGAGCGTCCTAGCAATCACGTCTCTGAAGGTGAAATGCTTACTTATTACACTCAACCCACATAGTAGTGACTATCGACGTTATACTCCTAGATTAGGTAATCCGATTTCGCTGAAAGTTATTGCGCTTTCCTTTGGTAGTTTGTTGGTACCAATACGCTGCGCATCCGCCAATATGCACATATGACAACCTCGTGAAACTTCCTTGCACAGCCTGGCGAGACTTCTTTAATTTCCGACCCGTAATTTTGTTCCCGTAAATATTCGTTCAACAGTGAATGTTGAAGTGATCTGGTTATTTCTCTTTCCACCAGAAGTCATTGCTGCTAACATCCACTTGGCCTTGTCCACATCATAATATTTCTATAACATTTGAACAGATGTCTAATGTCCTGCATATATTCTCCGGAACAATAAATTACCTAAGAAACGTAATTCCGTGAAGTCGCGGAGTATTTCCCGGGCCCCGCAGTAGTGGTTGATGTGGTAGCCAAATTCATTTCAATCTATGTACTTTTTAAGCTGCCTTAATCTTATTGTTCGATTTAGCACTCCGATTGAGAGCACTAAGTCTAGAACCTTCTTTCTTATAAAATGGACGGACTAACACTGCAAGGTACATGTAGCAACTGAGACTTTGACTTCTGCTCTTGCATAATTCTGCATAGTTCTGCATAATTAAATGTAAACTAAAACACACATAAGGTACTAGAGATTCATCACTTGCAGATCCGGATAAGCATGGGAACTATGTCCTTCCAGTAGTTGTGCTTTTAATATACCCATTGCAAGCTATCATTCGTCTTTTTATTTCTACTTATAATACATATAACTCATTCAAGGAAGAAAACCACCACCCGCTAAACACAAGTTCCTTCTTGTGAAATGCACCTTGTAAACAGGTGTCTTCTTAGTGAAGTAGACCGTCATATGATCTGATGTTGAAACTATTTCCTTTCTTCTATCAGCAGGCTTAGTATGGGCCTTGCCGTCTTTAGAATTCTCACCAACATGATTATTACTTGATTGGCCGTCTCCCTTAGCAGTACCATTAGCTTCTGTGAAATTGGAGCCTGTAGGAGCATCACTAATAAAGGCTTCAGGTGTAGGTCCTTCATCAGCTGTATTCTTTTTCACATCCCAGACTCTAACTGTATTATCTGCACCTCCACTAACTAATACAGCGTTATCTCTTGACCATGCTAAAGAATATATCGAAGATCTTCCATGACCTCTCATTGTTTTCAACCTTCTTCCAGTTCCACAATCCCAAATGTTCACAACTGTATCTTCACCTGCAGAAGCTAACCATCTACCATCAGGAGAAACAGCCATACAGTTAACGGCTCCTGTGTGTCCCATAAATACTCTAACACAGTTACCAGTTTGGACATCCCACATCCGACATGTCTTGTCACTTGAACCTGTGAACACATAGTTAGCATTAGGATGGAAGTCAACGCAATCAACATCATTCACATGACCAGCAAAAATCCGTAACGGATAAATATGATCTGTGGCCCATAATCGAGCCGTTTGGTCTTGGGACGCAGTTGCAAAGTAATGACCAAATGGTGAAAACTTAACGTCCCAAACAGGCAGGTTGTGACCCTTATAAGAAACCAAAGCAGTATATGAATCCAAAGACCATAATCTAACAGTACGGTCTTCGGATGAACTTAAAAGAAATTTGTTGTCAGGTGAAAAAGATAAGCCGTAAACTGGACCACTATGACCAATTAACTTTCTTGTATTGTCTTGATTATGATTATCTCGTTTGAAAACCGATTTCAAGGGCTTTCCATCAATACTCCACAATTTAATGTAACTATCTTGGAACCCCCCGGCAATCATGTTTGAATCTTCATTAAATTCAAGACAGTTCATCTCGTTATTGGTGTTATGAAATGTATACATGCACACAGAGGGAGCACTGGGTTGAATGGTGTCCAACCGTATCTTTAATCGAGAATCTTCAACAGCTAATATTTGTCTTTTAATATCTGAATAGTCCTTTAAGGGTAAGGGAATGGATTCACGGGCAGGTGAGTCTTTATCAGGCTCAGTTAATTCTTTAAACTGTTCAACCAAAGTAATGCCATTAACAGGTTCACTGTTTTCATCTTTGATTTTTAACTCTGCTTCAATTTCCTTGGATACTTCTGGATCTTGTGGTAACTTTCCCAACGATACTGGTTGACTTGAATTAAACTTGTCGACCTCGTTAGTCTTAGATGAAGTATAAAATCCAGGTAACCCTTCGTTGGGGTCGGCTTCACCTTCCAAATTCACTCTGTCGGGTCTCGTAGTATCAATAACAGGGTTTATATACTGGTTGATTATTCTGATTAAAACGTCTCCTCCAACAGCCTCATTTTCATGAAGGAAATATAATAATAAGTTCATCGTAGTTCTTGAAACGTTAATGGTGTATTTGTTATTTCTGTAAGCTTGTGCCAATTCATTTTCCTTCAAATGATCTGGTAAACTGATACCGGCCAATTGTTTGATTTCGTCTCCATGCAATACAATATGATCATCTTGGAAAGTATCCAAAAATTTCTTCAGTTCTGCTATGAAATTCTTAGACACCAATTCCAAAAACCCATGAACAAAAATTGGGTACGTTATACGGATTAATTCTGGCTTGTACAAATCCAAAGATGTATCAACCCATTTTCTTAACATGTTATAACATCGATAAAGTAAATCTCTATCATTTTCCTTTCTTAATTTCTCCTCTTGTTCTTTCAATTCTCGTAATTGATGTTCCTTCGCCAATTTGGCTTCACGGTCTCGCGTATCTCTTAATTCTCTTTCCACGCGCATCTGCTTGTCTTTTAGCTCCTTAATTTCTCGTTCACTCTTGTTCAATTTATCTCTCAAATCCCGTTCTTGCTTGAACATCTCATTGGGTGACGCCAAGGACGTTGTTTGTGGAGTAGGCAATGCCGACGCGGGTGTAGGCATGTTGGAACTCTCCATACGAAGCATCTCTTCAGAACGATGATACCCTTTCTTACTCAAGTAGTCTAAAACAATCTTATTTAAATCAGCTTGACTCATTTGTTGCTGAGGACCTCTGGCACCTGCAGCTGCTGTTCTAGCAGCACCTCCTCCTCCAGGAGCTGTACCACTATTGGTACCACCACTAACTCCGCCTATAGATCTCACTGGAGCTGCTGTGGCCCTGGAACCTCCTGGCCCTGTTGTTGACGATGTTGGTAAGCCACTACCGGTACCCGTGGAAGTACTACCGGCACTTGAGTTGTTATTGGTTGATTCAGAATGCTGACTACCGGGGACCCCGGCACTATTCGGATTCTCAGACATGATCTCGTAATGGATCTGTCGTCAGCTGCAACGGCTTGAAAATAAACAGTCAGTGTTAAAGTTGAAGGTGCACATTTTGTTGAAAGTTTTCACGACTTTTCTTTAGTTGTGAGTGGCTTTGTGTCACTTTTGGATCATGATGTTTAATGTCTGTCTTGAAGGCTAATGATACCTGGGTAAGAGTATTATCCAAGGCAATGGTCTTCAATAACTAATAATAAGCTTATATTCTTTCTAGCAAGATTTTATTGTAATTTTCGGGTAATTTTGAAGCCTTTTTTGCTGGCTCGGATCAACTTGCGGCTTTCGCTTAAGTAAGCTCCAACAAGGTATGGTGTTATACACTGATAGATACCATTTAGGTTGACACTGAGACATTCTAGTCGTAGTCCTAGTGTGCTTATATTGGGTGTTAGGGGTTTGTTGGTGTGGCATTGCATATTTCATGCGGTCTTCTTTGTATGATAACTGCAAGCTCTCTGTCGTGGATATATTTGCACTTTGAGATCATCAGTTCTAAAATTAGAACCTGGATTGGCTCCTTTAGGATGGTGCTTTATAGATGTCTTGAAGACATTTATTATGTGCCATGTACTGACTACGGATAAGGGTCATATAACTCGATGATTTTCGCAGCAATTTGCTTCTTTTGCGTTAATATAAACAATGTCTGATAATGTCGTCAGGATAATTGAACTAGTATACAGATATTACGATTGGAAAACTACGACATTTCTGATCTAAGTATTGGTTTTGCAGGATCCCATGGGCCTTGTAGCTCATTCTTATATCGTTGTAAGCTGAGAAAGTACATTGGCAACACAAATGCTACACCCAATTGAGCGGCCCCTATCACCAAAACCAATTTGGAACCATCAGTCCATCCAAAACATCGGATCATGTTGAATATCCATCCGAACTCAACCATGCCAAACAAGAAATAATGCAGAACGAACCGATGATGTTTCCTCAAGTGAAAATCAAATATTGGAATTAGAATGTTGGTTTGAATGCATGTCAAGATAAAACAAAACACATGCAAGGAGCCATCAAGTCTCGAGGCCAACACGATGGCATTGGAAAGCAAAAGATTCGTCAGGACCACCGGCCTGTAGTTTGAGCCAGGATCCATAGCATAATCATGAAACAACACATTGGTTAAACATAGTAGAAACGATACTGCCCAAATAGAATCATCATCTGTTGATTTACTCAATGATTTGAGAACCGGGGAAAGAAGTAAAAGTATGAAGATGAAAAGAATGTACGACTTCAATATGGACCTGGTTCCGGTTCCGGCTCCGGTCCCGGTTCCAGTAGTAGAACCTTGCTTTTTGCTAGTTGTTAGAAGAAGGTAGCCATACCCGATAGCAGCAAAGGCACACGATACCAAAGTGGGTACCAAAGAGTCCAAATTGCTCTTGTGATAACCTATGAACAACGTGATTGTAAGGAGTAAATTGGATATGTGCATGTCAATCAACAGAAAGTCAAAACATAGCTTCCCATAGGGATATGGAGTCACAGTGGTGTTTCGTTTCAATTGACTAAGAAACGTTTCGTTGGTGTAGTTATCAGGATAAGGCTGAGATAAATAAAGTAGCTTTCTCCATGGTTTGGGTTCGGTCATCGTTAGAACAGACGCTGTGATTGCGCTAGAATTGGGTGAATCATGGGTTACGTTGAATCATATGAAATGGTAGTTGTATGCTTGAACAAAAAGCTTCGGTATACTTCTGAGCCCAAGGTCGTGCACTAACTAATAAAATGTAATACACTGAGCCTCAGCTAAAAATATGGCTCTAACGCATGTGCCACCAGGCTTGATGGTACTGTGACCTAAGCATAGTTAATCCGAACCTGGTAATTCCGAACTTAGTAATATACTTCTTTACAGTTATATCTCCGGCGCTTTTAGCCTATAAAATTGCTGCGGTAGTATTAAGGCATGTCTCGTTTATATCCCTTTGGTAGTAATCCAGGAAGCGGGAGAAACTCCATCTACTCCCAATCAGGATACTATAATGCAGTCAATAGTCGTCGTGGCAGTTATACTCATACACGAGATGAAAGCCAAGTATCATATGATTTTGGAGCAGGCTCTAAAGATAGAAGAGAAGGCACGGGGACTGTCACAGATGATGTGCTCAGTCTAACAAGTACGTTAGATAGAATACGAACAGCTAAACCGAATGCCACATATGCTGATAATCTATGGACACAAATCGATGTGTTGGATGATGTGAAACATATGAGTGACGAGGTTCGTAGTAAGGGCACTTTTTTCAATGATAAGTTCACCGAAGAGTTGGCTCAATTAAAGAAGACCCAAAACAGGTTGATAGAGACTATGATAGCCGAAAACGACAAGGGAATAGATTTGACAGGAAGTTCACGACCTGCAGGAGTTCCAGCCACTGGTGATATAAATGCTGATTCAGGAGATAACATAGAGGATTTCTTTAATGGTAATTTACGTGAACAACAAGAGTTACTTCATCGCCGACATAACTTTGATGGCATTAAAAGGTTTGTGGACGATGTAGAAGACCATTTGGCCAGTGTGGGGAAGGCCATGCGTGAATTTGATGACAGCACAAAAGATCATTGGTGAACATCAATAATAGATAAAGTTTGTTATATTAGTTTTAGATTGAATGATAATTTAGTATTCTGGATCCCACTAATTTTTCCGAACACAAGTTGTCCCTGTTAACTGCATCGTTCCACATTCATTCAATCTGGGGGAGTCTGGAGAAGTAACTGTATCCCCACTTTTCCTTCACAACTGCATGAATATTGCAATTACAAAAGTGTTGCTTCAGGTTATGTCCGTCTGGAATAATATTGAATGTTCCAAATCCGGAACAAGGTCACTTGGGCGACGATATAGTATTGTATATAGTGGAATATTTAACGTCAGGACGTAAGAAACGTGACACCGATCCATTATTGTTCCTAATGCCGGTCAACCTGGTTGTTCCGGCGCCGTGCCCCACCAATAAAAATATCAGGCTCGCTAGTATAATCATCCGACATTGACACCTGTACATAAGCAATAAATAATCCGAAAGTCAATACGAGAATAAACAAAAGCTGGGTGGGACGACACAAATGAACGACAAAGTAAGTGTTTCACCAAAGAAAAGCGATCAACAATTTTATGCTGGAGTCTATTATCATTTACGTAAAAAAAAAGGTAGTGTGCTTATGATGAGTAAAATAAATCGAATAATTCAGCATTTCAATAAAAGAAATTATTGTGTCAGATGTATTGAAATAATCCGTTGGGTGATAATTCAAAGCCTTTCAAATTATCGGAAAAACCATGATTAATTCGGAGGCAAATGAGTTGAGGCTGATTTAAATTCCCCCACGTAGTTTCTCCATGTTGTCCCCATACCTCTCCAGACTTTTTTTTTTGCGCAGGCTGCACACAGTTGGTATGAGCAAGATCACTGACTCCGGTCATGCAGGCGCATTGAAAAAAGAGGAGTTAAAACCAAATTACAGCCAAACTACACAAAGCTTTTCAGACAAATAATAGGCACTCACACAAGACATGTAATAGAGACCGCTTCAAACAGACCCGCTCTGAGAGAAATTAGCAATATGGTGATAGTCTTTCCCTCAGCTAATATTGAAAAGCACACAAGAAAATAAAACTGAAAACAGACCGAACAATAAAATAAAAGTCTAAGAATTAGACACACTTTCCTGTACACAGTGCGCCTGTATATACTCCATGCGATTAAGCGTCCGGTGCATGGGGGCCCGTCAAATGATGTGAAAAAGTATTGGCCATGGATTCGGAGTATAAATAGGAACGGTTTATTCTCTTTTAAAGATCTCTTCTCTTGACATTCCCAATTGGTAATTGACAGCGTCTACAAGTAAAAGTCTTTTTTTGACGCCGATAATTAAATACATTACATACATAATTTAAAACACATACATAATGGTTCATTTGGGTCCAAAAGCTCCCCAACACAGAAAGGGAACCTTCAGTGGTGTTAACGAACAATTACTCGCGGTAATCAAGGAATACGAAGGCTTGTTGACCGTTTCCGGAGAAAAGTTGAGACAGATTGTTGATCACTTTGTCGGAGAGTTGAACAAGGGTTTGTCCAAGGCCGGTGGTAACATTCCTATGATTCCTGGTTGGGTCATGGAATTTCCTACGGGTAAGGAAAAGGGTGATTATCTTGCCATTGATTTGGGTGGAACAAACTTGAGAGTTGTTTTGGTCAAATTGGGTGGTGATAGAACGTTTGATTCTACTCAATCCAAGTACGCTATTCCTGCTGAAATCAGAACTGGTACCAGAGATCAATTATTTGACTTTATTGGTGACTGTTTGAAGAAATTTGTTGATGAATTCTTCCCTGATGGTGTTGAAGGTGAATTACCTTTGGGTTTCACCTTCTCCTACCCCGCATCCCAAGACAAGATCAACCAAGGTGTTTTGCAACAATGGACCAAGGGTTTTGATATTGACGATGTTGAAGGTCATGATGTTGTACCAATCTTGCAAGCCTCTATTGAGAAGTACAATGTTCCAATTCAAGTTGTTGCTTTGATCAACGACACCACTGGAACTTTGGTTTCTTCCATGTACACTGATCCCGAAGCTAAGTTGGGTTTGATTTTCGGTACCGGTGTCAACGGTGCATACTACGATGTCACTGGTGACATTCCAAAGTTGGAAGGTAAGTTGGCAAGCGACATTCCAGCAGACTCTGTCATGGCCATTAACTGTGAATACGGTTCTTTTGATAATGAACATTTGGTGTTACCAAGAACAAAATACGATATCCAAATCGATAAGGAATCTCCAAGACCAGGTAAGCAAAGTTTCGAAAAGATGATTTCCGGTTACTACTTGGGTGAAGTCTTGAGATTGATTTTGCTTGAATTGGCTGAAGAAAAAAAGCTTATATTTGTCAACCAAGATTTGTCTAAATTGAAGAAGGCTTACGTATGGGATGCTTCTATTCCTGCTCGTATTGAAGAAGATCCATTTGAAAACTTGAGTGATACTCAAGATTTGATCTACGGATCAGTTGGTATCCAAACCACCTCTCCTGAACGTAAGGTTATTAGAAGACTTTGTGAATTGATCGGTGACAGATCCGCAAGATTATCCATGTGTGGAATTGGTGCTATCTGTAAAAAGAGAGGTTACAAGACTGCCCATTGTGCTGCTGATGGTTCCGTTTACAACAAGTACCCTGACTTCAAGGTTAGAGCTGCTAGAGCCTTAAGAGAAATCTTCCAATGGTCTGATGAAGTTAAGGAAGACCCCATTATCATTGTTCCAGCTGAAGATGGCTCAGGTGTTGGTGCTGCTGTCATTGCTGCTTTGACCGAACAAAGATTGAAGAAGGGTCTTTCAGTTGGTATCATTGGAGCTTAAACAGTTTGATTCTGACTTTTACTTCTACCAAGCTTTGTTCAATAAATAATTTCCCAGCCAGATCTGCGAGAAACAACCAATTGTTGGATGACATGAAAACAGTTTTCTTTTTTGATACTTTTAGTTTACTACGATTTATAGATTTTAATGATGTTGATGTCTAGAAGTTATTACTGTAGTCGGAACAATCTTTCCATGCGGCTATACGGTTGCGGAAAAACTATACAATTCTTGTCGTGGTATTACGTATGAAATTACGTAATCTTCAAATGTCGTGAAAAATGTCGTACTAACTGATACATTGGAGGCGTGATTTGACATTCAAAATCTGGGGCTGCCTATTCATTCTTACCTTCTAAAGTGTAACCACCATGGAAAGTGCTATTATGATTGAAGAAAAGGAGTCTGTACCTATAAGTACTACGGAATCTCCAGATCCTGTGTATTTGGGGTCTGAATTGGAGGAACTGTCAACACAAGAAATAAACGATGTGATAGTTTTAACTTCTCAGCTCTCGTCAGACGAATTGGTAACCAACGAAGACATAGCTCATACTGAAGCACTCATAGCTGCTAGTGAAAATAGTACGACATTCAATGTCTGGGACATTTTTGTGAAAGGGCTGGTCAATTTGGTCTTGCCTTTTATTAATGGGTTGATGTTAGGGTTTGGAGAGATTTTGGCTCATGAGATTGGGTTCAAATATGGTTGGGTTGGTGCTAGGGTGAAGCCGGCGAAAAGAATGACTGCTAAAGTTGTAGAGCCAATTCCGATTGGAACCAAGGAAGATCCACCACGTCGTTCTAAAAGGGAGTCACAATTCTTATAGGTTAGGAAAAGAAAAGAAAAGAAAAACATATTTAATTAATAAAATGATACCTCAATTGAATGGTAGTACAGTTCATGACGTAAGCACCAGAAATACACTATTACTTAGTCATTTGCCATGTAAGTTTATTAGAAATGACTTCCCATCCTTGACATCTTTGTTATCACGTGTCAAATCACGTGACTGGAAATTTTATGGTCAAGAGTAAAATGATGTTTACAACTGACAGTATCATCATCACCAGTTATTAATATATAAGCCGTCTAATGGAAGATTCATTTTATTTCGGTCTTCTACGAGTGTCAGTGGTGCAGCTTCTTAAAGGATGTGGTTTTGACAAGTGTCTGCCGTCAGTTGTCAATACTCTTACATCGTTATACATTCACTACCACCTGCTTATTATACAGAACGTTATAACCAACCGTGAGTTAAAGCAGACTTCTGAATACAGCATAGATGATGTTACGAGGGCGCTATTGGATGCTGGATTGATAAAGTACGATTTTGGGGAGAGTATCTTGAGCAAGCGACCATTACTCAATATTGGTGATAGTAATAAGTATGTGACCAAATCTGTTGATGCCTTTAGACAATGGCTAGACTATAGTGATACGTTTGAAGTGTCCAAGAGATTGACTCTGATTCCCGATGAGATGCTTAAGAATTTGATGGATAAAAGAAGAATAGACGGAGATGATGGAGATGAAAAACGACGTAAAAAGAGAAAGGAACGACAAGCAGCTGGTTCGTTTGTGCTGTTTAAACAGGGAGAGAGTGGCGTTGGAGACGGCGACGTTGACGGCGACGACGAATTAGAATTAGAACCAGAAGATCAAATGCCATGGTTGAATTATATGATGGAGAAAGATATAAAGTTGGGACAAGATTATAAGTACATTGATACTGTTTTATTCCCCCAATTTGAGCAATATTTGAGTAATTCCAAGTATCACCCATTGACGGCACGTAATTTGGACAAGTATTATGCCCATGTGAATAAGATTAATGAAGATGATTACATTGCTGCAGATATTGAAGATGAAGACGATGAGAATGTCCAACCAGCAGCAAATACACCGGCTGCAACAGCAGCAACCACAAGCGGCGGACCAATAATACCAACAAAGGTTGGAGCGGCTACGGCATCTGGAGGTCGTATTGAACTTTCAGAAGAGTTGATTAAAAACCTACCCTACAATATCCGGTACAATAAGATCTTAGCTGATGATGATATACACAAATATTTATCCGATAAAGGCAAAGCCCCAGAGGAATCAGAAGAAGGCTTCGACGAAGAGCATTATGAAGAGGATAATAATGTAATGGTTTTGGATCAAGTGGATGTAACTCAATTGAATGACGAAGGTATTGGAGGAGATAATAATTTACTCTTTATGTGACGTCGTGTCCGGGTAACCCCATTTGCGAAGATTAATTTTACTACAATAGGAAACCATTATATTTATAGGGGTACTATTCGTGTATGCAATGAGGAGCAATTGGCGAAACACTGGTTGCAATAGACAATAGTATGCATACAGTAGAGGTAAAGGTATAAAGAAATTTCATCACATAGGTAAGCCAAAGTGGGATCATTTAAGTGTTATCATTATAGCAGTACAGCTATAATTAGATTCAACATTATCAGTCAATCGGAACTTTTATCTCAATTGTACGACACATTATTAACGCATTAATTATACTACACATTATCTATGCATACGCATTATCTACGCATACGCATTAACTACGCATACGCATTAACTACGCACGGAACTCAACTTCAGCGTCGTCGCAACATTGCACCTAGTGTCTTGGTACTACTGTACACCGTAACGTGTACCCTTACTTAAAACCATCATCTTAATCCCGTAAGTTTCCGAGGCGCACACGACTCTATATTGCGACCCGACCAAACCTTAATTTTACCCAATATAATTGATGATAATCTCTTCCTGTTGTCTCCACTTCATATACCATTCCTTATTCACACAATACAATTGTTACAGGTCACATTTTGCACACACATACATAAAAGTATTTGTTAACCATTACTGTGAGTCTTAGTCGTCGTCGTTTCAGTGTTCGTAGTCTTCCGCGTCAGAATTATCCGTCCGTGTGAGTACTAAGTCTGCCAGTGGTCCATCCAATAAGAGACATTTCCATTCTGTTATAGCAGAACGCTGTTGATTGGAATACGGCGTATCACATCCAAACGCGTCTCTGATTTTATGGCTGTTGATTTGTTTGCCTGTCCAGTTGCCATTTAAGATATACATAACCTCCTCAAGGAACGCGTCCGTCCGTTGCCGCTAACAAAAGCTCCCTTCAGTCAAACCATGTTCAATAGTAAGAATTTGACTTTGAAATTGAACAAGTCATTACAAAACCTTGTTATGGACTCTCCGGCTACTCCGCTGGAACAAACCCTAAAAACTCCTATAGACACCCCCCTTAATCCTCAAGCTACAACCAATTATTTCCAGGTTGGGGCTGGTGCAAACCAACATCATAATAATAATGGTATTGGAATGAATCCCCTGTTCAACCTGTCAACATCCTCATTTGTCACCACTGGATTCCCCCACCCCCCACCCATAGTGGGGGACGGCCATTCAATCTATAATAATCCTCATTATAGTCAAAGTGATGATGTCTTAACAGACATAGATGAACCGTATATGTCCTCAACCAATAGTTCCGGATCGGCATCGGGCGGCTATCTGCCCAAAGTGTATTCGCTCCTGTTCAATTCCAAATTCGACCAATTGCTTTTCGGTATTTATAACAACATCTTATCGTTACCTACAACCACTCCATTCTCAGGAAATATCCCCCCCAGTGGATTGACATCAAAAGTCGCACATGAATGTCTCACGAAACTTATGAATACTCCAAATGTCTCGTTTGATCTTCACAATGTCATCAATACGGATTCGTTAAGAAATTACAATTATCAACCCATTTTTTTACATTTAATCCGGAAACGGTTGGTGGAATTGTGTACGTTTTCCATTGCTGATCCAAAGTTACCAACTTTAACGACTATCACCATTAACTATGGTTTGAATGGGAACAATTCCAACAATACCAATAATAACCCGTACTCAACATATTCCAATAATAGACAACTGTCTATTTCCAATTTACCCTTGACTGAGTTGGCCACCAATACACATAACTCGTCAATTCAAGGTCAGCAAGAATCAAGATCAAGATCTTCAAGTTTACGGAAACATACTCTTTCCCGGAACAATTCTTATTCTTCTAATTCATGGTTGCATGTTGGGAACATCTCCAACGTTCGGAATAATCACTTTAATGCGTCCACTGATTCTCTTCTGTCCATTAATGATTTCCACCCACTGTACGTACTTAATCGTCCAGCTGCAGGTTCAGTTGGGGGACAACCACCACAAGGATCTCAAAATGGATTAGATCTTCAACCTCCTTCATTTTCAGCTGCTGATTTCCATACACCTCCAAATTCCCAAAAGGGCTCCATCACTGAGATCACGCCCCCTCCAACACATACAAATAATATGAATGGATTTGGAACGAAGAATCCTCTGATATCTTCAACAAATTCAATGGCATGTGATCTTGAAGAGTTCAATTTTTATTCAAAACCAAAATCAAATACACTGCCTTCAAGACCAAACAATTTACCATTCCCAACTTTAACCATTAACGTTAATGGTGATAGTAAAATGGCACCCCCACACTTTCCTACAAACACACTTGATTCACCCTTTTTATCATCTTCCAATTCAATGGATGGAGGCTTTTCACCTTATTCTGCTCATTCTCCTCTTGCTAATGGGTTTATGATCAACCCACTACTGCAACAATCATCTTCCATCCCACCTTCACCAGTGTCTGGAATGTCACAAATGGCATTGGATTCTCCGGGGGGGCCCACAGATGTTCCGCCGACATTCAATATTGCATCGAAGGTTAGTTTATCCGAGAAGAAACGGGATTCTTTGAAATTAAAACGTGGAATCCATTGATACCCAAAAGTTTTGTATTATTTTCAACCCATTCCCTTATTGAAAGTTGTACTTTTGTTTTCTATGATTTATTATTAGTTTTTTTTATATGTCTATGCTTCTTTTCTTTCATAGCTTAATTAAAAAATAGAGTATCATTGACTGTAGATTACTACTATCTTGGAAAATGTCTGCAGTTTAATACTTGGTGTTAGGGTGTATCCATTCAAAAATGATTCTATTGAAACGCGACATTCTTACACGTACCTCCCATTTGTCTTCCTAGTCAATGAAATCAATTACATTAATCCGAAGGTTACATACGGAATCTGCAGACACTATCATCAAAAAGTTCACCACACCAACCACGACAAAGCAAAAAACCAAACGGAAACCATCAAGAGTCTCACAATCCATAGTAAACTTATATGGTAACCTTAATTCCGACATCAACCAATATTTACCTGTAACCAATGATTCAGGCTTCAGTCCCTTTCAATTCCACTCTACTTATAACGATGACAAGTCATATATAACGTCGCCACGACTTCTGGTGACGAAGATGCTTGTTGATCAATGGTGTCAGCTTCGAGAGTTTTATCGAATTTTTGCCAACTCACCAAGGGTCCCCCCCACGCGACTGATGAAATTAGGAACAGATGAGCACACTCGTTTAGAACTTAGTTCACATCCCACAGTACTTGTTGAGCCACCAACGTTAACCATGGACCCAATTGATGTGCCCTACTTGTATGAAGCATACGCTAAGGAAAGTGAAATAGCAGAGAATATCAGTGAGAGTATCTTGTATCGACTTTACAATTTATTTGTCACCAGTGAGGCTCGAGAGATTCGAGTACATGGTTATGTTAACTTGCAGAGCCTGGAACTTGAATCTTTCAGACAAACGTCAGACTCAACTCTCATTAATGGAATAATAGATTTGATTGAGTTGAAGGATAAGCATAACCCTGAAACGGACTTTAGCATGATACACGATATTGAACAATATTTGCCGACATTTAATATCCCCATTATGGAGACATATACTGAAGATAGGGATCAACAACAAGGTATTATTGTTCCGGATTCGGAGACCTCGGATAAATTCACATTGACGACATTTCTTGATCAATTGACACAATTATTACCCTATTATAGTGATTCAATGGAGCTCATAATTGGAGATATAAAAACCCGTTCTGTTCAATCAATTCCACGTCAGCAAAGTGTAATAGAATCCGCCAAATTCCAAGTGTTTTACTATCATCAATTTCTAACCATCTTGGCCACTTCAGGTAACAGTTACCGATCGTTGGTAGATAGTTGGCAATTACGCAATGTGGATCTCGATGTCCCCATCAACTATAAGACGATGTTCATGTTGCTCAAGAAATATGGACCACTTTTATTTGATGATATGATTAAACTTTCCAAGGGAGTATCCTTAGGAATGGACCAATTTGATGAATTCATTATAAATAATCCTACTACCAAGAGTACTGTGGTTTATGACCCAAGTGAATGTTTCGCTGAACACAAGTCCAGCCATCCCCTATTAAGACCGTGGGTAAATCCTCCAACACTAAGATACTTGCTTGCAAGATGCTCACAAATGTATCAAGTCTTGGGCCCATTCATATCACCTAAATGTAAAGTGGAATACCGCAATGGCCATACCCACAAAGTCATAGCCACCAATGAATATGAGTTTGATTCCAATGAGTTCAAAGCCCAAATCCACAAAGCCTCAAGCTTTTGGAATGGGTCCCAAAATCCAAAAATCAATCAAGATATCTCTAAGTGCAAGTATTGTGAGTTCAAAGCTCATTGTCCCGTACCTCATCATCAAGTACATAATGATACAGGTGATGGAATACAACCACCACCTAAAAAATTAGGGGATTTAGTATACCATGAGTTTCTACATGTTCAAATGTGATATATCATCAAAGGAGGTTAATTCATTATTTTACTTCATTAACTCCTCTGCAGATATGCCTAGAGGTTACTCTACGGGATTCGTTTACCAAGCACATCTTCAACAGATTGTTTATGTCCGTAGTGGCATGTACTCGGAGATAAAGTCCCTTGAAGAAGAAGAAGTAGAAGAGTGCAGAATGTTTATACTGGGGAGAATTTTTCGCTCTATATATATATGAGAATAGAGGGGTTACCCGGACACGAAATACTGGTAGTAGATTAATGTACACATTATGCGTGTAATAATTATATTACGTATGTAATGGATTGTGTGATGATATGATCATATATTATACCTTATGTGTAGCTGGTGTATGTGTGTACTACGTAAAAGTTGTAGTTGGTATAGTATGGCAAATCACGTGACACGTGACACATGATTATTACCCACGCTACCAAATCCTTCCTTAAAAAAGGTATAGTCAACTTGTAAATTCAGGCAACTACATTTCACTTGATGTCCAAGCTTCTTCTTCTTCTTCTTTTTCATTTTCGTTTGCTACTCTAATGCTATGTCATTCATAAAGGATCCATTGGTTCTGTCCCCTGGTCCACGCAATAACAAATACGTTGACTCGCACACTATTGACTTGTATAATGCTGTGTCTGATAAGGAAGATAGTGGTACCGTCAGTTTGTACCAACGAATCAGCAACAAGATACAATTCTTATTTAAGCAGCGGTTCATGAGAAATGAAGCAGAAGAAAAGGACAAAGTCAACGAACAAGTCATCGAACAGGGAGGAAAGGAAAAGGAAGACAGAGATGATGAAATAGTGGGAGAAGAAGCTGATGCCAATTTCCACCCAAAAGGTCAATCCACGTTTACAGAAGAGATGGATGCTGATGCCAGCTTAATGATCTTAGATGTGATAGAAACCAATTTCAACCACCAGAACCAAACATTAAACAAATATATTGATCAAATCCATAAAGCAAATCAACAAGACAACACCCGAACACCAGACAGTAAGCACAAAGACCACAACGATAACACCGAACAATATGGTCTTAGTTTATTACCTTCACAATTCCTTAAAGATTTGACCTCAGAATCGACAACGTATTCCTTTGGTCAATTGAATCTTGACAATGATCATAGGCCCAACCTTTTCGACATTGATGTCCATAACCTAACAACCGCTAAAAGTAGTGATAATGAAGATACTTACAAGCAAATTGTATTGCAACATTATATCCCTAGTGTTCCTCCTCCAGACAGATACTCCTTTGTTGATGAACTCTTTAAGTCGTATAATCAGGATGACATCACTGCTGAATATCGGAGACAGAAACAAGATCGTCAACATAAAATAACCCAAGAAAGAATCTCCAAAGTGTCTCAGATTCAAGACCTATCTTCCCAAGCACTATCCATTGTGAACAAACATTGGAGTTCCAATTCTTCCTCTGTGGTGGTATCAAATTATCTGATTGATATTTCCGCTCGAGATCTTCAAACCTTGAACTATGGACGATGGCTCAATGATAATATCATTGATTACTATTTCAACATGATCACCAAAGACTTACCCTCGGTATACGGTTGGACAACTCATTTCTTCACCACATTACAAGACAAGGGATATCAGGGAGTTGCCAGATGGGCCAAAAGAAGAAGAATCGATGTGACACTGAAGGATTTGATCTTGATACCAATAAACATCATGCTGACTCATTGGGCCCTTGCAACTGTCAATAATAAGTTGAAGAAGTTCCAATATTACGATTCCTTAACTTCAAGGGGGAATATACCAGCATTGAAATTAATTCGAGAATATATGATTCAAGAAGGTCAAAGATTGGCATCCAACATTGACTTTATGTCTTATGAAATGAATCCTAATCTTGAAACTCCTCAACAACGTAATGGGTTTGATTGTGGAGTCTTTACTTGCACTTGTGCCAAATTTGTTGCATTCAATAAACCATTAACTTACGGTCAAAAGGATATGAAGACTCTTCGGCGAAGAATGGCATTTGAAATCATTGAAAACAAGCTCCTAGATAAGTAATCACATCACTTCACCTCAGAACAACTTTAAAGAGAATCTTGATGATGAAGATGAAGCTTTGCAAGAAGCATCAGGGTCCAAGGCAAGAACGTCTTTGTATTCCTTTTCTAAACTTACCAATTTGTCTGTTGAAGCATCAAGCTTATCACTCAAATAATTAACACGGGTACCGAAGTTGGAAAACCCTCGTAATTTGGTCAATTCGTCTTCGATTTTGGCAACTTTAGCATTCTCAAAAGACATTAAGTTAGTGATAAATTCAGATTCATACAACTTGTACAGTGAAACATCATCAACCAAACTTGAAAAAGCAGACTTGAAAAGTGGACGTCCAATATGAATTTTCACTAAAACACCCTTGTCTCTTTCCAAAGTAATAAGATCAAACTTCTCCAAGGCAGATAGGGTTGCAATACTGGAATTGGGATTCTTAAAGAATGGACTACTCATGATTTCTCCAAATTCAATTGTATCGTTTTTAGCAAGCTTCTTCACCAAATACCATACTTGTGAAGTTGTCCATGTATTATCCGGGTTTACCTCTTGATTGGCATTTAAGAAGAAGGTTGTCACTTGCTCTGCAGCTTGGGTAACCATTTCATCAAGTGCCACATCTGGTGATTCTCCGGAATTAAGACGGCGGACATAAGCTTGTAAATCAAGCATTCTACCTCCCAAAGGTTCAACACAATCTTCCACAATATCTGGATTAACCAAGTTCTTCCCCTTCAATTGGTTCATTACAAACAGTTTAGCACTGGTGGAAGAAGCATCACTTAAAGTAATGGTCTTGAACACATTATTGGGTAAATAGGTGTTTAATCTCAGTACACTTCCAATATCACTGGTGATGAAAATAACATGAGCTAAATTTCCTTGAATCAACAGAGCACTCCATTCAGAAATCATGTTATAGATATAATCATTATCTTTGTTTGCAGATTTACCATGGAATCTGTTGATAACAATAATTGGTTTGACTTCAGGGTGCTCTCTAAGGAAAACATCTTCTCTTGAAACATCGAATTCCGGGGCTTTAAGCTCTTCAATAGAGGCTTCAGAACCAACTGGTGCAAGTGCTGGTGATGTTTCTGTTGATGATTGTCTTTTAATTCGTTTCTGCATTCTTTCAACTGCTGATTTATATTTCTTATATTCTTTACCGTTGATGTTTCTGATTGCTTGAGTGGTCAACAGGAACATATTCTTCAATTGAGTCTCTTTCGATTCACTCAACCCGGACTTTTGACCGGTTAACCCTTGAAGACCCAAATCAATGAATTGGGAAATGTTATTGGTCCAAGTAAAGAGTGGGAAATACCCCAATTGACTAGCAGTATTCTTAAGAAGTGCATTTTCAGAGCGAGACTTGACTAAAACATCACAATTGACATAAAGAATCTTTTCCTTTAATTCATTATCTGCTAATAATGTATGATCAAGCACAAACTCTTCCTTCCCAGCCCCCTTTGGACCTCTAACCACTATGAAAGTGTTGATGTTCTCCAAGATCCAGAGTTTCAATTGCTTTGATTTCTCTTCTCTTTCATTCCAAAGTGAACTTGTTTCTTCAACCATCACAGGAGTACCAGCTCTAGTAACAGATTTTTCTGTGACTTCATCACATTGCACTCCAAGCTTACGTTCAACATGTTTTTCAATGTAGTCATATCCTTCGTCAAGCCAGTTGGACAACACATAATAAGGCCACAAAAGTAGTCTGACAACATAAGTATCCTTATAGTTTCGCAAGGAGTATCTATGGGTGATCTTAGTCTCGATAAAGAACTCCCTTATAGGGTCAAAGATTAGCACCGCAAACGTTGCTAAGAGAGCCAAAATAATAGGGATGGAAATCCGTTGATGGTTAACAATGGCATCTCTAATCCAACTAACCTTTTTCATAGGTATGAATTGAATATGAAGAACGGTTTTACCCTTGTTTAATGATAACCCCGTAAGACAATTCTTAGCAGAGATCGCCGGTCTTACTCGAGTGAAAATGACTTTAGCAAATCCATCAGTGGCTGAGAACGGAACAATTTCCTGGATTGCCCCGTATCTTCTGAACAAAAGAAACAATTCTTCTTCAGTAAGGGAGGGTCCTTCAAACTTTACTTTCAATTGACTACTGGGGATTCTTCTTAAATCTTCAATCCAGGGGGTACCTTTCACGGGGAACGTCGTGGGAGATTTACTCCAAAACAACCCATTGACTCTGGCCCAGATACCCTTGGAGTTCTTCTCTTCATTGACCTTGATATTCAGCTGGATCATCCCCAAAAGCTCATCACCAGTGGTTCCTGGAGGGACGTTGAATTTGGCAAAAGCACCTCCGTCTCTTTTGAAAGGGATGAACTCCAAAATCTTGGTGCCCTGAGGTAAAGGGTTCTTCAGCGTATTGGAGATCTCCCAAAGTTTAGACTCTTGTGTCTTATCATCAAATGGCCCTCGGAATCCAGCCCATGCCAATTTGACGATGTGCTTGACAAACGTATTGGAAATCGATAAAGGATACCGGTCGTTAAAGTACACCAAGATCTCTCTTTGTTTCTGAAGATCAATGACTCCAGTGACTCCAGCAGAATTGTCGGCTTCCCCTGAATCGGTGGCTCTTTTTAAGTTCTCTATTTCTGACGAGTAGCATCTTGTCACAGGACCAGCGAAAGCAGCTCTGTTGAGTCTGAATGTCCTCAGCACAGCCGAGTGTCCAGTTCTACGTATCATTGACGGTGAATGGAACTTGTGGACAGAAAGAAACAGTGCTTGATTTAGGGGGGCAATAGTCCAACAGCAAGCTTTAATAGTTTATGTGTGACCGGAAATGCGGTCGGAAAGAGACCTGAAAATACCCCGGAATTCAATCTCGGAAGTACACTTGGTAAGTACACTTGGTAAAAAATGATATACTCCAGTTACATAGTATTGTTCTTGCTTTTCAGCATAGGTTTTACAGTGTACATGTACCAGTCTAATTATCCTGACAGCGACAGCTGCCAGTTCCATCCTCATAGCGTAACGATATTTCCTTGTGTTACTGGAGAATAGAAGCCAAATTAGCGGTGGACGTTTCGTTCTAGGCTTCGCTTTGAATCCCCATACCACCGAAGAAATAGGTATAGGGATCTTCGAAGAGGCCATCTTTGGTCTACATCGGTTTGGTAAAGATGTGAATCGTTTATTATGGTATACTCGGTTCAAAGAGGAAAAGAGCAAGAGTGGTAAAGAAAAAAATTTCAGTGTGCCTCTTTTAAAGTGGTGATGATCCCGGTTCAATGTGCGGGTAACCCCAGGCTACTAAGTACAAATATATTACTATATAAATTAATCTACATTGGAGGAGATAACTCCATTCTTAATGAAATCTGAAGTCTTCAATGGTCTCACGGGAAGCTCTTCAACATCACATGTGAGCTTTCCTTCCTTATAGTCGTAGTGTTCCCGAATATATTCTCTTACTGGCAATATAGCTGCTTCACGACACATTTCTCTCAAGTCCGAGCCACTAAATCCTTGAGTTTGTTCCACAATATATTCCAAATCAAATTCATATTCATCAAGTTTGGAATCTTTAAGAATTTTGGTTAGTATTGATCTTCTTTGTCCAGAATTTGGTTTTCCTATAGCAAACGTTTTAGGCATTCTTCTTAAAAATGCTTCATCAATATCATTCTTTCTATTGGTAGCCCCTAACACCATCACTCTTCCATTGGATCTTAAACCATCCCATAAAGTCATGAATTCTGCCTTCAACATAGCACTAACTTCATGGTCTGATGATGACCGGTCTCTTAAAAACGAATCAATCTCATCAATAAACACAATACATGGTTGTAACTTATTTGCAAGCGAGAATATGGCATCAGTGATCTTATTGGATTCTCCATACCATTTATCCATAACGGTGGACATTCTAATCAGAAGAAAGAATGCTCCACTCTCTTTAGCAATGGCTTTAGCCAACATGGTCTTACCACATCCTGGAGGTCCATAGAATAAAACACCTTTGGGGGATCGTATCAAGTCCAGATGAACTTCAAACAATTCAGGCGTGGTTAATGGTAAGATAACAGCTTCTCTTAGTTCATCAACAATGTCTTGTAATCCTCCAATGTCGTCAAAAGTAACACTGATTTCTTCAGGTGTAACAAGTGAACTCAATAAAGCTTTTTCGTATTGATTGAAGTTGACCTCCTTCAAATGAGGATTCCCTACTTGTAACCGTTTCAAGATCCCCTTCAGTTTCTTTTCGTTATCTTTGTTCTTAACAGTGCTATCCACATAATCATTGAGTAAACTGTGTACAATGTAATACATGGAGAGACCAGCACCGGCAAGGATGAAAATGTCTCCGAGCAACTTCAAGTCCACCTTAAACTTCCCTATATCAATCTTAAATCTATTCATGTTGTCTGTAGTTGGAAGAAGAAAATTATAATTGATCTTGTTGCACATATGACCCTCGGTATACCATTCCTTATTTATGCTTGAAGGCAACTATTACGTAAGCTATGCTGATTACGTAATCAATTCCTCAAGATTAGGTAAGCGGGCTCATCTTCATTCTTGCGATGGGCATATTGATACGCATCTATAATAGTCTCCACTATCCACAATTCAATGCATAATTATCGACTCCAATGAGTAGAGGGAACGGTGATAATGATAAACATGGGATCCGAATTCCGGGGGTCATGTTAGACCGGATTAAAAGGGAAGATGGTGAAGAGGAAGACTCGAGATTTCAGCCAACCTCATCTCATAATGGGAAGAAGAGAAAGCAAGGTCCAACATTATCACGGAAGGAGAAGAGGAAACAAGAAAGAGAGTCAAAGAAACAAAAAAGAAGTCAGGGTAAACAAAAGTCTCTAGTTACCCCAACGAAAGGAAGGGGCTCTGCTGAAGTGTTAAATAAGAAGACATTGGTAAAGAAGACATCTGTGACGACATCAGGGAAAAAGTCTGTAAAGTTTGAAGATGAAGACCATGAAGACAACCACGAAGAAGACCCCTTGGCCCAATTGGCAAAGTTAAAGACTAAAAAGAACGCCAATGGTATCAGAGTTGTTAAACAGAGTGAATTGGATGTTGAAGATTTTGAAGTTGACAGTGAAGACTTTGGTGACGATTTCGATGAAGACTTTGATGACAGCTTTAATGACGGCGATGATGCTTCAGATCCTTTGACTGCACTAGCTAATTTAAAAGGTAAGAAGTCCAGTGCTGAAGTCCGAATTGTTAAGGAAGGTGATATTTCAGATAATAGTTCTAAGGATGGCGTTGAAGATTCAATGGATGGTTTTGATGACGAATATGACAATACTTCTGATCCTTTGGCATTACTTGCTGCAATGAAGAAGGGTAAGAAATCAAGTTCAGAAGATGTTAGAGTCGTTAAAGAGGAAGACTTGGACGATGACTCACTTGATGAAGATGATTCTGTTAATAGTGATTCCATGGATGATAAAGAAGGTGACTCTGATTTTGAAGGATTTGGAAGCAATGATGAAACTGAAGCCAACCCACTCGAACAGTTGAAGAAACTCAAGGAGCAAAAGAATACTAAACCCAAGAAACAAGATGCAGTCAAGTTTGAAATAACTCCGGATCAAAGGGAGTTGATGAGACGAGATGAAGACGATATGGAATATTATGCAAAGAAACTTGGTCTCAAAAAAGGGAAGAAAGATACTTTGAAGAAAATTGATGACGATGATATTCTTGGTGGGTTGCTTGATGGGTTAGACTTTGACTATCTTGAATATGATGAAGCTGAAGATGAACAAAAAGAACAGGATGAACTGCTTGATGAAGAGGATGAACTGCTTGACGATGATGATGACGATGACACTCGTAGAGTCAAAGAGAATCCGTATGTGGCACCTTCACAAGATGGTAACTCAGCAGAAACCGATGAGGACGGAAGTTCTGCCCGTTCCAGATACATACCGCCTGCACTTCGGCGGAAAATGGCATTAGAAGGGCAAGGTGACAGTGAAGAAGTTATCCAACTAAAAAAAGCCATTAAAGGTCCTTTAAATAAACTTTCAGAGGCTAACCTTGCAAATGTAATTGGCGATATTAATGCCTTGTATTTATCCAACCCAAGACAAACCGTCAACGAGATCCTAACTGCTGCCATCTTAGACAGTATCATCCTGCAATCCAGATTATTGGACATGTTTGTATATCTACAGGCTGCACTTATAGCCAGTATCACCAAACTACAGGGAGTTGACTTTGGAGCCTATTTCATCCAGACCATAGTTGAAAAGTATGATTTGACCAAAACAGACTCTTCTAAAACAAAGGAGACTCTAAACTTGATTTCCCTCTTATCATCGGTGTTTATGTTCCAGGTGATTCTGTCGAGATTGCTCTACGACATCATCAAGGAATTGATTGAACAGTTGGACGAACGGAATGCCGAACTCTTGCTCAAGATATTGAGAGTGGCAGGGACACAAATGAGATCTGATGACCCCACGGCACTAAAAGAGATCATCTTACTTATCAATAAGAAACAGGCACTGATGAATGATGACATTTCCACTAGAACATCGTTCCTTCTTGAAACCATCACCAACTTGAAGAACAACAAGTTAAGGACTGACGACAACACCATCAAGTTAATCTCTCGAATCAAGAAGACCATCTCTTCTCTTGGCCATGATTCGGACCCCATCCAAGTCAACGTGGACGACATCAGAAATGTTGACTCCAGAGGTAAATGGTGGTTGGTGGGGTCTGCCTGGAAGGGGCATGTCAACGACAATGTTGCAGCAAAAGATGATACTAACATCAATGAGACTGCAATCAACGATGCCTTGGACTCAGCTGAACCCAATTGGATGGAACTTGCTCGTTCACAGAGAATGAACACCGACATCAGAAGGGCAATCTTCATCTCCATCATGTCGGCGAACGACTTTGTTGATGCTATGACCAAACTCGACAAGCTTGGGTTAAAGAGAGCTCAAGAACGGGAGATCCCTCGGGTCTTGGTCCATTGCACTGGTCTAGAACCGGCCTGGAACCCATACTACGGCATTTTGGCGTCCAAATTGTGTGACAGTCACTCGTACAGAAAGACGTTCCAGTTTATGCTTTGGGATGTGATCAAGGAATATGACACGTCACATGGTGGCAACAACTCTGATAATGAAGACGAAGACTTTTTGGGGTTTGATTATTCAGAAGACGACGAGGACATCAAACTTCGGAGAATTCTTAATTTGGGTAGGTTTTTTGGGTTTTTGTTTGCACGTGGCTCCTTGTCACTACACGTGTTGAGAACAGTCAACTACTTGACTCTTAGTGGTGACAGTCTTTTGTTCCATGAAGTTTTGATGGTGAGTTTCTTGGATAATGTTGCAAAAATGTCGCAGATCAATTCTGTGGGGTCTGGTATCGGAAAAATGTCGTCTTCCTCAGATCAAAGATACTCCGATGCGACATTAATTGATAGACTCTTAAAGGCTAAAGAACAGCCAGCACTCTTACGAGGTTTGCAACGGTTCTTGGAAACCAAAGTGGTCAAGAGTGATGTCATCAATGGGAAGAAGCAAAAGAAACGTATTGAGTGGGGGGTTAGGGCCCTGACAGACATTATTGATGAATTATTACGACACTCCAAAGATAACTTCTGAAAACATGCGACATCATACGTCCTATATTACTTAATCTAGCACTATATATCAATATACACATTAGACTAATTCTAGCACTGCAATGGTTTCCACGTGCTTGGTCTGAGGGAAGAAATCAAACCCTACAACGCTCTTCAATCGATAATTAGGTGCAAGCTTATAAAACATAGCAACATCTCTGGCTTGGGTAAAGACATTGCAGCTAATGTACACTACCAACTTTGGTTGGAACTCTTTGATTTGCTTCAAGAAGGCTTCGTCACTGCCCTTTCTAGACGGGTCCATGATCACCACTGAGTCTTCACCTTTAACATTTGCCGCTACAAAGTCAGGGTTTTTAAACATCTCATGGGCATCTCCAGCAATGAAATGCACTCTGTGTTCTAGACCATTCAACCGGGCATTTCTATTGGCATATTCCACTGGTTCAGTTGCAATTTCAATGCCATAAACCTTCTCAATGACGTTACTATTGGCTAGACTAATTCCAAAGAACCCAGAGCCACAATAAGTATCGATCAAGTACTTGAATTGGCCATCGGCAATTTGAGCCTTGATGTACTCGAGAACCAATGGTAAGATGGAAGCATTGTTCTGGAAGAAATGATGGTTTCTGAATTGGAATACTGTATCATTAATTACTTCAGTTACCCACCCTTTAGGATCTTGCTGACATATTTCTGTTGCTGTGCCACTGTCAAAGTTGATATCAAAACTTCGTCTGAAACAAAGAGCAGACCCTTTTGTAGTACTATCTTTATCATTGAGAATCCTGGCCTTGGTAATTTGAAATGCCTCGTTGATTACTGGCACGGCAATATCACATTGGTCAATGTCAACTGTCCCTTTCCATGAATGAACATTGTTAAATCCAATAGCATCTATTGAAGACGAATGGGGTGTAAGTTTGGTACGATATCCATACTTCAAAGGTGACCCAATAACTTGACCAATAATGCCATCATCATCTAAAGTTAACTCAGGATGGAAATAACTATATGCCTTCTTGATTATATTCCTCTTATATTCAAGTTGATCTTCATACGAAAGCATCTGCAATTGACAACCAGCACATTCTTTGAATTTACCACAGAGCACCAACAGGTCGTTTCTATTGGGTGATTCTACATCGACACTTTCAACTACTCCTTCAATATAATTGGTAAAGTGTCTACGAAGAGATACAGTGACAATATCACCTGGTATAGCTTTGGGGATTATAACAAGTGCATACTCGGAGGAAGTCTCGGCAGAATACTCAGAAGCATAACTGGTATCGGATTTGGATATTATTGCAATACCTTCGCCTTCGGATGTTAAATATATGATCTCTACTTGAGGTATAGTCACTTTAGGTGAGCTTTTGGCATATGCGAATGTTTGGATTAACTGCGTGGAGTTTTGGATTTGATCAATGGTTACACTCAGATTATGTTTGAGGTTATATGTTTCCAAGGCATCTCTTATCTCTAGTTGTCTTATCAGCTCTCGGGAACAACTGCCTAAAGCATCCTTCTTCGAAACGTTGATTTGAAATGGTAGCTGTGATTTCTTCCTATACCGACTTCTTCTAGTGGCATTGAGGTAGCTGGTATTCGCAAAGAATCTCTGTGGTTGGTGTCTGCTTATGCATGTGGTCCCTATACTAGCACGTGATGCTGTCGATAGTATTCGTTGCATGATGAAGAGGGTATATTTGATGTCATCTCATCTCATCGCGGATTTCTCCACAAATCGTATCAGATACGGTCTGTATGCAGTCTATACCGTATAACCATACTTGTAATATGACTTAGTTATAGCAGACCTTAAACAGCGGAGGCCTCGGCATAACTCGTTAGATCCACGGTGAGCGTCTTGGAACTATTCTCTGTTTGGTCTCTATAAATACCAACCAAAGAATCAGAAAGCTCATACAATGAATTCTTCAATGATATAACAATGAATTGAAGTTCAGGACTTGAATACTTCTGAATATAAGAGCCAAGCTTCTCCACATTAGCATTATCTAAAGCAGCATCAACTTCATCCAAGACGAAAAATGGTGAGGGAACATATGATTGAATGGCAAATAATAATGCTAATGCAGCCATAGACTTTTCACCACCAGAAAGTAGTTCCATCTCTTTAAATCTCTTGTTGGGTGGCATAGCATGGTACCTAATACCATGATTATAAGGCTCATCTTCATCTTCTAAAGTCAAATATGCTGAACCCACTGTTTGATTTAATGACCCTGAAGTTGAAGATCTGGTAAGTTCTTCATATATATTGCTAATTCTTTCAGAAACATGTTTGAAAGCCTTCATAAAAAGATCATGTCTTTGTTGCTTAACATCATTGAATCTCTCTAATATTTGGCTCTCTTCGTGTCTAGCATTGGTATAGTCTTTCTCAAATGATAATAACTTCTTCTCGGCATCTTTAAGTCTTTCCACAGCATTTACATTGGGAGTTAATTTCTCCAATTGTTCAATTATATCTTGTTGTCTTGCATTCAATTCACCTTCAATCCGGCTATTGAATGTTCTTTTATATTTGGGTTCCAACATTTCATAATCAATTTCAATTGCATATATCTCTTGAGTCAAGTCTTCGCTATTCTCTCCAAGAGTAATGGATTCAAGTAGCCCCTTCTTCAATGGAATATTCACATTATCTATCTTGCAGTTCTTTAAAAGACTGGCCCTATCCATATCCACATTATTTAACACTTCTTCCATAGACACAATCTTTTTACTTAAACCATTCAACTCAGATTCAACTGCTTGCTTATTACTTTCAAGATGTTTAATGTATTTCATTGATTCCTTAAGTTGTTTATCAACTTTCTTCCGTTCACCTTTATTGACTTCTAATTCGGCTTCAAGATTATCAATTTTATCATAGAGTTGTCTGTTCTCCTCATCTTGCTTCAAGATATCATTCTGTAAATCTTCAATTTCAGTCTCAACAGCTTTCTTTCTATTCGTGGTTTCTTCCAATCTTTCCTCTTCAAACGCAACAGTACTCCTCAATGACATTATAGCTCGGGTGAACTTTGATTTTTCTCTTTCCCGTGTTCTCAAACTTGACCCATATAAGTTCTCATAATCTTCAATAGACTCCAACTTATTATATGTGCAAAAGTCACCATAAACTGTGCTTTGAAGTCGCTTCATTTCCTCCTCAACACCACCAATCTTGGAATCTATTTGTATAATTTCCAATTCTCGTTCTTTGACCTTTTGAACCAATTCCTTTATCGATTGTTTCTCATATTCTGCTTCATCGTATCTTTCTTTGATTATTCTCTTTTGATTTGTTATTTGATTCTTCATGGCCAAAACCTGAGTATCTAGTCCATTGATTTCATCAGCAATTGAATTTATATCCAATTCACGAGGACTTGAACTGTTCAACTTATTTAATTTGGCCATAAGTTCATCCTTTTTGTCAGATAATTTATTCCATTTCCTCTTATCCCAAGTCTTAACAGCTGTTTGCTTCTTATCACTAATACCACCTGACATTAAACCTGATTTGTGGATCACAGAACCATCAAGACACACTAACTTGCTATCAATTGAAGGATATTTAGAACTCCATTTTAACTCTCTTGCCAATACAATATTATCCACCACTAAAGTATTGCCAAATATATAAGCAAATGCGGCTGCCAATGCTTGATCGTACTCAACAATATCAATACATGGTCTAGCTCCATTATGTAAATGTCTTAAGGAATGTAAGTTCAGTGACTCTGTGGTTACTACGGAATCAAGTGGAATAAATGTAGCCACTCCTGACCTTCTATCCTTTAGAATTTCTATGCATTTATGAGCTATTTCTGTGGATTCAACAATAATTGAATCCAGATGTTGGCCTAATGCTACCAGAAGTGCAATATCATCATTCTGTTTGATAGGATGGACCAAATCATAAACTAAACCTTTAACTGCATCATTAGGAAATAATCTCTTTAATAAAAGGACATTTTCTCGTAATCTTTTTTGCTTTTTGGATTCTCTTTCTTCGGAAGATAATTCGTCCATTTCAACCAAAATATCTCTCAATTTGGAATTCAAGGCCAACTCTTCATATTTAGATTCTTCCTTCAGTTGAATTAATTTTGTTCTTTGTTGACTCTTCAATTCTATGGAGGCTTCAGTGGCTTTTAAGTCTTCTTCAGTGGAATTCAATTGGATTTGTAAATCATTTTCAATTATAAATTCCAAATCCGAAAGTCGTTGTTCCCTATTGGTTTTTTGATTGGCGAAACTGTTAATTATTGCTTCCACAGAATCCTTTTCATTGACCAAAACAGCAAACTTTTGCTCAAATTCAGAACCTCCTCGGGCCAAGTATTCGTTTCTCAATTGCTTATACTGTTGATGAGCTTCCAGAGATATACTTTGACTGGTGCTTGAAGTTGATTTTTCCAATTTCCTTATGAAGTCCTTTTGGAAAGCTTCTGTTTCCTTCAATTGTTTCTTAACAACAGCCACTATTCTTTCTTGCTTCACAATATCGGAGCTAAGAATGGTTATTTTAGATTTCAATGCCTTTATTTTGGCTTCAGTGGCCCTTTTATTGGCTTGAAGTGGGATACATTCACGTTTCAAGTCTTCAATTTTCTCTGCCAATGAATCGATATGGTCATCCTCCTTTTTGGCCAGTAATGCAGAATCTGTATATTTAGAAACTTCGTTATTGTAAACCTTTTCTTCTACAGTCAACTGGTGAGTCAACTTTTCAACTTGTTGGTTCATCAGATCCAATTGGTCTACAAGATCAAAATGACGTTTCTCGTTATGGTACGCCTTGTATAAGGCAATGATCTTGATGATATCGAGTTTCTGTTTGATTTTCTCTTCAAAAAGTCGTTGTTCTGACATTTGATTTTCATACTGTTTGGACTCATCTTTGATGACTCTTCTACGGGAAAGGACCTGCAACAACTTCTCATGAGCAACATCATACTCTTGTTTCAAGTCATCGTAGCTTCTGGAAAGTTCATTGGAGCCACTGATGGTCTCAAAAAGTTGACTAAGCTCTCGTGGAGATTGTGAAGCTATCAGCTCAACGTCACCTTGAAACACCAAGAAGTTCCGGGCTTTTATAAGGATGTTTTCGTTCTTTAGCACCGTGGAGTAATGTAACGCAGTGACAATCTGATCATTAATCCGATATTCACTCGTGCCACTAAGTCCGATACTCCGTTGAAGATTCAACAATTCGCCGTCTGACCTCTCATATACACACAACACATGTGCCCGTGTCGGATCGATATCGTCGACATTATCCTCAGAATCGCCAAGATTATTATCAGCTGTTTTCCTGCCTCGGTAGATTAAGTCTTTCAAGTTGGACGACCGTAAGTGAGTCGTCTTGACTCCAAGCACAAACGATATGGCATCCATCATATTGGATTTGCCTGATCCATTGGGGCCAATGATCGACGTGAAACATGACGTCCCAAACCCGATCCGGTTCACACCTCGGTACGACTTGAAGTTGAAGAGTTCGAGCCCAATGATACGTCCCATTGTGGTGAGGGAAGAAGAAGTAGTAGTGACTAAATATGGTGTAAACATTGAAACGCGTCTATATGAGGCATAAGTCATGTGGTATAAATCACGTGACTATCGTCAGGGCGATTTGTTCAAAGGGAATGTTGGTCCGTGTTTTTGAAGATACACAATGGGAAAGACAGGTGGTCGTCCTGATAAGAAAGAATGGCACACTCGCCTCACAGCAGTTACAGTGATGCCCATCTATAGGAGATTAGGACTTGCGCAAGGTCTCTGTGTTCAATTAGAGAAGAAGAGTGTGGGAGGAGCATAAGATAGGAATAATCTTGATGATGAAACCGATGCATTTGATATGAGGTATATGAGATACAGCTTTGAAGCCTCTAAAGCGTAGCAGAAAAGACAAGCACTGCTGTAACCTAATCATATATATAGTTAGCAACTGTGATAATCCAGACCATCTCCTCAAATTCCACTTCAACATCCCCAGAGCCCGGAACTGAGTCCTGTTGTTGCCAAGTTATCACTGGAAATTGTTGTAACTTTAGTATGATATCTACTAGGAGTGTTTGGTGATGTAGTCTACTTTTGTTGAATGTTTGCATGACTTTAAGGCGCCCTGGGTGTACTCATTTGCAAATACATGTTTTGCTCTAGTAAGTCTTCTGCGTATGCTACATACGTACCTTGTTCTCTCTTCTGCTGGCAATTGAACCACGAAGGAATGTTGAGATAATTGAACTCTTCCATCTTTAACTATATCCAGCGCGCAGTATAGCTATAAAGTACAATATGATGGGAAATAGTACAATGTACAGTAACAGGACAACTCTCTGTGAGGAAAACAACATTATAGAAACTCCTATACCAGAAACTCCCAATGAGGAAGACATCCGTATAGAAGAGCCTGAAAGAGTTCTATATCTTGATTTTAATGATTCATTGGAACTTATAGCACCTATACCAGCTTTTGCTTGACGAACCAGACAGTAACAGTGGACCGACATTCATTCAGGCAAAGTACCTTTCTCTTTCTTAGCGTACAAGATCCTTCGTTTCTGACGAACTTGCAGCGAGAGCAAACAGCACCGCAAACTAAGAACAATAACAAGAGACCCGGCACCGCTGCCGCACTGTAGAAAGAGGAAAGATTCAAGAACGCAAAGCAAGTTGACTTCAATGATGCAACGAAACTCATTATATGATAATCAAACTTTGATGCGGCACGAGGATAAAAATGCTTGTTCGCCTACCATCGCTAGACTGCGGTTTCAGTTGGTTTAGTGGGGTTTCCTTCCTTGGGAGTTCTTGATTGTAGCAGAATGGCTTCAATATTTGGTGCGTTTATGCTCGTTTGCCCTGCGGTGCTAAGGCTCAGGATATCACCCAATTCGATATCCTGGCTAGATTCCGATTCAGTCGTCGTCTAGGAGTAATTGAAGCGTGCATATCAACATGTGTACAGTGCTAAATGTCAAGGGCATTGTCAACAATAGTTAAAGGCAAAGAACCTAGAGTGTGCATTTGGATACTGTGATTAAAATAGGCTGCAATCTACATAGATCTCAGACTGCAGACCTAATAAACTAATTTGTGCTCTCTTTGTCTTTCTATCAACTCTTCTTCGTTGGATTCGGTGTTTAACTTTATATTCTGTTGTTCCTAATTTGCATACGTTCAAAAGTGAAATTGACTGTTACTGGCATTCGATTCAGTATAGTTGTACAACGGAAGTGCTATCCCTGCAACCTTCATGGCAATTGGCTCAATAGCAAACGTGTAGTTGACGATTCCTTATCTTCGTGTGCTTCACTGTGATCATCTGCATTATCAGCTGGGTTTGTCTTCTGATACGTGACATTGTTGGTTTCCCAATGCACGGATAATTACTCATTGGGAACTTGCAGTCTGACAGGTCAGTCAAGAACAAATTAGCCACAAGACGAACCCAAGCATATGGAAATAATACGATATCCATAATGAACCAAATTTAGGTCGTAAGATCTCAGATAATTCCAAGCTATTGATTAACGTCACATAAACATATTCCCAATGACATCACCAATCGAGCTGGTGGAACTCTGCAACACAAGTTGCTGATTGGATCCAAAACCAAGTACAGAAATATTCATTCTGTACACCAAGTATCATACCTTCTTAACAAAAGGGCTATGTGGGATAAGCCAGGTCTTGAATCCGAACCTTTACGATTGGGCTCTTCTAAATCAAATTGTTCTGTGCAGTGCAATAAATAACTTACGGTTAGGTTTATGTCTAACAATAGCTGCTACCAAATTAAAACTGGCATTGACGTAATTCGGAATTGGTGGAAGGGCTATCCTTGACAAAGGTCGATAGTACTTCTGGTACAAGTGGTGAAGATGCTTTCCCTTTCTTCAAGGAATGAAAGTCTAATAATTTAAACAAGGGAACAAATCCTTGAAACAATTCAGGCTTCAATAATAAATCTGGGTTTCTGGCGATAGTAGCCTTCAAGATCTCAAAGCAAAACTTTTGTTTGTTGCAATATATTGGGAGTATTTCATTTTTGGGATGAAAACGTTGGAGTTCAATTTCACTAAGAAATGATCTTCAACTTCTTAAACGGGATTAGCTTTAGTAAAAGTCTTAATCTCCAAAACCGATGCTGTTTGGTCGTGTACTTCATAACTCTAATTGGAGAATTCCGGAAGTTGAAGATATGGTAAGTCAGTACTCTATGGCCCACTATTAATATGACTATTGTATTAGGTGTATTCAACCTCCATACATCCCGCGCTACCTTCGTTATCTCCCGCGCTACCTCCTCCCTCCGACATAAATAGCACGGCTCCATTAAATAGGCAAGGCTCCCCACAACCTATACCCCGACACTCTCTCTCTTAGTTCCACTATCAAGCATGAGCTATAACGAGAAAGAACCATTAATTGAACCAATGAAGCAACTCCTGATTGAGCCAGCTTCTGGTTTTGGGGCGTCGTCACTACTTCAAAGTTTAATGGCCTGTTTCCCTGGACTGATAAGCCTAAGTGAAAGTGAAGACGACAACGAATCTGAGACTGACAGTGACAATGAGCAAGAAGAGATCATTAGACGCCGTCAGAATGCCAACAATGTAATTGATATTCAGAACAAGCATTTCATTGGCGAACTGGAACTGAAACTCTCCGCCTTAAGACAACTTATGAAGAAGTACAATATTGGAGTTTACATCATTGGCTCAGAAGACGAACACCAATCGGAATACACTGCTATTTCCGATAAAAGACGACAATATATCTCCGGGTTCACGGGGAGTGCTGGAATCGCTGTAGTCACCTTGGAAGATTCAGCCAAATTAGAAGGTGATGCCATACTTTCAACCGATGGACGATACTTTATTCAAGCTGGCAAGGAGCTTGATCCAAAGCATTGGAAATTGTTGAAACAAGGAGTTAAGGGGTATCCTTCCTGGACGGAATACGCCATTAGTAAAGCCAAAAGTAATCCATTTTCCAAAGTGATATCAACAGATCCTCGGTTAATTAGTGTTAGCATTGGACAGTACTTTGAGAAAGCTGAACAGGTATCGTTTAGACCACTTGAGATCAATTTGGTAGATGAAATATGGGGCTCAAACAAACCACAACGGTCCCAACTGCCCTTATATGAGTTACCATTGGCTTATTCGGGTGAAAGCAGTAACCACAAGTTGACTCAAGTCCGTTCAGTAATGTCTAAATATCATGGAGATTATTTGGTCATTAGTTCATTGGATGAAACTGCTTGGTTGTTCAATTTAAGATGTGATGATGCCGTTCCCTTCAATGCTGTCTTCTTTTCCTATGCCATTGTTTCCCAAGACGAAGTTGTATTGTATGTTGATCTAAAGCAAATCAGTTCCACCACAGATGAATATTTGCAAACCGTCAAAGGCTTGAAGTTGAAACCTTATCAAGACTTTTATAAGGATTTGAGTCAGTTAAAGGCTTCTAACAAAATCATACTACCATCAATGGACAAGACTAACTTTGCCTTATATTCAGCTGTTGCTGTAAAGAAAGATCAGATCGTATTCCTGTCAGTTGTTTCCAACATAAAAATTGTTAAGAATCCAGTTGAACTTGCTAATGCTCAAATTGCTCAAGATAGAGACTCTTATGCGTTTATCTTGTTCACAGCATGGTTGGAACGTCAACTAAAGAAGAATAAAACCCTTACCGAATGGGATGCAGCATTGAAGATCTATGATATTAGAACCAAGTTACCTCATTTCAAAGGCTTATCATATGAAACTATTGCTTCTAGTGGTATCAATTCAGCGTTGCCTCATTATGGACCAACAGCTAAAGACCATATTGATATCGACCCTAAAACAATCTTCTTGGTTGATTCCGGGGCCCACTATTTAGAAGGAACCACAGATATAACCAGAACATACAAATTTGGTGATGAAGGTTTAACAAATGACATGATAAAATATTATACCTTGGTGTTAAAAGGTCATATTGCTTTAGCCTTAAGTCAATTTCCCGAAAAGTCCCCCAACACCGGCATAATCTTAGATGGTTATGCCAGACAATTTCTTTGGATGGAAGGTTTGGATTTCAATCATGGAACAGGTCATGGAGTGGGCAGTTTTGGTGATGTCCATGAAGGACCCGTTTATATTCCTGCCAGCCCTACAATTTTTAATGAAGTCGATGTCTATCAGGAAGGTGTGGTGTTGACTGACGAGCCAGGGTATTATTTGGAAGGACAATATGGATTTAGAATTGAAAGTGATTTGGCCATAGTGAAAGGTAATGGGTCCAATAGAAACGGTACAAAGTTCTTAAAGTTCTCTTACATGACCAAGGTTCCCTTCTGCAAGAAATTAATTGATAAAGCTTGGCTATCTCCGAGAGAAATTGAGTGGATTAATAGTTACCATTTGAAAGTCCGGGATGAATATGCTGGCCAGTTATTGAAAGAAGGTCACATCACTGCTTATACTTGGTTGCTCAAGGAAACTAGCCCTCTTTAAATAAATATTATTGATTAACGTATCATAGGAGAAACTCCTAATGACTTTCCCTTGTTCTTGTCTGGCTTTGAATAGCCAGGTCTTTGGAATGAACTAGGCTTTTGAAATGAGCCAGGCTTTCTTAACCCCGTGGTTGGCTTTGGTATTGTTGTAGCTGATCCTTCAGTTGTAGAAGAAGAAGCTGAAGAAGAAGCTGAAGCTGATGAAACCTTGTGAGAAATAAATGGTGATATGGTGGTTAAAGAATAAGCAAGACCTTTAAGCTGTCTAGAACTGTTGCTGCTTAACTCATTCTTTGAATTGATATCAATGTGATAATTTGAAGAAGGGTCTGGTTTCTTATATTGAGGCATCTTTAAACTTGTCTTTCCCCATAAATTCTGTGCATAAGAAGCTTTAACTTTTTCCAACTCAGATGACATTTGAAGAAGAGGATGTCTTCTATTGGGAGAAACGGATCTTTGTCTTTTAACTGCTATTGGATCATTATTATCCTCATCATCCAGTCTTCGTTTCCCATCGCTTAAACTTAATCTTCCCAAGTTATCAATGTTATTCTTCTCACTATCATTAGCTGCTGCTGATCTAAAATTAAACCCAATTCCAATTCGATTGTAACTTGAAGGTTTCTGCAACCTTGAATTGGACTTTTCAATTAATCCAGTAACTATTAACAGAACCACATTGCTAATGGCTTTCATATCAGCTCCAGTGTCTAAAGCATATACTGCTGCCGCAGAAGCTGTAGCTGCTGAAGTTGCAGCCAATGCAGACTTAGGATCTTCTTTAATGGTCAAGCCAGAAACAATATTGAAGATATCTGAAACCAACTCATTAAGTATAGGATCTGCTTCAAGCAGTGAATCATTATGGAGTGTTCCTCCTTTGGAATCTCTCATTTGAATGTCTCGTTCTCTTTCAAACCTCTTTAATCTTCGGGTGTTGAATTCATTTTCAATCCATTCTTTCTTCTTGGTCTCATTGCCATCTCTAAATAACACATTGGCTCTTTTTGTCACTCGGGCACGTAGATCATTATCTTTGTTCCTTTCAGCATTCTCTTCTCTCCATTTCTTCTTCCGTTCTCGATTACCTTGTCTGATTTTCTCCTTGTATTCCAAAGTATCCTTAGGCTGTTTAATTCGGTTCCGGGCCTGTTTCGTGGTAAAGTTCGAGATGGCATCAACAACAGTGTCACTCAAAGTAGAAATTGTCTCCATGTCAATCGAAGGAACCATTTTCTTATCTTCGTCAGCCTTGGTGGTTGAACCACCTAAACCAGATTCACCAGGTTCACCTTGAAAAGATTGAATAACACTACTGATAAGTGAAACAGCAGTTCCATTGGACAAATTGATATTCCTTCTTCGTTCCAAAAAATTACGAGCAACCATAAGCGAATTAACCAATTTCTGGTGCAGTTCTCGTCTTCTATGCGAGTTGATTATCTCGTTGGCTATTAATTTGCCCGTCAATTGTGAAGGCGATGATGTTGATGCCGTTGATGTTGATGCTGATGTCGAGGATAAAGAGTTCGTCATTTGACGAATAACCTGAAGTAACCCTTGGCTATCGGAGCTATTAGTTCTAATCCGTTGAGTTATTGAGGTTAGAACACTGGAAAGATTATTGCTGTTATTATTATTATTCCATTCAGAGTTATCCAACGAACTAGCCTGTGATTTATTTGATGGTTCCGTGCTCTTATTTGACATGTTGGATCGATGTAATGCCAATGCTTCTGCTATCGAAAGGTCTTTGTTGGTGTCTTTTCCTTTGGTCGGAGCTTTGGGGGTATCTGATTGGACAGTAGACTTCTCGTTTGAGCCTGTTATTGCTGGTTCAAATTGGGTAGGACTTTCAAGCAATGACAAATTAGAAGTAGTAGAAAGAGTAGTCGTCTTATGGCTGTTAAATGACAGTTCGGCTTTTGTCTTTGGGGTCTCGGGCATCTTCTTTCTTGGTTGCTTGGATGTTTCCTTGGCTCTCAGGGGTGGTACAACTGCCGTTATTACTCCAGTTGAATGGGAAGCAGTTTTCTGTTGTCTTTCCAGAGACACAGATGGCACTAAATCGTAGTCCATATCAACGTTTGTCAAAAGTGCTTGGGGGTTTTCCATAGCCATATTAAGTGCCCGTTCCATGATATCATTCATTTGTAAAGTCTCCAAATCTGCTGCTGCTTCCGTGTCCATCATTGTTGTTGTACCTTTGGCAGCAGAAGATGATATACCATGCGATTTAGAATCTTCAACAGTCTGGAAGTTTGGTAATGAAGTATGAGCTGTGAGGGGAGAATGTAATGGTATACCTGATACCGTTGTCTCCTTCGCTGAATATGTGGGTGTTGATGCTGATGACGCTGATTTTTGATATTGTTGTACAATTTGGATGTTCTGTTTATTATTCTCTTTCCGTTGCTCCTCTTTATGAGCTTCTTCTTGGAAATGGGCCAAAACATTATCATCAATAAGAGGCATCTCTGTTATTTGCTTTTGATTCTCATGTGATGCCTTATCATCAGAGTCTTGGACTTTACTGGTGATTTCTAAAGCAAGCTCATCCAATAAGTCCTTTGAAATGGGAAGAACATCTGAGGAGACCGCCAGGATCAGATCAGACATCGTGGGCATCTGTTGCACCACATTTTGAACTATCGAAGCAATATCAATAGACAGCGCTTCAGGATTTATTGACAGTAGTTTCGCAAGACTCGGTACCAAATTTGAAAGGCCATCAAAAGAAGTTAGGGTTGGTACTTGCCCTTGAGGTTCTGCTTGTGCTTGTATGGACCCTGTTAATGATGTTCGACGGCCTAAAGTGTTTCTAAAGGCTTCACTTATGACATTCTCTAAGGAATTTTCGGTATCATTGTCAGGTGGGTTTATTGTTTGCTCGTTTGATTGCTTGGGACGGGCCAACAATGATTTAAAAGCGTCACCTATCGCATTTTCTAGATTCATTTCTTGTAAATTATTCTCTGGAACTATTTCCTTTTGTTGGGGAGTTTCTTTTGTTGACTCTTGATGTTGAAAAATATTACTGAAGGCATCTCCGATGGCTTTATCTAGGGCGATATCAGTATCCATTTTGTCGAAATCGTCATCTTCCTTCCGTTGGTTTGATACCTGATGTTCTTGTTCTTGTTCCTGTTCTTGTTCTGTAGCAAAGGTCGATTCAAACGCAGAACCAATAGCCTTTTCTAAATTCATATCTGTTTGTTCCTTTGACTCCTCGGAGATCGGGATTTTAGATTCTTTGAAGGCATCCGAAATCGCCTGCTGAAGGTCAGCAGAAGCAGAAGCAGAAGCAGGTTCTTTGAATTCTTGATTTTGTAGAGTCTCTTGAGCCTGTCGTATCTCTTGAGACTGTGAATATGCTTCAATCTGTTGGTCTTCCTCATGCTGTCGTGACTCCTGTCGATCTACTTCATGCTGTGGAATCTCTTGAGGCTGTTGATATTGTTGGTTTTCCTTCATCAGAAACAACTCAACCACATTGCTTACTGCTTCTTTCAACTGGGCATCGTCGTCTGTATTCTTATCGTGTGACGTTATTACTTGAGCTTTTGGGGGTTCAGCTGATGGCATTACCTCACCCATAATGTTCAGTAACGCATTCGTTATTGCACTATCCAAATGATCATCCTCTCTATTCGTCATAGCACTATCATCTTCTGCACTCTCTTCCCTATTGCTTATACTGTTAAACACATCCCCTATAGCCTTATTAAGCTCATCATCATCATCATCATCATCATCATCATCATCATCATCATCATTACTATGGGCATATGACGTAGTAAAATTGAAACTATCACTATTATTATTATTACTAGCGTCATTATTATGGTTATCGTTACTTTCTTGTATTCGTCGGTCCATAAGCTCTTGTGTTTGTGCTGGTGCTTGTTCTGTGGTCGAGCCAGACACAAAGTTGATCAGCTGGAAGGCTTCACCAATCGCACCTTCAAGATCAAGCTCAACATCTTCCTGAGAACTGAGTTCTTCGTGATCTTTATTTCTGGGATGCTCCTCTTCTTCTGCTTGACCTGGGAGTATAGAAGTAAGTGACTCGGCTATGACTTTGCTCAAGTCCAACTCCGAGTCATCGTTAGACATTTCAAATGACCAACTCGTAAATAAGCTGTCTTCGTGTGGGGGTTGCACTGGAAGGTTATGTGGAGGATACTGCTTTGATGATAAGACTGTGGGTAGTGGTTTGTTTACTATGAGTGATGTGCTAAATGAGGATATGATTTAGTATTGTGTAATTTTAATCACGTGATTTCCCCGGATAATTCAATTCCGGGGTACACTGGTTTCTTCATGCTACTAGGATAACAATCAATGTCTTTATTAATCAATTGATGGTGTACTACTACCTGATCTATTATTAGAAGATGATGGGGTAGCCGATTCGGTACTCGATTCAGAGCTAGAACCTTCGTCTTCGTCTATCAAAGAAAAATTAACGACCAACCCATAATTACCTTCCCCTACACCGGCCCAACCATTTTGTTTAATTGTCCAATTGACGTTATCAAGAACGTTATTGGCATATTTCAACACATCGATATCAAAAGTCTTATTCCCGAACGTGGGCAAGGAAACATAATATTTGGAGTCGCCCATCTTCAAGAAATTGGTATCAAATTGCATAAAATAATCAGTATCATCATAGTATGTGAACTGAGAGCACTTTTTACCATCATGAAACCATTTAATTCTTCCCTTTGCACTCTCAGGGAACTTTTGGTTATTATTATGGTTAAAGATCAAGTTCTCTTTGAAATCTAATGGGGTTGTTCCCTTAACTCTAGCTTCCTCGATGTCCTTAGCATACGACAGTGCAGAGTTAGTCAACCCCAAATGAGTGAAACTGTTTAAAGCAAGTCCATAAATGTATGGTTTGTCACTATAAATGTCTCCCTTCACGGTCTTATTAACAAACCATGTGAAAAATTTCAACCCCGTCAGTAAAAGTGTGGTGGGTACATGATCTCTTATTGGAAGTGTGAAATCGTTCCCAAATAATAGCTCATCCCCTTTGATATTGTATTTGGGTCTGTATCCTATTATAAGATTAAGGTGCGATCCAGGATATAGCTTTGTGGATTCAATATCATGTAACTTAAGGCTGTCGTCATCTTTAATATCTAACTTCAGTCTATCAAAGGGTTCTTGGTTCAAGTATTTGGTATCCCCAAGGTTGTAGCAGCTATTAGCTTGATGTACCTTGTGAGACCCATCAAAGTCTGCTATGTTAACTGCCACGGTAAACACTCCTATATCCGATTCGATTCGTACGGGTTTTCCTGTGTTGACGGGGATTATCTGGAATCCATCCACATAGTTATTGGACGCTTTAATAACTAGTCTCTTTACCATAGTGTAATGTATAGGAGACTAAACTTGTTCAGCGTACGCAAGCTATGTCTATGTTGTACTTCGTATGATAAAGAATGTCGTGTTTTATCAAAATTCCGGAAAATGTCGCGGTTTTCTTTACCCAAATGTCGCGGCTGCAAAAGGCACGAAACCCCCAACATTTTTTTCTTTTGGTTCAATCTAGTCACGTGATGTCACGTCTCATATCAACCACATTGAACCACGCAAGCTAGTACCACTGGTGTGCTATGTTTACGTCGATAAGAGCAAACAGATACATTACATTCTCACCTTGAACGGCGTAAATGCTAAGCCTATATATTCGTAAACGGATAATTATTGGTTCTCCTCAACGTTTCGGAAGGCATGGAATAGAAAGCAAACGTGGTAATTCTTTAGTAAAGAGTTATTGTATGCATGTGGAGTTCGAATCGTTTAGGTATCCCCACGTATTCTTATTACTGTTATGTGGTAGCGCCTCCATAGTATTAGTAAAATGAAAAAGAGTCATCTGGTACCGTAGTTAAAATGGTAGCGCCGTTTGGAAACCGGAGTATTGATTGCCAGCTTACAAATAATTTAAGGTACACACCATAATTTATTATTAAGGGTCAGCTAAATAATAACAATGACAAGAGCACTAGTATTAATAAGAACAATGACACTACTACTTGTAAACAAGAACATAACCATAGTAATGATATAATTATTGTATACTTCTTCGTTAAGCCGTATGCTGTGCCGGGTAACCCCATGGTCTAGGGCTTAATTTAGGACCGTTCGGGCCTGTATATAGCTCCCCAACACACCCACCCTTGATTTGTATATATATATGGAGAATTGGGGGACAATTTTTCAGTGACAAGTTATTATCATCCAACAAATATCTTAATAATCCCACACACAAACATGTCAAGTAACTCCTTGGAACAATTGAAGGCCACTGGTACCGTGATTGTTACCGACACCGGTGAATTTGAATCAATTGCCAAGTACACACCTCAAGATGCTACTACTAACCCATCTTTGATTCTTGCTGCTGCTAAGAAGGCTGAATATGCTAAGTTGATTGACGTTGCTGTTGATTATGTTAAGGCTAAGATCCCCAATGCATCGGCTGAAGAAAAGGCTGAATTGGCTTTGGACAGATTGTTGGTTGAATTTGGTAAGGAAATCTTACAAATTGTTCCTGGTAGAGTTTCCACTGAAGTTGATGCTCGTTTGTCCTTTAACAAGGAAGCCACCATCAAGAAGGCTTTGGAAATCATTGCTTTATACGAATCCATTGGTATCCACAAGGATAGAATCTTGATCAAGGTTGCTTCTACTTGGGAAGGTATTCAAGCTGCTAGAGAATTGGAAGCTAAACATGGTATTCACTGTAACTTGACCTTGTTATTCTCCTTTGTTCAAGCTGTTGCTTGTGCTGAAGCTAAGGTTACCTTGATCTCTCCCTTTGTTGGTAGAATCTTGGATTGGTACAAGGCTAGTACCGGGAAGGAATACTGGGGTAAGGAAGATCCAGGTGTGATTTCTGTCACCAGTATTTACAACTACTATAAGAAGTTTGGTTACAATACCATTGTTATGGGTGCTTCTTTCAGAAACGTTACTGAAATTAAGGCTTTGGCTGGTGTTGATTACTTGACCATTGCTCCTAAATTATTGGAAGAATTGATGAACTCCAATGATCCAGTTCCTCAAGAATTGGATGCTGCTGTTGCTGCCAAATCCGATCTTACTAAGGTCTCTTATGTTGATGATGAATCTACCTTTAGATTCCTTCTCAATGAAGATGCCATGGCTACTGAAAAGTTGGCTCATGGTATCAGAGCTTTCTCCAAGGATTGTGTCACTTTGTTGGACCAATTGAAGGAAAAGTTCTAAACCATTTATATATAATGTTTATGTTAATGAATTTTCATTATACTATTTCACTTAATTAATGGTGTTTCAATATCTGTACCATATAAGAATTACGTAATATTGAACAAAATATTACGTGATCATTAGTAGTGTTTGTACCAATGGTGCAGTATATAATCAAATCCAATACCATACTGAAGTCACTTATTACCATGCGACAAATAGCAACTACTACTACTCAAAATGACTCGACCTGACTTTGTGGCCCCCCCTGAACCAAAAGATCCATATCCAGTGGTAGAAACCGGCTGTATCATCGCCGGTTTCGGAAGAGGGTCCTCGGAATTAGGAATCCCAACAGCAAATGTGCCTGTAACCCAAAGTCTTGATAAATTACCCCAAGGAGTTTATTATGGCTTCTCTCGATTAATCACAAGTAGCAGCAATGGAGATAATGATGGTGATGATGAGAAGAGTAAGTTCAATTACGGAGTTAACTTGACTGATGACGAAAAGAAAGTGCTCCCTATGGTGATGTCAATTGGGTGGAATCCATTCTATAAGAATGAACAGAAGGCAGCAGAGATTCATATTATTAATAAGTTTACTGACTCCTTTTATGGAGCTCAAATAAAATTTGTTGTATTGGGTTACATCAGACCGGAATTGGATTATACTACTGTGGAGGCATTGATAGCAGATATCAATATAGATATCGAACAAGCGTTACAGACATTACATTTGCCTGAGTATAACAAATATCAAAGATTAGTTGAATAATCACTTTATAATATACGACATGAACTGATATATGTAATATATTGTGTAGTGTATTCTTTAATCAGATTCGTACCCTATAGCCCCGGTGTTACCCTCGGAATGGTCGGATTTGATTACGGAACCCCAGAAATCCCAACTGAAACTCATTCCATTAGGTTGCTGGGTGAGTGACCTGATAAGACTATTCAACATGAAAGAAGCTCTTGCCATGTCTTATAGACCGTGAGCTTATCGTGACATTAATCAACTTGTTACCCTTACATGATTGAAACCGTCACCTCCATCCTCAAGTTACTTGATGTTGAAGAGTGCGATGTTTCAACTGTTCCTTATCAAAAACGATGTCATTACATCACCAAACACTGTGTGAAGTCGTGGCAGTATCTTCCAAATAAAACATACTATTGTGGTGGTGGGCACAATATCACGCGACATTTGGCCATTCTCATTGGTCTCTTAGTCGGCTTAGGTGCATGTCTCTCACTCCTAAGTGTGTTGGTGAGTCAATACTTTTACCCTCATCTAGACAAGTTGGCTGCTGGGTATTTGAAGTTCAACTCGAGGTTGGTGACATTCACGATAATCCCGCTAATGAATGCGTTCCCTGATCTAATCAATTATCACTTTACGCTTTCCACGCACTCTAAAGACATTGAACTAGTCTTGGGGACGATCTGTGGATCCATTTTGATTCTACTTAGTGTGGTCATTGGTCTTATAGCTTTACTATCGCCAACTCCTATTCCAATCACCAAAAACTTGTATATTGTCTTCAATTGGTGTTTCCTTGTGTTTGCAGCTTTCGCGGTCATTTTGTCCGATGGAGTAATCACTATGGGTGAATGCTATGTGTTAGTGTTGTTGTATGTCTGTTATATTGCATATTTGGTGGGGTTCGATAAGAGCACCGATGATTATGAAACAGAACCTTATAATGTCTTGGATATTATTGAAGACGAGATACGAGAGTCACGTGAATCGATTCTGTTACTCGATGACGATACTGAACGACTATATTGTGATGATAACGAAGAACGATATTGTGATGATGATGAATCTGACAACATTAAACGATATTCTTTGACTGATATAGTAATATCCTCTGTGATGAAACTCTTTTCATTCTTTATTCCGCTGTCACAACTAACAAGTTCATGGCTAGTCTATTTTTGGTATTTGGAAAGTTGTTTGATCCTCTATTATGAACTGAGTGGGTTACCATTGACTATTGTCTCATTCGTAGTGCTTATAACTATTGATACAATCATGGAAGGTTCACGAGATTTGCTTCAAATTGTTACTGGCACTGGAATATCACTTTTTATCATTGGAAAATTGAGTTTCATGGCTCTTTTAATCATAAGAAACTTGGGGATGATTCTCCCAATATCCAATTTCTTACTTGGATTCCTTATCTTCTCCATTGGGTCTTCTTTAGGAGATATTATTACCAATTTGACCATTTCTTTAAGAATTAATATCAATTATGGTACAAATGCCTGCTTGGGGTCACCTCTTTTGCTTATTCTATTGGGGTTGGGAGTCAATGGATTGGCGACAATGTACCATCTCAAAGTAACTCACTTGGACTTTCATATCAATTATAATACCATTGTGCTGGTCGCAACGTTATTATTGATTTCTAGCATCTATTTGATTTATATTCCTTTGAATGGTTGGGTCTTGGATAAGAAATTGGGTGTCCTTATGTTGAGCATCTATATTAGTTTGGTAATTCTTGTAACAGTAGTCTAAGACATCTGACATATTTATAAATAAGTTTCAATCAATAGGTTAAAGTTAGGCTTTTGTGGTTCAGTTGCTGGTTGTGATTGTTTCAGTTGCTGGGTGATATAACAAATTGCAAGCTTATAAAAGGAACTGCTATTGGAGGAATATTTCATGATTAATTCATGTCTTAGTTCAACATCAATAGATTGAATCAATGATAATCGATAACAAATATAACCAATGGTATCTTCCACTTCTTCCGCACCCAACTCATTGAGGAAATCTTTGAATAATCCCAAGATATAACCTTCATCGTTGGCATGAACAACTAGCTCTACCATAATTAGTTTTTCAAATAGAATGACATTATTCCCACTGTTAGAAGTGGATTCCATGTACCCTAATAGTAAGTCTCTTGCCTTTAAGTAATTTCGAGCATAAAGCTCCATATCCACCAACCGGGCAATTGTAGACTCCTGTTGAACCAAATGCTTGATGGATCTATAAAGAGTCTGACGAGCGGCCATAGGTTTTTGTTGATTCAATAACCAAGAAGCATACATCCACCATAAGGAGGACTCGGCCGAATGCTCGAGAAGTGCTCTTTCAAATAAGGATTCACAGTAATTCGATGGATAATTGACAATAACAAACTGAAGATAACTCTTCCAAATATCAATAGAATTATCATTAGCCAATTGCTTTTCCCATTTGAAGAGTTCGTAACTCTTATATTGTGTGGTGATGTACAAATCTGTTAAACTCTTCTTCCACTTAAGTTTCGAGACCTTCAAGAGATTCTCTTTGGAGGTCTTTTGCGGTTGCAGTTGTTTGTTCAACATCTTCAAGTACTTCATCTGGTTATACTTCAATGTCCCGAGGAACTGGAGCCAGATCTGATGAAACACTCGGTAGTTGTACATTGGAACCTCGACTGCGATTCTTACCAATGTATAGTAGATCAAGAGATAATTCTTGGGCTTGTAGGTGATGATACTCTGGAGATACAAAAGATAGAACTGCTCGCTCTTCCAGTAGTCAAACCCTATAACCTTCCTGGCTCGTTCGAACAATGCAATTAAATCTGTAAGGCCATGTTCATCTATGAAATCAATGGTGAATTTGAGGTACGAGATCCAAACATCACAGCTATATTTCAAGTCTCCGGTTAAAAGGAACTCATATTGTTGCTTCACTTTAGCGACACTTTTGTTCTTGGCCATCCACTGTAAATATCGGAGATGATAATTGACAAGAAGGGGAAATCGACTTAATAGTAACTCATAACTTTGACAGATTAATTTTTCATTGTCTTGTAATTCGGCCGCAAGTATAAGCTTCTCGTAATTCACAACATTATACGGATCATCTATAATCCGTTCGGAGTATATACCCCACAGCATCTATACTGTCAAGTTGTGTAAGCCCTACAAGTATTAGACGTATGGCCTTTATTTATTAGACACTTTAAAATCTTTATGGCACATCACCAAAGTCGTGTCTGTGTCAAATGAATACTTACACATCTTTTAGTAGTCTTCTTGTCTTGTGTGGTGGTTGCGTGTGTTCTTGTTTGTATCTGACCCTCCATTTGCGTCTGCTTGGAGTTCGATCTTGCTACTTTACTTTTTGGTCTTTGTGTCTGTGAGTGTTGGCCCAATTTAGATATGGAACTATGGGCATAGTTCATGTCAATTAATGTCTGATAAACTTTTTATCTTATAGTTTAACATACTGTGAAAGCACCGTAGTCAGAGTCGGCCACATGTACTGACAAACGTTGTTAAAGTTATTGTAATGGGAATTAAACGTTCTCTATTGGCGTATGAAAATTATCTGTCAAGAACAACGTAGTAACACAATTCAGCATATGCTTATCTAGAGAATCGCATCTGATAGTATCAGTTCGTGTGCCGTTACGGATTTGAGTGTGTTCATCGAGTGTATACCTAACACTGATAAGGATCATTTCGTTTCTAGTATATATAACTGTAATATCTCCAGTCTTCTCCTAGCTACACAAGAATGGCCGGCGTAGAGCAACTCTTTTTTCATGTATTACTTAATGGCTTATTGTCACACTTTGTTTCCAGGGTATTAATTACATATGACTGAGTGCAACAAGCTAACAGGCACAATTACTATTTAAAAGAAAACTATTTAGCCATTGTAAGACTACAAAAGCTTGCTCAAGTTATTGGGATCCAATAATTTACTCGTATTCTAAATGTTTTCTCTGTATACATCCATAACTACTAACTGTAACAACAAAATTAGATTGGGTTTATTCGTACCTCGTTGTAGCTAAGAGGAGCCCATTGGAAACATGGATAGAAATCAGCAATAACATCCTGTTGTTGTAGCAGCTCTCACTTAATGGTTCAACTATCCTACATCTCACAAATTGTTAGACCTTTCAATGCACACATCTTATATGCCAGTGGGAATCGCTTAATTAGTGTTACTCTTTAAGGTTGCAAAAGAGAGGGAAGAATATAACAAATCATATATCAAACTAATCCAGTGATCATCTGCTATAGCTGATTTCGATTGCGGTTCAAGCTTTGCTCATTAATTCAATACTCACATTACAGTGGAATGAGAAATTTCAAAGTCTGATTGCTTTTATTTCATGTAATTGATTCATTTACTTGCTCACTATGTATGGAACAAAATACCGTTGTATGTATAGTTGGCTATTTTGTTTCAATGTAGGTCGTCTAAAACGGAGACCCTTGGTCCACTGTATATATTCAATTCCCGTAATGTTTCAAAAGATAATCCTTCTTTATTCTCCAATTAAACCAATAAGTGACTGTCAGGAGGTGTGAAGATATCAGTTTATGAAGTAATAATGCGATTAAGATTACCACGAGCAAGCCGAACACCTTAATGAACATACCGTAAGTTACATACCCCGTAGCGAAAGATTATTGTTAGTCTTATGCCAATCTAAGAAGCGCAACGCAATTAACAACAACCATATACACACCGTTGGTAAGAAACTAGAATGAATCAAAAGCCAGACTTGTATCTCTACTCAAAAAGGTTCTAGTTATATTTTAAGACTTGCTACAGATCCAGAAAAAATGCTATTTATGATGTCTCCATAGTGGTATGTAATACCTGCTCACCACTAAAGCAGCTGTTGTTAGACAAGCTGCTCAATGTTCAAAGTTAATCCAAAGAAGAACATTTGGAACTTCACTTGCACCAACACAAAGGCTATTTTTTTTCCACTGCAGGTTGCAACTTATGGTTGCCGAAGCAATATAATAGTATAGTGGTTGGAAGCAACTTACAACAGACAAAAATAGTTTAAATGTATGATGATAAATGTGACAAAGCAACAGATAGAGCAGCCTATTTCAAGGTTTAAGTTTCTTTTTGACGAGTGTGCAATTTACGAATAATCATTGGATAGATTTTGTTTCGAATACCGAACTAAGTAAAGCAACCCAAGGTTTAAATTTCAGCAGCTTGGGTGCAAATAACAAATGGTAAACCTATGTTAAAGGGGAATAATTAGAAGATATTCTCGTACTAGGAGGCTAGGACTATCATGGTTTAAAGGGTTTACAGATGAAATCATGCGCAAGATAATAGTTCCTTATACTACTTAAGCGCACGACAGACATGCAGAATGACTAGAAAGATAATTCCTCAATGACACCAGGTACTTATTAACTTGGTTACGTCTTGTGTGGAGTTAATAATTCAGAAGCAAGCAAAAGGTCAAGTCGGTTTGGAGCTGAAATTTTCAATCTTCTAGGCGAAACACTAGTCTTGCTTCAATTAAGGAAGAACCAAATAAGAGATTGCTGGTTTAAACTACTTTGGTCATTCACTCTCAACTGTTCTGTTCATGATATAAATTAGTTGGGGTTCAGGTTTGCTTTGTAATTAAAAGTTGCTATAGTTTACTGACTTATTTGATAAGTGTCGTTGCTTTAAATCGTAGGAGTGAAGTGTTTTTAGGCGTTGAGTAGAATGTAACTTTGGATTTTTCTTCGCTATATGTAAGTTTACATGGTATGTCCGCTACTTATTTATGGCCGATTTTAAGTCACTCTGTTTATAGTTCTGGTGCATTGAATAAAATATATGAAAGGTTACACATTCTAGGTAACGCATCAAGTTCAGATACCCCATGTATATCAATGAAATTTTGATTGCGCATCCAAATTACTAGACTTTAGAGAAAAACAGAAAAATTGTAAGTATGATCCAATGTCCAACGTCCTCCATTTTCTTGATGGTTTCGGCGAAATGCTCACAGTTCGGTAAAAGAAAAACCCGGCTATACAGACACCAAGAACGTAATACAAAGATGGGCAGGTTTTAGCGAGTATCGTCCAAACATTGTACGTACACAACTGTGGCAATGTTTCGATGCTAAGCTCCTTCCAAATTACAATAACAGAATGCGCCTGTTGACAAAATAAACATTGTTTTGACACATGTGGAGGTGGTCAAAGTATACAACATAAAAATACGAACTGCATCAATGAAATCGATGGGTCGCACCCAACTTTAATCAAGGCGATGAGGAAAACAGATCGTCTGAAACTCTTATTGTGGGTAGATATAGCAGAGGAAATAAAAAGAATAGCAGTACGCATGTACGCTTGGCTAACACTTGTAATTTCCTTTGTCAAACATGAAGCTAACATGAAACAGAACGATCTAAATTGGTGAATACTCTTGCGATGAAGATTTCAAGTCCCACGTTACGTATCGCGAATGCGGTTCTTTTTAAAAGTTGATTGCTGAAATATAATGGTCGTTGGTTCAAGTGAATCGCCAATTGCATTCATCATCATTATTTTAACGTGTGGGTGGTGCATATGTTAATGCAAAACTTGAACCGTTGGAGAACAAGGGCTTTGGTAGAGTTGACGGGCAGATCCAATAATTATCTTCAAAAGTCCATTAAAAGGTGGTACTAAATGCTTGTAGAGGCTTGTAATTTTTATTTTTATTTTGCAGTCATATATAGATATGCAACTTTACAATACAACCAAGACTACCTTACCATAATTGTTTTCTGCACGCTTCAGGTGATACTTGTTCCATTGGCACTTAGTTAGGAGCAAACATAATAACTGCTTCAACAGGAGGGTCCAAACAAAGGTTTTTGTATATAAGTCAGACGTGGCTAAAAGAAGACGTTCTCGGCCGGATGAGCAAAGCCCTTTTACGAAAGTGGAAAAGCAGAGGTTGTCACTGTGGCTTAAGGGGTAGTTTATACACAGATATTTTTTTGCTCTGAACAATACCCGGCGATTGGGGTACTAGAAACAGACATTAACGAAAACGTGATAAAAAATAATGGTCAGAAGCGAAGCCATGATTACTACATGTGCAACAACATTATAATGAAAAATATCATTACACCTAGAGTTTCCGAACTACAAGGTATGATGAGAATATAAGGTTAATGTATGTATGTAATATTTTGGAAGGATTGTTCCTTTTGTTATAAGTGGGGATAATGGTAGCGCTCATAATGAATGTTTTTTTTTCAAACTAATCTTACAAGTTGTTCAAGGATCAATGAGCTTTTTGAGTGTGTGACTTTGTGTGGATCTGCACATTGATAATAAATAGCTAGACCGCTGACGTACATACAAGAGCATTTATGCGGCTAGTTGTATACAATACCAGACAAAACATGTCTGCGTTTTCTAAATTGTCTGCCGTATTTGCATCCTCACTTGGCCAAACTCAAACAGTTTAGGCCCATCATTTAGAATTAACAGGTACAGATTGCTTTGCGGTTCTTCACAATCATAAATTGTCGTTCTTTTCGTTCTCCATTATCAATGACAAAATACTACTATTATTACTTCTATTATATGGAGAATATTTTTTTCCTTTCTTCAAGCAGGGCCATTTCATGTGGACTTAGTATCGAGTTTTCCAGACACTCCCAGATATAAAATGTATCAAATCCGTCTTCACCTATAAATGATAACTTTTATATATGGGTGGCATTTTAGTCATATTTAGTATTACCCAAAGTAATGGATTATTCTCTTGATAACCATATCTCCGTGGCTGCTGCTGGCAGTAGCAACGGGTCGGTTGTTTCTGCAATTCAACCCCCTACAGTCCACCCAGCTACTTATACTACAAATAATTCTAGCTCCAATGGTGCATCAGCTTCTCAGATCGCTTACACTCCAACTTCAAACACTCCTGTATCATATAACACTACTGCCCCACAATATCAACATCAGGTACAACAAGGTTATTCCTCAAGCTATGCTGGCTATACCTCTGGCTACCCCTACAATAATGAATACAGTAGTGGAGTTTATGGTGATCAACATGCCAATGGAGCTCTTGCTGCTGCCACTGCTGCTGCTAGTGCTAGTAATAGTGCCTCGGCAGTACCTCCAGCAGTTGCAAATGCTGCTCCTGGAGGTAGTTTCTCCTACCTCGATTATGTTGCCTCGCCTATCTCGAACTCCACAGTCGGGGCTACGACTGCTCTGAATGTTTATCCATATTCGCAACAACAACAACAACAACAACAACAACAACACCAAGTTTCTAGTAAGCCTTATTCTGCTACACCATCTGGACAAACTTCAGCCACTCTGATTAGCGGTTCATTGTACCCTTCAAGTGCACATGGTAGTTTTGCCAATGGATCTTCGGTGTCACTGTCAATCTCTGGATATCCTTATGCTACTTCAGATGCCTACTATCCTCAGCTGTCCCAGATGAAAGGTCAACAATTGCAACAACAACAGCAACAACAACAACAACAACAACAACAACAACAGCAACAACAACAGCAACAACAGCAACCGTATTTCCAACAATCCTACGTGTTTAACGGCGGTACCTACCCTTCAACTCTGGACTTGTTCACATACAATACTGGTATGGTTGCAGCTCCTACAGCTGTTAATGAGTATGCTGTGCACAGAGAAGAGGATCCATTATCACCAACCTCGAAACCACAGGTGCAATATGCTAATTCATCCTCATTAGTATCATCACAGATTGGCTTGACTGGAGTTTACAATGGTATGTACAGCAATTTACACCATAACTCTACTTCAGGATACGAGACTGGGAATCCTCGTGTTAGTTTGGGCAAAAGAAGACACACTGAGTATCAGATGCATCATAAACAGTTACCTATCATCGCTGAGGTGCTTAAAGAGAAGTTTGCTATGGACGAGTTGGAAAGGCCGCGCAGGAAGTTGCCCAAGAACTTGTTACAGTGTACTCATTGCAGTATTACATTTGAGAACTACTTACAATTGGCCGAGCATGTAGATGCTTACAAGTTGGAACGTAATTTCAAGTGTCCTATTGAATCGTGTGTGTTCCACTACATTGGCTATAATAAGAAGGCTACCTTAAGACATCACTTGATCAATGAACATTTTCATAAGGGTAAAATCAAGGATGACTTGAAGGCAAATGATGCCATCTATGGGTTGATTTATAAGTGTAAGCAAAAAGGCTGCGAAAAATGCTTCTACAGAAGAGACTCACTTACCAGACATATTTTGCTAGTTCATGATAAGCATCGGAAACATCAGTCAAGAGCATTCAGTACTTCATTAGGACTGTTGAGTTCCTCCTCTACTTCAGGAGCATCTTCTGTACATTCAACGTCTGAAATGAATGGAGGCGATATGCATGTTGGTGCCGCTATGGGGTCTATGCTTCCACCAACATCGCATTCTCATTCAGTAGGTTCAATTTCAGACCCTTCTGTAATGTCGATGTCGTCTACTACCCCCAAAATCGAAACAGATATTTTGGGAGGGTCATCCCTTAAACGAAGTCATTTGGGGGATCAATTGAATCTTTCACCGATTCCCGTGAACCAAGGTTTAGCTCCAATGGCTGAACAGTCTATTTCTAATTTGTAAAGGGATCAGAGTCAAAGGTTATGATAAGTTTTGTATAGTATTTAAATGGTTTTGGTTGTTTTAAATATGTATTAGCATTATCTTTGAAAAACATAATTTCGGTATACATGCTTATGTAATTACAATAGAGTTGTAGATTATCAACACTGAATACGCCAGAGTCAATGGTAATTTATTGTAATTCAATTATGTTACGTAATACGAACAGGAATTTGTGTTTTTGTATATCTTCGTAAACAGTTATTATTATTCTATTATGATATTCATATTTTTATTGTTTACAGTAGCTACATATTCGTAAATGATTTAATTTAATTCGATAGGTCTCTTGATTAATTTAGCCTTAAATTAAAGATATATCCAAGGAAACGCACTATTGACTAACCGTTGCTTTGAATTACTCAAACACAGATAAGACCATAACAATACACACGATATATTGGTTTGCGGTTTGGGTGTCGTTTCCGAAGCCCCCCGGATAAAATAATCCATAAGTCTGATTTCTCCGCTTGACTTCTTGGCTTTTCCTTCTTTATCACTTCTACACGGCATTTGTATGAATGCTTCTATGGGGCCATCCCCATTATACGATTTTGCGTCTTCTCAACCAATGGTAACACTTTTGAGAATCACTATGAGAGGGTACAGGGCTTAGAATCCTAAGAATGCTTGTGCACAAACAATTCGCATCAGTCCTGGACAAAACCATTTTGGAGGTACGGTATTCACTATGGAGGTAGGCCGTGATATATTTAGTGTTTCACTACGGTAAGAGAAGCCTGTCAGTTACGTCTTTGTATATTCTTATTTTCCATAATAATGGTACTCAGAATGGTCACATATTTGAAGTTTGATGTTATGTAGAAGTTGCTTTAGCAAGTCCATATTCTCATAAATTTTGTCAGAAAAGAAGCTTATAGTTCTCGGAATATTTATTTAACGTCTGCTTATTGATCAGAAGTTTAATATTTCTATACTGGCTGCGACATAGATAAATTCACCGTGGCGGCAAAGTTATAATGGAATGATTCCCGTAGTATACTCCCTAGTCTTCATCCTATCTATACTTGAGGAGTATTGTCGCCGTAATGAGGTCGCCAACTAGATTGATACTTTTACTCTTGGTCTTGATGGGACTTGTAAATTCAAAAGCTTCATTGTGTACCACAACGAAGAGACTGAGTACATTCACTGGATACACAGTTCTACGACAAATTTTTCCCCGAGATGCAAATGATAAAGATAACTACACCGTTGTTTATTGCGTGGATGATCAGCCCATATATATGTATCAATGTCCAAAGACAAATGTTAAATTGACAAGTTTTGGTCAATATGTCGATGTAATTAAAGACACATATAGGCCAGCTTCAATAATTGGAATACTAAAAGTAAAAAATGGAACGTTTCCTTTAATGATTTCCACCCCAGCCCCATTCATTGTGGTTAATCACAAACTTAAGTTGGAATCTTATATTCCATTATTCCACACACCATCAACTGAAGAGATAATATGAGAATACAAGAAGTATAAAATAATACAACATCTTGTACGATATGTATAACATAATACGATACGTGTATTGGTAATACTTTAATGTACCGACATTCTGCTGCAGCGTTGAGCTTTTCTTTTGCAACAATTGAGTGTAAATTTCGCATACTAACTACTCTTTCCTGGGAAAAAAGCTTACTCTCATTAATTCCCCAATTACTATAGCGACAAGCTTAAACTTTACACTAGTGCTAATTCAACTGCTACTAGAGAAGTTTCTACATCCAAGTATCATAAATTGCCAGCACAAAGTTATCTTGCAACTTACAGCAATCGACCAGCTGTTGCTGCTTTAAACGGGTTATTGTGTTCATTTCCTGCAATTAAAGTTACTAGCTGGTAATGCTCATGGTTTATCGCGAGCAGCAACAAAGGAAAGGTGGCCTGGAGTAGTATTATGATGTCACTAAACTCAATTTGAATTTGTTTGGTCTTATCGTTCAAGGCGTCTGTCACTTATGTAACTCTATTTAGGAGAATCTAATAACAAATTGGGGTTAAAATCACCACATAGGACAAGAATTACCTAACTTAGTTTCTACAGTAGTCCAATTTCGTAGTGTTGACGTAACAGTTTAGACCAACTTTAGTGCTCCATTCATGGCGGTAAAGTTTGATTGTTTGTATAATTAAGATTTCGGCAAAGTACAATTTAGTAGCACACCTCTATATCCCAAGCCCACCCTATTTGGAAGCGAAAAACCGATGGATCTGTGTCTAGTGAACTTGGTTGATCTACGTATAAGGCTACTTTTTTGAGCCTTGCCCATGCAACCTACATTCATAACTCGACTATCTAGGTATTCTAACCATGCACCAATGGAACTACACTACCTACTTTTTCGGTACGGACTACGACCTCTAAGTTCCGATTTTTTTCTGCATAGGGCCATTCTGTCTGTTCTTATGTCTTGAATTGTTCGGCGAGGCTTACAGGCTTTAAAGATATGCGTGATTCCATACACTTGGTGAATGTGTACCCTGCGCGACAACAAACAACGCCTACACAAAAAAATAAAAGCTTGTCCTAATTAGAATTGATGGGGTAGGTGAGATGGTTTATTTTCTTCTCTCACCCCCGCCTTTCACTAAAGGAATATCGAAAAGACTTGCTCAAATACTTACTGCTAGTACTACAGTTATACAAAATATAAAATCCAAGCAACATATAAATGATTCAGGATTACAGTACCAACTTGCTTCTCTCGTGAGGGTAAGAAGGCTTTTGTTAAACTATATTTCTTGATTATGATGAAATCGACCCATTTCTTCTTGCATTGGCGCCATGCATGATTAGTCTTAACGAAGAGTGGTATTCAAAACTGCGACAAGGGACATTGTGTGTGTGATTCATGTCTTGCGCTCTTCGATAACACTTGCAACGTTGAAATTAACCCACATCGCACTAAACTGGCTAGCGACACAACTATCTCCATGCATTGTACTTTTAAGTAGATATGAACGGAGATTTTTATCAACCCTTAATTTCCCTCTATTGTTATTACTAAGTATTGACTTACATGGTCATCTAATCACCTGTTTGCTCTTGTGTATCCACAACACTGCTATTGTTATCATCTAAGGACTTTTTTGTTTATAGTCAACCGATTGCTAAATCTTTCTGCATTTTTCTATGGAACAGTGTAAAAATTTTGCACAATAGAGGTAAGAGATAACACATTGAAAAGAATAGGCCTACTCCTAAAGTTGACTCAGAGCCTTGTATTGCAGTGAATTTTAACGGTGAACTCCAGACCTTTCATTGCAGTTAGTTAGTATGAAATTTGGTAGCAATAATATTTGTCTTTTTTATTTGTGAATGGTTAGTAGAAAGCGGGCAAAAATGAAAGGTATAGATCTGATAATACATTGTCTCCTTAAATGATATTACCTAACCCCTTAACTGTAAAAAAAATATAGGAGGAGGTTGTTAAGTAATTCTGTCAGACAAACACGGCGCCGCATGAGAACAGACAAAATCAGTAAGCATCACAGGTAGTTTGAATCACATTATTCTCATGCATACATACATACGTACATATTTTTGACCACAATGCGCTGACAGTAGATCCATTAGGAAATGTCAAGTATATAGGAGGGGGTTTTATTGCCATAATAATCCGTAAAACTTTACTAATACCAGTATTAGACCAGAGTTACAAATAATGTAAGCACCCATTTTTTGTTTTTGCGCATCTTCTTCGGTGCTCCAAGTAGTTTCATCTATTTAAGAAAGACAACCTTACATGGTTTATTCAGTTTGCTTTCACGAACATGTAAAATAATAGTGTACGACATTTTACTTCCATTGCCCTTAAGTGTGTAGGACCAATATCCTTCTATTTGCTTGGGTAATGTTTAGACGGTGCTACCATATAAGGAACATCTTTTTTGTCGTGAAGCCTTCTTTATGGACCACGTTCTTGTTTCTTTTTCTATTGTACTTGTAAATGACCCTCTAATTTTTCTGGTGACTTTAAGATCTGTTTTTCTTTTATTTAGTCAACCTAAAATATAATCTTTGCAACGTAATAATTATAGAAGAAGAGTTATTCGCATGTGATTTTGGAACTACATTATACAAGTTAGGACTGCACTCCGTTTTTGATTCAAGATGATAATAATAAACCAGATTAGTGTGGGAACCTTAGGTACTTTGAGGACTACTTTGGGAAGAGGTCCAGTATCTTATTTGTCTCAATTGCTTTTTTGTGTCTGCATCAAGAGTGTCTGCGTTGAGAAGCCAGAAAAAAAAACTAACGTATATGTATGTCCGACAATCCCTATGCAGCCTAAAATATCTACATTAACAATAATAGTTGCATATAATTAGGTTCGTAAATATTTGGGGTTTGCAAGTAGCTCAGCTGTAATTAAAGCCTCGTTTGTACGGGATTGTAGCGCAGTCCGCCCTTGTTTGTGTGCTTGATGGTCTTCATTAGATCAAATCCCACCTAATGTTGCAATTTTGAAGTCCAACCTTTGTTGTCATTTCTTTTCTATCGAAAGGACTCAACGAATGCCAAAAAAAGTACTTCCTATCTGGGAGAAAGTTGATGCACAGGGGCTATCTGAAGAAAAAAACATGCAACGATTATTGGCTCACTCTAAAAGCATTTAACTTTCTGATAGCAGCAACTGCAGGACCAAGTATAAGGAGTAATCAAGAATTGATTGGACGGTTTTCGCAACACAGAAGTAAATGCGCGCAGCAGACACACTAAGGGTCCCAAAACTGATACATATACCGGTAAAATTTACACCCTAGGAAGTTCAAGGTACTGCTGTAAATCTTCAATTTTTGACGCACGTATTTGACGCACCAAGTACCTAGTGTGACGTTTTTACAATACCTGTAGTGATAATAACTAAATAAAACTAAGTGATACATGTGATTGAATGCAATTGAACTTACGCACGTAAGAACAAGCATTTAAGTATGTAATGCAAGATATATTTTTTAGCCGACTTAAAAAATGTCGAGTGACTGGGAGAAGATGAAATTTCATGATTGCTTGATTAGAATGTAATATAGTTTCATATAGTCATCAATCCACCGGTTCCCCACCCCTTTGATAATCATCGTATAAAAGGATCGAAAAATAAATGCGGTGTCAGTTTAATGAATCCCCTGACAGGCTATCGGCAGGTAGTGAAATGCGGGTAACTCTTACCCAACTATTTAGTAGCATTTGAATCATATACATGCGGGGAGGAACCACTTGTTGTATTACATGGCTTCGGATATATCCTTAATAAAGAGTCAATATGTACCGAAATCTGCAATCACCACCATTGTTAATTATGTCGCAAATTTAAAGAACAGTGGTATTCACTGGTGAAGATCTGCTGGTACCACTATATCCTTTCACAATCTTTTTTTTTCTTGGTGATTTATTTTTAAATATAGTTTATGGTGCTTTCTAAGGAAAAGAAAATACGACATTTTATGCATTTCGTGATGTACATATTTATACCACAGGATACAAATGACTCGACCAATAGTAGGTCCAATAATTCAAGAGAATGTACTTTTACGAGCAAGCGATGCTGCGACATCCACATTTATATGCAACGACATTTTAACAATCAAAATGGCATATAGTTCAATTTTTCTTACCAAACCAGTGGTCACTAATTACTGCAAGGAACATTACAAGGACTGCTTCAGCCACATCCGGGTTTTGCAGCAAAAGCCTTCGTTGATAGTCCATAGGGAAATGACAATGGGATATTGAATATGATTTCTGCTATTTAGTAGGTGAATTTGACCACAATGTTGCAAAACACTGCTAAGGGTTCATTACTATCATAATCATTTTTTGGACTCTAGATTAATCGAAGAGCAATTGTAACCCTGTGTAATATACTGGGTTCATTATAGTTGTTAGGTACGCAGGTCTTGGCTTACAGTATGAATAATCATAACCATTCCCCGGAGCACAATTGAAATTTTTGCAGCACCTCGTATGCACGCCTCGTTACATACTCCGTAATCAAATGCTAAGCAAGTTTTGATGTATCAACAAAAATGCTGTATGCATCTGCAACTAAGAACCGAACCAAAATGTTTCTCTGACTAATGTCAATTGTTGTGGCCAGCGATCCGCTATCGTTATTATGCCTTAAGGATACAACAAGAATATATTTGATTAGCCTTCCTTAATCAGCCAACCACATGGTAACCCAATTGCTGACACTAGTAGAAAAGGTTCTCCATTCCCAGGCAACCACAGTGGTAAATAACAACCAGTCTGAAGCAAGTCATATGGTCGCGTATGACTTTACGAAGATATAATTACAAGCCTTACTTATGGTGCGCTTAACGTTCGTTACCATAAGCGTAATCGGGCTCTGAGTCTTCTATAATCTCATCATCCAGACTTGAAAATAAGAATGAAAGCAAAGGTATAGCATGGGATGGAGTTTTGGCTTTATTGGTGTTACCAGCAACAACAGCGGAGGTTACCACCGCGGCGTCACAAGCTTTGGGAAGGTACCGTAAAGTACGAGACAGCATCGTCGCTATACGAACACAAACAGTATATGACTTTAAGTCTTTAGTTGGTGACTTTGTAAGTACAGGCTTTGCGTCCTCAATAACTGGTTTAAAATCATTCTCATGTGACTCCTCATGTCGTAAGGTATTGCCGTCATGAGTCTGCTCATTTCGTATGGAATTATCATCATGCTCAGCCTTAATATTTGGAGTAATGTGAGTCAGAGTCTCTTGTTTAACATATTGGGCTATTTCCTCATCCTTTGGCTCTTCTTTGACTGTTGTACTCTTACAAACATCAACTAGTGATCTCACACTTACCTTATCTTCCCCATCAACTATCTCAAGCAACATCTTGTCCTCTAGTAATAACTGGAACCCCTCATGTCGCAATTGTTCCAACCCCGTATTCCCAGGTTTTAGTGACGTGGTGGCCATGACTCGTCTACCTTGTGCATTGACCACTTCCCATACATTGTTTGACTGGTACTTTCGTAGAAACCCATCGTCCCAGTGTTTCCGTCTATGGTTGACATCAACATCACGGCTATATAACACCGAGAACTCGTGCACTATGGACGTTGCACCCATTGAATGTTAACATGGTTGGTAAGGAACAGTGGTGTCCGTGCATTTGTTTTTGTTTTGTGGCCATCGCGAATGTATACACATAATGTCGTCCCGAAGGAACAGAACAGTTTCAGCATACTCAATCATACTCTACCTCTACATAGTTTGATGTCAGTCAGACTGGGCTGATGTCTATGGGTACTATTTACAATTATGTACAAAGTATGACCGACCCATGCGGCTACTTCTGAAAAGGGAACCCCAAGGAACTTATCAAAGTTCTTGCCTGTTCATCTGTTCTGGCAGTGGTCTTGAATGTAATGTGGAAACCAAATAAGTTGGGGAACAACTCTTGGAAATGCTCAACTTCGGGGAAGTACTTGACATCCTCTTCGGTTAAACCCATGGAAATGTTACCATGAGTATCTCCAGTAGTTGGCTTTAAACCTGTGAATGTTCTAATACGAGGTAATACCAATTCAGTTAAAGTAGTCAAGAATTGATGCATATCTCTATCCTTTAATTCCACCTTACAACCACAAGGTCTACCCACTCTAATCTTCCAACCAATGACGTTGGATCTATTTCTAAGAAGTTGAGGCTTGACGTTTGTGATCTGTGCAATGAATGCTCGGGCAGAAACACTTAACCACTTGTGTTCAGCAATGGCTGGGGCATATAAATTAATGACGATGCTTTGTAACTCAGGAACATTTTTGGATGTAATAGGTTTAATGTTTCTAGTTGCCTTACCCTTACCACGAGGTTTTTTCATGGAACGATACATCTTATACGGAGAATCAGTACCCCATTCTCTAAACTTTTGTCCTTCAACGGTCTTTGCATCGTGTTCATAAAAATGCAACATCAAGTCGCTCTTAACGGTATTGTTATAGTGTTCACGTACTCTATCTTGTGATATTTCCACGGGCTTGAACCCTATGGCTGTGATATCGGACTTAGACTTCAACAATTGGGTCATACCTGGTTTCAAAGATGCCTTGTTGATCTTCACCAAATGGTGTACGGGTTCCACAGTAGAATACCCACTGCGCAAAGCACGAGCGCATGTGCTGAAACTACGTGCCAACTGCATGTTTGTGGACGTAATAATTCGAATGCTTTTTGTTAGTACGATCTAAAATTTTTCATTTTTTTTCTTCACTCACAAATCGCATTTTAGTTAGTGCTGATGTTTACGCTAAGGCTCCCCTTAAGTGTAGAATATATCAGTACAGAACATCACCACTTGAATTCTTACATTCACACACAAAAATTTAATTAGTACTAGCTACACAACAAAACAAAACAAAAGCCAAGCAAGCATCATATAGTAAGACTATGAGGTTTGAGGTACCGTTCAACCTTGAAGTGGATGTTATATGCAACTCACAGGTAGCACTTTCAGCAGCATTGGATGCTCTAGAAAAGTTCAGTCCTGATGATTTAATATGTAAAAGGCCATCTCCTAATCCTTTCCAAGTATTCCAACAAGAGGTTTTATCCGGTAACAATGTGCCTCGAAGTTTTGAGTCTGATGGTTATGACGACCTTGAATCAACCAGACAGACATTGAACCACTTCAATAGGGAATTACAAGATGTTCTACAGGATCAGTTCTCCAGTAAGCTCCAATTGCAGAATGATCAAGTGGATACGTTAATAGCACAGGAATTAGAAAGACGGCAAATAGAAGCCGAGAGAGTACGCAGAGCCGAGGAAGAACGCAAACGTAAAGAAGAAGAACGGAAGCGACAGGAACAGCTAGAACTAGAACGCAAACGAAAACTAGAACTAGAAGCCAAACGAAAAGCAGAAGAAGAGAAACAACGAGCCGAATGTGAACGGAAGGCAAAGGAAGAAGCAGAGAAACAAAGGCAGGCTGAAGAAGCTAAAAAGAAGGCTGAAGAAGCAAAAGTGAAAGCTGAAAAGGACCGTCAAACCAAATTAGCTTTAGCCAATCAAAATAAGTCTATTACCAATTATGATAGTATTGCAGAGAAGTTTGCAAAGTATAAACAAGATATCAAAGATATTAAAGAAAATGTCAAGGTTTCCATGGCTAATAATCCCCCATTAACTAAACTAGTTAACCCATACAAACGGAAACTCAATGCCAAATTTGGTCAGTTATCAAACTCTTTGGCTCAATGGCAAGCAGTACAGGGAGTCATTCATGAAGTATTGGAAATGGCATCACAAGCTCCCGACCAACTTGTATTCAAATGGCTATTGAATTTCGTGGCTAAAGCCATAATTGATCAAGCAGAAACTGAAGTGGTGACATCGCCAAATATGGCTGTACCTTTAGGGATGCTTGCTATGAAGTTATTACTTAGTTTTCCTCAATTGGAGTACTACCTAACAGCCAGATTCGTCAAGAAATGCCCTTATATTTTAGGGTATAACTGTTCCATTGATACTGAAAATGGAAGATATAATATGGGATGGAAAAGACGAGACCAGAATTGGGAAGATGAAGTCAAATATGAAGAAAGAGTCTCTGGAATAGCCTCTGTATGGGCCGTGATGACAACCTTGGCACCCAAAGATCTTTCTAGTGAATTCTGGTTCTATTCCATGTCCAATTGTTGGAGTTTTGTTGCAAGACTACTCAACTTGGATTCAAGCTTACTCTTGAGTACTCATTTTTCTATTGCTGCAAATTGGTGGGAAGCAGGTGCTGAACATTTTGCTAATACCTATGGCAAACAGGCTCACAAGCTTTTGATCACTCTATTAACTGAATGGCCCTTGAGTGTAAGCAATCAGAAATTTGCCGGAGCCGCAAGATTGTTGATCATTGGTGAAGAGTTTATGAAAACAGGAAAATTTGAAAAGTTAAAACCCATGGAACAATGAAATAAAAAAAAAGTTTATGCTTCATCCGCTGAACTTGGCTCATCTTGATCTTCGTCTTCATCTTCATCAGATCCAACTTCTGCATAGTTAACCATCCCAGTGGTTCTTCCCGATCTCCTAGTAGGAAGGTTGTCCACCTTTTGCTTTGACTTTGGGATTGGTTTTTCAAGCTTTCTGCGTTTGGTTTTTGTCCTCTTGGATGTTACTTTCCTTTCCTTCTCGTCTGATAGGATATGCTTTCGCTTCAAACCAACAAACTCACTTTTAATGATGGTTTTCAATTGCAGTTGAATTCGATCGGTGATATAAACTCTTCCTTGTATAGATTGGAGCTCCGAAGCTGAAGACATGGCAATATATATATCTGAAGGTAATTTGATCTTGCCTGGCCATGTTGGTATGACCCAGCCTTTCATTTCACCATATTCCTTTATGATCATCAGAGCCAAGTCAGCAATACGATACAAGTTCAACACAACACTGGGCAACCCATCATCAGAAGCAGAAGCTTCATCACTCTCATAAACTTCTTTGTTGACAGTAGCATCTCTGTATTGCTTGACTCTGTTGGCAAAATAATATAAGAGAGAAATATTCTCTGAAGTTGCAATGAGCTTGACACAAAATATAAGGATCTTTATAGCATAAGTATAAGCTTCAATCTGACTGCTGTTATTCTCTTTATCACCTTCTAGAAGTGAAATAAAATGCTCATGATGGGCAATTATATGAATTAAACGAACAAGAGACTTTTCAAACTTAATGAACTTTCCTTCTTGTCTTTTGAATAAAGATTTGATCCACATAGTTGCACCCCTCTTGGCTTCAGGTTTATCTTCCAAGGCAATAAAGTATAATATGGCCAAAAACCTCTCAGATATCAATCCATCATTGATGTTCCTCTGCAAACAATTCATAAACAATTCCCTAACATGTGGATTGGGGTCTGTAAGTAAGAAGGATAATCTTCTTAGGGTCGTAGGGTCGATCATTTGGTTATAGATTGGGATCTTGGCCAATTTCAAGATGCTAAGCCCAGCAGCAAGTCGTAACTTCAGTTTATACGTCTCTGGTGTTGGCCAAGAAGGACATTCTTTCCTAACAATCTCACCAGAGTTCCCAATTGTTGAAATAAATAATGTTAATACTGGCAGAGCCAATCTCATGATGCTATCTCTTTCAGAATCATCATCTTCTTCTTCGACGTTGTAAGCTTGTGATTTCAATTTATTAATTAAAAATCGGAACCCCAATAACTTTTCATAAATAGAATGAATTCTGTATTCAACATCTAATGTTGTATCATCAAGCCAACTTTCATGGGTGTCATCAACCAATCCGCTCCCATTAAGATTACGATTGACTTTGAAGACCTTTTTGATTAATGTTTCGGTTATCTGACCGTACTTATCTTGGACAGAAAGTGAATCAATTTGACATATTTCAGCAATGATAGATAAATGGGTAACAAATTGAGGTGAATCTAGATCAAGTGGGTATATCAGATGAATAATTGAGGCACAATAGATTTCCTTTTTGGGACTAACTCCAATAATTTTAATACAATATCTGGCAATTTTGGGGCTTCCTCTTAAAGATATTCTCTTTAACTTTTCAATGAATCGAACCTCAGAGGGAAACAACTCGGGAAACACTTTGAAGAAGTTGTACAAAGTTTTCAAGTTTGTAGTTATAGGAATAATAATCTCACTAGGATCCTCTGGACTCTCGAGAATTAAATTGACAAGAGCATCGACATGGAACCGTAATACCTGTGGATTAACCTTGGATATCATAACAAGAATCTCACTGGCTGGACCATTGAAGTCGTGGTAGGTATCTTTCACATAACTTATCAAAACGGGAATGTTAGAACGGTTGTATAGCAATCCAGAGCTTCTATAAAGCAAAAGTTTCATATTGGTAACCATATCTTGAACCAGTGGGGTACCATCGTTGTTCTGGATATTAGCAGAATCTCTTAGTTTTATCACAAGCTCCTTCATGGATGATCTGATGGTATTGTAATCAGACTCAGGTGAAATACAGATCTTCATTAATTGGAAAATCCTGGTATTATTAACCTTGAATAATCGATCAAAGCACCCATATGTGTTTTTGTTTGTGGGGAAAGAATCAACTAGCCAATTAATTATTTTATCCAATTTGTTTAAGATTAATTCTTTACCTTGAACAATTGACCCACTAAAAGAAGCTTGACTAACATCTTGTGACGAAGAAGTGAAGTAGTCTTCGGATAAACTGATGAAATTATCAACGACTTTAGCCAAATTTTGTTGTCTTTCATTAATAGCAAAGAATGACTGTTTGCTTTTAGCATCAAGAGTACTGAAAAGTTGTAAAAGTCTATCGACTCTCTTTCTGCTACTTGATTCAGCCAACGGGGTCAAGCTTTCAAACAATGATATATCCACTTGGTAATTAATATTCTTATCGTTAATATATGTTAAGGAAAGTATTGTTGAAGGAATCTGTTTAATCATCAATTCTATTTCTTCACATTCAATTTCACTATGAGTACCAAAACTAGAATTAGTTTCATGCTTGCAATAGTTTTCGTAAACGTTAGATAGAATTTGAATGGAAAGGTTCCTGACCTCTGGACTTTTCTCTCTAACATTTAAGTTCAATGTGGATATCAAGTTCTTGTTGCATAATCTATCTTTAATATCGCCGAATTTAATTGTTGAAAGCGATTTGCAAGTTTTTATTCTTACTCTTTCATCCACGTCCATCAATCCTTTACAAACAAGGTTTGTGATGACTGTATTTGTTTCTGTAGTTGGGTTATTAGCGGAATCGATGAATTTGGGGATTTGTTCGGCTAATTTACCTCTCACTAAAGGTGAAATGTCGGTTGCTTTCCGAAGAAGCAGATTCCAAGTTGATTTATGGCTGGTAAAGAAATTGACTCCTTTAGTAGGGTTAGTATTGTGTATGATCAGCCCCAAAGTTTCTGTTGCTATGATCCGAATATGAACATCTGTTGCCTTTAATTCTTCTTCGAATAACCCCACAATTGCTCCAAGTAACCCAGGGACAAATTTCCAAATCCTTACTGAAAGACGATGAATTTTAAGAAGTTGATCAGCTAATTCTTCCTTGGCATTGGCCGAACTACTTTCTTTAGCCTTTTCAGTTGAATCATAAAGAACTTCGCTAAAGTATTGGGCCAATTGCCGGGAGATAAGCTCCATATTAGTTTCACACACTGTCAATGAAAAAACAAGTGCCGGACAGTGGATATTAGAAGTTGGAGTGGCTACGGGAATGTCACCTGCTTCATGGAGCAAAAAGGCAGATAAAACGTACCGTAAAACGGTTTGAGAGATGGTCTTGACCTCGGAAATAACCACAGCCATCATATCAGTAATAGAAGCCAATAGTCTCGTAGGGAAGTTATCCTTAGCTGCTAAACCATAGAACACCTCAAAGAGCTCTTCAATCAACTCTTGATTATCTGGAAGATCAGCCATTAAACAGATGGAATTCACTTGGGCCACTTTCTTTAAAAGTGTACAATACTGATCATAATACGGATTGTCAACGGCATTCAACTTCCGGAACTGCTTAAACATCAACCTAAATATTTTGGAGAGCTGATCCAAATCGAACGGCGAATCGGGTGCATGGATCCGTAAGATCTCAGCTATACAACAGCAAACAAGCACCTGTACTCCACCGTTGGTATGCGCCAAAAGGGTCTTGTTCCCGAGATCATGTTGGATTTGAGAGACGATCTTTCTGCTGTTATCGCTTTGGTCTAGACCTTGTAGTTCATCATTGGCATCGCGTAGTCTTTGAATAAGTTGTTTAGGCGTTAGTGCTGTTTTGGAGAGAGCAAGCACGCCCTTGGATAATACAGAACGCGTCTTCCTCATGTCGGGAATACAATCTGGTTATAATCAGTGTACTACTAGTAGCGGCAAGTATAGTAAGCGTACTAGTAGTAGTATCACAGTCATAGCAACAACATGGGTACGCGGTACGCGTGCTTGCTTTCTTGAGGATATGCGCTACCATTAAATGACCCCCACATTTCACGACTGCCAGAAACAGCTAATTGGGGGCTCCATCGAACTAATAATATGTTACGCCTAATGACACAACATATACTATCAATTATATCTGACGTATCATATTGACTCATCATACTGTTCACCATGACCTTTGAAATTATGGACTATACGAAAACCAATGGAATCTTGAACCATCGGATCCGATTCGAATTGCCCCTCAACTACTCAGATTCTCAGGACAGAAGGGAAATCACTATAGTGGCCACGTTAACTCAATTGTATGACGAAGCCAAACACGGAGATACCGATCTCGCAGCCGTACTTCCACTTCTGAAGAATGCCAAAGTCATTGCGTATCTCCAAGGTGGACCCGGGTTCCCCTGTACTGTTCCGTTTGCAAAGAGCAGCTTCGCCAAGCCACTCTTGGAGAAGGACTATGTGATTATCTACATCGACCAGAGAGGTACAGGGTTGAGTACCCCCATTGAAGTGGGGACATTGGACGTCTTAGTACCCCGCGACTCCGGGACTACGGATCAAGACTATGCTCAACAGCAGATGGAATACCTTCTTCACTTTAGAGCAGATAGTATAGTGGAAGACTTTGAGTCCATACGGACCATGCTACTTGGAGAAGACCTGAAATGGTCTATTTTAGGTCAATCATATGGAGGTTTCTGTAGCTTTACCTACTTGTCTACTCATGCAAAATCGTTGAAGCTGGTATTGATCACTGGGGGGGTTCCGCCCATTAACTATGGACCAGATGACGTTTACAAGGCCACTTATCAACGTACTAAAGACCGTAATGTTCATTACTATAACAAGTATCCCGGAGACGTTGCCCGAGTTCGTGACATCTTGGAGTATCTCGACTCAAACAACGTTACTCTTCCCAACGGTGGGACCTTATCTGTTGAACGGTTCCAACTGCTTGGAATCGACTTTGGTCACAGTGGAGGCACTGATGAACTACACCAAACAGTCCTCAAGTTCCATTATGATTTGGAATTGTTTGGGAAACCAACTTATAAAACGCTTTATAACATTCAAAATGCCTCTTCTTTCGACACCAATATCATTTATGCCTTGTTCCAAGAAGCCATTTATCTTGACGGGAACAATAAAGCTGTTCTCCAATCCAATTGGTCAGCCGAAAGACTCAGAGCTACTGAAACCAACTATGTGTTTAAAAAGGACGCTGATGGTCCTATATATTTCACTGGTGAAATGGTTTATAAGTCCATGTTTGACGATTATACTGAACTCAAACCTTTAAAGACGTTGGCTCATTTATTGCATAAGAATGAACATTGGAGTCCTTTATATGACGTCAACACTTTGGAGAAGCTCAAGTTTACTGATGTCCCCATTGTGGCAGCAACCTACTACAATGACCAATACGTAGACTTTGATCTCACCAATAAAGTCAAACAACAAGTATTTAAAGGCAATGGAAACTTGAGACAATATATCACCAGTAATCAATTCCATGACGGACTTCGTCTGGATAGCGAGTGCGTTGTTGGAGCACTTTTGCGGTTGCTTGAATCAGAAGTAGATTAAGCTTAAGCTTAAGATTGCACTTATTCCCTTGCAAAGAAGTTAGTTGGGGCCATACCAACTCTTGCTCCAATGCCACTAGTTTTGGACCTACCTATAAACCAATTTGCTCCATCACTTTGATAAAGAGTATCCATATCTTGGAAACTAAAGAGAACCTCAATTATATCACCCTTTTTAAAGGACAAATCTCCTTCTTCCTTCCCATTGAAATCATATAATGCCGTCCATTCTCTGGAACAAGGAGCCTTCTGTAAATTCTTTGAGTTGACCATTTTTTCAAAGAATTCCTCAAATTTGCTTACCTTAAAGGCACTTGTACTGTTCTCTGGAAGCCCATTGGCAACCTTTAAGTCCTTTAGTTCCTCTGTTAAGGGAGACAGCACTATGTCATTCTTTGGTCTGTTATACGCTCTTGTCAATTCAATCTTCTTTAAGGAATCTGAATCCTTATCTTTGTAGAAATAGGAATCATTGAATGAAGATATAGACGAGATATCCGAGGAAACATCATCATCAGAATTCATATCATCAACGTCTGAAAATGAACTTGCCGACGACATGTTCTGGTAGAATGGAGCTATGGTGGTATTTGTTCGTGGTCTTCGTTCAAAAGCTAACTCTCGGGGAGGAAGATTAACCGAAGCTGTACTGGATCTTGGAGGTAATGGTGGACCCTTTTTAGTATTACTTCCTACTGGATGAATATCTTTGATGCAAAGAACCTTATGGGGGAAATACGTTTCGTTTCGGTTCATTGAAGTGTTTTCGTACTCCAAATAAGAACTAAGGGGATCAGATTCATATTGATCATTGAAGAACCCATTCACTGGATCCTTTAACTTCAAATGATGTGACTTCAACGTCATTTTAGCTCCCATTTTGTTTAAAACTTTGGTTGCACGAGACGTTTCGTCTTCATCATGGATCTCCTTGTTCTCAACAGCAACAACTGTGTCTGTTTCTGATGCGTCTGCATCTGTGTCTTTTATATGCTTTAACTGAGCCACAAGTGACTCTATCTTTGTTCTTGATGCTGTATTATCGGTTTCCCACGCATTCATGATCTCCTCATAGTCAGGAATAGTTCCGTCCTTGCTCAAGATCCCAACGTACCTTGAAAAGAACTCGGTGGTCTTCTGGAAATCTCGGTAGATATCCAATTGAGTGTATAACTGGATCTTGACTATACCATCGACAAACTCATCAAGAAATGATGTGGCATGGGGAAGAACATCTCTTATGCGTTGATCCAATTTGGTGAAGGACTTTAAGGAAATTTTATACTTATTCTCCAAGTCTTGAAGGTGCACCTCTTCCTTATCCTCCAAGGGAGTCGTTCTTTTCTTTAACTTATCGATCTTACCCTGTAAAGAGTATGTTTCTCTCTGAGACTTTCTTCTGGCCTTGATCAACTTCAAGAGCCCCTTCAAGTTATGGTTCATCGACTTGATCCGAAGCTCAAGTGAACTTGTATGGAGCTTGGAAAAACTCGTAACACGATACTCAAGTTGCTCGATAGAATGCAAATAACCTTCGACGGCCTCGTTGATAGTGTCAATTAGATATTGCTTGTCTTTCGGATGAACCGACGGAACAACTTCCAATGCATTGGCTTCGTGGAAAAGGTCATAGTACTCGTCAATTCCTTTGAAATAAAGCGAATTGGTTCCTATGAGATGAATGAAAAGTCCGGCAATACATTTATTCCGTTTCAATAACCGAGGGAAGAGTTTCTGTGCAATGGCTTTGTTCTGCTTCAATACAAAGTTTAATCCTCCAATCGATTTCCGTATATTATGATCGTATATCTCAATGAGTTCATCTTCAATTCCGTATGTTTTTGCCCCAACTACCTTGTCCTTCATGTCATGGCTTAGATCCAGAATCTTAGACCCTGCTTGATTCAAGTGATGTCCTGCAAAATTGCCAGCACCTTTGAGATGACTCCCAACAGTACTTCCAAAGCCAGTGATGCCGTCCTTGACTTTACTCATGGTTTGTTGTTAGTAGACTAGAAAAGAAGTTGTTAGGAAAGAAGTTTGTAGGTTTATATGGGTTCGGAAGTTACGGTGCGAAGGGTTAAATCCGTCTCATTACATAAGCAAGATTTTACACCATTTACAACGAGTGTCTATTTCATAATCTGTCAATGTGTAAAGATGCATGTTAACGTTCTAATGATATTGATATTTATGCAAGTATTTAAATGCATATAGGTGTAAGGATTTGACAATAATGTAGGTGACTAAGTGGGTTAAAGGTTAATACCTACATTATATATTAATGCATTTGAATGCAGACATTAGAATAAAATGTCTGCGCTTTGAACGCGCCATTACGGATTATTTATTTTGACCTGCGTCTTTTTATTTTGCAGCCATTTGAATCGAAATAATAATATTCCGACGCTAAGTAACCTCAATTGTCATATATAATGGATGGTTACTTTATTATGATATGTTATCTTTGCAAAATATATAGTCACTAATATTCGGGTACTTACATTTGATTTGCAAAAGATTTGTATCACGGACTACTGTTGATTCGACTGTAACTAACTGTCAGCTTCATGCCATATAAATTTCATAGATTAAAAAATAGAACATACAGTTGCAGCTTTTTGAGTTTTGGACTTATTACAATTGGGTACAAATTTGATTGACGAAAGCAAACATTTGATTGAAACCACTATATTCAAAAGAAAACAAAGGGAGAGTGGTGAAACATAGAACGAGAGGCACGAATCCAAATACTCTTGAATAGATGAAGTATATAGGCCAAAAAAAAAAACAAAGTCTAACAATCAGACAAATGGTTCAAAGAAACCCCATCTGACCCTTAAAGCATCAGCATCGGCATCGGCATTAGCAGCACGCTTAACAAATGGTTCGAAGAAACCCCATCTAACTCTCAAGGCTTCAGCGTCGGCTTCAGCATCGGCTTCAGCATCACGCTTGACAAATGGTTCGAAGAAACCCCATCTAACTCTCAAGGCTTCAGCGTCGGCTTCAGCATCGGCATTAGCATCACGCTTGACAAATGGTTCGAAGAAACCCCATCTGACTCTCAAGGCTTCAGCGTCGGCTTCAGCATCGGCATTAGCATCACGCTTGACAAATGGTTCAAAGAATCCCCATCTGACTCTTAAGGCTTCGGCATCGGCTTCAGCATCGGCATTAGCGTCTCTTTTTGTGAGTTCACCAGTGGTGCCGTTAAGAGTCAGGAGGATACCGTTTGCAATGGTAGTGTTAACAAGCACTAAACCAGGAGTACCATCAAAGTTAGCAAGAACAACGTCTTGGTCATCTTTCAAAACAACAATACCATCAATAGCATCCGCTGGGATAGCTAAACCTGAAGGAGTAGTAACTTCTCCAGATGGCGCAGATTCAATAGCAGTACTGGTGGCTGCAGGTGCGGCAATGACTAATGATGTCAAAGCGATAGAACTGAGGGCAATAGTTGGAAATTTCATGATAATAAGAAAATGTTTCGATAGTTAATAGAGAGAGAGCTGAGTGTTTAAAGGATGGTGATGTAGAAGAGATATTAAAAATGGTCAATCGGAAAGACAAATGACCTCATTATATAGTTGATGGTTATTGGGGTGTCAATGGGCACATGTTTAATTTTACTTAATGTAAGATCTAACACAGCGTACATCTCCTTCACCATGTAACAGATTCAAGTACTTTAGATTCTCGATCCGGTAAGTGAAGATACACACATTATGTTTGGAGCATTAAAAATCTAGTGGTTCAGTTTTGCTGTGGTCCCTTTGAAGTCCCAAATGGGTAATTCAGGTCGCTATATAAAGTTCAGAAGGAAATGTTTCTGAAACTCCTCCACCAACAAAATATCGACTTCGATAACGTGCAGAGAATAAAAGTGACATAGATCTATCATCAGGTCACTCAATTGAGACTCCTTAGAGACTTCTGTCGCTTGTATGAAAACATGACAGTTCACCACTTGCAAAGTGCGGCACACGGTTAAAGGAATGAAGGCTGGATATCTCAAGCTAAGAGAAAAGATTTCACAAGATACAACACCACTCGTTAGCTATGCTTCGTTCACTAAGCTTAAAGATCTTAGTCACCAGATCTTCATTACCTTCGTCAACGTGATGCGTATCCTTCCTTCCTGTAGTAGGAATTGTGGGGGGGTACACAAACATGAAAACACAGACGCCTTCCATCCCTTTCTATTCTAAGGTGATACACAGGTATTGCCTACTCTCAAGATGGCTTAACCGGTGTGACGTAGCCTAACATATTGTAGTACCTATTTTCTTGCTCCCTGCTACCCATTAGAGTTGATGAAGAAATACTAAGTGTAATATCCATAATTAGATCTCGTCACGTGATTTGTGTATTTCCTCAGTGGAATACCGAATTATTGCATGTAGTATTATTGCGTCATGGCTGGACTCAGGACAACGTCAACTTAGCAACCTAATGGTTTGACCCAAAAAGTCCATAAAAGGGACCCAATAGCCACTTAACTTACATTGAAAACTTAGTAATAATTCATTAAAATTCTCGCTTTCCTCCCTTTTAGTTATTAGTACTCAAGAGCTACAAACTATAATAGTTGCAAAAATCAACGAATTAACATACTATGCCAGACCCACACAGAATCTTCCTCAAAGGCACGGACAACGACTTCATCGTATTTGTCGATGAACCCGAAATGTGGGAGAAGTACAAGAAGGACCCTTCTATTGATCTCGTGGACTTTGTCTCCGTGTTTCAAGTCTTTGTTACCTCCAAGGGTAGTCTGGGAGACCTCGATACTGCTTCTGAAGCTGAATTGGCCAATGAGTTCGGCTCTGCGGATGTCAACAAGGCAATTGCCCATATCTTGAAGAATGGTGAAGACAGAAACACGGTCGATGTAAGGAACAAGGAACTTAAGTAGTTTAGAAATTGATCTAATATATGCAAAACACAGTGAACATCTTTAAAGAGTATGTAGTTTAATTAACAAAGGACCAACATTTGCTTTGGCAAGTAGTTCTAGTTCAATTGAAGTTTCTGATATTTTCATGCCCGTAGAAAGTACCTCAGCTGATGCTAAAAGGCTATCCGAATAAACAGATGAAGGTTCGGGCGATGAAGCAGCAGCGTATTCGCATTCATTCTTATGGACCCTATTATTCTCGATACTTTGGGCAAAGTATCGTGGTAACTCTTTACTCCAGTGGTTCCAAAGAGCCCTCTCAAGTGTCTCCCGTGGTGCCAGTCGTATAAAGATGCTTCTCCCCTCTTTGTGCAAGTCAAGATCGTTCGCCAAGTTATAGTAACCAGCAAATATTGGATCAGGTACTTTGTCGATATTATAGAATCCCAAAACTACGGCAACCGAAACGGGAAGTCCGAAGTAGCACAGGAATTTGTGCTTCTGATAAGTATCGTCATCTTCCAAACACAAATCACTCGGGATTATTCCGTTGGGGATCAATGTCGTTGGAACCGAATCTTGGATTGAAAAATCAAGCTTATATGGTCCATTGACTTCATTGATAAATGTTGAAAGATGTTGAGCCCATACTTGGTGATCTCGCTGAGTCAAACATACAAGCATCACTTCATAATGAAGAAGCTTAGACTCCAAAACTATCTTCAAAGTGTAAGGGTATGTTGTATAGAGTCCGTTTCCATTGTCCTTTGTATTGGAGTATAACTTACATCTTGAAAAGGGTATTAAGAAACGGACCTTCAACTTCTTTCTTCTTCTCAACATGGAAAACAGATGTAACTCACAGCACAACAAATGGCTTTTGAAAATAAAGCAAGCCATATCTCTATATTTGACATTTGTTTGACCCTCTATCCAAACAACAGTAAGAGCACCTACTAATTGTGGTATACCAAAGAAATCTAGTGTACGTTTTGAGTTACCTACTAGTCTGTCTCGACCAAAGAATGAACCGAGATCTAGATTCAGACCCATAGTTCCCGATCTTTCGTTGCCTGAGTCGTTGATTCTTCTTAGTGTAGCTTTCACCTTTTCAACGTAATAATGGACTGCTGGTCTGGCATTTTCATTATTCAAACGTCGTTCCATAAGTTCTAGAAGTAGACGATATTTGGGGATTCTCATGAGCGGTCTCAGCGCTAGTGATTCAAGGGACAAATCACCTTTACGAGCCACCGGTTGAACCAATTCCAAGTAGTTTCTTAATGCAGTTAAAACCTCATTGTTGGTAACAGAAGTCCCCGGAAATGAAGTTTGATTATCGGTAAGAATACTCATTGCGAAACCATAATTATTGCAGTATTCTTCATAGTAGAAGCTGGTTTCACTGTTTGATGCCACTAATCTCGCAGCTAGAACGGTCATTTGAGCCACGGATAGTGTGTTGGAACTTAGAATGTCCCATAAACCTTTGGCAATAGCCGAATGTGCTGTTAGCATTTGTTCCAGTAGTTGTTTGAGCACAGTTATAGGCACTGCTTCATTGGTTGGCATTCCAGCGTAGATGTCGCCTAGATAAGTGCTAGATAAAATTTTTAGAGCGTCCACATAAGCTATTTCTGTTTCATGTAACTCGTAAAGAGTTCGTAGGAGGGGAATCAATGATTCATCTTTCACAATCGGTGAGAACGAGACGTTGGGTACTGGAGATATCAAACACGAAGCAAACGACGACTGAACTGCAGGAGAGACTTCTTGACAGAAGGAATCAAGGGCCAGATGATTGAATGGTTCATTTAGATACCCCTGTGTTGCCGATGGCGCTGCCCCCGCTGATGTCGCCGTGCCTGAACCTGCTGACGCCTCGTTTGCGGTCTTTGTTATTGGTGATGTTTGTTCATTATCATTGTTGTTTCCTAACGTGTCTTTTGTTGAATGCTGAGGATGGCATCCAGCACCTGTCACTGACGAAGAAGATGAAGATTTTGTAGTGGCAGTTGTTGATGGTGATGTTGTTAGTCTCCAATGCAATGGAGCAGAACGGTGCTTTGCTCTACTGTGTGCCCTCGGATCATGGTTAGTAAGGGAACTGGATAGCATAAACCTTGGAGGCGAGCTTTTGGACTTCGTAGGAGTATATAACGAGCTCATAATGAAGCGTACGACATAAGAAGAAGCAGAAGAAGAAGTAGTAGCGATAGTAATATATTTCGCACCCAATTGTTGCAGCCGCACACTATATACGAAAAGATGGTACTGGTACTACGAGACTTAATACTATGAGTCCGTGGTGATACTATGAGGTTTTGGCAATACTATGAAACTGAAAGGATACTGTAGTAATGCCTCACAATACTACGATAACTGTGATCATACGCAATACACTTGGCACGGACGTACTGCGTGGTATATAAGGTTGTAGTGTACGCCATATACCAAGCGCGACCGATAGAAAAGTGGACCAATATTTATACAAACTCCTACTTTGGTACACAAGCTTATATAGTACTGGCCATACTATACTGGTCCTATCACACTGGTCACAACATACTGGTGACATCACATTGGTCACATTCTACTGATCATACTACACTGGTGCATTATACTGAACATCACTGTACACTGTACACTGTACACTGATCATTGCTCATTACTATCATGAGTTCAAGACAACTCCGCAAGTTGGAGAGACAAAGACTAGAAAACTCAGCAACACCTGAACCACAAGAAGATGTTGATGATAAACCGCAGTTTAACGTACTGAATCCACCAGCTAAGTCGTTCAATGCCTTTGCTTTCCTAAACGATGATGACGTTGATGACAACGATGATGGCAATGAAGATGAGGACAAATCGGATACACAGTATCAACCATTACCAAAGACCGAGTCCAAACCAAAGAAGAAGCTGAAGAAACTGAAGAAACTGAAGTCAGCTTCAAATATCAAGCAAACAGAAGGCAACAGTGACGATGAGCTTGACAAGGTACTTGCGGAACTAGAGAAGGAAAGGGCTTTCAAAAATTCATCACAAGCACAAGAACTGGTCGATCCCGAGGAGGAAGAGGATTGGGAAGAAGAATATGACATTTCAAACGTCCCAGTAGAACATTGTGATGTGGACTTTAAATTTTTTACTACAAAACGATTACAACTGAGCTTATCTCTCCTTTCCATTCAAGATGTCCAGAATTTAGATCCTGATTATGAGCTTCAAGCACTCTTTGGTAAGCTTTCTATGGAAACTATAGATGATGCCAATTCTACCACATCCCTTGCGATTTCTCCTGAAGTGCTTCAACAGTTCAAGAAAATTGCCCGATTGACCAGAGGTTGGGGTGGCAAAGACCGTAAGTCAGTACCAGGTACATCTCGTAAACTCTTATTAACAAGAATTAAAGATGATTATTTGCCCACTACTATCAAACCAATGACAATGGATGAAATATCAGCTCCTGAACCTCTTGTGGAGTATTTCATCTATAAAGAAACAAATATGAATGAACCCAAACTTGAGAGATTCCACTATGAAATCTCCCGGTTGAAGAAAGAATCCTCATCTTTGGGTGTGACATACTTTGAGTTTGGCAAAGTTGATAGTTCTAGTGAAAAGGCAGCAGATGCAATGTTCATTGATGCTGTGGTATTGTATCCTAATCCAGAGGTTCTCATGAGACAACTCCAAACAAATCCGTATCATACGCCGACCCTTTTACAAACTGCTATGGTTCTTTTAAGACAGGGTGATAATAAGCTGGCTGCTAATTCATTAATAGAAAAGGCGCTTTTCACATTTGATCGTTGTTTCCATCCTTCATTCCATACTTTATTGGCAGAGGGGAAAACAGAATTAATAAGATTACCTTATTGTCGTTTTATGAATAGACAGTTTTACTTGTGTTTATTCCGTTACATTATTGGGTTAGGTGAAAGAGCCACATTTTCAACGGGCACTGCTTATTGTAAGTGGCTTTTGGCTTTATCACCTGCAGAAGATCCACTTGGGGTCCGTTATTTCATTGATTTCTATGCTATGAAGGCTGAACAATATAAATATATTTTAAAGTTTGTTGAATCACCATTAGCAACAACTTATGAGCATTGGTTGACTCCCGGACTTGCATTTTCAAGTGTTTTAGCATTACTTCATTTGAATGAGAAGGAAAAGGCTAAAGAAAGATTAAAATTGGCATATAATCGATTCCCATATCTTTCTTATAAGTTGCTTGAAGTTCATAGTCATCAAGACTCTGTGAAATTCAAGGCAACCCCAAGTGCATGTGAAGCTGTTGAAGCGGAAACATATTTGGTTCGGTTTGGAGCACTCTGGGAAAATGCACAACATCGCCAATGGCTTTGTGATGGGCTTGTTGAACTCTTTAATACTCAAACAATTACTTCAGGTCAGAAGAATAAAAAATCCATGTTCTCTGCTCTTCAAGATATGTTGGGACTTACAAATGTCGAACACGAAATACCTTCTAATCTTGTTAGATTTGCTATCCTTTCCGGAGAAGGTCGGATCATGGCCAGATTACCACAAGATATCTTTTCAAGAGATGATATGATGGAATATGATCCTCTCCCTCCCAAGAGTAGTAATGTTGGAGGATCAATTGATGGTATTATTGGAGGAGGTGGGTCTGCCGTCACAGATGTTCTTATGGATTACGTTGATCCACGGTTACTTTCCCAAGCTGTGGAACTGCGTCTTACTGCACCACCAGAGGCATGGTCAGATGAAGAGAACTAATAGACATTATATATTAAATATCACGTTTGTTGTCATGTGATCCTGATCACGTGCTATTTGAGGTTGATCCGCTCCTGATGAAAAATCAATACTAATTTGTATGTACCTCCCATTTACAGCTGTTCACTCGTAATTGCATTGGAGTACATTGATCATTGCGATAGCTCCCATCATTCATTAGTACTCACTCACAACTAATATACAACTTCCAGTATACGAATTGCAATACACGAATTGCGATATACGGCTTCCGATATACGGCATCCATATACGACTCCAGGTAATTACAATATACGAGTGCATACGACCATAGTCTCCAGAACATGATCCTGATAAATATCAATTTGAACGGATGGCAATCCAAATACCAAATTCTGACATTGGTAGTGGCACTTTTAGTCCCCTTGATTTACTATCTTTATGCTCGATATGTTACTTCACGGCCTAATCGGTATAACGGAGCTGAAGAACCCATAAAGTTCCATGTGGCAGTTCCGGAAGCCGCTGCTCCTCACTGGAAGGGGCGTCGATTGAATCCTCCATCCATTAGATTGGCTGATGATCCTTCCTCTATTCAAAGTTACTGTCCTGCTACTGGACAATATTTGGGTACATTTATGGCCCATACTCCATATGATATAGATGACAAGATAGATAGAGCTAGAAGGGCCCAAAAGGGTTACCAAACGACATCATTCATGGTGAGAAGGAAGCTACTCAAAACACTTGCTCGTTACATTGGTGATCATCAAGAGGACTTTGCTAGAGTGGCCTGTAGAGACAGTGGGAAGACAAGAGTGGATGCACTGATGGGGGAGATCTTAGTGACATTGGAGAAACTTAATTGGATCATATCTAATGGAGAGAAGGCACTTAAACCTTCTCAAAGACCTGGACCTGCTCATAGACTCATTGGGATCTTAAAACAAGCTGAGGTTCGTTATGAACCTTTAGGAGTAGTTGCAGCCATTGTTTCATGGAACTATCCATTTCATAACTTGATGGGACCAGTGATTGCCAGTCTTTTCACAGGGAATGCCGTTATCATCAAGTGCTCAGAACAAGTGGTTTGGTCTTCTGTTTGGTTCTTGAAGGTAATTCATGCTGCCTTAAAGCTGTGTGGACTTAATGAAGATTTGGTTCAATTGTGCTACTGCTTTCCTGATACTGCAGATCATTTCACTCTGCATCCTGGGTTGGACCATATAACGTTTATAGGGTCCAAAGCAGTGGCTCATAAGGTGGTAGCCAGTGCTGCGAAACAGTTGACTCCGTGTGTGGTGGAATTAGGAGGTAAGGATGCGGTGATAGTGTTGGATGATGTAACTGACACCATACAATCATTAGCTTCAGTTATTATGAGAGGAACATTCCAAAGTGCGGGTCAAAATTGTATAGGTATAGAGAGAGTCATCTGCTTACCTAAAAACTACGACCATTTGGTGTCCATATTGGAGTCCAGAATCAAGGATCTTCGGTTAGGCTCAGACATTGACCAGTTGGATGAGATCGATGTGGGTGCGATGATCTCAGACAACAGATTCAGTCAACTTGGAGACCTCATTGAAGACGCCCTTGATAAGGGGGCCACCCTCTTACATGGAGGCAAGCAGTATCATCATCCTAACTATCCTCAGGGTCATTATTTTGAGCCTACACTATTGGTAGATGTTACGAAAGACATGAGGATCTTTAATGAAGAAGTGTTCGGTCCTATATGCACCATAGTGCGGTCACGTGATGTGGATGAAGCCATTGAACTTGCAAACAGTACAGAGTATGGATTAGGAGGGTCAGTTTTCAGCAACGACTTCAATGCCGCCAATGACGTGGCCAATAGATTAAAGACAGGCAATGTGGCCATTAATGACTTTGCTACATTTTATGTGTGTCAGTTACCATTTGGAGGCATCAAGAAATCAGGTTACGGTAAGTTTGGAGGTGAAGAAGGTTTAAGAGGTTTATGTATTGAAAAATCAGTGGTTATGGATAAATCTTTATTCAGAGCTTTGGGAGTAGCCACTTCTATTCCTCCACAAATTGACTATCCCATAAAGAATGATACCAAAGCCTGGACATTTGTTTCAAGCTTGAATAAAGCTGGTTATGATACCAGAACTTGGGAAATCGTCAAGGCATTAAAGAAACTTGGAAAATAATACTTGTATTCATATTAATAATTACTAGGCATTAATATGTAACTCGGGACTTGGTTTGGTCACAGCATCAACTAATAAACTAATCACTTGCTTTTGCTTACTTTCATAGTTTTTCTTAATAGTAACCAATTCACTTTCAACCTCGGTGTCAGCTTCCTTTTCAATGGTCTCATTTAATCCAGCATGTTCTTGTTCGTATTTAAGTAATTCATTTTCCTTCAGTTTCTTGTAATCATCAATCTCACTTTGAGCATCGACTTTAGCCGCCTTTAACCGCTCAGTACGGTACTTCCGGGCCTCATTAATCAACTCGGCGGCCTCCTTCTCGGCCTTCAACAACGATTGGATTCCTGATGACATGATTGGTTGTAGTTGGGGTCTGATATAATTGCCAGGAGTAGCCAGTACTGTGTCTTCTTATCGTTTCATTATCGGTAACGTCGACCATGAGTGTGTCTGGTAGGGGCACGACCCGTATTAAACTGGTAACTATAATTAGTTTACATGTTTATGTGATATATATGTATGTATTTATATATGTATGTATTTATATATGTATGTATATATATGTATGTAAGTACGTAGGTATGATATCATTATGATACCTACGAGATGCCCTCTTCATACAGTGGTATCTGGATACCCTAAATCACTGGACTTTGTATCCATTTCCAACCATCACGTGACAATCCGAGGTGTCCCGTGATCACTTTAACCTATAGAGGTTTATCACTCATTGAAGTTCCCTTCAGCAATAAACCGTAACATATATTCATCGGTATGACCAACTCCTGCATCATAATCTGCATCAATGGCTTGAGTATCAACAGCAGCCTTTTCTTCATTCTCAGGAACCTTATGTTCCTCCAGGAAATCATCTTCATCAAGAGCCACTTCCTGCATAGCAGCCTTGGCAGCTGCTCTGTCTTCTTCATCTTCAGCTTGGGTCAAATCATCAGCATTGGCTCCAATGGCACTCAGTGTATTGACACCCACCAATCCTGTATCGTCCAATAAGTCTTTCACTGAAAACTTTCCGAAATAATCAGTGGTAAATTCCCCTTCTTGGATAACCACACTATCCAATTGACGTTTCTGATTGGCTTTCCGAAGTATATTGGACTCAATGGTATATTCAGAAACAAACCGGTAAATATGAACGTCTCTGGTTTGTCCAATTCTATGACAACGATCTTGGCATTGTTTATCCATTGCAGGGTTCCAATCAGAGTCATAAAAGATAACCGTATCGGCCCCGGTCAAATTGATACCCAATCCACCAGATCTGGTAGAAAGAATAAACACGGGGATCTTATTATCTCGATTGAACTTTTCGGTTAACAATTGTCTGTCTTCTATCTTGGTGGCACCATCCAATCTCATGTATCTATACCCATGGATGTTCAAAAACTGTTCTAAAATATCCAATACCTTAGTCATTTGAGTGAAAATTAAAGCTCGATGACCTCCAGCTGTAAGATTCTGAAGCAAGGTAGCTAACTTTTGAAGTTTCCCACAATCATACTGCAATAACGATTTATCAGGGAACGCAATAGATAATTTCACTTGGGAATGGTGGAAGGGGTTGGTAATAGCTCCCTTCTGGACTTCTTCTCGAACTCTATATTGAGTTTGCAATGGTATCAATTGGTCTTTCATATCCAACGTCACCACAGTTGGGGTAAGCACTGAATACTTTTCAATAACATCTTTCATCTTGCTTGTTCTCTCCGGAATGTTCAACACCATTGAATCATAGACGTCAGTTGTAACCTGTTTATTCTTGGTTGCACTTTTAATGAACTCAAGCGTCGAGTCTCCAAGTATAGGCTTACGAGAACATCTCATCTTATTAACATAGAGCATTTGTTCAATCTTATCACGAACTTCCTTCTGTTTTTGTGCCTTGGTATGTCTGTAGTACTCCAAATAGTCAGAAGGGTTTGCACTTTCATAATCTCCTGCTTCCTCAATGAGCTTATCTAACTTCTGAATCTGTTCTGTGAACTCCTTCTCTGTTTGTAACTTAGATATTGACTCAGAAGTGAAATGGTTCAAATTATCATGGCTTGTGATATCCAAATTCATAAAGTTGGTATCAACAGTTTGACTATCGTCTTTTTTAATTAAGTTCTCAAAGATCCGAACCTCAGAGTCATATTTAGAGGAAACACACGATGGAACTGCAAACGAAGTGACTATTGGTCGGACTTCAAACAAATCTGGATGGTTACAAACTTTTCTTAATTGCATCAAACAATTAATAATCGAAAGGAAATTACCAGAAGCCAAAGTTTCTCTAGTCTTTGCTCGTGACATGAAATCATCATAAAGAAATCGTTGTCTCTTGGATAATCGACAATACACAATGTGTTCGTACTTCCCAGGCATTTGCTTCTCAACATCTTTCTTCAAACGACGTAACAAATAAGGACGCAAAACCTGATGCAATCTGGCCACTGTGGTTCTTGTTTCTTCATCCATTCTATCCATTACTGTATCATCATCAGTGATTAAATCATTGGTACCACCTTTGGATGTTTGTTCAAGAATCCTATCAACAGGTCTTCCAAACCATTGCTGGAAGTCTTCAAAGTTAGCAAACCCATCTGGCATTGCCTGGTTCATTTTGGAAGAGGGCATCAAGAAATAAAGCAATGACCATAACTCCATTAAATTGTTCTGTAATGGTGTACCAGTTAAAAGCAATCTGTTTTCAGTATTGAAATTAAGCAAAGCCTTCCATCTTGTGGATCTGAAGTTCTTGATGTTATGTGCTTCATCAAGAATCATATATTTCCAACGTCTTCTTTTAAACGACTGGTGATCATGAACAACCAATTGGTATGAAGTGATGCAAACATGGAATGCATCTGGTTTATTCCAACCTTTCCTCTTCTGGGCCCTTTGCTGTGGTGAACCGTAATAGGTCAACACTTTGAACCCCGGTGCAAACTTCTTGAATTCCATCTCCCAATTCAACATAACTGATGTTGGAACAATAATTAAATGTGGTCCCCATACATGGTGTTCACATGCTAAATAGGATAGCAAAGATATGGTCTGAATTGTCTTACCAAGACCCATTTCATCGGCTAATATACCATTAGTGTTATTGTTGTATAAACTGGCTAGCCAATTTAAACCTTGCTTCTGATAAGGTCTCAACGTTCCCCTTAGCAATGATGGAAGTGGAACATCTCTAACTTTGGTTCCATTGACCTCTTCCTCTTCAAATACAGGCTCTTCCAAGGGTGACTTCGGTGTAGTGGGCTCTTCTTCATCTTCAGTAGTCGATGACATATTATTATCATCATCATCCTCAGAAACTGACATGCTATCCACACTCATATCGTCGTCATTCTCAAGTGCATCCCCAAATAATGCTCCCAATGAGCTTTGCTTCTTTTCAAAAGCTTCTTCCTCTGTTGATGATAATGCTTCCGAGTCAGAGTCAGAGTCAGAACCGGAATTCGTACCCGAGTCAGTCAAACTACCATCAGAGTCTGATTCCAAAAGATTCGCATCACCTTTCTCTGAAGCTTCAATGATTAACTTCTGTTCTTCGCTGTAACCTTCTGGTTGAGGAGTTAGCTCAATTATTTCACCATTGTATAAGGCTCCTATTCCATGAGACACATCTAAGTCACTTTCGTCATCATCAGAATCTGCAAAAGTTGGTAATTTGGTGGCGCCATTCATTTTCTCTGATACTGATTCCGCTTCCATTTCTACGTCCGACGTTTCTCCACTATGCAAGTTTGAATACTTCACTCTTAATTGTTCAACTGTTAATTTAGAGTCATCCATGTCAATGCTTTCCTTGCTCTCATCTTCTGATTCGTTAGAACTAAGTTCATCGTCAGAGTTTATTCTCTGATCCAATTCTTCTTCTTCTTCTTCTTCTTCTTCTCCTTCTACTTCTTCCTCATTAGTAGGCGTGGCAGAGGCTGAAGTTTTGGACAATTGGGCCTCTAACAATTGAGTGGAATGCTCTAGCATTTGACTCAAATGTTCTCTTCCCTTTATTTTCTTCAATTCTTCTTCCTTCTCCAGTTGAAGATATCTGTAAACCTTATTAGCTTGCATCCATCTCTTCCTAACTGCTTGAGCTATCGTTCTAGCAATACGCTTCAAGTTTTGTTCCTGTTCTTTGGCTAACCTTTCCTTTTCACCCTTCTTCTTCTTGAAGTGTTGCTCAACCATCTGGGCTATCTTACGTGCTCTCAACTGATGCTGCTTTCTCATTTGTTGGTGGATTCGAGAAAAGGATGCACCTTGAGATAAAAGGTGGTCAATATGAGTGGCATTATTTGAGTTACCTTGTATTTTTGGAATGGTATACCCGTTAGCCCTAAAGGGATCCAATGCTTGTTTAACATGTGCTTGTGGAAGGACTGTTTTCCGTTGCTCTATCTTATCACCATGTAATACTAACCGGCTTTCCACATTTACCTTTTGACGCAACTTATGCATTAATCTTTCCTGTTGTTGCATTATACTTTCGTATTCCTCTATGCTTCCAGTGTAGTCGACCTGGGCTGTTTCATCAATAATGGCAACTTTGTTCGTTTCCAAATAGTGTTTCAACTTTTGGTCAATTATAGGCACCGAAAATTGTTTTGAACTTGATGATATAACCTTTAATGGCTCGGGATGGAAATCTATTATTTCACGATTATGGGATCCGTTCAACACGTTCAACATGTTGTCTTGGTTTGTTTCCGGTTGCCATCCAGGGATGTGCGATGGATGTGTAACTAGTGGAGGAGGTATGGTATAAGTTATAGCTTTTAACTTAAAATCTGTATCAGGGCATTCAAAGTCGGATTCTTGAGGATCATCATCTAATTGATTCACCAATTCAGATACATCTTCATCTTGATCCTCATCTTGATCGTCAACTGCGTCTTCTTCATCATTTTCCACCACTTCTTGTTCCTCTTCGTCGTCGTCCACTTCTTGCTCTTCTTCATCATCTTCAACTTCCTTCAACTGTCTCTTTGTTATTTTCCCGTTGGCTTTCGCTTTGCTCTTGCTCATTTGCGGTTTCTTTACGTACTTCAGTTTGCTTTGCTCAACCTCTCGCAGTTGTTCTGCGACTTGCAATATGTGCCTTTCTCGCTTAATGCTATCCTCTATTACTTGCTGGCGGAAGGGGAACTTGGAATCTAGAACAAGCTCTCGTTCTGCCAATTTCTTCCGTTGGAATCTCAAAGGCAAACTCTTTAGCTCGTCATCGTCTTCTATGGCCTCATCCCATTTGAGCACATACCCAGACAACTGCAAAAAATCGTTGAACTGTCCAACAAGATTAGATGATGAAGCCGTTGATGTATTGAGATCGCCTCCATAATAAGGACTGATTTCCAGTGGATTCCAAAATACTATGGACCCATACTCTTTAAGTTGAAATAGCTCATTGGCAAGCAAACTAAAGTCCGATCTTAATTGTACCAATCGTTCTTCCTTTGTAGCTTTATGTGTACTAGCAGTCGTACTAGTAGTGGCATCTATGACTTTCCTGCGTTTATTTTGAGTTTTCGTCGCGGTCTCACCACCAGAAGACCCGTGAGAAGGCTCTAGAACGCCAGATTCCGCTATTCTTTTGCTTCTCCGACGCAGCAGGGTCGATGTCATTGTTTATATTGAAGTCTATAGCTTCAGTACCAGGTAACTTTATTACTTTAATTGGATATGTTTTAGGGTCAAGTGATTATATTTTCATTTGACTTTTGATTTTAGCTTAAAGCTCGAATTTTTCGGTAATATATGCAGGTATTTGGTAGCGCGTCTAAATTGTATAACATACAACTGTTAATGAGTAGTTATATTTACATGATAACATATTAATATGTATTTAGTTCTGTGTGAAATAAATATAGCTGAAGCAATATTCAATCTAATGTACAGCCTTTTTGTAATCGCCTTTAAGCTTTGACAAAGTCCTTATTGGCTTCTAAATAAGCAGCCTTGTTTGCTTGAATATCGGCATCAGGTGGTAACACACCACATTGTTCTTCAGCAGATTTATCCACGTTGGTTCTAAACAAATGAGCATTCTCATCATCTGTAGCACCCAATTGTTTAGCCATACCATCATATGGATATGATCTTGGAGCAGCTGGCTTAGCTGGTGATAAATCAAAGTAGTAGATTCCTCCAGCAAATGCAAAAAATGACCCAAATAAGTAGAAAGAGTACTTCCAGAAGGTACTAACACCCAAATGTCCTTGTAATAATAAATCTGGGGACCACATATCGTATAAATCATGATCCATGTTCAAAGGGTCATTAAAATTTCTTCTCATTTGTTGATCGTCATACTTGGCATAAGGATCTTTCAATTCACTATACTGTACTGGGTAATCGGGATAATCTCCATATTCAGGGTGTTCTGGATCCAGTAACTTGATGGTTCTAAGAGTGTGTTGTTCAGTGATGGTTGAGGATGGTCCACTTCCTAATTGTCTGGTCATAACACCACCAATGACTCCAGCCCTTTTATAAGGAAGCATTTGCTTCATTCCTCTCAAGCCTACTCTGGAAAGCATTGTATTGTTATTATTAGTATTATTATTTGATGTAGTAGTGAAGATTATCTAATTTTACCGTTACTATCAAAAATTTTCCATACATTGAAGAGAACCAATGAAAGTCGAAGTATAGGCAATTCGTGGTTGGTGCACGACTATTGATTATGGGAAGAATAAAGCTACCAGATAACTTATACGTAACTACTATTAAAAATAATAAGTATATAGTATGATATAGATGTGGGCAGAGTTAATGAATCTGCTAAGAAATTGTAGTATATATAATTGTGGTGGTTTTGTAGAGTAGTAATGATATATTGGAATCGCAGTAGCACACACCCCAAGGATCATTTCAATTTATCCTCCCTTCTTATACCATCAAGAATATCCTAGTAAATATATATGTAACAGTTGGATGTAGATACGACGCCAGACTATTTTATTGCTTTGGTTCTTCACCAAATCTGTGTTGGTATATCTTATCAAAGTGAGCATCAGCATATTCATGTAATCCACCCCAACCCTCTTGGTTCTCAGCAACATATTTGGCAACAGATGCCACCACCATATAAGCAGGAATAAATGCTAATAACACGCTAGCATTACGAGCATTCCAGTACTCGTGTACTGCTGGAGGATCTATGTTGAAGTTGTACTTGTTGGTGAACGAAGAGGCCTCAGATGCACCAGCAGCATGTCCGTGTCCGTGTCCATGTGAATTAGATTGGAATCTCTTAAAGGCTAATCTACCTTGTGCTTGTACTCTTCTGAACATAGTTAGATGTGGATATACAATAGGACTATTAGTGTATTGGTGGTATTAAACATCTTATAGGAAGTTGAATATGAAATTTTCCACCAATAAAAATCTATAATTCGTGTTTGTGTCAGATGGTAGCGTCTTTGGTGTTAGGGTGTGTTCATATATAAGGGATAATTGTATACGTTTTGCAGCCATGTCTAATACCCTATCTCTTTTATTATGTATCATGATCTGTTCAATAGGAGTACTTGAATTGGTGAGCTCAGATGTTAAGACTAATAGGCTGGTGATTCCTATTGATCAACACGATATCATCAGAATCGGCAGAAGCAAACAACTATGTGATATCATTATAAATAGTATAAGGGTATCACTGTTGCATTGTATGATCTGGAGTGTCAAGTTTGACAAGGACACTCCAGCATTGGTTTACATCAAGGATATGGCACTCAATGGTACCACAGTCAATGGCGAGATGTTAGGTAAAGGAACCACTCGAGTGCTTGAGAACTTGGATACCATTGAGATCCAATCCCTGGTTCAAATTGTATGGAAGAGATTGGACGAATTAGAAATAGATTTAGGCTTGGCCTTAGATATAGATATGGATATAGATCGTAGATTATTTTCCCATGTTGCTAAAGTCCTGGATTGGACAATAACAAATACCATAGTTGGTTCTGGATCATATGGTACGATATATGTTGGTCATAACTCAAGATATAGTACTCTATTTGCAGTTAAGGTGATTAGGAACTACTCTAGTGATGCTAGAAAGAGAATTATACATGAATCACAGTTGCTTACAAAGATATGTCATCCCAATATCATTAAAGTACATGATACTCATGTTAGAGGATCACATCTCTATATTATGGAAGATCTCATTTGTGGTGGAGACCTTTTCTCTTACTTAAGTAATGGTACTAAGTTAAGGACATTGCCTGAAAGTGAAACAATCTTCATCATATACCAATTGTTGCAAGCTTTGGATTACTTACATAATCATCTTAACGTGTTGCATAGAGATATTAAGTTGGATAACGTTTTATTGGACTTGCCTGTGCCCGGATCTAGGGTTTACCTTTGTGACTTTGGTACTGCTAAACAGTTGTCTTCAACATTACAAAGAACACGTACTGTGGTTGGTACAGCTGAGTATTTAGCCCCAGAGATATTCAATTCCATTGAATCTACTTGTTCTGGCTACAACAATAAATGTGATATGTGGGCTTTAGGGGTCATGTTATGTATCATGCTTTCAGGTATTTCACCATTCGCTCGTGATGATCATCATACAAACCATATGTTACTCATTGATGGGTTTGCACATATTTCCAAGCAATCAAAGAACTTTGTTAAAAGACTTCTATACTTCGATATTAGAAAGAGGATGTCTGTAACAGATTGTTTGAAGCATGTGTGGATCACAGGTAATGAAAAGAGATTGGCTTCAAAGTATTCTAAAGTGTGTCAAGTGAGAAAAAAATGAGCATTATCAAATTGCATCACCCAACTTGAGAAGAGTCAAGCGCAAGCATATAAAAGTGTATAATTATGTCATATCGTGGTAACCAAGCATGGCAGCCCCCTCAGGGCAGAAGTGGGTATCACAATCAACAGAATGGCTCTTACAGAGGAAATTTTGGTGGTAGAAACTCAACTTACCATCAAGGAAGAAATCACTATGATGGTCAACAATCACTGGGCTATAGAAGTGGTCAAAATAATTATAAACAAGGAGGAGAGCAATATCCACAACAACAACAACAGCAACTGCGTTATCAGCAGCATTCTCAGCAGCATCAGCAGCATTCTCAGCAGCATCAGCAGCATCTACTGAATCTGCCTGAAAGGGACTCATATCGGCAAAGACAACAACGATTCCAAAGTCCTCCCCAAACTCAAATGCAACTTCATCATCATCAACAAGATAATTATGGGAATCATAGTAAATCCATTGAGAGTTCAAGTTTAACTAATGAAGGTGGTGATAATCGAATGGGATTTCAACATAAGAATCACCAACAATCACATTTTGGTGGAAGAGAAATGCAACGAAATAATTATTCCAGTTTCTACAATCGAAACAACAATTCTTCACAACAAAGATACTCTGGAGATACCAGGAATCAATTATGGATGGGCGACATTGACCCTGTATGGGACGAAGAAGCTATAATGAATATTTGGAAACTCGTGGGGTTTCAGCCAACTAATGTTAAGATTATGAGAGATAGGAATGCGGATAAAGCATATAAAGGTAGAAGTGATTATTGTTTTGTATCATTTCCTGATCCCCAAGCAGTTCTGAACGCAATTCAAAAGAATGGTACTCAGATTCCGGATACTCAAAGAGTATTCAAGCTTAATTGGACAAACCAAAGTAACCATCAACTGGGGGATCCTGGGATGAGAAATCATAACCCAAATTCACAAACTGGTGGAGGTCAATTTAGTAAAGGAGGAAAGCCTGAATTTTCTCTATTTGTGGGTGACTTAGGAGGTGATGTAACGGATGAGTTACTTTATGAAGCATTTGAAAAGGCATTTCCTAATCAGATTTTACAGGCAAGAGTTATGTATGATCCAACTACAAAACAATCAAAGGGATTTGGGTTTGTTAAAGTTACGAACCAGACTATTCAAAGTAATGCAATCACCGAAATGAGTGGATTTGTAATTAATGGTAGACCAATTCGAGTTGGTCTAGCTTCCGGAGGTGCTAACCGTGGTGGTCCAATAACTTCAACCTCCTCCACCTCCACCACTTCCTCCAAATTTAATACTATTGAGAATGATACTATTCCTATCCTGCAACAATATCAGCCTCCACTCAACCAGTTTACCGATCCTAATAATACTACATTGGTTGTGAAAGGGTTATCAAGCAAAGTGAGTGAAGATGAGCTAAGTGCCTATTTTATAGCCTTTGGTGACATTGTTCTTTGCAAATTATCATACGATTTGAACACTGGTTACGTCAAATTTTTGACTAGGGAAGCTGCTGAAAATGCCATATTGCACATGCATGGCATCACCATATGTGGTTGCAGATTAGTTGTTACCTGGGGTATTATTAATCTGACAACAGATGAAATCATACAACCACCAGAATATCAAAAGTGTCCACCACCTCCAGGAGTAGCAGGAAAATTAGGACCAATCAATATGTGTTTCCATAAGCTCACAAAGGAAGAGTTACTGCAACTCGATTTCTTTCGTGATAATGAGCCACTCACTGTTCCTCAAAGCAACAAGCTATACATTGCTCGTCAGTCTAAAGTGCACACTATACTTGATGAAGCTTTACTTTGAAGAGATATGATCTTCCTCAATCACACCAGGACAGTTCTCCGTAAGATCTTGGATGTCAATGTACCGTGTTCCGCAATACCAGCAATACGAGTGTTCCTGTCGAAGATACTGGAGTAGATCTAATAATGATTCCATTGAAGGCAACATTGATTTTGACTTTGATTCTTCGTCTTGTTGTAATGGTTGAATAGGGGGGTTAAAAGCAATACTTGTATCTATTCTCGTTCGTTCATGTTGTTTAAGTTTCAGTTTTGCCAGTTGCTCCAAGGCATAAGACCTCCAAAGTATATTAGTATCTTGTGGTTTAAGGGTATTATCTAAGACCATTTCGTATTCTCCGCTCATATCATAACACAATTTTCTAAGAGCTTTTATCTCAAGGTCCAAGTTCTTTTGTGATTGTGCTTTCTTCAAACGATCTACATAGGAAGCGTATTTAGCGTTCTTCATCTCATTGGTCATTACAGCAGCAGAGTGTGCTCCTATTCCCCTACGATCTAGTTTCAAGTGAACAGAAGCACCTACTGGTTCTTGAAGGGTTGGGGTATTTGCATTGAACCCCATTTTCTCCATCATGGTATGACCTATAGACTTGTGTTTTGACTGGAACAACGATGTACGAGCAGCACTAGTTGGTACTGAATGTGGTTCAATAGGGTACTTCATATAGTCGTCATCATCGTCATCATCATTCGTGGTATTGAGATGAGGTACTTTGCGTTTCTTAACAACTGGAGTCTTGGAACGCTCCTCTTCTTCTTCAGCTTCCTCCCCCTCACCAAAGATGTTTCGTCTCATTGACTGAAGGCATGCTCATAGTGAAGCATCTTTCTGTTAATGATACCAATGAGGAAATCAGTGTGAAAAAAAATCATACCAAAAAATGTTGATAGTGCACTACAAATTGAGACACTATCATCAACTCAATCCAACGCAACTGACTAGTCAAGACACAGTTCCAGAGTCATTGGTTGATGTCGACTTCCCGTCATGCATCATAGAAAAGATAAGAGTTTCCCGTTGTCAATGCATGTATCTCGTGTAGGATCATCCACTAGACTAAGTCTGATGAACACTACCTCCAATCCATCTACTCCTTCCTCATATGTTGTGAGTTCCTTGAATCCCACCAAAAACCTTCCGTTCACTTCTTCATCGTTCAACAGCAGGATCACCACTAAAGATGAGTTGGATCGGTTTGAGAAGTTGCCAATGGTGCAGAGTATCAACTCCCTTGAAAAAACATTGACATCACTCACCAGTCGTATATCGCTATTTAAAGAAGATGGGCTTAAGGATGATGTTGATAAGTTTGTTGCATATAGCCAGGAGTTACTGGATGAATTGGACAAACTAGAACATCATGCTCAATTAGGAGGAGCCATTGATAAATTGGAAGATGAAAATGATACTTTGGATGATTTGGGGAAACTGATACTCAAAGAGTTATTATCATGTCGAGAAGCATTGAAACGACTTCCCAGATTGCCTGCTTCTAAACGAAGTGACAAGAATCTTGTTGATCCATTGGTTGATGTTAAGGAAGTATTGAAGTATGCTATGAAATTAGCCAAATTTACAAGAGCTCCAGCAACTATGGCCAATGCTCTGTTTCAAATCCATCCTAATAATTATATATGGCCAGCAGAAGATGCTCTTCGAAAGGGCATGTTGGCCATGAGTTCGATACATAGTGAGGAGCTTATCAAGATGGAAATTGGAGAAGAACAGGATGTCGACATGAAGGAAGAAGCAGAACCAATAGAAGATAAAATCATCAAACACAAGTTGCCAAAGGAAACGGAAGGTTCATCGGATTTAGGGCTTCTTCATAGAAAGAATTCGTTTGGTAATTATGGAACAAATATATCAATGGAAAATAAACCACCATTGGATGCTACTAATGAGAATGATAAGAATGATGATGATAACAAGAATACTAGTACTACTGTCAATGCGCTTGATTTAGATTTATTTGATCCTGATGAAGATGATTATTCAGATTAACGTCATGGTTTATTTTTCAGAATGATTATGATTACCAAAGAGTTCACTTGGATGATCAAAGGTATTTTTTGCATATTGACCACCCAATTTATAATCAAGTTCCAATTGACTTGAATATAATTGATTTGAATCCAAATGGTCTTTAACCAATTGAACAAGACCATCAATAAAGATTTCATTCCCATTCAAAGACTCTGCTCTTTTAATCTTTTCAGGATATTCCACTTCGGTTGGTAATTCAATGTCTAATTCGTGCAATGTTTCAATATGATCTGAGGTGAAGGCCACAGGAATAATAATAACTCCCAGAACATCTCTTCTATCTGTTAATTCGCCAACTATCTTAACGGTTTTAGCTCCAAGCCAAGGTTTAGGTCCAACTTGTGATTGCCAAGTTAATCTATAAGGAAATTGAAACTTTAATTCCTCCATAATAGAATACACAGTAGCTGCCACTTCTGCAGGATAAGAGTCACCTCTATTAACAATATCCATAGGTAAAGAATGAGCCAGGAATACCAATTGAATATCTTTTTGATCTTCAGGTTTAAACTCTTTAACCTTTTGTAGAATATGTTGAGCAAAGGCCTTGACCAATCCGGAGTTCCGAGGCCATCTGTCGATTGTAGTCCACGTGATCTTCCGGTCCGGATCTAAGGCTAAAGTTTGTCTATACAATTCATTAAATGAAGACCCAGTAGTAGCAAAGGAGAATTGAGGATATTGAGAAAATGCAACGGCTCTCGTAACTCCGTCATCAAGCATCTTTTGCATAGTTTCTTCCGTTAAAGGATGAGCATATCTAAAAGCAACATATGGTTTATGTGGGGCCGATTCCGGTCTTGTCGCATCAAGTTTTTCGCACACTTTCCGGACCTGATACTCGGACCATTTCCTAATTGGGGACCCACCTCCGATCTCCGCATAGTTCAGTTCAATCTGTGGTGTTCTTCTATAAGTGATGAACTTAGCCAAAGGATATTGGAGCATACCAAAGGGAATGATATCTCCGTCGGAGAATAACCGAAAGAGGAAGTCTCTAGTCTCAGCAATAGTAGAAGGTCCTCCCATATTCATAAACACAACACCGGTACCAGCGCTACTACCACTGCTTGCATTAGTACTGGCTGTAGCAGTACTGGCTGTCGTACTGGTAGTGGCTGTAGTAGCACTCGTTGAATTCATTCTGTATGAAGAGATCACCCTCTTCCCCCATTGCTTCCCCACACAATTCTTATATAGACGTAATGGAATCATCTTGCTCGAGTATGTTGTTACGTTGAATTGAATTATAAGAAAATCGTATAAGTACATTTGATTGTGGGTGGCAAAAGGTTTACGAATAATTGTAATTTCTATCACGTGATGCTTTGAAAAATATGTCACGTGACTGGCGAACTGTCTAACTACTAAACATGGCTGCGACTTATTTAATGTTCATTCATTATTCATTTCTATACATGTGGATCATTCTGTCTTCTTTGGATCAGCATCCTCTTTAGCATGCTGGAATATATCATTCATTTCAGCAGTGAAATTGGCATAAGCTTCGCGTAAACCTTCAAAATCATCATCCTTAAGAGATCCTCTCCGAGCACGGAATGATTTCCATGATTCTCCAATCTCTTGAAGTTCTCTTTGAACTTCCTCTTTATCGTATTGTTCCAAGTCTTCAATGCTGGGAAGACCAAACGTTGGCACTTCTTGTTCCTTGTCAATGACTTTAGGAACCGGTGCAACTTCATTGGCATTCTTCTCCACGTTCTTGTCTGTTGTCAACTCAGGTTCACTTGTCTTCTTCTTCTGTTCTTGAATTACAGCACTTGCATGGTACCTCTGTAAGAATTGAGTCACTTGCTTCTTATATGGACCCCTGAACACAAAGAATGTCAATCCAATTATCCCATGTAACCAGAAATATACTGTGAACCAACAGTAAATAGACTTACCAAAGTCTAAGATCACAAACGGTTGAACTGCATATCCAAAGGCAAGCTGAGTGATGATATAGGATATAATGTCGTAAAATACCTTTGTGGGTTTAGGAGTTTTCCCATCTGCTTCCATGAATATGGGCCTAAAGTTTCGTCTGTAGATCTTTCCAAGCGTTTGAAGGAATGCTCCAACAATAAACGTAAGATAATATCCAGGACATGTGCCATGCCAGAAAGCACTAGTGGAGAATGTAAATAATGTACTCTTGAATCCAGGTTTCTGCCCCTTCTTAGCAATACGAACATAAACATAATTCTTAAGCCATTTGTTGGTGTTCATGTTCCATGCTTCCAAACATGCACGTACATTCTGGCCCGTTTCAAAAGCCCATTCATTGATATTCTGTACTCGATCCCATTTAAAAGAATCAGTATCACTGTCGTATCCATTGTATCCAATACCACATAAAATACACGCACCTTCAGCTATGGACCAAATAGTGTAGTATTTCAATCTATAGGTGAAACCCAAACCCCACATATAAAAGATCCGGTAGATGAAATTATGCTCCTGAAATAATTGACCATTAAGAATGTAATCAAGTGAAAGATACTTACTTGAATTGACAAACAAAAAGGCCCAGAATATTCCTCGGAGCAACTTATTCAAAGCCGGCTTACCACTACGAGGAATCCGTCTTTTACGAGCACCAGGACGTTTATCTTGTGGAACATCATCGAACAATGTGGAATGGATAAACTTATCGTAATCAGCATAGTCAAAAGCTGGTCCTGTTAAAACAGAAGCATAAAAGAAAACATAACCCAAATAAGGAAGTATATTGGGATGTTTCAGTATTTTTCTTTCTTTAGCGTAATCAGAGAGACTCAGTAAACTTTGTTTCCCATCATAAATGTTCCAACCAAAAGCTGTCAATTTCATCACCATAACCATTTGAGCACCCGTGATGTCAACGTCATCAGGGGCTGTTTGACCAAAAAATTGGGCCTTAAGATGATTGTATGCCAAATGTGACATCAAGAATATAAAATTGATCCATGGCATAGTAGAAGTCTTGACATAACGGGTGATGAAATAACATCCTAATGCCGAAAATAAAAGATTCCAAAGCCCTGACCATTCATTAAGAATCCCAATAATGTAAAATGATGATACTCCGATGTTGAAAAGATTCTTCAATCGATAGTTGTTATCAGGTAACCGTTTGAAAATATAACTAAAGGGGAATGATAAAGCTGCACAAATCAATATCTTTAAGTTCCCTGCATCAAGGCCGGTGGACACCAGCAATTGCTTTATTTCATCTTGGAAAACGCCCAACATCTTCCCGTAGATTGAAATCGATACTTGCCGAGTGGTTCGAGGCGTGTAGGCAAGCTGTTTCGAGTGTGTATTCCTTTCTCCCGTGTGTTGATGATGCGCTTCTCAATCATGATTTGATCTTTGCACGACTTCTGTGTGAAGGTTCTTAAAACTGTGGCTTACTTTATAATGCCTTATCTCTACTCCGATCTAGCCAGTACCATCTTATACCCTCCTTCAATGGCTTGGTTAATAAGATCATTCTTATATGGAATGTTGTTAAGCACAAAAGCAACGTCATCCCATTGAGTTTGCGATTGGCATTTGTTAAGTCTAACCAATAATTTTTCAGCCAATTGTTTCTGTTGCTTCTCTTTAGTAATAAACAGAATCAAAAACTTAACAATACGTTTCATGGCATCTTTAGATAGACTTTCATCTGTAGAAAGACCAGAGAAAATATCAATGAACCCATTGTAAATTGCATTATCTTTAGAAGCAAGTTCAGTAAAGAATAATCGACACATATCGCTAATACCTTGATCAGGATTCTCAAGACATTTAGCCATTGATGATAATTGGCCCTTAACCTTGACTTGACCAGCAAGAATAAGGAACGTAACAGTCATTAAACATGTTCTTTGCACCATGATGTTATCATCGGTAAGTCGGCCATATAATGATTCGGTATTTTCATCCACTAAATTATTGAAACAAACTGCCATGTCTCCCAATCCAAGTATACAGTTACATCGTATGATGGGGTCTTCAGAATTGTGTAAAATAGATAGCAACAGTTCAAGATTATTATCACAAAACACAGACGAAATGCACATCAATTTCACCAAGCAAAGTGTAGCTGATCTTTGTAATTTAACAGATTTATAGGTTTCAACATTGGTACAAATCTCAATCACCATTTGTCCATATCTTCCAAGTAATGAATTCTCCCCAAAAAGTAATTCCTTCTCTTTAACATGTATTATGACATCGGCAAAATCATCCTCTGAGGTTCCACCAATCATTGCTAGTTCACTCTCTTTGGTCTCCTTGGTGTGCTTGCTTGCTTCGGAATCATGTTTCTTCTTTTTAAACAAACCTTCTAGTTTCTCCAAGTACACAACAGTCTTGATGGACGTATGTCCTACCATGAATAGAAGTTGAGATAGCCCTATCTCTTGTTGCTCAGATAATAATTCTTTGAATACTTGATTTGTCTTAACTTTCAAAATCTCAGAGCAAATGCTATCAGGGTTGGGAGCCACAACAAATATAGCTGCAATAGCTTGCTCAGCAACACTATACCATTCTGAACTGTCGTGATATAGAATTAATACTCTCTTCAACTCCAGAATGATTTCCTTTTGTTTGGGGATCTCAAACATTGTAGATGATCTAATAGGATTCTTCCCTGGATCACATACAATTCTTTGTAATGCAATACATGAATACTTGCAAATATTCAAATTATGAATCCCAATCTCTCCCAAACCAATGGACAAAATGGACTCCACACCCTTTTCAATCACGGTATAATCTTCAAGACCCAACATACCTAAAAGAATTATGGCACCGTATCGTTGTTTCAAACCATGTGGTGATTCAGTCTCATCTCTGAATCTATAAATCTGCCACAAGACACTTACAACATGAAAGTTGATCAAGTTATCCTTATACATCAACCCTATCAATTTTTCCAAGGACGCAAGATCAGCAATCGATGCTTTGCAGCATAAGTTGATTAAATTCTTAGTGATAAAAGTAGCCTTCTCAATAGCTGATAATTCTGGTGGGGCAGTCAAGAACAATATTCTGTAACAATCAATTAAATGAGCTGGGATTGACTTCCCTTCATCATTGGACCCTTTCATCCAAACCAAATGTAACATACGTCTAACTCCCTCTTCAGCATTCTGAATACCATAAGAATCAGCAAGAACAAGGAAATCCATGGCATCTAAAACTTCATTTCTGTTCCTAGAAAATAGAAGCCTGGTAGCAGATTCTGTTCCCTCGTGAGTTAGTTTTATGAAAGCAACTGCATCGTAATAGTAATTAACTTCAAATTTAGCACGATAATACTCTGCCAAATCCCCGTCAATTTGACTCTCTTGCTCTTGCTCAAGAACAGAGTTATCAATTTCACGCTGTATGGCATCTGTGCTGTCTTCGTCATCATCTTCCTCATTATCATCGTCTTTTTCTTTTTCGTTTTCGTTTTCATCAATTTCCATTTGGTCTGGGTCCTCCTCCTGATTTTCCTCTTCCTTTTGCTTTAGTTTCTTCTTGAGCACAGCAGACCTTTCTGTTTCACGTTCGTTAAACTTATCTGCCATGGTCGTTAACCGCTCCAGCCAATCATCTAAATTCAACTTACCTTCAAACTGACCGAAACTATGTGTTTTGATTAACTTGCTCATTAGTTTCATGGCATTTCTTCTGACCAAAGTACTTCTATCATCTGTAGAACGGACTGTTATGCGCATCAATTGGATTCTTCTTGTCGAAAGATTGATTTCTTTATCAAGCACCTTACCAATTGCCTGGAATGCTTTACTTCTGGCAAATGGATTTTGATCTAATGTACGAGCCTCCAATAGATCTAATAATTTATGGATATGTTCATTGCCATGCTTTTCATCCCACTCCGCTTCATCTTGTTGTTCTCTAATAATTAAATCCACCGCCACATTCCCACAAGTTTCAATAACAGCACACCGTAAAGTATAATTGGAGTTGTCAAGCAATTGTGAGATACATGAAAGTTGCTTGAGAATCACACGGGGTCCAACTTCAGATAATCGAACCAAAAAATCAGATATGGCACGAGGACCGTTATTATCATTGGCATTGAATTGAGCTTGTGACACTTCACGAAGTACTTCTTCAGTAAGCACCATATAATCATAATCACATGCAATCATATTACATAATTCAGCCATAAGCGGTGGCAAATGAGCATAATATGTAAGGTTTTGAATAATCCCATGTTTAACATAGTTAGCATGGCCTTGTCTCTTTACAGCGAGTGCTAATGATCGAAACATACAATGACGGATCTCTTCCTTTTTCATTCTTTCTGGGCTCTCCATCAACCCGTTTATGGGACGAGAAAATAACTCCACAAACAAATCCAATTCGGGAGTGGTTTGAAACACCATGGATAACTTGAGTTCTAATACCCTCTCAACGCCCACCAAGAGACTTAATACCATTTCACAATTATCATTCCATTTCTGTCCAGCTTCAGTATTCTTAGTCCCTTTACCTTGACCTTTACTATGATCTACTTTTGATAGGATTCTTAAAAGTACAAACACCAAATATCCATACTTCTCCAAGAGATCTCGAGTGGATTCTATGTAGTCACTGACATCACCACTGTCCAATCTCTCACTGGTTAAACGACATATCACCTGGAAAGAAGAGCCTATCATGTATGTGAGCTGCTTCTGATGTCTTATCTCAAGTGCTTTGAAACCATGAACCAAATCTAGAACTTCTTCAAAGAGTTCATGGTTGAAGCTTACACCTTCGGGATTGGGAGTAAGAACTGCAGTGATCTCCTCCACTTTGACTTCCACGTCCCCCAAACTGGTTTCCGGCTCTTTTTCGGCGTCAAAGCTCGCAAAGTACGTGGATAAATGGAAGTCCATGATAGGTATTGGGCAGCTGCTTTAAATAGAGTGTCGCAGTAGTGGTAGCTGGTTATTATTTTGCATCTTATGTTTGTATATTGATTTTGATCTTGTTGGTACACGACTATTTTGATTTTACGCGAGTTGTCTAGTGGTGTTTTTTTGGCTTGTGTACGGCTATATAGGCAACCATAGTATAGGCTAAAATTATCGTACATTCGTGTATTATATCATATGGCATACATTGTTTAGTCCTTCAACTTGGCATAGCCTTTAACGAGAGCCCTGGAAGTACCTATTCTTTCATTTTCAATCGCCGTAAGTAAATCCTTCATGGTTATAGCAGCACCCGTACGAATTTCTCTAAAACGAAGTCCATTATCTCCTCTACGCGATATTATTAGACTTTTCTTACCCTTCCCATCCTTTTCACTTGAAGTTTCATCACTTCCAGCTCCAGAAGTTGCCCATGAATACTTTTTCTTCCCTGTTGTCATCATTGCGGCTGTAGCGTTTGCTGCTCGATGTAATGTTTCTTCTGCACCAGCTTTGTTATCTTCGTCACCATAGCCATTCTCAGAGCTTTTCTCCAATCCAAGAGCTATTCTCTTTAATACTCTCTTTTCTTCTAATTCCTTTTGTTTGTTGGCCAAGTTCCGAAGTTCTCGGGAGATCTCGGATCGGGCAACAGTAGGAACATTCTTAGTACGGTGCTTCAATGATGATGATACTGTTGATGCAATATTCCTTCTCCGGTGTCTAGAATGTATAACTGTTTTGGTAAGAATATTCGAAAGCCATGTTTCACAAGATGCCAGCATCAACTCCAATATATCCATCTCTATAAAGAAGTTCTGGGCCACTCCATTCTGTTTGGCTATCCTATGCATAAATCCAGCCAAATGGCCCTGATATAAAAATGTTTGAGGAGGTCTCTGTATTCTCATAGGCATACGATAATCACCACGAGGTATATCGTAGCCTCCTCTACGTTCGAGTTGCAGCAGTGCTAAAAGCTCTTCTTCTTGTTGAAGATCGACACCTGCAACGGCAAGTGCGTCATTTAAGTTTCTGGCATCAACAGGTTTATCCCCTGCTCCTCCTTTAACCGCAGATGGCAAGTTGGTGTGAGAATTGGTGCTCCTTAGAATATCTCCTCCACCAAAATACCCTGGGCCTGAGCCTGAACCGGGACCCAATCCTGACTTTGTAAACGCATGTTGCATCTGTGTATTACGCAGTATATCTGTCATAGAATGTGACTTTATCATGTCCACTCCTTCACCACCACTAAACTGTGTTGATGTTGATGTTGGGAACTTTTTACTGACATTGACATTGGCATTTGATGTCATGTTCATCATTGGAATATCATCTAAGAACAGTTGTGTGTCTATCATATCATCAGTTATTGCGTCCAACTCCAAACTCTCTCCACCAAACTCTGCTAAAGGATCAGTGCTAAAGAGTTCATCTAATTGTTGGTCAAGACCAGGTCGTTTGCCATCGGGTGTTTCGGTTTGTGGAGTGTCATTGGTCGTCGCTTCTGATGGCCGTTTTTCGCCAGTACTTCCCTCCATGCTCCCTTTGGACTGAGTTGTTTATAGTCGGAGGTTGAGATTATATGGTAGTAGACGTTATAAGTTTTTGGCGATGTCGACCAAAATACCTGTCACGTGATCACAAAGTAGTTTCTTACATACTTCTTACTTCTTACTTACGTACTTACTGACATAAATTCATAAGCAAGCTTGTATAAGCACACACACACACACATACACATAGATATAAGTATGCATGTACCTTCTACACGAAGAGAAACAGTATCTCTTAGTATTTTAATAGTACAAATAGTTACGCTATTATCGTACTAATAATAATCTCCATGTCACATGATATTTTGCACGTGATAATTTTTACTTTACTTCTTCGATGAGATGAGCTAACGTACTACCATAACCATAACCCTACTCTCTTCCACCACATCCACCATCATGTCCAGCTTTAAAAGCATTCAGACATTTGAAGGGCATCGCAACTTCCGTTTGCGGTTGGTGCTTGCCACTTTGGCCGGTAAGCCCATCAAGATCTCCAAAATCAGATCTGAAGCTTCAAACCCAGGTTTAACTGATAGTGAAGTATCATTTCTTAGATTGTTGGAAGCAGTAACCAATGGAACCCATATAGAGATCTCCTACACCGGTACCACTGTTATATATCGGCCCGGTCTTATTATAGGAGGAGAATTGAATCATGTATGTACTGGCCAGAAACCAGTAGGCTATTATATTGAACCCATGTTATATTTGGCACCATTTCTGAAGAAGAAGTTCTCTATAGTATTCAAAGGACTTACCGCTTCCGATAAGACGTTGGATGCCGGCGTCGAATCTCTTAAATGGGGTCTTATACCGGTAATGGAGAAGTTTGGGGTTAGAGAAGTCAATCTACATATTTTAAAGAGAGGATCCCCCCCATTAGGTGGAGGTGAAGTCCATTTGATTTGCAACTCATTGATTCCTCAACCATTAACTATACATGCTTTGGAGACTCCCAAGATCTCAGCTATTAGAGGAGTGGCCTATTGCACTCGTGTTTCTCCATCATTTGTTAATAGAATGATAGACTCGGCCAGACAAGTATTTAGACCCACTGGAGTGGATGTCAACATAACAGCTGATGTATGGAGAGGCGAAAATGCCGGTAAATCACCCGGTTTCGGGATCACATTGGTCGGAGAACTGAAAAGAGGTTGGAGAATCGTGGCTGAAGGTGTTGGGTCTCCAGGGTCCATTCCAGAAGATTTGGGTGAGAAAATAGCATACCAATTGTTGCAAGAGATTTCCCAGTCCAGTGTCGTGGGTAGAAACCAACTTCAATTGTGTCTTGTGTTCATGACCATTGGTAAAGAAGATATTGGAAGATTGAAGGTCCACAAAAGTCAAATAGATGATAATTTAATTTGGTGTTTGAGAGATTTAAAGTCTATGTTTGGCATTGAAGCTTATCTTAAGGAAGATGAACAGGATTATATGACTATCTCCATTAAGGGTTTTGGTTTCACCAATTCGTCAAAGAAAATAGCATAAACTTAACTGTCAGGTTAACTTAAATAGTACCAGAATGAACGGCATAACTTTACTTAAACAAAGCCTAGCTTGCTAAACTTTGTTTACCAGAATGAACACCATCCAATATAATGTTGACACAAGTTCTCAACAGATGTAGCTTGTTGAATAAGTCGGTCGACTTGAGTATGAATGTCTAAATCTTTCATTCTCTTGATATCATTGCCAACCAACTTATCTGTAATTCTCTTAAGCACTAAAGCAGCTCTGGCATTTCTAATTTCAAGATCATTTTGTTTGGTTAACCTGGCTGCTTCATAATCATCGATTTCTCCTCTTCTTAACAATTCAGCTGTATTAACATGAGATACCTTGATCCCGGTGGCTTCAGCTATTGCTCTAGTAGGGAAATCAAATCCCCAATTGATCAATGGATCATATGCAAACGCTTCCAAAATGGCCATTAATGATTCCTTATTGGCTCGCAACACTCTCATGACATGCTCACATGTAATTCTAAAAGAACCTTCAATCCCACTAACTTCCATAGCATAATTAAGCATCCGAGTCAATCTGAAGGGCACCTTTTCAGGGTATTTCTCCCGAAGAATGGCTGCTTCAAAACAATCACCAAAATCGATATGAACAACTTTACCAGTGATTCTATCAAGCATAAGATTGGAAGGATGTCTATCTCCTAATCCCAAAATATACCCAACCATAGACATCACCGCCAATGATCTGGTATATGTGGTACGACGGTCTAACCAAGTTTCTGATGACTTGGATTTAAGCCATAACACTTTATACAAGTCCTGGCCACGAGTATTATCAAGAGCTCCAGTGAAAACTTCAATCTTTTGAAGTAACGTTAAGACATCATAATCTGGAGCCATTTGTAACATGATCCGATGCTCAATGTTCAAAAGAATCTTCCGAGACTCTCTATATTCTCTAATCAATACGTGGAAAGTATCACTGTTAGGAACCCAACCCAATAAACCAACTTTCGGGGATAAGGGGATAGCAGGATACCTTTGAATATCCAAATGTCTCTTAAAACATTCAGGATCATTAAGTAAAAGCGTATTAACCAACCCAAATAATTGCATAACCAAATTATCTTGTCTGATATCTTCATGTCCCTTCAATACATATTGATAATCTTTACCATCATTCCCACGACATGATACCTTTCTGGGTCTTTGTTTGGACAGGATGACGGAGAACGTGGAGTCAAACTTGGTGATTCGAATAATAGGCTTGTTGGGCTTATAAGTACCAGGTACAGCAAGTTCTAAGTTACTAGCTTCTTCCAATTTTGGTGAAACATAATGTAAATCAAGACTTTGCAATTGAGGTAATTGACGATTAATTCTCCGGAAGACATTATAATAAATATCCCAAGCTTGGTTCAAATTGGTGATATCTTTTGTACGACGGAAGTTTAATACCCATTCATGAGCATCCGCTAATTCTCTTCCAAAGGCATTGTTAAAGGAAGATTCTCTCATTGTTTCTGGACCATTTTGAAGCATCTTATGTAATGGTTCCAACACTTCAAACATTTTATCAGTGTTTCTTTCACCAAAGAAAAGTCGAGAAGCATCTTCTAATCCATCATGCCATTGTTCGTGCCATAAGACTGCAGCTCTAATCAATTCATGACTGACCAAATCTGCTTGGTCAACCAAAACCTCAGAATGAACTCTCATCTTCTCAATAATAGACAAGGCAGCACGTTTTCTATTAACAGATTCAGAAGTAACCGCAACAGCTAAGGGATATACCAAGGCTTGAGGATGAGCTTTACCCAAATCAGCAAGTAAACCCAATAATGAGATACTAACAGTACGGTTAGGTTGGTGAATACGAGAAATCAATTGAGGTACCACTTCCAACCAATTATCGATCTTCACCATATTGAACCCCTCGGTAATGGCTTGTGCTGGTTCTGGAATGCCACCAAACTTGAACCATAACGTTAACAACCGTAAAGTGTCTTGTAATGAATTGGAATTGGATAAGGCAATCGAATGGAAAAAACCCTTAATGGACGGGACAACATGTCTTTGAACTACTTCCATAGGGATAGCAGTGGGTTGTTTCTGAATACCTTGTTGCTTATTTGGATCTCCATCCTCCTCTTTAATTTTCACTTGATTATTCTGTTCCATAATGTCACTCTGTTTGTTCTGAGTGTAGAGTGAGATCACCTCAAAGTTGGCTAATGCCCAATTGTGCCAGGCCTTATACCATTTGTTATCAAAATGAGTAGCCAATAAATAAGCACCCAAAATGATTTCTGAAGTTTCTGTTCTCCAATTGGCATTCAAAGAGATCTGCCATTCCCCTTGTTTCAAGAAGCATCTGGCCAAAAGTTTGGTATATTCTTCAGCATGTTTCAAGATTCCTGGCCCTTCTGTTGGTAAAGGTTGTGTTATCAAATCATTAGGGTTTAACCCTAAATCTTGAGACATTCTGGTGGTAAAGTCAACCAAATGTCGTAATGCTTCCTTTTGTTCACCTTTGGCCCACATATATTTCAATTGGACATAAACAACTTGAGGAGGAGCTCTTGTAGTTTCAGATGAGCCACCTTCTAATAAATTACTCAATGATTTCTCACACAAATTAAGTCTTCCAGACTTACGACACAAGTTGGCAAACTTAAGCCACATTTCCATATCTTGCTTTGGTCTTATCACTAAAGCTCTAACTTTTAACATTCTCTGCCAAATATCAACGTTTCTTTGACATCCTAATAATCTTGTATTCCAAGTCTTTCTCATAATCATCCGTTTCTCCGACCCTTGGGGCAGACACTTGTATTTGATGATCTCCTCCAATTCGGCCAACATTTGGATTCTAACAACAACTCCATAAGCTCTATTATAACTTTCACTCACCAAAGCAGTAATCTCAGTGACAAGTAGATCTCTAGCCTTCAAGATTTGAGAAGATGCCTCTTCAAAATTGTTCCTATGCAAACAAAGAATGGCATTGAAGAATGCTCTATCAGGAGAGTCGGGCTTGACCACTTGAATATAAGTATCCATTCTATCCCATTGACCCAAACCCCAGGCAGCTGCTGCTGCCAATGGAGCCACACTTCTCTTGACTTCGTTCGAAGAAGTATTCCATTTCCTCTGTGCAAGTTCGGATAATTGTTCCCATTCGCCCAAAGCATGTAAACATCTCATTTTACCCATAACCACTTCCATGTTGTCGGGTTCAGTCTTTTCTCTGAAATTGTACGCTCTCAATGCATCTTCCCAACGGTGTAATTTCTCGTGCCAGGTTTCCTTTAATGGTAGATCATGATGTAACTGGGCATGTTTCAAGATACCCACGGCTGCATCTGACTGTTGAAGTTGATTATTGATACTGATCAATGCTTCTATTGTTGGAGTGCTGGGCTCTTCATAGAATTCAAGCTCTTTATAATGAAGTGCTTTAGCATAGGCATGACATCTTTGGGCATATTGTCCCAAAGTGGAAATGGCAATTGGTAAAGATTTATCGTCGTGTTCCATAAACTCTGCAAGATTCAACAAGATTTGATGGATTTCAGGTGGATTATTGGGTGAAGATAAAGCAATACAGAAGGATTCAACCAATTCTTCTTGATGTTGAGAATATAATTCACTCCAACAACTAGCAAAACTAGCGTTGAAGAGATCTTTAGCTAATGGATAATAATCAGATGCTAAGCCAGCACATGCTCTAATTGCATGAGAAGGTGATTGTTTCAAGAGTTCTTTACTCAATCTGGATATCCACTCCTGCCAATCATCTCTAGTACGTCTTTGGTTAGTATCCCAAGCAGCTTTTAACGCTGCCTGATTAACAGGCAACTTCTTGGATGGCATATCGATGTCTGGGATATCAAAATTGTTCAGATGGATATCATAGTCCTTATAGATGCCTAAATGTGTTGGAAGTGGATCACCACTGGCTAATTTGGAAACTAATTGTTCAAAAACCGGTGAATGGATCTTCTGTTCAATGACTACCTTTTTAATGACGGGGACAAATACATTGAATTCCGTTCCCAATTGCAATAATAAATAACATAATGTGTTCATGGCAGAGATCTTTAATTCATCATTATCTTGTCTTAAAACTCTAATGATAGGATGAACTATTCTTGAAGCCATATCATTAAGAAGAACGTTTTTAGATAATCGACCAATGGTTTCAATAGCTGCTTTCCTTAATAGTATAGGGCCGGTTTCAAACATCTTCACTATGGTAGGAACAATAATGTGAATGTACTCTTCAATATTACTACCAAAAACAACAAATGTCTTCAATACATGCAATGAAGGTTCCTTTTTAGCAGATTTATCTTCTTCAAACACATTCAATATCAAGCTAAGAATTCTAGGCAAGTACATTTTGAACTCACCATCCAAAGCCCTGGAAATTGATTCAATTAAATTGATAATTATCACCTGAATATTCAATTGGTTATTGGCATTAAAGAATTCCAGTATAACATCAAATATCTGATCCAAAAAAGGACGAATGTGCTGTTTCACAATCATTATCAACCCTCCAAGTTGTTGGAAATAAAATTTAAGCATCGATGACTTGCAAGTGTGCATGACATTGATTATTCCAGGCACAATCTGAGGAAGAAATGCCACTGCTCTCAATCCCAAGGTTTGGAATATGTACATAACAGCTTGAATGACTTTATTATGATGAGCATGTAACGAAGGATCTTTTAATATTTTCATCAAATTATTAATGGCAACTGTAGGATAATATTCTTCATTGGATGGTGACATTCCTTGCATTAAAAGCAAGACGTCAATTGAAGGAGCATTTTGCTCAACAGGGATACTTTTGGAACTTTGTTCAACTTCACGATGCTTGTATGGATCCAAAGCTCCCAAAATACCCATTAATCTAACTGCTTCACGTCTTATGTCAGGGGAAGTTTCCAGCTTCAAAATGCCAACAAGCATTCCCAAAAGTTGTGGATAATCTAATAAGGGCTGAATAACGTAACCAGACGAACTAGCCAATTGTCCCAATGTCTTCAATGCAGCATCACGTTTAGCGGAAGAACTTTGATCTTGGAACGTATCTAAAATTATAGGCATTAATTCATGAATAAATGGTTTCAAATCTTCACCTCCAACCACTGCTAATTCTCCCAAACATGCTATTGCACCAGCAGCCACGGGGGAATTGGAATCTTTCATCCGTGGGAGTAATGCCTCCACTATTGGTTTCACATAGGGTCTTGTAAGTTCCTTAGAGTTTGCAATAAGTAATGAAAGTAAAATTGCACTTTCTTCCTTTCTTCTTCTAGTGGCTGAATGTTCCAATCGTGAAAGAAGTTGGATCAATGTCTTACGCAATGATGGAACAATATAAGCTGGGTTTATACTTGAGAGTCTTCCCAATATTTCAATGGCTATTTTTCTAACATTGAAGATCTCATCATTTAATGCAATGAAAAGAAGTTTCACATTGCTTGATTGGGATAATTGAGGATCAAAGTTCCCACCCTTGGCTAAACAATTTAAGCCTTCTAATCTAAGTTCAGGGACAGGATCTGTAATTGATACGGTCAATATTTTCTCCAACACATCATTAACGGCATTAAGAGCATTGACACTTGTTTGTTGGCAAATGGGATCTTTAACAAAGATTTGACAAGATGTAACCGTTGCTGCTTGCCTGACTTTGGGGTTATTGTGTTCCAAATAGTTTATAGTGCAATATCTAACAAATTCATTCAATTGAAACTCTTCAAAGTTGAAGAACGCAAGCATCTTCAAAGCTTGGACTAAAACAGCACTATCGTAGATTTCATAATCTGGATTTGATGGGGTGGTATTGCTATCTCTTTGTATCATGATTTGTCTGTATTCTTTCGCCTGATTTTCATTCATTTTAATTACTCCATAAGGAGACCCTGGAGGTTGGAACTTCCTTCCTGCTAAGACCAAACTTAAGATATTCAACAATTTAACTTGAATAAGATTAGCCAAAGATGGAATATATGTGATAAGCTTTTGAAGAACATCTTGCATATGAGGGGATAATGAACAATTATTAAACATCATATCTAGAATATCTCTTCTTAAATGCTCAGTTAATGCTGGACCCACAGCCACTGCTAATTTCCCAATACAGTCGAAAATAGCGGGTTCGGATTCTCTTCTCCCCGCTTTAAACTTGGTAGCATTTGCAACAGTACCATCAGCAAGAGTGAAAGTACCTTGAGAATCCAATTGTAATCCCTCTCTTATGTTATCCAAGATAGCATCTAAATAAGTAGCCATATGATTCCCCACTTCTAAGGCTATCAACCCAATACTGGTGAAAATGGCTATTCTATCGGAAATAGCCGTTTCGCTTCTTTGCTTTTTCAATGCCTTTAAATGGTTCAAATAATAAAATAATGTTTTATGCAAATATTTCTCCACAAATGCATCGGAATCAACCCGACAAAGTAAGGGGAAGATATTTGTTAGTTCTTGTCTAATAATTGCCAATCTATAATCTTTATAGACAATTGTGTTTTCAAATATCCGATCAAACTTGGATTTAATATACGGATCCTTATGATAACGTAGAAGTTCACGATAAATCAACAATGAACCATGAATTACCTCTGTAGAATCTTCTGTATGTTCTCTGGAGATCTTCGAAGCCATATCTATTAGATTTTTCATCCATGTACGTCTTAACTCTGCATCTCTATCGTAAATAATGGAAATGCATTTTTGTAAGGTGACAGCTGCATCTTCTCTTATGGTGACCTTATGATCTCTTAAAGCAATCCATAAATGTTCTAAAATCTGGTTTATATAGGGGAATAATAGCATTGGAGAATTCTCAGCCAACGCAGTTATTATAAGGATAGCTGCATGTCTTCTATTTTCATGTTGCCTAGTATCAGATTGTAACCATTCTATTGCTCTTTGAGCTTCGAAATCAACAAAATCTCCCGTTAATGTTCCACCTGGAGTGGCCAATTTCCCCAAAGTCTTGGTGGCTTGTTTCATGATGGTCAAATCATTCGACAAGATCAATGACCCCAAATAGTTGGAGAACCGAGCAGTCTTGGTGGCATTCTCCTCTCCCACTCCAGAATCAAAGTCAATCAATGCATTCAAAGCTGCAATGCCTCCCAACTTCTCAAGCGTATCTTTACTGTGGAGTAACTCAAAGATTGTCTTGTTGATATCATTATTGTATCTATTCAATTGTTCGGGCAGTAGATCACGAGCAATGGTATCCAAGTAGTTTCTCAACTCCGTGGCATATCTGCTTCTTTCTTCTTCTTTATTTGACTTCAATCCGTTGAAGATCTGTGTTAACGCTATGCCATCTACGACCTGGAGCTGTGTGGCCGACATGGTTGAATAAGTGGAAGAAGAGTGGTGGTGGTTGATAACCAGAAGAGTAGTGCTTTTTCTATCAACAACTTAATGTCGTACAAAAGTGGTCCAGCGTGCACTATAAGTGCGACACTGCGCTTTATAGTAGCGTAGAACCCACACGTATAGAAGAACATTGGTGTGTTAATTAGTATATACTGTTCGCTTATGGTACAGAGAATAAAGAAAAGTTTCTAACAATACTTGGACCCCGTTCATCATAATCATGTTTGGTGAAACAATAGCTCTTAAACTCTGAAGTTTGAGCCAATAAGGATCCCCCGAACCAAACAGCATTTCTTTGTCTCTTATGAGAAATCACCAGAACATCTACCCCGGTACTTTTAACTCCACTTAATCTTTCACTGGCTTCAATTCTTTCGTTGACAAGAGTCTTCAAATCTCTTTGTAATCTTCTGCCAAAATCCTTGAACATCGTGGACCCTCCAGACAATACAATGTTCTTGTACAACTTCTTACGCACATCAATAGGAGATGCTTGGATCACTTGATCGACTACGGTGGGCAAAGGTGTTAAGAAATCAGAGGAACATATCTCCGGATTGAAGAAAATCTCCGGAGCCAAGAACCGTTCATACCCAACATCAACAACCTTGTTCTTATTCTTATCGGCATATTCAACAACATATTGAGCAAACTTCTCTTGAGGATATTCGTCAAACTTTCTAAATTCCTTTACGATATCAGGACAAACATAACAAAATTGTTGTTTGATTTTCTCTGCGGTTTGTAACGATGAATCGGCTTCACCTCTGTCTCTCAACAATGATTGTATAAAAGTGGTGATGTCTCTACCAGCCAAGGGGATGTTTTTAATGGCACCGCCAATGACATACCCTTCGGCCACAGGGATAACATGAGTCACACCATCACCGGAATCAATGACTGTACCAGTTAAAGATCTATCTTGAACCTTAGAAGAGGTCCATGAAGCTGCTAAAGCCAACACGGCTTGCACGGCAATATAAAGACCAGCACAATTGAAGGATTCAAACATAATCTCAGCAACATTCTCTCTATTCTCTGGAGGATTTAAAGGGGGTTCGGTCAATAAAAAGTAATGATCTTCAGGTTCACACCGTAAATACTTGAAGATAGATGCTTCCCAAAACCGTTCCATATGGTCCCAATTTTCTATCTGACCATGTTTAATTGGATATGATAAATTATAGTTTGGTCCGGATGCTGCCGAAAGAGCTTCGTATCCAATAGAAAAGTCCAAATCCTCCAATCCTCTTTTCAGCAGTACAAGCAGACTCTTACTGTTGCTACCTTGACCAACTTTGGATGATGTAGCGATGGCAGTAGGGAATACATAAGATGGAGAATCATTCCCAGCAAATCCTAATTTGGTAAGACCGGTCCCGTTGTCCATCACCACGGCTGGTGTACCCATCAACGACATGATTATTCAGGTGATTGTATGTGAAATTGCGGTTTAATCTTGTTGCTTTTAGCAGGGTCAATTGGTTGAGACGCAGTAGTTGTTGTACGTATTAGTTACTGTTAGCGTGTGCTATGGCTGCTGGTATTAACACCGCCCACCAGGATTTGTTCACCTTCGCATTCCTACATTGTTGGTAAGTCCACGACTTTAATCCGAATGGTAATAGTGTAGGATTAACTACAGTTTATTCTGATTGTATTATATATTATGGTACATTATTCTATCAATACTCATCCTTACCGGAGATAATGACATCATTGATCTTCAAGATCATTCTGGTCAACTGAGTGGCCAAAAGTAACTGTTGCTTCTTCCCAATCAAAGGATCAATCACAAAGAGTTCCTTCATATCATTGGTACCTTTTCCTAAACAATCGACTCCAAGGAAAGGACATTGTTCATTTGTTTGTTTGGCCTTTAATGCAGACAAGGTTTCAATTGGATCCAAACCAGAATTCTCAGCCAATGTCATAGGAATGACATCTAAAGCTGCAGAGAATGAACGGAAAGCATATTGATCAATACCAATTTGTCTATCAGCAGCTTCGGAAACAGCTAAAGAACATGTCAATTCAGCTGCTCCACCACCGTAAACAACACGGTCATCTCTGACCAAATTACGAACAACACAGATAGAATCATGAAGTGCTCTAACACCTTCATCCACGATCATTTGATTAGAACCTCTAATGAAACATGTAACAGCTTTAGTATTGGAACATTCTTCAACCACAAGCATTCTATCTCTGGTAGTACCAAATTCCAATTGTCTAATGACACCAGCACTACCCAACTTTTCAGATGTTAAATCTTCAAATCTTGGAACGATACGTCCATTGGTAGCAATAGCTAATAATTCTAATTCAGATCCTCCAACCCATCTAATAGCGTTTAAACCATTAGAAAGTAATAAATGATTAGCTTCATCATCAAATCCCCATTGGCATGCAACAACATTAGCACCAGATTCTTTGACTGAATCAATCATTTCTTGAAACTTTTGTTGTTCATATTCTTGTAACACCTTGAATTCTTCAACTGATGAGATATTCAATTTATGTTTTGTTTTTGGCTTTGGAGGTTCAAATGGACATGTTAATATAGCAATCTTACAATCTGTCATAGTCTTAGGCATTTGGGGATGTGACCATTCCTTATCTAATAAGACACCTTTAATTAAAGCTGAATCTTCAATAGAACCACCAACTTTACTTTCCATCTTGATAAGTTCAAAATCAACATCCTTACGTTGTAAATCAGCCACTGATAAAACAGCATCCACCGCCATTCTTGCAAAATGGTCATGAGATTTGGAAACAATCTTGGAACCTAAAGAGGTCTTTGCTGCCTTGAAAAGATCGGAATTGACAGATGTATTTGTAACGTCAATCTTATCAGCAATAAAATCTAATTGTTTCACAGCAACTTTACATGCTTCATCAAACCCATTGGCAACCTTAATAGGATGAATACCCTTTTCAATCAATTCTAAAGCTTGATCTAAAAGAGCACTAGCAAGTACAACCACACCAGTAGTACCATCACCAATTTCATCATCTTGAGACTTTGATAATTCAACCAATAACTTGGCGATCTCTGAATCCAAATCCATTTGAGTCAAAATTGTAGCCCCATCATTAGTAATCGTAATTTCTCCATCAGGACTCACCAAAATCTTATCCAACCCGCGTGGACCTAACGAAGTTTTAACAATCAGAGATACAGCACGAGCAGCTAATATATGAGATTTCGTAGCTTCTATACCCAGTTTCCGTTGCTTATTACCTTGATCTCTAACAATAATGAACGGTCTTCCCATCTCATCTTGTGCCATGACTGCATTTGATAAATCGGGCATTGCTGTGCCAGGAGGTGGTGCACTCAAAGACATTATTTCCTAAAGTGTATCCTTACTGTTGACAAGGGTCTTAGAGATGATCCGGAAACACTTGATACTTGTTTGTGCTTACCACGCTATATGGAAGGTTGTAGATTATTGATCTAAAAAGTGGAAAATTTTTTGAGCAAGCACGACGTTTACAAACATTATTCGTGACACAAATTACTTTATATGGTTTTTGAAGACGTGTTATAGTAGACTTCCGTATACGGAACACTGTACTGTTTGTAGTGGTTCATTATCGCATATAATGACGTTAATTTTTCACCTCATCTGACACCGTAAAGCCAAGCACGATTACATCGTTCCTCATACACATATACATAGCTCTTCCTCCTTATATAATAATGACCACCGAAATAGACATTGATACTGCCTCTTTGGAAGAGTTAAGAGATATCTTACTTAACAAGAGTGGCTCAGTCAAGCTTGCACTCAGATTCAGAGCCTTATTCAATTTGAAATGTGTTGGTACGGACTCCACCGACCAGAAAGAAGCTGAAAAGGCTATCGAATACATTGCTGAAGCCTTTGCTGATAAGTCTGAGTTGTTGAAGCACGAAGTTGCCTACGTGTTGGGTCAAATCCACAACTTGTACGCTGCTCCATTCCTTAGAAACGTTTTATCAAATGATGATCAACAGTGTATGGTAAGACATGAAGCTGCTGAAGCTTTGGGTGCTTTGGGTGACAAGGATTCCTTGCCTCTTTTGGAACACTATTTTGAAAAAGACCCTGCTATTGAAATTAGACAAACGTGCGAGTTGGCTATTGAAAGAATTAAATGGGAAAATAGTTCAAGTGCTAAGACCGAAACCCTTCAAGAGTCTCTTTATACTTCCATTGACCCAGCTCCTCCAATGGCTACTGATCAAGAGTCTAAGGTTGATAAGTTACAAAAGATCTTGAATGATCAAGACGAAACTCTCTTCAACAGATACAGAGCCATGTTCAGATTAAGAGACTTGGGTACTGATGAAGCTGCATTAGCTTTGGCTAGCGGGTTTGAAGATCCTAGTGCCTTATTCAAACATGAAATCGCTTATGTCTTTGGTCAAATGTGTAACCCTGTCACAGTTCCTTCTTTAATTAAAATATTGAAGGATGAGTCTCAAGCTGGAATGGTCAGACATGAAGCTGCTGAAGCCTTGGGATCCATTGGTACAAATGATTGCATCCCTGTGTTAGAAAGTTACTTGAACGATAAGGAAGATGTTGTTAGAGAATCAGCCATTGTTGCTTTGGATATGTCGGAAGTATAAAATATATTTTATAGTTGTATAGTTGGTTAATTCTTTTTTTTTTGTTGTTAGTGGTTTGGTACTTTAATATGATATAATTTCTTTCGTGTTTAACCTTTTCCTCTATTTACATACACATTTTATAAACATCAACAACCCATTATGCTCAATTATTGGTTCTAAACCGGTACCCACATCCAGTACATGTATAAAAGACAGTTGCACCTTCATCAGCAGATCTTAATTGTAAGGTATGATACTGCATTTCTTCATTCCCACACTTTGGACACTTTTCTTTAATTGTAGCACCCTCTTCAAGCTCATCATTCTTTAAAGTAGTTTTCACTACTGACCGTTTCAACTTTAAACTAGAAGGGAATGCATCATCAGATGATTTAGTCACCACCTTCAAGTCAGCAAACTCTGATGCTGGATATGTTTTTGTGCACAACTTGCAGTCCAAGGTATCCTTGGAACCAGCAGAATCCAATAAGTTACCACAATCGGTACAGAATATCAACGACCCAACCACAGACATCTTGTTATTACCCAATAACTAACAGTTGGCCAGGACTTTTATCAAGTACGAGTACAACATTCATGTACTGAAAATTTCCGATGAGCTTTAGTCACGTGACATAAATTGTAATTATAACCAATTTGAGGCAATGTTTTCAAGTGATTATCTACCCTTAAGACCTTATCTACTTAAATTAGCTCTATTGCTTGATTAACTTCTATCTATGTTTATCTACTCTTTGATGATATCAATTCGTTTCCAGGTCTTTGCAAAGATCTTTGTATTCTGGACGAGAAATGTCAAACCCCTCAGTAGTTTTTCCATACGTATTTCCACCTAATCTGGAAACAGGTTTAAGTTTCCCAACATCCAATCCATTCAATTGCTCATTAATAACATCTTCACGAGCATGGAATCTGACCCCTTCAAATATAAATGTACGACCAGTTACCTTGTCTGGATTTCTTCTTGATTTCCATTCGTGTACTGCTACTACTTTAGCTTCTATTGAGAATGCAGACTCTAAAACATGGGGAGGTTTAACAACTTCCGAATCAGCTTTCGTTAACCCAGTAATCTCCCATTCAGAAACACCATAAGGACTATTAACACAAGTAGCATTAGCAGCCTCAACAAACCATTCACTGATGATATTAATAGTGCATTCTTCCGTTTCAAGTAAATTGCGAGCGGTGTCTTTGTTCAGAGTAGCAGATGTTATCCCCACTGTGAAGATAGGAGGGTCAGCATTGCTCAAACCAAAATATGAAAATGGAGCCAAATTAGATAGACTACCATCTTTACTTAAGGTCAGAATCAATGCTATAGGTCTGGGAACAATGGCACTAACTAAAGTCCGGTAATCATCTCTAGGATCTCTTTCGGAAGAAGTAGGGTCAATTGAAACCTTTTTATACTTTTTCCAATCATCATTACCACCAGCTCCAGATCCAGCTATAAAAGGACCCCCATTTGGCAGGTCTTGAACGGTGAAATGAGATGAACCTTCTTTGGTCATTGTGTATGATGATTTGAATCTTGACATGAAAACACGGTTGAAACTGAATATAGTGTTTCTAGCTGACATGTTTCAAGTGGTTTATGAGTTTATCATCTTTTCACCTATTAGTAATCTCATTTGTGTAGATGAGGGACGTGGATGCGGTAAATGAAAATACGTGTGAGTTAAAAACAAGAGATAATTTGGAGCAGAAGAAATTGATAAGACATTATATAGACATTCAAGACATTGTAGTAAATATCAAGACATTATAGTAAACGTTATATTACACGTTGTAGAGACATCATATTAAACTTCACATCACTCATTGTATGAAATATCATATTCTTCTTTCAAAGAACTTACTCTACAGCTGCGAAAGAGACGTAGTTAGTCGTAGTAGTTTTTGAATGTACATACGTTTGTCCGTATATCTGTAGTTGTAAACGTATCCTTGAGTCATTGCAACCAAGTCATCATCATCTTTTTCAGGTAGAATGATTGTCTAGCTCATAAAAAGTAGACAGAGGTAGGCAATAAAAAGCGAAGTATGATTGAAACCACTCTTCAATTAATTCTACAAAATCATTTTAATAATACCAATTATATTAATGCCAACAGGTATGGTTTTACGGCATACAATTATCCTTACGCCATGTTGTCGTCGTTCTACTATTCCTATCCAACACCCTAGCACCATAACCATCTTAGGTTGTGTACGTACGCACTGAACTCCATCGTTCGGTACAGTCTCCGAAAAACACCGAACCCCTCATTAAATGTGTGGTGGGTATAAACGGCCGGATGCAAATTTCACACGCCGGTCCCCACCAACACTGTCCACTTAGTGACATGACGAGGAGGAGTTATGTGGGGCTCTTGTGTTATTGTTATTGTTAAACTTAACTTTCAACACTGGTGGGTTAAGTAAGTCATCGGAATACAGAAGCTATACTCCTGGTATCAAATTAATTAAAACAAAGAAGAAGAAAAATAAAATAATAAAGAACGGTGCACACTAAACATTATTAATACTACAAGCTATTAAAGAGACAATGACTTTCACACTAAGATTGAGGGTACATCTTGTGTTGGATTTGTCTGTAGTAACCCTCCAATTCCATTCTTTGGAAGAGCTTGCCCAAATAAGGCGAGTAGACAGGATCAGTTAAAATTTTCTGCAACAGATCAGATAACATGTTGCTCTTCTTGGCCTCAACAAAGTAAGAGTTAAGATCAATGTTCTTCAATGCTCCTGTATCATAAACGTTAGTTAAAATTTGTCCAACACCAGATAAAATAGTGGTACTGTTTAAGACATCCATAATAATATAGGGCGCGACATTAGTATTGTTCAAGGCTTTCAAGATATCAGATACAGAAGCCAGGAATAATTCAGATGAAGTGAGTTGAGATACCAAGTTGTAGAAAAACGTGTTTGCAGACCCGGCATATTGTGAAGTGTCTTCTCTTTTGCCCAAGACAGTTTGTTTGCTGTTCCCATTGGTGGTAGAAGCTTTGGACTCATTGACTAATTTGAAAATATAGTCAAAGGTTAAATCATGACCATCACCTAAACCTTTAAGTAGTTTGGGAATCCAAATTTGGTCAACCAACAATTGCCCCAACATGTCCGCAGTACGGTTACGGTTGTAGTCTTTGATGAGTAAAGTACCAGAAGTGGTTTGAATGAGTCCAGAGGCTTCGACAACATGGAGAATACTACTAATGTTTAAGCTTCCAGAACCAGCAAAGGTCAGAATAAGATTATTGTATGTACCATTTAAGGCGTTGACAATCACTTGAGAAAGCAAAACAACATTAGTGGAATTATCCAAGAAGGCTTCAGCAGCATCCACAATCAAATTGGTCTTGTTAGCATAAAGCAACAAGCTTTCAATAGTAGATTCATCAATGGCTGAACCAGCTCTCTTCACCATTTTGATGTTGTGTGAAACTTGCTCCTCTAAGTCAAATTCGGTCCCAGCAGCAGATGCTTGAGCACTGGCTGCCAATCCGAGAACAGCAACAGGTATAAATGTGGTGAACCTCATGGTTATCTTTTATCTTATGCAATGCAATATGTTTTCTATGGGTGACCAAACAAAAGTTTTCGCAGACGACTTTTTCTGTGGTTATATACGACGAGTTGTGGGTGCAACTTTTTCTTTAACTAGTCTGCCGATGGGGAATAAGTTCTCGGCTTTTAATGCTGCCGAACGTTTGTGCACGATCACTGCACACAATCTAAACAAGAATGATGCCAAAGTAAAATAGCAGAAATTGTGACGGAGTGGAGTAAGGATGATGTAGTTATAGTGTAAAAATAATCCTCCTGATTTTTCTTGTTATGGTGGGTGAGTCGGAAGAAAGGAACTGCGTAGCCGAGTAAAAACTGTGGTACGTCCGTCTTTCAGACTCTATATGTTCTTTTCGTTTGTACTACGAGACGGTCTCCCTCCCTTTCATTTGTAAACTCTTTTTCTTTGAAGTAACATTGCGCAACCCACTTGATATATATGTTCAACCTACATACTGAATATAGTAATGTAAAGTTTTGCGTTGCAATAGTAAATACCCTTACTTATTATTGCCCATGTTAGGGAATACGTTTGCCTCACAACCACGAAAAGAATGTCGTGGCCAGCCGAAAGTAACAATAATGGTTGCCTAATTGGGAAGTTGGTATTGGATCTAATACTTCCTAATACGGCTAAGTACCTTCAAGGGAAGTTGCAAAACTGAAGGATTTACAACTTATTTGAGTAAAGAATATGATTATGTAGTAGCTAATAAATATGTTAGACGCCCCGGTGTTAATGAAAGAAGATGTTCTCTTTTTTGTTGTTGGAAAAGCTTTCATATCATCGTATCCGCACTTTCTTTCTCTTGGTCTTGCTAACAAAGTGTTGTATAAATGAGACTCCTGCAATATACCTTTCTCATTGGTTTAACAGCCCTTGGAGCTGCTTATCCTATTGGGAATACAAAGGATATATCTCCTCGTTTAGAGTTATCAGGTTTGTTTGCTCTATTCAATGATAGTCTCCCAAGCGATGTTAAAGATGACATTAATCGTCTAAAAGATATGTTCCATGAAGCTGTTGCACCCAAATATGCTATGGTGAAAAGAGCTGAAAGTACTAAAACTATCAATTGGGATGGTCTTCTCAATTTACTTGGTCCATCCAGTTTCTCCGCGGAATCTAATACTGAAACCACTGGTGCATCCCTGACAATCGACAGTGGTGTTTCGCTGACACTTGAGTCGTTAACCTCTGGGGCTTCTTCAGCCTTACTGGCAGCTGCTAGCTTTTTGGACTCAATTCCAACGTCTTCGAATATTGTATCTTCAGCTTCAGAGTCTATTTCTGTTTCTTTGAGTTCGAAGTCTTCATCATCATCATCATCATCAACATCATCATCAACATCATCATCATCATCATCATCATCATCATCATCATCATCATCATCATCATCTAAATCTTCAAGTACTCGATCAAGCGCTGCTACTCCATTCTCATTGTCAAATATTACTTCCATCAATAGTAACACTTCTTCTGGTACTTTTGACCTGCTTGTCTTATATGCTAACTCAAGTGGACTTATCTGGACTGTGTTAGATCAAGTTGTTGATAATCCAAAACTTGTGTCTAGTGCTTCAAATTACACGGCTGGTATTATTGGCAAAGTTCTTCAACATCCTCCTAACTTGACTACTATTTATACTGGAGCTTCAAATTCAAACATAAATATAACAGGCATCATTGACCCACTAATGAAGTCTGGATTATTGAGTTCTCTTGCAGACGGTCTCTTGCTAGACGACAATTTCCGTCCTAGATTGGCAGAACTTGTCAATAGAGCCGGTAGAGCAAATACACCACTTTTGGAATGGGTTATTCATGATCTTCTTGCTCCCCCCCAAAACAAAAAGAGAGGGTTATTCGATGGAAGTTTGACTTCATTTGTGATGAATTTTGCTGGTTCAGTTATCAATAGTGAACTTTTTATGGGAGTTTTTGGCGATGTGGTCAACTCTTTGAACGACACAGGAGTGGCTGTATATGTTGTCAAGAGGTTTTTGGAAGAAGATAAATATGTCAATATGACTGCAGACTTTTTTGAACAAGTGACCAATTCACCTAAAATAGATTGGGGAGATGTGAAGAATATCAACGCAAAGGCATTGTTAAGTGAATTACTTAGTGATCCTGCAAAGGTATTTGATATGTTGGGCAAGGTATTGAACAATGGTTCTACACAACATGTTTATTCAGCGTTTTCTAAATATTTTGGAGCTGTGAAGAAACTTATTGTGGAGATTGAAGGTGACGGACTCTTTGATTATTTGAACAAGACATTGTTCCCATCTGGTACAGCAAAGGCCATACTGAGTGCGACATCGACCGCTAAAAAGGAGTCAAACAAACAACGAGTTGCCAAAGCATTAAATTTCAAGGAAGTAACCGTGGGAAGTGCCACAATAACTGTATTGCAGACAGCCACAGCGGAAACCAGTTTAGTCACTCCGGAATCTTCAATGGGTGTTCCAATGTTAACCTCAACCTCGTCATCATCACCAACGGCTGTTCCAGAAGTATCTACACTTAGTACCTTAGCAAACTCAGCTAACGGCCGACTGGCATTATCAGCCTTTGCCATAGGGTTGCAGGTATTACTTGTAATGATCACTTAAAGAATATAAAGAAACCACTCGCTCCTTTTTTTTCACAGCCAAAAGGCAAATACTCTCTTATTATCTTTTTTTCTTGAACATATACCCCGACAGGTTTATTTCTTCCTTTACTCCGTATCCTTCACTTCAATTCACTTCCAAGTATATATGTGCATGATATATATGCTATAATGTTCTTTATAGATATGTATATATATATTTGATAATAATAATTTTAGGTTTTTTGCAATCTATGACGTAGTAGGACTTGGCCTGTATATATACATTGGGCTTTTGGTGTATTGGTGTTCTGGGGGGCCATTTTGTACTGTGCTAATCTCAATTTTAACTCAAAGGGCAAACTTTACTCCTTAAGACCCAGATAAAAGGACAAAGCAGTATTAATGAGACGGCGGCGATGAATAACAATTTACTGAGGTCTTTGAATGATATCTCTGAATTTGATGATACTCGAGGAGGAGGTCACCAAAAGTATCTGATACACGCTCCAGGAGTAGACCTGGATGATGAAGTAAGGTACTACATGTCGTCTAAGGTGATCAATAATGGCACGGGTGCTTGTTTACAACCCGTGGAAGAAGGCTCTGGAGTAGTTGTACTGGAACCAGTATCAAGGAGACTGTCAGAAGGGTTCAACAAGTATATTAGAACAGCCGTGAATTGGGCCCTGTCGCCATTGAAATTATCTCATCATCATCATAACCATCATCATAAACACGAAGAAGGTTTATATTGCATCGAGTATTCAGTTTTTAAGCCATTAAACCATATTTTCAGAATAGAGAATGATTTACATTTGGAAGTATTCCGCCGGAAGTTGGCCAACTATCAAGAGAGAGCTTCCTTGGGTAGTTCTGTTGACCCAACTACCATGGTAAGTAAACGGGAATTTGATGAGTTGGTAGATATAGTCATAGAAGGTATAGAGGACCACCCTCCTGCTCGGATATCCCAAGGTTCAAGTGGTTCATATTTTATATTTGGACCAGATGGTACAAGAGTAGCAGTTTTCAAACCTAAAGATGAAGAACCATATGGCCCTTTGTCACCTAAATGGTCTAAATGGATGCATCGGACATTCTTTCCATGTTTCTTTGGTCGTTCATGTTTAATTCCAAATTTAGGTTATATTAGTGAAGCAGCTGCTTCAACTATGGATAAACTATTACTTACAAATATTGTTCCCTATACTGGTGTTGTTTGGCTTAAATCACCTGTATTCTATTACAATTATTGGAAGAAGGGAACACTCCCTCCTAAAATTGGAAGCTTCCAATTATTCCTTAATGACTATGTTTCAGCAGCTGATTTCTTCAAGATGCATCCACTACCTAATGATATTAGTACGTTGCCCATGAATACCACCATGGCCTACAATGATAAGCAGTTCAAATGGTCCAAGAAAGTCATTATGCAATTTCGACATGAGTTAGAGAAATTGGTTATTCTAGATTATGTTATAAGAAACACTGATAGAGGGTTGGACAATTGGATGATAAAAGTTGAATGGGTGGAAGTCTGTTCTTCATATAATGATGATAATAATAATGGCCAGATATCTTCGTCATCTCTATCAACAAGCCGAAGTAATTCACCACCAGAAGTATCCAAAAGAAGGTATGAACCAAGATTGAAAATTGGTGCTATAGATTCTGGTCTAGCATTTCCCTGGAAGAATCCAGACGAATGGCGACTGTTCCCGTTTGGTTGGCTCTTTCTTCCTTATTCCATAATTGGTCAACCATTCACGACTACAACCCGTAATCATTTCCTTCCGTTACTTACCTCAAAATACTGGTGGGAAAAGTTAGTGACAGAACTCAAGGCAGTGTTTCAAATCGATGCAGACTTCAAAGAAAGAATGTGGCATAAGCAATTGGCAGTTTTGAAAGGTAAGGCATTCAATGTGGTTGAGGTGCTTAAACTTAGTTATGCGGGTCCTTTAGAATTGACCAGGCGTGAAGATTTGTTAGTATGGGATGATATTAGAAGTATCCCTCAAACTTTAACTCGTGGAAAGGGAGGAGGAGGAGGAGGAAGAGGAATTAGTTTTAATGGTGGTACTACTAGTGATTATTCTGAACCATTACTGACTCCACATCTCCCTCCTACACTGCCTTTGCTACCATATGCGGAGTTTGACCCCCGGAAGAATACTCAGGACTGCGACACGGAAGTAGTTATGTCTTCAGGTTTGTCTCTACCTGCATCACCCCAAACTGTTAGTGACGTGTTTGCTGATCCCAGCAATGAAAATACACCATTACTAAATGAGGTTAGTGGGTTTGAATACAATATGAGGAATAATTTGTTGCTGGATGAACTGCTTATTAGACAAACTCGTGAATGTGTTATTGAAAGGATTGAAGCTGTTTATACACGAGGACCAGTATTCACCTGGTGTTAAGCATATATACATATGTATATAAATATTCATTTTAAGTTGTTCTTTTCAATGAAAATTGATGGATATTCATCAGAGTTGTTACCTACATAATCTTCCTTATCGATCTTGACTAAACCCTTATCTTCTTTCAACTGCATTTGTTTCAATTTGAGCAAATTGTAGAATGTATTTAATATAGGAGCATCTACACCGTTCTTTTCTGCAACTTTCAAAGGGTTCCCCAAGATAACCTCAATCTCCATCAACTGTTTCTTTCTGGTATCGATACACATCGAAGGACAGTAGAAGAACCCATCACCAATATGAATAAAGAACTCCATAGTCTTCTCTGGTATATCATAACCATCACTCTTGGCTATTGCAATAAGTTCCCTCATTGCGGGTCTAATCAAAGTCTCATTAGCACCATGGATTTGGCATCGATTAACATCCATATTAACTATGGCAGTAAGAGGGTTGAAACTAACATTATAAACCAATTTCTCCCATCTGGCTTTCCGACATTCATGATCTACCACAACTGTGTTTTTACCTTCTATTTGATATATTTCAGCAAATTTTTCCATTGCTGCAAATTCTTTTGGGTTATCATTGAAACTTCCAATTCTAATTGTATCGGTACCTTTAGCAGTGACCACTCCATTCTCATTGGAACTGCCTATATAAATGACTCCTGAAAGTACAACGTTATTGGGGAACGCCTTCTTCATTGGCACCTCAATATCAATACCATTCTGCATAAGTACAATGGTAGTAAATCCAGGAGTCACGGCGGATTCAATTATAGATTCGCATGAAGATGGTCCATCGGGAATATTCTTTGTGGTTACCATAATAAAATCAAATGGACCATGCTCCTTTGCCGCCACATCTATAGAAGGTACAAAGTGGTTGGGACGCCAATTATGGAAGTTTCCATACATGGAGCTATTGATCTCATAACCCTTCTCTTTCACCAAATTATAATCAGAACGTACAACCAATGTAGCATCGGCTTTACCATTGAGATCAAGTGCAAGTGCATTGATAGTTCCAATGCCGCCAGCACCCACAATTAATACCTTTGGAAGAGTCATGTGAACGAACGGAGAATAAATCAACAAAAGGAAATATGATAACGACACTTCCAGATCAATGTTGAACGATAAAGTTTGGGAGATAATTATATAGATATGGCGGGTGCTACCATTCTTTCGGTTACTACCCAATCGGGAATACTACTAGTGACTCATATACATAAAGAATCAAATTATAGTTTTAGTACGGGGTTGGATATATGGCTACGATATGGTAATGAAGTCTAAGTGCATCTATGTGTATAAATAATTATATCTATGTGTAAATCTACGTAACTCTATTGAATAGTTTGGATATCAAAGGTCCCTGAGCCCAGATAGCCATAAAGATGACGAGCATCGATTATTCGTAATTCAAAATACTTGATGATACTTTCTTGATTGATTTTTGCTCCAGTATTGGCAGGTAATGGGTGGCCCATTTCCCTTTGGTATTGTTCAGAACCAGATTTGTGAGTAAGCTCAAGTGTTTGAGTCACCACTGTTAAAGTTTGATTAACTGCTAATGGAAGGGAATAACAAGTTGTAAGTTTATCCATTAGAATGGCCAGAAATAAATCACCTATTCCTGTAAAATAAGATCGGATAATAGGAACACAACAATATTCAACAGTTTCACTATTGGAATATGAATTGAAGGCACAATAAATATTCTCTTTATCAGATGGAAGTCGATAAGAAGTTACTACAATATGCTTTATATGAGGGTTTTTGTACCGAAGTAAAAGAATGGCATCCTTGAGCTCATAAAGTGTAGATATTGACTTTGGAAGTTCAAGAATCAATTCTAGTTCATATTGATTGGGTGTTATCACATCAATTAATTCACTTGGAGGGTGAAGGTCACTACCCACGATAACCTTACGATACGCTTCCACACAGTTATTATCCACATAAAGAACACCTTCATCTCCCATCACTGGATCTAGTAAATATGTCATATTGAGATTAACTTTTTTAAAACCGCTAATACGGTCCACTATAGAATCAATTAACTCCTTATTTGAAATGTATCCAGACACAATACCTTCATATTTGACTCCGATATCCTCTAACCCATCAAATATATTAGAAAGGTCTTCCACAGATATAGTAGAGCCTTTAGTATGACCATAACCGGTATGGTTGGAGAAGTTAACAGTAGAGATAACATCAACATCCCATCCTTGTATTTGGAGAGGGAAAGTGGCAGCCTTTCCGCCCACATACCCGTGTGAAACGTGGGATTGCACCGATAGAAGGCTCTTCATTGATAACAGCTTAACCGGGACGCTTAAGCTCGAGTTGACATGGTTATAGTAGGTAAGTCAGATGGACTCTGCAAGATTGTGAGTCAAACGATAGTCGCGCACCGGAACCAAATCAGGTAGTATTACCTAACATATTACGTAAGAACCGAGTTTAAAATGAAATAGAGATAAATTATACTTCATCGAAACATAAATAACATAAAAATAATTTTGAATTATTAACCATTGTTCAGAATACAAAGACTTAAAAATCACTGTGCATTAGCCTTCAATTGAAATTTCAATCCTAAAATCCCATAGGATTACTTGGAGATTAAGGAAGGAAATTTTCAAAATTACTTTGCAAGAGATGGTACTCATCTCTTCAAATACATAGTACATACATTGTTTCTGAAATAATCTGAAACATATTTGTTTGGCGAAATGCACTATTATTCGTCAACCTATTAAAGAGGAAGTATAAGAAATCTGAGGGGAAAATGTGGAAAATGTGCCAGTTACCCGGCCCGTCGATTCCTTTCCCTTTCCGGTAGGCTTTGGATCAGAATAGGGATGACGCCACCTGTCTGTGGGTTGATGGTGTTTCACGGGCAAAGCACATACAGGAATAGTTTGTGGCAGGAGGCGACACCTACTGGCAAACTTCTGGGACCTTGGAAGTTAATCTGGCATGGTTAACAATTTGCATGCATACTGCTTACGAAGACAATAAGATTTAATTCGACGAGGATTCTGACACCAGTAAGAGAAGAGACTAAACAAAGTAACAATTAAGCCCCAGTTTCAAAGTATATTTTAAGATTCTATTCTACTCTGTAGATTAGAAAGACTATCTCCAATAGAGGTTGTTCGGGTGATTTATTGTCAGAAAGCTTGGTAGAAGTATAATCAGTGGAGTACAGTATAATTGTTCAATTAATACTACATTGTGCTGACGAAATGAGAAGAAATGTAACAAATGTAATACCCTAAAGAGGTACGATTGGATTCCAATGGATTTATGGTGAGATTCTTTAAGCTGAAGCAAGTATTCGCCAAAAGCACCTGAATAATACTTCTTGGGCTTCCAGACGATCGAAATCTGAAACGTCAAAGTGGTTGATAATACGCGTACTGAAAAAAAAGGTACTACTGCTACTCATCGCATAAACACATTTTGGAAGTTAATTTTTCACCAACAGTGTCCATACCACGCCCAGGTTTAAACGCCAGAAATGCACAGAAGGCATTTTTTTTTATTTCTCGTAAGGTGTGGTAGTTAACAGTAGGCCGAACCGGAACCAGCATACTTTAAAATTAACCACGGCCAGAAGATTGGCGATGTAACATACAGTAGTAAAATGGAATAATTAGCATAATAAAACCAGTCTAACAACATAATAAAACCTCTAACAACAATAACAATGCAACACATGTAGTAGCACAATATACTCTGATTCGTATTTACAACTTGATAAGCATATATTAAATTTGTCTCCGCAGTTCATTCTTACATCACGTGCGCGAAAGCCGATGGTTTGTCATTGGCCTTGTTTGTCCTGCCACTATAACCTTGAGTAAGGCAATTCCGACATAGCAATCAAACGCGCTCTAACACAAAACCTTGTAAGGAATAGGTTTACGTTTGTGGTTACCAGGGGCTTTGAACTTGTTCACACACGCACATTTTTTTTGCCGACAACTGCCCTGTCTATTACTATTATTAACAACTTTTTCAGGCATACTAATAGATATAGCCTAGAAGTATTATATATATATAGGATAAATGTTCTCGCCTGATTCCAAATTTCCCTTCAAAAGACTCTTTTTTCTATCATCATTGTCTGATCAATAAATCATCCACCTCCACAAGGTACAGCTTTCACACATCTTTGATCTACTGTTTGTAACAGGTCCCACCAGATCAAATATACTCCCTTTGCCACAATAATTTAATTGCCACCCACTATGGATTCCGAACAGCCTTCAGCCGCTTCTGTCAACGCTACACTTGCCTCTGCCGAGTCTGCATTCAAATCTTCTCTTCCCCCTAGGAAGAGAGCTAAGACTCAAGAAGAAAAGGAGCAACGTCGTGTTGAAAGAATTTTGCGTAATCGGAGGGCAGCACATGCTTCTAGAGAAAAGAAACGTAAACATGTGGAACTTCTCGAAGAATATGTGGTTAATCTTGAAGCCAATATGGCCAAATTACTGGCAAACTTTAACACGGTTCACTCCATCTTGCTGGCTTCTCAACGTCAACAAATTGCCTCTCAAATTGATACAAATGTTTTAACTGATATTTCCGAGTTGAAGGCAAAAATTACTGATAATCTTAATTGTTCAGTTGCTGACTTTGAGAAACAGCGTCAAAAGAAATTGAAAGGTAGAAAACTGTCTGCCTCCAACATTTCTGATTCGGAAGATGATGAAATGGAAGAGGAAGATGCTTCACGTGACTCCCCTGAGCCCAGAGCAGTTTTCTCATCGGTAAAGGAAGACACTAGATCTGTTCAATCAGAAGTTTTCTCTTCAAATGAATCTGTTGGTTCCCATTCATCAGCTCCCTCATCCATTGGAGGAACAGATGGGGATAACGATTTGTTTATTAAGCAAGAACCGCAAGAAGAATCCTTTAAATTGTCGTTTGCTTCTGAAGCCGACAATTTACTTCTTTCAACCTCTGTTACTGGCGACGAATCAAATGTTGCGGCTAATTCTGAGGCTAATTACTTGCAATACCTTTCACCTATTTCTATTAACTCTCCTTCCCATTCTTCCCCAATCGACTTGACCTTGAACACTTTGGCCAACAACTATGAAGGTGAGTTTGAAGACTTGCTCAAGGGATCTAATGAACCACTGATAGCCTCAGCATCAGATGATTCTACTTTTGGCTTGAAATCAACTCTCCTTTCAACAGACTCTTTCTCAAAGAAATCAATCATGTCAAGCAGTTCATTTTCTGCTACCAACGCTCCCAATTCTTCCATATATGATTACGTGGGGCAAAATCCAGAAGTGATTTTGTTTTCCTGCTCCAGATTCATGTGTTATGCTTCAAAACATATCTTAAAAAGTTGTCTTGTTTAAATCAAACAGACTTACAGAATGAAGTTGAAGTAGTTCTCTGCTTTGCTATTGGATGGCTTTATTTCTTGCGCAGGTTATCTTTGTCATCACTGGCTGTAACTTATTCCATCAGAATAACTATCAGCTTATCTAGAAGATTAACTTTGCGGCAATCTCAACCTTTTCAAGCTGTACCTTGTGGACAGCCATCCTTTAGAATGCATTGAAGTAACTATTTCTTTTCACCTGATGTCCCAGTTTTTACTTGACAAGACTGAGCTATTACCCACCTCCCTCTACCCCCCAATAACTTGAACTAAGTCATTATCAAATGACTCAATATTTTTAGGAGGGCGTTTTTGTTTTTTTATATGAAGCACTACACAGTTTCTGGATCCTGGTCGGCAGCACCAGTAATCGCTATAGAAGGAGCATCTTTGGGAATAAATGTCAACTCTGAAGTTGATGTTGAAGTTGGTGATGATGTGGTTGAAGAATCATCCTTGTTTGGAATCACATTCGATGAATATTTGGCTATTTAAGTCAGACAAGAATGTTGTGTCAATGTGCTATTATTTTTATTCTCTTGTTGTGTGCCTCTCCAGTTTTGACAGCTGGAGAAGTTACAGTTGTATTATAGTATGTGGAAATTACTTATTCCTCGGTTTATTGGGCTTATTTTTTAATAATTGGGTTATTATTCTGTCAATCAGATGACTTTCAAACAGTGAAGATAAAATCAAAAAAGAACAAAAAAAAGAAGAAAACATCAGAAAAACCAAAAAAAAACGAGCATGTTCTTTTTTGCATTTGGTTTAATTTTGATGTTGATGATTTCTGAATGTATTCATAGGGATTTTTGTTGTACTTGTTGCCTTTTTGATTATATGAAGCTGACACTAAATGTCATTGATTGTTAAAACCGGGGGGTTTAAATCAATGTTAATTCTGGGTTGTTGGACAAAGAAGCTCTACTATTATGTTAAGGATCTGTGTTTGGCGCTCCCTAAATGGTTGCAGCGACAATATCAAGTATCTACAGATGATAAAGTTGAATGTCTTAATCTCCCACTAGCAACATAATTAGTGTGGAGCTCTAAAATTGGAAAGTGCTCTAGTACAAACGGATTCTCTTGAATGTATCTAAGAATGACTCTCTTTTTATTGGGATTTTATATGTCTTAAAGTTTATATAGATTATAAATCAATGACATGAATTAGAATATAAACTAATCAACTAAAGTAAAGTAGATGACAAGAAGAAAAATGTAATCTACAAATTAAAATCACGCGACATGTCACGTGATTATCAGTACAACTATAAATATAGATAAAGTATGCGCAACCCAGTTTACCCCATATTAATTCCAACTTTCGCCACCACAATGCAATTCGTAGATCTTCCACCTGACATATATACCGACTTGATACAATATCTTTCGCCTGTTGATACCTTGTCATTGTTTTCCACCTGCAAAGCACTTGCAGGCTACTTAAATGATCAAACGTACAGAATCATATACTCACATTTATTTCCCCGTGAGCCAATCGTATACAATATTCCTTTACAACATGGCTGGCTATATTACTTAAACCTTAGGAAAAGGGGTCATTTGTATACATGGGGTGAAAGTCTGCGTGCTCGTTTAGGGTATGCATCAACAGACTCTGTGTTTCCAGCCCGTAATGGCCCATTAAGGGGTGTTCCCATACCTCTGAATGTGCAATCACTTAATAATTGGTCAATCCGTCTGATTCATTCCACTGGGTTCAGTTTCATAACACTGTTACAACCAGAAGTCGATACAAAAGCTCAACTTTACTATACGGGGTATCAATGGAGAGATACTCCATACTCCCAAAGTTCAGTACCTCCTGGACCTAATGAAAGAGATGTTATAACCACCACTAGTGCTCCCAACACACGGCTTCCAGCTATGATCTCTTTACCGGGGTATCATCCAATGAATTTGACATATTCAAGAGATAGCACTACAAACTATCACACACCTGAAACGGCCTATTTGTCACCATTGATGATTACTGGAGATGATATGGGTGGAAAGTCAGATAATGAAAGCAATATACGGAAGCTGGATCCTTTGATACAAGTAGAGTGTGGCAGACAACATGTTATGGGTATGAGTGGTCAAGGGAGAATATGGGTTTGGGATGCTGGAATTCCGGGACATAGTGCAGTTGAGTTGGATATAGCCAAAGTGATTAAAAGTTTTAGTGGGGGGAAACTACTTAGAGCCACCAAAATCAGATGTTCATGGAATGCTAATAGTTGTTATGTTCCAGGGTTAGGTATAATCGTATGGAACGGAAGAGAATCTGTAACAGAAGAAGGTATTAAAAAAGTTGAATTTGGACAATGGGCCCAATTGGTTCCAAATACTCAGTATGTTAAAGATTATGCCTGTGTATTTGAAGACATTGTTTACATAGACTCGATGGGAAGGAATATCAATCATTACCATGAAGGCAAGACAGAAGCCATTTCCAGTGTTGGTTTGGATCTGTTGAGTCCACATAAGGAAGATGTTAAATTAGATCAAGATGAAGAAGAATATTCTAGACTTCTGGCTTGTTATGACAAGTTTATTGCCACCACAACTTATTCCCGAACAGTGGTTTACAATGTTCGAGAGAAGTCCGGAGTTACAATAGAATTACCCGTGGAAGCAGCTCCTCTAGTGGATATTGCAATGGGTGATTATCACTATCTTGCACTTGCTGCTGATGGTGAATTGTATGCTTGGGGTCACGAGAGTCGTGGGTGCGGATGTTTGGGTGTTGAGGCCCAGCGAACAAATCAGGATTTAAATATACCCAAGCCTAAATTGGTCCAAAAACCTGTACCAGGTAAATGGCTCGCGGTGACTGCTGGTGGTTGGCAAAGTGCTGGTATATTTGTTGAGGATGTTTAACAGAAGTAGAGTTAAAGTGAAACCAGAGTAGCATGTGAAAAATGTTGGAAAGACACAAACATAGCAAGCAGACCCAACGATCTTGTGCAAGATCGATCCGTCACAGAGGGGGATGATATATAGTGAGATAGAGTTTCTATTGTTTACATAAGGTATATTTTTAACCATGGTGATGAACGATTTTGTCGTATAGGATTGGATGGCGAAAGTAAACAGAACAAGACAGAATTTTTTTTTACTGCAGATTAACAGGAGATATTACAAAAGAGAACACCTTGGTTGTACAGTGTAGTTTAGCGTAGTGTAGGTTAGTGAAGGTTTGTGTGGTTAGGAGTTGTGTGCCTTCACACGGAAAGTACAGTCAAATACAGTCAAGTACGATCAAAGTACAATCAAATAATGTTGATGGACTTATTGCTGCAAATGACGTCCGGGTAACACTATGTGTGCGACACACAAAAAAAGGCGGAAAACCAGTCATACATTGACAAAACAACTTCTCCTTACTGTTTTAATTCGTCACAAGATAATAATACAATTGAACAGTACTTAAGTGTGGTGATATCGACCAAAAGACTTATCTAAAAGTGCTAGAGTACTAATCATATAAATATCGAACGATCCCGGGCTTTTGATTCCGGTTTATAGTACCACTCCTTTTTTTTTAATTCTATCATCAATAAAACAAACAATCCCCCTATAACAAATTGTTGACGGTGGCAATCAAATTTTGAATATATAAACAAATATTCTAATAGAATAGAGGTTCCAATTTATTTATAAAACCTACAATCCAATTATAATGACTACTAGTCCTAAAGCAGCCAATGCGGCAGAGAAGTCTCATTCTCGAACCAACAGTTTGACGCCCACACCACTGCACACTGTTTCTACACGTAAACGGAGATCATCACTGATTATTCAACATTTGGAAGATGATAATCTTGAAACCAAAGTTGACCAAGTGATTAACCCCAATGTGAATGCTAACTGGGTACATTTTAAAGGTGCGTGGATTATACATATTGTTATTATTATGGTACTTAAATTATTATTGAATTTGTTGAATGTATTTGACAATGATTGGAATTGGACTTTAACTAATCTTATCTACAACATTGGGTCTTATATTATGTTTCATCAAGTGAAAGGTACACCGTTTGATTTTAATAACGGAGCATATGATAATTTGACTATGTGGGAACAAATAGATAATGGTGATCAATATACCCCTGCAAAGAAGTTTTTAATGATTGTACCCATAGGATTATTTTTAATTCTGACCCATTATCTGAACTATAACTTAAACTTGTTTATTTTGAATGGATTAAGTTGCTTATGTGTTGTTGTACCTAAGTTGGCCATCTCCCATAGATTAAGAGTCACATTGTATTGAGGTACACAGTACTGACTTTGTGTAGCTGAACCCTGAAGTAGGGCTATATAGTTCAAACATATTTAATAAACTGTGTCAAATTATACGTGTGTTTATGTTCTATGCATAACCCTCCTGAGTCATTACCGGGATTTACTCTCGGTTAGACCCTCGGAATTCTGAAAACGTCACCTTCGATTGTGTGCTCTCATTCTTTCTTTCAAGATTTTTATTTTTGACTCGGTCCCCAATTTTGAAATTTTTGGAATATATATATACCCCCCTCTTACATATAAATCGCATCTCCTCACTCCAGTTTTGATTCTTCCTACATCCTTCTCATAGTAGAACGACATTCAATACCTTATATAAATAATGCCTTACGCACTTCCAGAATCCCATAAGCAATTGGTCGAAGGCCATTTGAAAGACACCGATGCTGATGTCTACAACATCATCCAAGATGAAATCGATAGACAAAGACACTCTATTGTGTTGATTGCTTCTGAAAACTTTACAACCACTGCTGTTTTCGATGCTTTGGGAACCCCAATGTGTAACAAGTACTCTGAAGGTTACCCTGGTGCCAGGTACTATGGTGGTAACGAACATATTGACAAGATGGAATTGTTATGTCAAGAACGTGCCTTGAAGGCCTTTGGTGTTACTGCCGATAAATGGGGGGTCAATGTTCAAACATTGAGTGGTTCTCCTGCTAACTTGCAAGTTTACCAAGCCATCATGAAGCCTCATGAAAGATTAATGGGTTTGGATTTACCTCATGGTGGTCACTTGTCTCATGGTTACCAAACTGATAGTAGAAAGATCTCTGCTGTTTCCACTTACTTTGAAACCATGCCTTACAGAGTCGACTTGGAAACTGGTTTGATTGACTACGACATGTTGGAAAAGACTGCTGTTTTGTTCAGACCAAAGGTCATTGTTGCTGGTACTTCTGCTTACTGTAGATTGATTGATTACAAGAGATTCAGAGAAATTGCAGACAAGGTTGGTGCTTATTTGGTTGTTGATATGGCTCACATCTCCGGTTTAATTGCAGCAGGTGTGATTCCATCTCCATTTGAATATGCCGATATTGTCACCACCACTACCCACAAGTCCTTGAGAGGTCCAAGAGGTGCCATGATCTTCTTCAGAAGAGGTGTCAGATCTGTCAACCCCAAGACTGGCCAAGAAGTTCTTTACGACTTGGAAAACCCTATCAACTTTTCTGTTTTCCCTGGTCACCAAGGTGGTCCTCATAACCATACCATTGCTGCTTTGGCCACTGCTTTGAAACAAGCTGCTTCTCCAGAATTCAGACAATACCAAGAACAAGTTTTGAAGAATGCTAAGGCTTTGGAATCGGAATTCAAGGCTAAGGGTTACACCATGGTTTCTGACGGTACTGACTCTCACATGGTTTTGTTATCTTTGAAGGATAAGGGTATTGATGGTGCTAGAGTTGAAACCATCTGTGATCAAATCAATGTTGCCTTGAATAAGAACTCTATCCCCGGTGACAAGTCTGCTTTGGTTCCAGGTGGTATCAGACTTGGTGCTCCAGCCATGACCACCAGAGGGTTGGGTGAAGAGGATTTCAAGAGAATTGTTGGTTACATTGACTTTGCTGTTAACTACGCAAAGGAAATCCAAGCTGGTTTACCAAAGGAAGCTAACAAGTTGAAGGACTTTAAGAACTATGTTGCTTCTCACCCTGATGACCGTTTGACAAAGGTCAAGGAAGAAATCTACAACTGGGCTGGTGAATTCCCATTGTCTGTTTAAAATAAAATGCATGTGCTTTTTTTAAATTATTATATCAATGAATAATGTTTCTTTATGATTATTATTATTATTAAATAAGTTTTGACTCAGTAAAGATCTTGGTTAATGACCCTTCTTGATCCCATCTCTTTAAATCAGCCTCAGTCCCTAACCGTTTACCATTGAACCAGATAGTAGGAACCCATTTCAGTCCAGCCAATTGAGTGAATGCTGCTTCTAATTGGGCAGCTTCTTTTTGATCTGACAATTTATCTAATTCCAACACCTTGACCTTGGACACCACTCCATATTGTTCCCATACCTTATAAGTGTAGTGGCAATCAGGACACCAAGATTTGGAGAGCATGAAATATGGGTTCTCGTCAATGTACTTTTGTGCTTGTGAAAGATAAGGCTCCGACATGATGCTTGGAGAGGATTCTGTTTGGAGAAGAAGCTGATGTAGATTTGATCAGTGATGCCATTTATCGATAGAGGATTTTAGTCTCGAAGTCACGTGACTGGATCGGCTTTATTGGTCGGTCTGCCAACAATGTGGCAGTCCATCCACACTTTTTTTACCAAATCTAATCTAATGTTTCTGGCGTATCCGATTATTCCACGCCACCTTATGTGAAGGACATGAAGAGTAATGGTATTTGTATACTTAGTAATAATAAGGAGTTATCTGCATTACCCACTGTATCCATCTATCCCAAATTAGGAACCCATCCCCGTTCCAACCTCATCTGGCTTCGGTCATCTGATATCCAATTCAATTACAAGTCTGTCTTGATGCATAGTATTCAATCAGAATAAGCATAAGACTCGCCCCACATCTACACCATGCGCTTAAATAGCATTGCTGAAACCTCTCCACCAACCATGCCATGCCAGGCCCTACCCCACTACGAGTGCGGACAACCGTTTCGCACCTTAGGCGTTGTGTGCAGGATATTGTGGGGGTCGATAAAACGCTATATAAAGGGGCCAACATATTCTTGTACAGCAGAAATGGAACACGGCAGCAATTCCTTAAATATGCCACTGTTAATGGAAGCTGTCAAGGCATTGGAAAAAGAGTTTCTTATTGATGATGAGTTCCTTAGAAAAGGTACGGATGCCTTCAACAAGTCTCTGGACAATGGATTGAAAGCTCCCAAAGTTGGAAGAGAGTTCATGCCAATGATCCCTGCATTTGTCACCAAAATCCCTACTGGTAAGGAAAAGGGTGTATATTTGGCAGCTGATTTGGGAGGAACCAATTTTAGAGTTTGTTCTGTTGATTTGCATGGTGATCATACTTACAGTTTGATCCAATCCAAAAGTGCAGTCTCTGAAGACTTGCAAAGAGGATCAGACGCCACTGGAGAACAGTTGTTTGCTTATTTGGCCAAGAAGATTGATTTATTTATCCGTGAACATCATTGCACTAATGATGTAGTTGATTCTTCCGACAAATTCAAAATGGGATTCACCTTTTCATTCCCCGTGGAGCAAACTTCTTTGGGAAGTGGTCTGTTGATCAGATGGACTAAAGGATTCCATTTAGATGACGTGATAGGGAAGGACGTAGTAGAGTTGTTGCAAGCTCAATTGGATAAATTGGGTACCCCAGTCCATGTTGTGGCTTTGGCAAATGATACAGTGGGTACTTTACTCTCTCGTGCTTATTCCAATAAAGACTCTGAACATGTCAAGACCATAGTTGGATGTATTTTCGGTACAGGAACCAATGGTGCATATTTTGAAGCTTATGATAAAATCCCAAAGTTGAAGGAAAACATCGATACCGGTTCAGGAATGGTTATTAATACCGAATGGGGCTCATTCGATAACCCATTGACCTTTTTACCTAAAACAAAGTATGATGATATCGTTGATAATGAAACATCAAATATTGGATACCATCTCTATGAGAAAAGAATTAGTGGTATGTTTTTGGGTGAATTGGTTAGAGTTATTTTAATTGACTTATTTGAACAAGGAGTCTTGTTCAAGGAATTGTATGAATCAAGAGGTGGCTCATTACCTCATCGATTGACTGAACCATGGGGACTTTCTTCAGAAATCTTGTCTTATATTCACGTTGATGATTCCAATGATTTGAAGACTACTCAAGTTGCATTAGACTTGAGCTTAAGATTACCTACCACCTGTGCTGAAAGAGAAGCTATTCAACAAGTAACTCGTATTGTGGCTGACAGAGCAGCCAAGTTATCTGCTATCCCAATTGCAGCTATTGCCAAACGAGTTTCACCTCAATATCCAAAGAATGTCGAATTTGAAATCGGATGTGACGGTTCAGTAGTGGAATTCTATCCTGGTTTCAGAGAAAAGGTGACCCAATATGTTAACGAATTGGACACTGATGGTAGAACTGTCCGTTTGGTGATTGCTAAAGATGGTAGTGGTGTTGGAGCAGCATTATGCGCTTGTATGGCTGATTGATTAGTGACAATGAATTTAACCCTTTTTCATAAATATAATTCTAAAAATAAAACTGTTAACTTTTCATGACTTTATCCAACGATATTCCTTTGGGTCAGACTCTTCAAACTTCATGACTCCATTGGTATATTCACCATAACAAAGACAATAATGTTTAAGTAACAAGGTGATCTCTTCAACTTCATCAATCCATTCCAATCTACTGATTCTGTAAAGCTCTTTGAACTCTATCCACCCTCCTTTATTGGTTGGCTTTGAGTATCCTCCAACATAACTCAAATCGGTCAAACGGATGTTTTCAAACCCACAAGTGTCTCTTAGAAATGATAACCGTACATCTAAATCAGGTAAGCTTTCAAACGTTGGCAATTTAATTCCCTTACCCTTTTGAAGATTGGATTTCATGGTTTTCCCAAAATTATCACCTAAAGCCATGGGCTCATAGATCAAAAAACCCAACAAGTCTGGGCTCATTTCACGAAACTTTGTGATCAATCTCTCATTGTCCTCCATGGGCAAATAACATAAGCAGCATTCACTCAAGACCAAGGTGGGAACTTTGTGATCAAAGTCCTTGAGTAGTGTACTATATTCTTCGACTTGACGAAGATCTCTGCCATAGAGATGATAGTTTGAGGTATGCAAATCACAGTTCACTCTTTGAAACCCTTGGGCACTATTTATCTCGACAGTCACGTGTTTGGTGTTGACTATTTGACTCAACTGTTGATTGTTGGTAATGGCTAACTTTTTGATCCGAGTAGATTCAGGGAAGTCGATCTCATGATATGTCATATTTTTGTACTTTTTCAACATGGTAAAACTACGAGTATCCATACCACTTCCCAACGATATGATCTGTACTCTTTCGTCTGCCGCATTCTTGGTAAACTCTTCCATTACCCAATCAAGTGACATTGTTCTTAAGTAAGTACCTCGGTTGATTAAAGGTAACTTGTTCTGGAATGCCTCTCTTAGAATACGCTGCGAACTCATGGCAGTGTACCCGCGACAATATCCAAAGTATTGTCGATATGCTTCGTACAACACCATACTGTACGGGTCCAGGAAGTAACCCTTGCGATGACAACTGACACGACAGCTCAAAGCATCGAGGTCTGTGGCTCGGACATATACGTCCTGTTTATCATCAAGAGTAAGAAGTTCATTCATGGTATGAAGAATTAGAAGACAAGAACGTTTATATTTGATTACCCCAAACGATGTTTGTTAGTGGTTCAAAATTACTTGAATATTGCGTCCAACAAAAAATGCGGAGATAGTCCGGGTAACCACTTGTTGATGCCTATAAAGGTGTTCGTACTACCTATAGTTACGCGTACATACTACACTTTTAATTGACTTACGGTATTACGAAAAGTATTGCTATACGCACGTCAATTCTAGTTTCTAGCTCCGAGGCAGATAAATTACGTAATATTCAACTTCCTGTAGTGCAATGCTCCTCTAGTACTACATATTGTATGTCTTCGGTATAGATCTGGTAGGTAATATTGGTATGCTGGATAATTTTGCAATGTGCTTAAAGCATATAATGATACAGCATTGCGCAATGTCCACCGCGAACAAACCTACTATCTTAATATATGTAAAAGGGAATATGACATATATCAAAGCATTGTGTAATTCTCTATCAGTGATTAAAGGATGCGTTTCTATAGTCTAATTATTGCTTTGGTGGCATTATGCCTCCAACATGTTGGTGCAAAAATATTACTCTCTCGGGAAATGAAAAACCGTAAGGTGAACCCATTGCTTGAAGCAATGCTTGCAAACAAAGAGTACATCTACACGGTCAAGACTTTTCAAGATCTCAATCCTACTGTTCTCACTTGGCGTAGGATTGCCCTTGTTGAAGATACAAAGTCAGTGATTGTGGGGGATAAGTTTTTACTGGATATGGAATCGGAAAACTATGTTCCTGGTCTTGGAAACGATAAGAGAGACTTGTTTGCATTTAGCAACAACACTAACACTACTGGCATTGTTAACTTGTTCAAGATCCCCAAGATTTTCAACCCAAGCAATGCTTTCTTTAAGCAAAAGGATCAAGTGTTCCATGAGATCAGCCATGCCAATGCAAAGGAACGGCTTGTGAAGGGAACTCGCTTCTTTCCATTTGGAGATTGTGTTAGAAATGAAGCATCAACTAAAGCCCAGTACACGAGGGCTTTCGCCGTCGGTGGAGGAGGAGGTGTAAGTTATTCTTTTGCTATCGCTATTTATCTGAATGTTTACAGCACTCAAGGCGGCTTTGGAACCGGGGTAGAATTATCAGGAGGGATAACGTGCGATGTTCCACCTTACAACACGCTGCAAGTACAAATGCGTCTTGACCGTGTGAGGATTTCAGGTATGAGGTCCAGACAATTAAAGATACAACTGGCGTGGAACTTTGGGAAAACATTTGAAGCTTCTCCATGGAAAGAAGAACCTGTTTTTGAAGAAGCAAGGCAGTCAAACTTTATGATATCCTGTGTGACTGACCCTGAGCTCTTACAATGCAGTTGGAGGTAGCCGATAACAGTGAAGATGTACACTTTAGTTCAGTACCGAATTAAAAGAATGAATAATGTTACACTCTTTCGGCAATACACCACCAATTGTCTTTCTCGTAGCCTTCTTCAATGATTCTTCCTCCAGCAGCTACACAATTTGCAGCAAGTTCTCCCTTCTTATAAAGATGGTAGTATCTGTATTTGGTTTCGTCTGCAACAGGTTCAGATGTAGTCTCGTTTTGTTCTTCAGTTTTAAAGTCTTCTTTTTCTTCTTGGTGTTGTTCTTCTTTATGCTTGGTTCTCTTTGTCTTCTTCTTTTTGGGCTGGTTCTTCTTCAATACCCATGGGATAAGTATATCTTGTTCATCGCCCTCTTTGTAACCTCTACGCGAGTTCTCTTGCTCCAATGCCCAACAGTACACCAAGAAACGACCCCCCACACGAAGTCGACTCATGATATGAGCAATGGCCTCAACTCTGCGTTCTTCAGTTGCAAAGTGGTGGATTACTGCAATGCTCAATGCAAAGTCAAAGGTGTCCTTGGGATGCGGTAAATGAAGTCCATCAGCAACTCCAACATTGTAGTCTGGGTTCAACTTGTGTCCACATTCTATGAGACCAGTGGAGTAGTCTGTCCCAATTACAAACAAGTCAGGATTAACAGATAAATACTTTCCATTCCCACAGCCAACATCAATACCTACAGAGAACCGTAGCTGGCCCTTAAGAAACTTCTCAACAATGGGCCATGGCTTGTACCGAGTCTGCGAGAAATGGGCTGCAATCTCGTTATATACCGTGTGTACATATTCATCCTCTTGAGTCTTTGGATCTAGACCTACGGATACAGGAACCGAAGGAACGGACATGATATGGTTTTTGATTATCGAAAGAAAGAAAAGATATGTACAATTGTACCTTTAGTTCAAATGCGATGAGGACAAACCATCAACTTTTTCTACTCACTAAAATTACCTCCACCTCTACGTCCATACGTAATTATTATCATGAAGGGAGGTATACTATCCATACCACTCATAGGTGGTATAATAATAGCATTGGCTTCCCCTTTCATAGCCAGCTATATGTATTCATATGTAAATTTAAATTATGTTGATGCTGATGTTGGTACAATGATTGTGCCTATTGATGTCCACCTAACTTTTCTCAATAGAGGTTTCAAGTTCCCAGATTTGGTGAAGGCAGCACAGCTACAATTAGACATAGAGGCTAGAAAATGGTTCCCGGATAACTGGAGAATACAATTGATCAATGATCTTCAAGATGACTTTGATCAAGGTCAATGGCCTAAGGGATTCTCAAATACTACCCATCTATATTATGACGTTGATGGTGGGGATTCTGGTGGTGCCTATACCAACAAATATGTTCTTTATCTATATAACTCACTTGAAAGTAACACATTGGTGGTACTTCCAGAGGGATTAGCCGTTATCCTTTACTATAACTCAGATTCAGTGTATCAGAACGATTTGCCCTATTATATTGTTCAGGCAATCATGGAACATTTACTAAAGTCAGAAAGAGACATGTTCAATCATGAAACGCATAAAATTAACTCCGAAGTGGTGTTTGTTTCTCCAAATAGTACCAGTACAGTATTGTTCCCCCTGGTGTGGAATGATTTAGGTGTCCGGGTGTTGCAATATAATGACACCATAGACTTGTCAATGGTCTCCGATACAAATATCACAAGACTCGCGTATTATTTAGAAGAAGATAACAACCATGTGGAAAACTCCAACATATCCAATTATACCGTACCTGAACCGTACAAAAGACTTTCTCGAGGTATGGAGGACTTCATGGCCAATGATATAGCCTCTAACTTGGGGCTAACTACGTATCCCTCAGGAAACTTAGAGTTGAGACTCTTAAGTATGACCCGTCACTTGTGTCTCAAAGTTATTGAGTCAAACTCTGAAGTAAGAAGAAAACTTCAACAGTGTTTGAAAGGGCCCCATAATTATGACGCAGTTACGTGTTGGATAGCTTGTTTAAGCCGTTTAGACTCAAGATGACGATCGACATATTGTTTCTATCCTGTAGTAGTTCTTTTCTTTGCATTAGTCTTATTGGTTCTAGCCTTCTCTGCAAGCAACCGTTCTGCTTTATCACCATGCTTTAACTTCCTGGCAGTTCCATCCTTGTAGGCATACGCCACAGCTAGCTTTGAGTTCATAAGTATCCTATTATTCATCTTCTCTATCACACGGTCACTCAGTGCGAAGTCTTCGTAGGTCAATATGGCATATCCATTGCTTTCACCTGTCTTAGCACGAAGTATTTCAGGTACTCTGATGAGCGTACCAAATGATGAAAACGTATCAACTAAATACTTCTCGTCGATCAAAGGGTTCAATCCCTTCACAAACAATTTGGCTCCAACATCAGGTTTATCCGAATTAATTCCAAATGCATTTCTTATGCCTTTGTTATGGGCCATTCGAATCAAGTTGGGATTGCCATGTGTAGATGTTGAACCATTCGCGTTATCTTTACCTTCCACTTTGTTCAACACCAAGTTCTTACCGTATAATCTGATCCCCTTAAGAATGTTTACCACATATTCAACGTCCTCTGAACTCCGAAACTCAACAAATCCATATCCTTGATGTGTTCTTAGAATCCGGTCCTTTGGTAGGTTTAGATTCCTCACTGGTGCAAATTGTATAAAGAGTTCGTAAAGTATGGGCTCTGTAACTTGAGGATCAAGATTCCCTACATATAATGTCGCCTGTATATTCTTCTCGGACTCTAGAGGCTTTCTAAAAACTAAACTCATAACAATTGCCTCTTTGGTAGTAGCTAGTTTACCTACTTGACTTCTAACTTAAAATCTACTGCTGTTGATCTCATCACCAAAGTCGTGTTCTGGTCAAACTACATTATCAATGGTACCTCTCTTCTCTTTCTCTAGTTATACTACTGGAACTTTCGACAGACTCTCTTGGGGTGCTTCATCAGAGTCTGATTCGGAGTCCGGATACTCATTCAAACTGGTAGTAAATTTATTCTTACTATGAATTTCAGCTTTAGTACCTTCTTTTATTTCTTGCGGGGTTGTTGTGTCGTTATTGATCGTAGGATCAATCTTTGTTTCTGACTCTAAGTGAGTGTTGGAGTCGCTTTCTGATTCGTCGTCACTATCAACACTCGAATCTTCTTTTTCAGTTTCACTTTCGCTTTCACTCTCACTTTCACTTTCACTTTCACTTTCACTTTCACTACTGGAGCCACTGTTATTATCGTTGTGATCTTGTTCACCAATACTTGCAAATGCATATGCTTTATCTCCCAGAGTGACTTCACCCTTAAGTTCAGTGCCAGAGAAAGTAACATAAATTGTGGGATATTCAAGTACAACCTTGTCTTTAAGAACATCTGTGAGAGTCATACCAGCATCCAATTGAATATATGTACTCCTTGTTTTATTTAAAACATCATGTAAATAGAATACTAGCAATTCATCGCTAAGAGAATTGGTATCTTTAAACTCTTGTAATGCCCGTACGGGTACGATATCCTTCAAATGCATCAGTTCTCCACATCTATTACTGCATACCCGTCGTATGCTCTCCCCGGTACTATTCAAAAATATCCATTCCACGGTCCATTTGAATTGTCCCTCTTTCTTGTCGTACCCAGACTTGTTGGTTCTTGATCTTTCCAAAACCGGGGGAGCGGAGATTACTAATGTATTTTGCCTTTTGGTTAGCATTGGTGCATCATTGTATAGTTTTCTAGCGTATTGGGCTCTCGGATCAGCATTCATTGATGCTTGGTTTTGGTACCTCTTAACTTGTGGACCAGAATTACCTTGTAAAGATCGTTTGGGTAAATGCTTCTTATCCCCCAGAATGTCATTCTTCATTACCTGTATGTCCCTACCCACTCTTGTAAGAAAATTATAGTCCCTATTCAAATGTGTTATGTCGTCTCGAAGCTCATCACGAGTTACGAATCTGGTAGTATCCACTTCTCCTGTGCATTCCGTTTGTTTCTTATGTCTCTTCACGCATTCAAGAGAACACGTCTTAGCTCCACACGCAGGACATTTGTATTTGGATTCCTGACGGTGACAAATGCTGCACAATATATTACTCATTGCATTGAAGGTCTCCGATATATTGAGTGGAGTTACGTAGTAACAAATCAAAACGAGATGATCAAGTCGTATCTTATTCGGTTTCTTATGTCTTATGCTTACTTCATCAAATGAAAATTTTACTGTCTTGGTTACGTAATTATACGACTCCGGTTTTGGGGTTCTAAAAATTTTCAGAGTGTAAATGAATATGGTTCACCATGTAGTACAAGTCTGCTATTAACAACAACAAGACGGGTGGGAAGTAATGTTTGGCAGTAGGATTGCAAACCAGTCTATTGCAAGACAATTTATACGGTATTCTTCCAAGAAGAAGGCCGTTCGTGGACCCAATCGGATTCAAGTTCAACTCTTGAAAGATAGTCAATTTGGTACCAAAGGAGAAGTATTGTCCATTAGTCCTGGGTTTATGCGGAATGTATTACATCATTTTGGTGTGGCATGTTATATGAATGAAGGTCCCCGTATTCCTGTTGTGGAGACACGTAAGGTATCTGCTCAAGAAGCTAAAGAACGGAGAAAGCAAGCTCAAGAGACTGCAGCTGCTGACGAAAAGGTATCTGCTGCTACAACCAAGACAACCCAAGCTGAAGCATTGACATTGGACGAATTATCTAGTTTGTTCAATACATTGAAAAAAAGGCCTTCCAAGTCCAATTCACCAGCATTTGTATTTGAAAAAGAAGTTACTGTAAGTTCAGAGGAAATTGTGGAGTCGGAAAGACTTGCATTTGGTGACTTGGTTGAACTTATGCCAGATCTGCATGTGGTTAATTCTGAAAAGACCAAGTTACCACTTGAAGAGTCGTTTTTCAAAAATCTTTATTCACATTTCACCGGTGGTCAACTCACTGAGAATGATTTCAAGTTGTATAAAAACAGTAAACAAATCAAGAGTATCACCGAACCAGGTGCATATGAATGGCGTGTGTATGCTGCTGATGGTCAGTTCACCAAGTCCAGACTTGTTGTTGAATAGTTTATCCTCCTCTGTTCATCTATGATTCTTGTAAATATAAGGAGTTTTATTTGTAACGGATGATGTAGATACCGGGGTAATTAGTATCACGTTCACTGGGAAGGTAAACTTAATATTGGTAGTTAGTTCCTAGAAAGAAGCGTGGAAGTGTAGGAAAGTATCTGTTAAATAATAAGACGGTTCGGGTTACTTTGATGGACAATTCAGCTTCCTTTCCACTGGAAGCTTTTACGATGCACTTCCTTTAGTGTATATCATAAATCTATGTGTCCTGATTAGTACTTTTTCTCTCTTCTTCATTTGCAGCCAGGGAAGTTGAAGAGTGCTTATGTAATAAATTGCTTAATATGTCCGTTATATTTTAATATTCTGGGGTTACAGATGAGTGTTTGATCTTGAATCTAATCATTACTATTGAACAGTGGTATTATGCCTCCCAAGGTCCAATACAGTGCTGCTACGACTTCTCGTATTACAAAGAGACTACTTGGGACCAGTCCAAAGAAACAAAATTTGCGTAAGTTACTTCCTTCACAACAGACAAGGGTGAACGAGCTGACACCCCGAGATGGTGGACCCAAAACACAAGCACTAGAAATCGTTAACTACGACGTGGATTTCGATTACCAGCTTAGTCGTAAAGATGATGTTCTTGTTGCTATCTCCGCAATAACCGAACATTTGTGGTTTAACGATGGGGATATACCATTGAAGGGACTCTCTACACCAGTACGAGATGAAATCATGGAGTTCAGACGGCAATTACCTGCTGATATAATCACCGTCAACCAGTTATACACGTTGTTTGAGGGGGAAGGAAGGACATTTGTTGATAAGCTGTTGGAATTAGGGGTTAGAGAGGGAACAGTTCGTAAGTTTGTTATTAGTAATGCATCGCCAGTCATACTGAATAACACCAAATTTCAAAAGGTATCGTATGGATACGAGAACATAGAGGTTATCTGTCGAGCGGAGTCATACATTCGTATGATACAGAGTCGAATCGAAACGATAACTACCACTACCAACAACAGTAGTAGCGAATCGCATAAAAAAGCTCTTAGTCTATTACTCTCTTTCATACTTGAACGTCCATCAGCCTTGTTTATAAGTACAGAAGAGTTATCCAAAGAGGACTTGGATGTATTGATTCAGTATGGGTTTGTTACATTAAGCTCAAATCATTTGAATGAAATAGAAAACTTGTATGCCATTTCATATCCCAACTGTGGTACGTTTCTTAAGTTGGTCAAGAACGGCAGGATGTGGGTCGTGAAGACATTAAATGGTTGTCGATACAAAGAAGCAATTGAAGACCTTTTGGTGTCTAAATGGGAAGGTGGACCGAAGATGACGAATATGCGCAAGCCATATTATGGGTACGATTTGGATTGGGTTCTTGCGGATGCTTTGGGAGCTGGAATAGTTGAAGTGTTTAACACTCCCGTTGGTAGGGGCTGGAAGCTTACAGGTAAAATTTAAGACTTATAGTAAGGTTATTATATTAAATGTATTTAATTTATTACAACATGTTAATGGTTAAAAGTCATCCTTATCATTAGTAAGGATCTTATCATGAAAAAGCAACTTTATTTAACCTCTGATTCTTTGTTTTTTGAGCAACTTCTTTTGTCTCTTTTCGGCTGCCTTCTTTTCAATCTTTTCTTGCTCTTCAGGAGATAATTTTCTTAATTGTTCACGTTCAGCTTTTCTTTGTCTGGCCTTTTCGTCAGCTAACTTCTCTTGCTTTTCGTCCTCTTCAATCTTCTTGAGCTTTCCAATCTCGATTTCCCTAGTCCTGACAATTTTTTTAGCGGTCTCTGGCTTAAGAGTAATTTCCTGGGTACTCAACTTATCAATCACATTGAAGATAGCTTCCAAAACTTTTCCAATGTGGGCCAATTGATCGTCACCAGTGACCAATTTGGTTTGAATCACCACTCTTCTGGAAGGTTTCAAATCTAAGATCTTCTCGGGTCTCTCTTGAGGTTGATCAGTGAAGGCAATGGACTTGATATAAGAAGCGGAAGATAAATCCAAAGCCAGTTCCAACTCCTTAGTGAAAAGCTTTTCTTGCAACTCATTAGCTTCACTCATGAATACAAATGATTCAGGTAACTTTGGAGAATCAGAAGTTCTGGTCAATGAGAGATAGTAGCATAACTTTCTAGCCTTATCCATACCCAACTTGGACACAATACCAAAGATAAAGTTGTCATAATTGTTGAATGGAATAACATCAAACACAACGGTGTCTTCGGGAGTCTTGATAGAATCAAAGAAGAAGGACATGATGGCTTCAGTTGACCAGAGGAAAAGATTGTGTCTAGGCTTCAATTGGATACTGATACCAACCTTAGCAATGTTAGCTCTACCGGTAGCATAAGAGGTAAAGTGATCAGCTACATCCTTGATATACAATTGATCCTTTTGAACTCCGTATTGGTAGAAGGTCTTTGTGAAAAAAGGAGTCAACAGTGTCAAATACTTTTTGGTGATCTTTTGGTTGTACCAAGATCCCAACAAGAACAACACAATGTAACCAACGATACTCAGAATGGTCACGTATTCAATGGTCCAGTTTTGTAAACTAATCCGTTCTAACAAACTCAATGAGCTCAATTCTTCAACGGTATAATCAGCATATTTCTTGACAGTTTTTACAGCTGCTTCCGGAATTCTATACATTTAACTAGTTAGTATCTCCGAACAATCATGTTAAAGCCCGTTGCCAGTCCCCAGTCAAATTTGAGAAAGGAAAAGAAAAAGAAATAGGAAAGGAAACATACGACTCTTCCGCAGAAACGGCCACAGCCAATGCTAAGATGATAATGCCATTCATCCTGACCAACAGAATATATGATCTTATCTATCGATTGAATATGTGGAGATCATTATTGCCGTTGATCTCTGAAAATTTTCGAGGTCTCGTCCACACTAATTGTGAGCGCGGGGTCGTCGTGTATTGGTGTTTGGTAGCGCTGTGTAAGCCTTTATTTATGTATAAGTAGTCTACTTATTTGCTTTGTTAAAGTAAAATTAGTACATTTAGTGAACAGGTATTTACTGCTTTAATCTCTTTGAAGCCGTTTGCAGGTCTGCTTGTAACTTCTCGTCTTCCTCAGCCTTAAAGTTAGCTAAGCCTTCATGTACAGCCAGTTGAATCAATTCTCTAAGAGCTTCTTCAGGATTCTCACCGTTGAGGATTCCTTCAAGCTTCTTACGTCTTTCCTCTAATTCCTCAGGACTCAATTGGGCATCGGCATCTTCTTCTGTTTCAACTGCAAACTTGATTTCATTACCTTCAAATGTAGGTATGGAACTTGATTCTTCGACTGCTGTTGACTTTTCCTCTCCTAATAATCCATGTATTAACAGCTTTAAATAAACTGCTAATTCTGGAAACTCATCTTCTTCTTCAATATATGCAGCAGCAGTTAAGCCGTCGTTATTTGTAATTGTGGTGTCTGCTTTCAACTCCTCTACCAAAAACTTAGCAGTTTCCACGTCTTCCGTATGATGTAAAGGTGTATCACCCTCGCCGTCTTGAATATTGATATCACCCCCACGTTCCACAAGTAGCTTCAAGAGATCTTTATGGCCATAAGAGGCAGCAGCATGAAGTGCAGTATACCCGTTAGGGTCTTTAGAGTTAGCATTATAAGAGCCTGAGTCTAAATGCTCTTTTACAACATCTATATTATTGTCAGCAGCTGCTACCCAGAGATTTATACCCATTTTATGATTCCTTATATTATCCCCTTATGCTATAGTTGCTTAAGACATAGCAATACTTCAAGATCATCGGAACATTTCAAGCACGACGATCACGTGTGTCCGGGTAACACATTTGATTTTAGATATCTTAAAGACTATCTATAGTTCTGACTACCAAATTCTTTGGTTTGACACTATGATTAGCTACATACAATGATCTCTTAGGTTGGTATTGCAGTATTTAACCTTCCTGGTGTCATTGTATTATTAGTATATGTTTTTTTTTTTCATATTTGTTGTGGTTACCTCAAATTGCAATCTCAGTTATTACTGAATCTACTACATTTTGAGTTGAGCAACGGATATTGATAGTTGTATGATTCAAGGTTAAGATTTAGGTAGTTTACACTTCTCCTCTTCGAAATGGAACATTCTTGGTAATGAAAAGTAAAGCATTTAAGGGTGGGACTACCATTGCACAGACGGACAAATAGACTTTACAGGGAACTTCTACCTGCCCGTACCAACTAAATGGTTTGTCTATACATTCCCAAATTCCAAATCAAGATCTTGATTGTTACATTAACTAAGTAAGTTGTAAAGCTTGGAGTGGGACGACTGGGATCAAATTATCTCGCTTTCAATAAATTTTCATTTGGTCGTGTTAAAAGGTAACTATGTGAAATAATCATAAGAGTATACAAAGCTTTCTATACCGTTTCGTTAACAAGACAAGAAAAGCATAGACACTTTACTATGGCTGAAGGGGATTCTACACCCAGTGGCCAGTTTGAGTGGTGGAGGAAATCTCTAGCTTACCGAACAGGCATGGGTATGAGTGACGAAGAAAAAGCAGCCTTTGAAGAAGAATATCGAGTTAGACAAAGTAAGAATAGAACATGTGCCACATGTGAACAAGATCGATCATGGATGCTCCAATATTCCCCTCTGGTTCGTTTCATGATAGATCAACTTAAAAGAGTAGGCGACGGGGAAGTTCCTGAAATCAAATGTCTGGATTGCAACGATCTCAAAGGTGGTGGGTTTCACCCTCAAGAAGGTATTTTACTTTGTGCTAATTGGCTCAAGGATAAATGGCAATTAGAAGATGTTCTTACTCATGAATTAGTCCACGCGTACGACTACAAGGTTTTTGCTGTTGACTTGAACAATTTAAAACATCATGCTTGTACAGAGATTCGTGCCAGTATGCTTAGTGGAGAGTGTCGAGTTCTTAATGAGATTCGAAAAACTGGATTGGCCAATTTTAGTACAAAGTTTCAATCTTGCGTAAGGAGACGGGCAGTTCTTTCAGTTACAGCTAATCCCAAATGTAAGGATGCAGCCGAGGCGGAAGCTGTTGTCGGACATGTTTGGAATTCATGTTTCAATGACACCCGTCCCTTTGAACGAGTTTACCGGTGACCCCAAAATGTATATAGACAAATGACCTACAATAAAATCTCAATAGAATATAAAACAATAGCAAAGGGAATAACGATGACAGGGATATAAAGCACAATCCCCAGTGGTAATAGGCAGTAGATGATAAGGTACAACGTCTGTCAGTTATCGATATTAAGAGAGTGAAATATTACTACAATGTAGAATACTCTACTGTAAAATTACTAAGTGTATGTGTACAAGATAAAGTATTACCCATTAGTGTGGGGATCTTTTGACTAAAAGAAACGCATATATAAGGGCTTCTAAAGGATTTATATCTATACGCATGTGAATGTTATCATCGTGTCATGTCGTAAAATAGTAAGTTATGTTCATTGTCGCATGGGTAGGAATAGCCTTGTCATTTAATTACGGTCCCGATACTTCCATATCCAAAAGCAATTTCGTAACACAACAATAGGAATGGTTTGATGAACCGAAACAAATACACCACCACCTTATTCAGTACGCTATTACCCTATACTACGGATAACGTTCCAAATTCCGTAATACTTTTGGTCTAAACTCCGTTAGCGTATGTGCCGATAATGGAGTTTTGCACATTTACGGGTACTGAATTATTGCCGGAGTTGTAGCACGATTGTTCGGAGCAGGAATCCAAAATGGGTCAGTCGGTCGCAAATGGATGTGGTGAATGAAATTCCGAAATTGCCCTTAAGACAATCTATCTGTCAATGGCCGGCCCAGATAAAATATCCGGTACACAGGCCTTTGTCATCGGCCCCATTAATTGAATGTCAATTTGTAAAAGTATAAATGTATCTCCTTATCGATCAACTATTGTAGTCCCTCGTTGGCGATCTGGAACTCCATTTTCAATCCTTTATTCATAGTCGCCACAATCATAACATTTGCGAAACAATATCCATAAAATATCGTCTCAAGTTTTGTTGTTTCTCATACCTCCGATATTGTCATCAAGCACCGCTCTATTGATTCATTAACTTTGAAGTATTTCTCCGAAGGTTTCGTATCCCTTTCCTCTACATTGTGGTTATTTCATAAGTACAGTTTTACTTGACGTCAGGATGTCCATATCGAGATCAATCACAGACGAGAAGATATACCAGCTTCTGAAGGCTGCGCCTAAAGATGGAGTAAGAAGAACCTTACTATTGAATAACGAGTTTCCAACTAAAACACAATCAGATAATCGTTGGACATCATCTTCCTCAGAGACAGAGTCCACGGACTCGGCGGAATTGGTGAGCCCCAAGCCACCACCATCTGCCAAAGAGGGAGAAGATTCTGAAAGTACTACGTCTTTAAAACAACGCAACAAACAAGCAGATACTGGCGAACAGAAAGGCACAATCACTCTGTCATTTCCAGGGGATTATGAGAGAATATTGATTGGTCTCAAAGCTATCTCTGGTCAACAGAATAAACGATTAGCTCGGAAAAAAGATGGCAGTCTGGTTAAGGGGTTTTCGAAATACTCCTCGACTTTCCGAGACGTTCATAATAATTCTAAGACTGTTACAATATTTGATTCTGACGAATTCAGAAATTCCGAATCAATGGGTGTCTATGTATTGTTTTGGCTTGCCACTGGGTTTTTCATCTTTAACAACTTGGTGCATTCATTTGTTTATAAAAAGGAATTGTTCATTGATGGCCCTGTGATGCAAATTCTTTGTCAGGATTTATTTAAAGTGGCCCTTACAGATTTGGTTATGTATTTCTCCACTTATTTTGCATACTTTGTTCAGAAGGCTATTCAGAAGGAAATTATATCTTGGGATGGAGCAGGTTGGATTATACAAGTGGTTTATGATTTTTTCTTCCTTTTTGGATGGTCAATATTTGCTCTGAAATATGTCATGGGATATCCTTGGATTGCACGTATATTTCTCTTGTTGCATTCTCTAGTGTTTCTTATGAAAATGCACTCCTATGCCTTTTACAATGGGTATTTGTGGCGAATTTTAAAGGAGCTTCACTTTTCCACTACTGTATTGACGAAGATTAGGGGTCGAAAAATCCCTAAGAATATGTCAAATGAAGAAATGGAGAAAATTAAAGATTCATTGATTGAATCTATATGTTTCTGTTTCTTTGAATTGCATTATCAATCAACAGCAACTTCAACTTATCCCACATGTGACAATATTCTGGATATGACCACAGAACAATTTGAAGCTAATTTGCAGAATAATTCGGATATCATATTCCCAAGCAATATCAATCTCAAGAACTATTTTGACTATACCATGTTCCCAACTCTTGTTTATACCTTGAAATTTCCAAGAACAGACAAGATTAGATGGGGGTATGTTTTTCTGAAGATAACAGGGATCTTTGGGATATTCTTCTTGATGCTTATTATTGCTCAAGATGATATGTATCCCATTGTTCAAAGAGGTTTGGCAGCAAGATCGTTACCGAATTTTGGAGAAAAGTTGATTCAATATGGTTTAATTGTTTTGGATATGATTCCAGTACTCTTAATGGAATACATTTTGACTTTCTTTATAATTTGGGATACAATCTTAAATACCATTGCTGAGTTATCAAGATTTGCAGACCGGGAATTCTACGGACCATGGTGGGCTTGTACCGACTTTTCCCAATTTGCTCGGATTTGGAACGTCACAGTACACAAGTTTCTTCAACGTCATGTTTATCATTCTTCAATCTCAATGTTGAATTTCAACAAGCAACAAGCAATATTTGCAACATTTATACTTTCCAGTTTGGTCCATGAGTTGGCAATGTTGGTTATATTTGATACCTTAAGAGGCTACTTGTTGTTGTTCCAAATGTCTCAAATACCTTTGGTGATGTTGAGCAATACCAAATTCATGCGTAATCGTAGAATCTTGGGAAATATAGTGTGCTGGGTTGGATTTGTTATAGGGCCAAGTTTGATCTGTACCTTATATTTAGTATTTTAGGTGTTCAAGTTTTGTTTGTTATTTTAACTTAAGGATAATAGTAACTGTAACAGAAATCATTATTAGGTGCAAAAAAATATGGTACAAACATATGATTTCGCCCAGGATCGAACTGGGGACGTTCTGCGTGTTAAGCAGATGCCATGACCAACTAGACCACGAAACCACTTGTTGTTTGTGTGTAGGCTTATTTGTAACACAATTTGCAAATAATGCAACTCATGCAAAATGATGTCACGTGCGGCCGATGGTTCAACCATTCTGTTCTTTTGGACCTAGTTCTATTTCGCAGCCTTAATGTGTTTCTCCACTTAGTCCAGGTAGAATTCTCCCGCAGGCGATGACACAATTTGCAGTTGACGTTACTTCCTCGCTGTAATGCTCGAGAGGAGGCCTTAGTCCACTTTTTTACAGGATAATACTCCCCTCAGGGATCTTAAACGGAACGTAATAGTGGTGGAATATAACTGATTACCTACATGAGTAATTCAAGATTATAAGGCTTCTGTATTCTCTTGCTGATTAACTTATCTTCTGATGGAAATCAAAAAAAAGCTTGATTTCGCCCAGGATCGAACTGGGGACGTTCTGCGTGTTAAGCAGATGCCATAACCAACTAGACCACGAAACCAACTTTCTTAAAGAAAAAAGTCGCAAACGGTATATCACACTTTCTTTTGGTAGCGCCACGTCTGATTATTATGTGGATTCTATGTGTTTAGCACTGTAAGTGAAACACAATGGTATGTAGTGTCAAATAGAAGGTTGGCAGGCTGGATCTCAACTAAGCGTATATCTGGGTTGTTACAATCACATCAATCTATAGTACTAATTATTTATTAAGTGATTTTTCCACAAATATATAGTATCTTTCATGAAAAGATGAAGAGAGAAAGCTCTCAATGACTACAAGGAATTTTTACAAAGAACCTAATCCTTAGCTGCAAACCTTTATTCATTATAATAATGAATCATTGTAATCGTAAACATGAACTTTCCTATGAATGTTTTTAAGGTTTACTTGGAGGATTTTGAAGCAGGCAAATTATATGTTGTATGACCGTTTACCATTAAAAAGCGAATTACTTCTAAAAACTCCAATAAAATACTTGAAAATACCATGAATGGTGTATTATATAACATATACCCACCATTAACCGTCTACTTACTTATTCTATATAATTTAGATATGATTTAACCTACCTAGATTGTGATATATACATACGGGCATGCTCTGTTAGAATTGATGTTAGGGTGCGAAGGAAGAGTATTTTTCATGCTAGTAAATTTGCAGCCATCCACAAAGTTGCAATCCATACATACACCTATACATAAGTTAACAGAGAGGCAACATACAAACGCCCATAGTAATTTTTCGTTGTTATCTGATTTGTCAGAATATATGACATAGACATCTCAAATCAGATATTTGTGACTCGGTCCTTCTTCAATGTGGGCGTAATGAATGTATAAATAATACTGCTAAACTGAGTAAAATGACCACAGAAAAAAATGCGAAAAGCATATCTTGTCCTTGTCGAACCTCCAACCAGCAAATCCTAATATAAATCATGATTCATGTAGGATTGTCAATGATCTAGTTTGCAAACATGAATCAAGTTGTGACCTTAAGTATTATTGCCAATATTGTGTAACACCAGCAATTGATTTAGAAACAAAACCGGAATCAATTGATGAGGTTGATTGGCGGCTCTTACTGAACCCCAAGGAAGTCGAACAAGTAACATTGAGCCTTAATAAATTCCCTACTGATATCATTGAAAAGCTCCGGATCTGGGGGATTGATAATCTAGCAGAGGAAGTAAAGTGGCAAGAGTGTTTCTTACCTAATGGTTTATTTGAACCAGAGATTGATCAGTTGAACTCAGTATGTGAGAATTTGAAGCCGTTTGTATGCATTGAAACACCTCAATCAACTCCTCCACAAAGTGCTTCTTTTCACCGGTCAACATCAACAAAAATATTTAGACATCGTACTTCAAAGCCGCTAAAGGTTGTATTATTTTACCATGGTTGCAAACCTTCCCCTTTCTCAAAAACTCCGACGTTTTATTCCCACTTCAAATATTCTTACTTTCACACACATGAGCATCCACCCAGAACCCAATCCATTGTGGAGTCCTTAAGAAGTCACCTTTTATTCAGAAGTCAGTGCTTCAACCAAGAAGAAGCTTGTGAAGGGCTTTGAATAATCCTATATATAAATAGTTCAAAATGTAGTAGCGCTACCGATTCACATCAGCTTACAAATAGTTGCCTACAGCTAAAGTACTAAAATCGGTTCAGTTTTAAATATATATATATATATATATACCGCAACACCAATGTTAATTCGATCTGTTACATTTGCAGCTACAGCGGTTACAGCATTCCTTGGTTTAGTTGAGGGGAAGCTAGTTCACGTGAACGACCGTAACTTTACTGATGTTGTAATCAATTCTGGGAAACCAACACTCGTTGACTTTTACGCTGATTGGTGTCGTCATTGCGCCAAATTGATGCCTACAATTGAGAAAGTGGCTGCTCTTTATGATGGAGATGATAGCATTCAGTTTGTTAAGGTGAATGGGGACAAGGACGGTAAGGTCGCCGCTAGGAAATATGTTGATATAGGATATCCCACCGTAAAGTTCTTCTTTGGAAAGAAAATGGATCCTGTGGAATTTGATGGATCTCGTGATGCAGAGTCGCTTAACAATTTTGTTCAATTGATTCTTAAGACTAGAGTTAAAAATATTGATATTGTTGATCCCAAGTTGTATCAATCAACTGCAACAAAGGTGGATGATGTAACATTTGATTCTCATATCAATGGATCGAAGGACAGCATTGTATTATTTACTGAGAGTGGTTCAACTTCAGACTCTTTATTCCAAGATGTATGGGAAAAAGTGATTACCGCATATGCCAATGAAAATGATGTTCAATTTCTTTTGGTCAACATTAAGGATGAAATGTCCAGTGGTATTGTGGATAGGTTTAAAGATGTTATAAGCTCATATGGAGAGCCAACAGTTTTGGTATTTAAGAAGACCGATACTGAATCTCCCAAAGTATATTCAGGTAAGAAAAAGGATGCAGCTTTCGTTATAAATTTCATTAATGGGTCATTGCTGTTATTTCGACTTCCCAACGGCAGACTCAGGAACAAAGCTGGAAGACTTTTAAATTACGAACCAGTTATCAAGAAATTGATTATCAACGTCGACAAGGTTTCTGAAAAGGAAGCTTATGAAAAATTTGTCAAGGACTTAGCAGATTCTCCTATAGGAAGTCTGGATGACTTGTCTATGTTGGAATACTACGATAAGGTTATTGCTGCCATTCTAGAGGGGAGGAAATCGCATTATGAGAACGAGTTGAAGAGAATAAGTACCATATTAGACACTGATGTGGCTCATATTAATGCAAAGAGTTTAGATTCTTTTGAGAAACGGTATAATATATTGAAAGCGATCTTTGGGTAAATTAAAATGAAATTTATTATTATTATTATTGTTATTATTAGTATTATCAATATTATTACAGGTAGTTACCATGAAACTGGATTGAACTGTTGAACCAACCTTACTTTATTAGGCCATACCTTCCCATTGTTTACTATGCATTCGTCAATAATGGGTTGGGCATTATTAGGCTTGATTCTGGCCAACCATATGTTCTTCCCTGAATCTTTCAAGTAAATCAAGGCATTTGCTGCGTACTTGTGGCCTCCTATGTGATTCACAAAAGCCACTGTAACACCTCCAGGTGTAGTATCACCCGAATCACGGTAGAGCAGTAATTCTCGCAATCTAAATTCTAATTCCTTCTTCATTATAGGAGCTGTGATCCCACATCTCTTATCTCTAGATCTATGAGAGCATAAGAATATATATGCTTTGGAGACATCAATTTCTATGGTTACACCGGGGTAGTCAGTAATTGTACTGGACTTCAATTTTGTTGCACCCGCATCTCTTTGGGTTGTTAAGTCGGGGATAACTTTGGTTAAAAGTTTAGGGATTTCAGAAGCCGTTGCTCCGCGTATCCACACAAAGAGTGGCAAAATAAGCACATCCCCCTTACTACCCTCTATATACTCATGATCTCTCTCCAAACCAGAACTTAGTAACAGAGAAGCAGATACTTTAACTGTAGACCCAACCACTTTTGAACCATGTTCGTCTGCCCAATTTCCAACAGCTTTAGCATAAGCCCCGGAGTTAGGAACAGCATCGTGTTGCCAATCTGACTTCCCAGTAGGAATGATTAGATGAAGTCCGTAGTTCGCAGTGGTTTTCCAAAGCGATGTTCCATTATCGTCTGTTTTCTCAAGCTTGGCGATTGAACTGGGATAAGAAGAAGTACAAGATTCGCATTCACTCAGACATTCAGAGATTTCAAAACCACATCCAGAGATCTCTGTAACAGGATCTTTCTTCCCCTTTACAATTTTCTTTATGAAGTTCATACTTTGAAAATGTAGTGATGCACTATTGTGTAATGAGTACTCTATAAAAGATTCACAGCAACCGGAAGGATGAATAGATAAATAAGCAAATAAAGAAATAAAGAGTTGAATAAGGAAATTAGTTAATGCGAAGGGAAGAGAGTGGGATGGTGGAGTTTTTTTATTCCCTTATACACTTTCTGACTATCGTATTATCTTCCAGATGCACTGAAAAAAGACTGATGCTAAGTGCAGGCTGAATATAGATTCTCCGTTAATAATCGGATCAGTATGTCAAACCGGTATGGGGAAGTATTTTGGGTGTGGCGAAAAATAAGGTTAGCGCGATAGATAATAAGGTAGAAACGCGTACTAAATTCCTCAGAACTGAGTCGTTCAAGCTCAACCCCATACTACTTTATCAACATGGGAGTCGTTGTCAATGTAGGACTCGCCAGTATCTCAAATACTTTTAAGCGATGATGTAGGTGTTTTAATACTCCTCAATGCTCCAACACCTATTTGTATAAATGAGGTACAGCATGTACATGCAGTCTAACGCACCATCAATATTTGACAGTATAATACTACAATTGAAATTTTCAATAGAACCATGGCTGGTGCACTTTGCTAGATTTCACTTAAATTCTCCATGTTCTTATCAAATCACAGATAGAATAAATGATGTTACAAGATGAAAATACGGGAATCATATAGTGTCATGTGTTCGTAATTTTAGTATAACTTGGTTTAGTACGGTTGTCCCCTGTAATCCTCTGGAGGAGCCCATATACTGCCGCAGAGTTAGGATAAGTGGTACCAAATGATAAAGAATGTTAGTGAGGTGACTGATCAAGATCATCGTAATAAATGAAGACGCTTGTTGAAGAATTGATCTATCCAAAGTTTTAATACACATCCATAAGTTAAGTCTCTCCAAGTTTCTGGTGTACCCGTTCTTTAATATTGTGATTATTGTATTCACTCGCTCTTCAATCAGGCTTAAACACACATAGAGGAAAATCTCTATTGTCGTGGAAAATTTTACAAATTTCATTATCATCATGGGATCCAATTTACGCTAGAATAGTCGAATAGTACCAGCCAGAATACAATAGAGAGTCCTACTAAAATGTACCTGGGTAGGACCCCCTTCTTTTATGGACTAGCCAAGCCTTCTCTGACGTAATAAAACGTTTCTGTATTGATGGGTTTCTGTTTTCCAATACACACACGACTAACTTTGTATCTGAAACGGCACATTCATAAATACAGATTTTGAACGGCACGGAAGTCATCAAAAAATACAACTCTCCAAAATTATGCGTATGACAAGACAAAACTTGTTACTTCACTGTATAATTCACACGTACGGCTGGTAGTAGCATTTCTCAGCCACGGAATTGGTGGTTTTTTTTAACATTGCTTGCGCATACCTTTGACCTCCTCTTATCTTGTATGTTTCACAGACTACAATCAGGTGGCATAAAGTCGCGCGTGAACCTGATACTGGGAATTTTGCTTGTGTAGCTTGACGTACAAAATAAATTATTAGGCCAAGGGCCCTTTGGATGCCAGAGACAGTGAAGAAGTGAAATTGAGCTTAACCTCATAGTTGACTTGCTTATTTCTAGTGAAACTAGAGTGTTACTTATACAAAAAACAAGCTCTGGTTTACAGCTACGTGATACGTTCTTTACAATCCCTACTTCACCTACTAAAGGCACTCAATATTCATCCTGAAATAGAGCATAAGTTTGTGTTCACCCTATTAAGGTTGCTGATAGTTATATGGCTATCAATATATTTTGCTAAGTACTTTATGCAACTGCCAGAATCGACAAATTGCATTATATACCATATCATTTACACTACAGGGCAACACTTCCCACACTTTAAGAAATGATTCATTTGGAACTGTCACCGGTTATGCCAGCTTTAAAACATCCACACAATGTGCCCATTACAGTGGGATCCAATAGTACAACAGAGAACACCAATATGAAAAAAAAAGATACCAGAGAGCAAAATCTTTCTAAAGAAATAATACACCCTTCTTCACCAACATCATCTAATGTTGCGACGCTGGATATCTCGGAGTTCACAAATGAAACGACCATGTCCTCCGTCGATAATACAGACACAGTAGGGAACCACGAAGGTCATCTAAATGTGCTATTGGCTGGATCAGATGGTAACGTTTCTGATAAGGATGCTTCCATACTCACTATCGCGCCGATTCTGCTGCTGCTGCACTTTGAGGATGCCCTGGATTCATTGCTTAAAAATTTGACCATGTCAACACGAGAAAAGAGATCTCAAACGGTTGATCCCATTGACAGTGTTTATCTGATGCCCATGGCTAATCTTACTACTGCTGCTGCAGCAGCTGGTGATGAAGGAAAGCCAAAAGAAGAAGCTGCTCAAATACCCAAACCTACTCTTAGTTTGGATACATCATCAGCCAGTGTACAGCTATCAGCGTCAAAATCAAATGCGATTCCTGAGTTTTCAACACCTGTTCTCATAGCGTCTGCACCAGCTGCTTACCGTCGTCACACTACACCAACCTTCAAAGAGTTGACTCCTGAGCTTCATGACAGATTATCGTCGACAAAAGGCCAGCAACAGCCAAGTTTAATTTTATCTACGCTGGACGTGGATATTTCTAATGAAATCCACAAGCCCGTCGTAACAAAGCGGAACACTTACGCGAATGGTTTCCACAACATTTCAGCACACAATACAGTTACCAGAGGTAGTAATTCCAGTTTGCTGTCAAAGAGGAACTCGGTAACAAACCTGGAAATAAAAAAAATGATTGATACCATTATGGAACATCGAAAGCAAGCAAAGAACAAACGTATGTCGTTTGAAGAAGATAGTTCAACAGCAGCAGCAGCATCTCCTACTGCCGCCTTATCATCCGCTTCTAGAGAGCCTTCAGGTCCTGTGGTGTCGCCTGTGGGTGCCCCTGTTATTTCTACAAGATCAAGAAGGAAGGGATATTCCTTTGATGAGAAGTATCCAACTTTGGGAAACAAAGTCAGTGAAGGTCATGAGAATTTTGTTATGGCATATAATATGTTAACTGGAATTAGAGTTGCAGTTTCCAGATGTTCAGGAGTGATGACAAAACTTACTCATGAGGATTTCAAGACAACGAAGAAACTATCGTTCAATATTGATGGAAGCGAGTTGACTCCTTCTTCTAAGTATGATTTCAAGTTTAAGGACTATAGTCCTGCAGTGTTCAGAGAGTTACGTTCACTTTTTGGAATTGATCCAGCTGATTATTTAGTGTCGATAACTGGGAAGTATGTTCTCAGTGAGCTAAGCTCTCCTGGGAAATCCGGTTCATTCTTATATTACTCGAATGATTTTAGATTTATTATCAAGACTATTCACCATTCAGAACACAAGCAACTACGTCGTGTTCTCAAAGATTATTATGAACATGTTAAGGAAAATCCTAACACTTTGGTTTCTCAAGTCTATGGCTTACATAGAGTAAAGATGCCATTTCGAAATGGAAGGCTACGCAAAGTACATTTTTTGGTAATGAACAATTTGTTTCCGCCTCATAGATCTATCCATGTGAAGTATGATTTGAAGGGTTCAACCTGGGGTCGTCTCACAAAGATTGAAGGTCCTGATGCAGATCTTAGCAGCGTTACATTAAAGGATTTGAATTGGCTTGAACGAGATGCTAGAATCAAGTTTGGTCCTCGAAAACGAAATCTATTCTTTAAACAATTAGATTCGGACGTGAAATTCCTTCAAAAGATCAACTCAATGGATTATTCGCTTTTACTAGGAATTCATGATGTCAAGAAGGGGAACATACAAGCAATGGCGAATCATTTATCTGTGTTTGATCCAAGATCCAACGATAAAGATGAGTTGATCCGTACTAATCCACGTGATATTCAAGATGATGATTTACCCAGCAATGTATTCCCTGGAAGATCCAAATATGTATTCTATGGTCATGATGGTGGTATAAGAGCCACAGGAGAGGATAATAATCCGATACAAGAAATATATTATTTGGGAATAATTGATTTCTTAACCAAATATAATTGGATTAAGCGGATTGAGACTGTATGGAGGTCTATAAGTCATCCTAGAGCAACTATCTCATCTGTTCCTGCTACTGAGTACGGCGATCGATTCTTAAAGTTTATTAAGGTTGGAACTACGCAACCAAAAACTAAACAAGAATAAGATAGAAGTATCTTACTCACAATTATTTATTCTTCTTACACTGGCGTGTACTAAATTTTGCTTGAAGCCCATGCGTTAATGACTGTATGGTATTCGAACTAAATTATTTATACCTTTATATATTTAATGGTTTATTTAGACTGGCCAAATTTTAGACTAATGGAACTTATATGTAAGGTTAAATTTTCATCTTATGCCTTGTAGCAAAAAAAGAAGTAAATGCTCCAGGAGGGGTTTGAACCCACGACCGTCGCGTTCCTCACACGACCGTGACCTATGGATAACCATATCGTCGTAACACGGCTATAAGCACGAAGCGCTAACCTCTGCGCCACTGGAGCGAATCTACCTCAGAGAGAATCGAACTCATTAACTCAGTTATTGAAAAACGCACACAATATGAACGTCAATCACCAACTAGGCCATAAACTCAATTTCCAACCAAAAGGCAAAATATAGTGTAATATTGATAACACACAGAATTCGATCACAAAAGAAATTTTCGGGAAAGACCTTTACAAATTTGAAGTTGGTGGGTTCTATTCATTTGACAACCTCCATCGCTTTAACTATGACTGATATGTCCCACTACATGATGATATCCAACCAGTTGGCCACATTATTTGTGCGCTCTGTCTATTAATGATTGCACCATCTACAATTTTGACACATCTATAAACCGCATGCTCTTGTTCGTCTTACTGGTGGATCCAATGTGGTCTACTGTGTCCAATGGAGCTAAACTCGATGTTAGCTCCTCTTCCTGTGGAACTTGTTCTATCTCGCTACCTAGATATGTTTTAGGGTTGGTCCAGGTAAATACTCATGCAGGCGACGACCACCACAACTGCAACTACAACTCTATACTGTTAGCGAATGAACAGGACTCTGCTATTGCTTTTTACAGACCTAGGAACTATTGATCCCTTCGGGACACATCAAAGGTGAGGGTTACCCTACTAAGGGTTAATTAGGCTCCCTTCCGGGTTTGAGAAGCTCCCATAAGGACTCTTCCTCTCTGGGTAAGGTGAATCCCTAATTACAGGCTAAAGACATTATATGGATCCTATGTGCTTAACACTGTGAGTGAAACACAGTGGAATGTAGTGTGTAATAGACGGTTGGCAGGCTGGATCTCAACTAAGAGTATATTTGGGTTGTTACATTTAGAGCACTCTACAGTACTAGTTATATAGTTCTAAATGGTTTTCCCACGAATATATCGTATCTTTCCAAAAAAAAAGAAACCTCTCAAGAATACATGGTATCTTGCAGAAAGAAAAATAAAATGAGATCATTACTTGATAAAAGTTGGTAGAATATAAACGTTTTGAATGAGCCTGTTTTTCTCGACTTGAATTTACCGTTTCAGAATTACCTCCATATGGTTTTCGTTAAGGAAAGTAACTTATTATTGTGCAACATTTGAGATAAGAGTTCAGATATTTATAGGTGTAATTAGTTTATAGCAATTGACTTCTTTCTATAAACACATTCTTCTTTGATTCTGTATTTTGAACCTCTTTATGGTATTTTGTTGTTACCACTACCTCTAAACCTACTGGAATTTCAGTGGAGATAAATGTTTGGCAACTAAAAGATGTTGTTTGAGCTATAATATTGCCTTAAAATCAAGCACTTATCAGTGTTTGAACAATATGCTGTATTATTAACGACAAATGCTTAACCGTTAGTCCTTAACCTATCAGAAATGATTTATACTTTTTGAGGATGAACAATTGGTAATATCTTTGTGCTAAATAGGCACGCCCCATATAGTTGGGTTGTTAATTTAATCAGCACCTTCTATGTTAAGTTGTCTGTTGGCTCGTCCTATTCATTTTTATTAGAATCAGATTCATTCTCCTTAGCTTGATTTTTTGATTCATTTGCATTCAGACTTTTGTGCTCCTTCTCTTTGTCTGTGCTAGTTTGCGATTCGGAGTCGTCTGAATCGCTTAGAATATCCTCTGGGGGAACGAGAGTGGTCTCCGTTAACCATGCTACTTGATTATTTATAAATTCACATAAATCAACATCTTTTTTCTTAAAGTAAGAAAATTCTATTTTATCTTCACATAGTGACTTCTTGATATTAGTCCACTGGACTAACTCAAAGTCGTATTTCTTATTATTTGGAAATTCAGGGATTGTTTTACCAAAAATACGATACTTCAACCTTTTTTTATCTTTATCATAAAATTCACCACCATATAGGCCAGCAGGATCTAACTTTGGGAAGTTGCAATGCATAGTCCATACGGAAGCAGGACCACCACCACCGAAGACTTTATTCTTAACCTTGTTGATTTTTTGTGTTTGCTCCTCTATTGTTAAATGATCCCAATCTCCCTCTCCCTGGGGAACTTCAAAATGCTCTTTGTATAACTGATAATCCTCCAACGGATTTCTCTGAGCCATGCCTACACCTCTGAATCCACCACCATTATCTTTGTAAAAGCCAATTGTTTTCATCATAGTCTTTACTTGATAGAATGGCTGACCTAGAGCAAATGCTGCTAAAGGAAAGGTCTCCTTGTCGCCTTCACCAGCACCTCCTAAAGAAGTTAGTCTGTAGTATAATTTAGGACCGTAAACGTTATAGTACAAACTTAACAATAAAGTTTGAAAGTGGGTACCTTTATTAATAATCATCTGCCCTGATTCTGTAGATAAGTTTTCAAGCGTACCAGATAAATCAGAATAAGGGACTTTTTTCATTTCCTCTGGTTGAGCCTGTGGTGAGTCTTCTGAGAGAACGAATGGAAATCGCTGTAACCTGACCCGTTTTGTCTCATCAACATCTAGATCCAACAATTTGTATATTTCAGGTGACATTGTTCTTTCCCAGTAATCGGGCCAGAGAATCATACCCTTTGTTTTGTATAAGTCGGAATGAAAAACAGGCGAAGGGTCCTGAACCATAAGGTTATCTGAGTCAAGCATCAAAACGCTTTCAAATGATGAAGCTAGCATCGCTAACCCCTTAAACTGGTAGGATTTGAAAGAATATTTCATCATCACATTTGGACCTAATTTGTCGGGTAAAATGACGCAACTTGCATTGAGACCAGGTAAAACTTTATGGCAAAATTTCATTTCTTGCTCATACTCTGCGAAGGTTGGAATAATCACCTCTACTGGCAAGGTGCATCCAGTATTTCTCAAAGAAAGAATGGCTAGGTAGCCCAACCAAGAATACTTAGTACCTCCAACTAAGACAATACCTGTGGTGCCTTTTCTGTAAGCATTTTGCAACTTATCGGGTATGCCAGCTACGAAAGCTGCATGCTTTATCTTTAATTCGCTTAACGCATCTTCGGAGATAGTGGCTCTTGATTCTAACGCTTCCCGAAATGAACCCTTCAATGAACCCTTTTTCAACTTGAAGGCTTCGTCAATATTTTCTATTTGAGGACCATTGTCGAACACGTTGTCAAATACTCTCTCCCAAAAGTCATGTTTCGGATTAGCTACAATGCTTCCTTGAACATCTGGACTTGATTCATCCTCAGATTTTTTACCATCCAGCAGTCCGAAAACCTGAGTCGGCAGAAGATAATCTGGATACAGCAGTACTCCATTCCATAGTTGGAGAATAATTACTGAAAAAACTAAGCCGATGATTATTATTAGGGGCCTTCGTTGTGTAAAAAATTTCATCAGTTGAAATATATGTTTTCAAAGTCCAAATATATGATTCACTTAGTTCATCCAATAAAATAGTCAGCAAAGTTACGTACGTATTAGCTGAAGGTTGTAATACTTTTGGCAAATTCACTTGAGGACTTTCATTACTTATTTATTTACTTTAAGCCAATCGGCAAACTCTATTTTTGTTTGGACATCCCTAGTAGCAACGAACCAAAATCCTGCAGTTTCCAATTATATCTAATAGCAATCGTTTGGCAATTATTTTATGACCTTTTTTTTAGCAACATTTCTTTTACATTATCCTATTCTTTGATATCTAAATCAGTAGAATAGGAATTAATATTGTCACAAAGTCTCTACAATGAAGCACATGTGATGTTCTGTTCACCAAAAACTATGAGCATTTTCACCTCACAGCCATTTAGGATACCACAAAGTCAAATGCAACCTTGTGTGTTATCGTACTCGTATCTGAACACTTACGATTGATATGCATACTGTACATAGACTCTACCATAACTCCGAATGTGTAAATAGATATTGGGTTAAATGTCCAAGGGAAAACTTAGTATTACTTAATGATTCACATCAAACTCCAGTGGCAACCTACCACATTCTATTAAACTGTAGATTTTTGAGAATATCGTGTGAGAGATACACTCAACAATACAGACCGTACAGTAAGATATTTGTAGGATCCAAATGGCATTGGACCCTTTGATGTGTCCTGTCGTTAATGCTCCACATTTTACGGATAAAACTGACACAAACCGTTTAGAGGCATTCCAAAAAAATTCGCGTCGCACCAGGGGAAACTCACAGGGTGTCTAACCTATTTACTTTTCCGAAAACCGAGATACAAAAGGTACAAATATGAGAAAACTACCTACCAAATTTCGAATAGAGGTGCACTACAAGATTGCCACAAAAATTTGGGTTTTAATTTCAATTAATACCAAACCCGTTATGGCCCCACTTGAGAGTCGCAAGCTTACTTAGCGTGCAGGTATCAAATATATTTTTAGGCACTATTTTAAAATAATGCTTATGATGAACAGAAAACCTGAAGAAGTCACTCGTTCTTTCTTTTTCGCCACTTGCTAAATACGGTCGTTCTATATTATGTAGAACACGACCTAGTTTGAATATTAAATAGAACCACTGTACAATAAACAAATCCATGAATAACATTCTGATTATTGAATTCCAGATATGTTCGATCAACATTGATTCAATTATAAACTTTCTTTTGTGTCAATTTAATAGAGAGAGGAAATTTTAAGAAAAAGAGCACTGGTACGAGCTAGCGTTGGGATTGAATGCATTGAAAGATTTAAGCAACAGCAACACTATACAATACACTGTCGTAATTATCTTTAAAGTACGTAATCATTAGACAATTTCTATATATAGATAAAAATATTTGGGTACTATAATAGCCAAAGTAGTGCATGTGAAATAATGGTAGGAAATTGAGCTTCTCTATTGAGTAGGTTATCGGTATCTGTTACTGGAGGTTAAGCAATGTGTTGTTATTTAGGTGTATTGTTCCTAGGTAAAAATACTTGACATTCAACTTACTTTATAAAATATAGGGTTTTCTTCTTTTACTTACATTCCACTTTCTCCACTCATTATTTCCTCTGCCTCGGGTAAAAGGCCTTACCATGTGGATATTAACGAGAGCGACAGTCTAAGCGGAGGACTTTTTTGACTGTTCTCTCAGTCCAGTTACCTCGGCATGGATAGCTTGAGCTTACGACTTCTCGGTTTAACTTGGATAAACAGCTCATTCTTCTCATCAAATTACCACGTTCCGTTTATCTTACTTTGGTCGTGTATAATGGCAATGAACAAAAAAAAGTTCAACAGACACTGACAAATAAATATTCAAGCGTTGCCAAATAACATACATTGTATATCAACAAGGAACCATGGGGTGAAGACAAAACGAGGTTTATTGTCTTAAGGCAGAATGTTGCACCCTGAGACATCGAAGTGGCGAGCCTCCTGTCAAAGAAAACCTTTAACCGACGTACTGGTAATATATGGCGCCTTTAAAGATGTTGAACTTGTCCATACAAGGGATTTTGATGTTTAATTTGTTACAAGGTGCTCAATATTCTAAGCTGGATATTGAACAAAAAAGCAGAGAACTTGATATACGCGAGTCTTTTTATTTAGAATTAATAGTCAGTTGTCAAATACCTGTTGAAAATTAAGTGTTGTGCACCAATATTATTGAAAAATGGGAAAGCGATTGTACACTTGACAATTGACCTCCAAAAATTCATGGTCGGCACTTGTGACGGATTAACTAACAAATAACCATTGGTGTACTATTTTAAGTGATTCTATAATAACCATTACAATGTAACATTTGGTGAATGTGTGAGTTTTCAGGCTTCTGAAAATTCTCGATGGCTGACCATCAATATGTGGTCACTATGCGTACTAAAGTTCAATGATAGTAATTAGCTTTTTAAAACAGTGGGTATTCCCTCCTCTAATCATTCTCAAAATTTCTCATTGCAGCCCCAAATCACAGATTAAATGCCTTTTCCTCAAAACTACAATGGCAAATACATATATCCCCAGTCAACTCAATCTAGGCCTCTAGTGGAAACTCACCAATTATGATTTTATTAGGGTAAATCTTGGAAACGTCAGAGAAGTGTTTTCTTCAAAGGATGACGCACATTTGTTGTAGTAATTACACCTGAATCAAACGTTTGCTGTAATTGGAATTTTTATAGATGGTTCCTCTGGTCCAGGGTTCGGGAAAGTCATTACACAGTGATTACAGGCCATTACTTTGATTACCACAATGGATAACAAAACTCTTCAAGGACAGGTGAAATTTAAAACTTTCTCTAAATTAAAAGGTAAGAGAAACATAATTGTAAATGGAAGCTGCATTGAAATCTGATCAAGTTCGTAGATAATAGTTTTCGAAACCACATTGAGACGGAACATTATTTTATTACAAGACTAACTAAAAGGAAGCTGTTGAAATAGCTGTAATTATGTAGTGCAATCACTACAGTGGCAGACAAAAAAATAGTTTCCTTCCATGTACAGTGCTAACACTAGGATAAAGGATAGATTAGATACTAACTATGAAAAGTCATCCAAATAATAATTGATATAGTAAAAATTCATGGTTATTGTAAATCTTACTGGGGATGAAATGTTATAAGAGATAAACCATTGCTCCAATTGGTGATGTGAATTGCAAAGTTATTCGGTAAACTTATTTCTAATCAACTTATCCACAATTATGAAATTTACAAGCTTGAACTACATGTTAATGTCATATAAGAGCTTCAAGAAAAAATAGTCTGTTAAATTTACACAGATAGCTACAATCTTCAAAGAGTTCAAAAAATAGGGTAGCGCGTCGAAAAACTTTATGGAAGATATTGGTTAGTGCAAATAGCCTAATGCAAAGTGCTCATTTTATTCTTAATCTCTTGTATATTCAGATATGTGCTTTCAATACTTAAGATCCTAAGTAAATTTTAAGCTTCTACCTCTCTAATTACGATTGAAATTCTCAATTCAACCCTAGCTTCCTTCACGCTTTAAGCACCGACCCTCTTGATTAAGACAACTTGTGGACTATATTCTCCTTTCTCCCTTTTTTTATCACTATAGTTCTTTGGCATCCCCCACTATTTCTCTTTGTCTCCTACTCTTCTTCTCATTGTGATGATATTTGGGAACAATAGACCTTATATTTGCAGCCTTACCATTGATATATAGACAACGAAGGATAAAAAGAAGTGAATACTTTATAGAGGGGATTCTGTACCAGTAAATAATATTAAAGAGTATAAAACCGGATAATAATCCCCAGCATATTTCAACTTTGACAAGCCATATAGAAACCAACCAATGGTTAAGATTAGTAAACACTTCCTGCCATGATCTTCTTTTCTGACCGTTTTCTTGGAACTGACATTCCATTATTTCGCCTGCACCTAACGATCAATTAACAGCAAGTATTGCAAATATTAATAATAAGTAATTACTCAGTTAACAGTAATCACATATTAACCTAGTCAAACTACCGTAGTAATACTTAATAGTATGAGATAATATTTTAATACTAGAAATTTTCTCAATATAATAATTTTATTAAATCTTAGAGGATTGTCACACATGTATTGTTTTCCGTTCACCAATATGATGCTTAATTGGAACAAAACGCGTGGTATTGCACCGCTGTGGTATATTTGTAGAACATTACACAGTGGTTCCATTCAATGTTCATACTAGGTCGTGTATTTTTCATAATATGGTAGTATAATTTTCGTTAGAAGTGCCAGGAAATGTTCATATCTAACGCATAAAATATTCGTAGTATTATTTTTATTATTTCGTTTTGAAGATATAATTTTACGTAAGAACAGCTAAAAAGGCTTCTTAATAGGGATAGTAAGTGCTAAAAATCAATGACTAAAAAATACCCCAAAATAGTGCACTATAAATACTAGAGCATATTCCGTACAATAGAACCTTTCCACGCATAAGTGTCATTTGCTAATAATTAAGTTAACTCTAAAGGTATTTGTTTTATGGATTTGCGAGCTGAAATTACACTGAAGGATTACGTTGATAATCTTGGGAACCCATTTAATCTTGGAAAAGATGAAATGATTCTTGAGTGTGAATGTGTGGTTCCTTGGAGTATTGTTTTAGTTATAAGGAGTACAAATTAATTAGGAACCAGAGAAATATAGAAGTTAAGAAGAGTGGTGTTGATACCGATTATGATACCAATCAAACGTAAAGATGTAAAAGTGTGCTGGGAAATAATGTAGGAAATACCAATGATATTGGTGGTTCTCTTGAAATGGATGTGTGTGATCCTTTAGAAATAAACCCAGATATAAAAGAGGAAACTAGCTCTGATGTAGAGCCAGCCTCTGATGTAGAGATAGGCTCTGATGTGGGGGTGATATCTAATACACATTCGAAATCAACAGTATAGGACCATAAAACTACCATCCCGAAAGCCTCCAGAAACATTTTTAACAACTTGTTCTTGAAAAAAGGTGTTCTGTCTATAAAGCGGCTGGTATTTGTGATATCCGCTTACAGACAGCCTACACTTGGAAAAAAAATTAAAAAAAAAAGTTGTAAAGGAGGTCAATGGTATCTACGAGGAACCTAAGAAAAGTGGACAAAAACCTCTTCAACATCAGCATAAAGAATGCTTACAAGGCATAGTTGAAGATAACCGAACGCTCACTTTGCAATGTATCTTGGAAAGACTACAGGCAATAAATAAGCCACCATAAGTCTCGGACTTAGATTAAAATGTCATATAGAGAAGTATCTAGTCTCTATTAAATAGTACAAATAATATAACAACACAGACCTCAAAAATAAGTATTACTTGCGATTAAACTACTAACAGTATGACCTGTATACAAAAATAAGAACGTCCATTTCAACATATCGATGTCTGTTTGAACAATATATCTTCTTAATCTATATATCATGGTCAGTAAATTTAAAGTAAACCTAAAACAATTAAAAGATCAGTATGTCGAATAAAAAAAAACAGCACATTATATAAACAAATAAATTCGAAACTAGTAAAATGT